GTGGCTCCCAGGAGCAGCTGCCTCCATTCATCGAGTGATAACATGATCGCGAGCATTTCCTTGTCGTAGATCTCGTAATTTCGCTCGGTTTCGGTCAATGCGTGTGAAATAAATGCGATTGGGCGCCAAATGCCGTCTTGGTTTTGGCTCAAAACTGCTCCTGTTGCCCCTTCCGAAGCATCGGCTTCCAGACGATATTGGCCAGTGTCATTTGGCAGTGCTAGGACCGCATCCTCTGCGATTCTCTTCTTCAACCCATCAAATGCTGCACGCTCATCTGCACCCCATGCCCATCCTGCCTTCCCTGTCAACCGTGTCAATGGTTTGGCAATCTCCGCATATCCCCGAACAAAGCGTCGATAGAAGTTGGTGAACCCTAGGAAGGCTTGTACTTGTTTGACGCTCTTTGGTTCTGGCCATTCCATCACGCCCTTGATCTTGACTGGGTCCATCCGCATCAAATTGTGTCCAATAATCACACCCAAATATTCGATTTCCGTGCGTTCGAACTCGCACTTTTCGGGTTTCAGGTACAGCTTGTGTTTTTGGAGCAGTTCGAGTACTCGTTTTGTGATCCGCCGATGTTCGTCCAAGTTCTCTGTGAAGATCAGTATATCATCAAGATAGACTACCACGTGGCCCTCGTTGATCAGTTCTCGGAGTATGTCATTCATCATGTTTTGGAAGGTTGCCGGGGAGTTTGTGAGACCAAAGAACATGACCAAGGGCTCGTACAGTCCGCGGTTCGTGCGGAACGCAGCCTTCCACTCGTCGCCCTCTTTGATCCGTACGTTATTGTATCCCCACCGGATGTCGAGCTTGGTGAAGAACTTTGCACCGCATAGATTATGGACCAGTTCAGAGATCAGCGGCAGCGGGTACCGATTTCGGATTGTCATTTCGTTCAGCTTCCGATAATCTTGGACGGGGCGTAGCGAGCCATCCTTCTTTTTGACAAAGAAGAACGCTGATGCCATGGGTGATTTGGAAGGCCTGATCCGTCCGCTGGCCAGGTTCTCTTGTAAGAACTCGTCGAGTTTGACCTGTTCGTTTCGTGATAACGGGTACACCTTGCAGTCCACTGCTTTGGAACCAGGTTTGAGCTCGATTGCATGGTCCCATGCCCGTTGGTCTGGCAGCGAGTCGAACGATTCCTTGGCGAATACTTTGACAAATTCCCGATATTGATCCGGAATCTTCCCCTCGGTCATTCTCTCCTTCTCTTTTTCCGCTTCTTCTGCGAATTTCTGCGCCGGCGTTTCCTTCAACCGTAGATCCACCTCCTTCCCAAAGTCGATCAACAGGATTGACTCTCCCTCTTCCAGATCCGGTGCACCTGCGTCCAGGTCAATCGCATCCATGTCGATCATTGCTTGATGCTCCTTGTGACCCCTCATGTGACACCGCTCTGGGCATCGACTGAACCTCATCGTCTGCTCCTGCCAATCCACCTCGGGGTTGTGTTCCATCAGCCAATCGAGACCGATGAAGATCCGAGCTTTCCCTAAACACGTGAGAAGGAACGTGCGTGTCTCCACGTGAGGACCGATTCTCATCCTTAGGTCGACGTAATGCGTGATCCGACCACTGATGTTCTCGGTGTTGTCGGCGTTACGAGCCACAATGGGTTGGGGAAGTTCTTGGATATCCAGCTTCTCTGCCCGCGCGTAGTCGGTATCAATGCAGCAGGTGCTACAGCCACTATCGAGTAGCGCCTTGACTCCGCGCGTCTTTCCTGAGTCCAGGCCCGTGATCTGTACATACACATCCATCGAATGTCTCTTCCTTTCGGCCTGGTAGTTGCGCAGTTCCTGCGCCAGTCTGCTGGGTTGCGGGCCCTTCTGTCTCTCGGCTGCCCATTTCCTTTGAACGGCATCCGGCACCCTCGTGCGTTTGGGTGCTTCTGGAATCCTGATTTCGGCAGATTCCTTGGGCGCTTCCTCCTTTTTCAAGGATTGAGCCTCCGGAGCGATGCTCCCCTTTTCGGTCTTTGTTGACGTGGTTCCTTCTCCACGAGCCATAAATACGTAGGAGTCCAAAATTAATTTATCCGCAGCTTTCTGATCCTTTTTACTCTGTAAATACTCTCTATTTAAAGCTATTTTCTTTTGACGTTCCTTTTCCATATCAGCAACAAGAAAATCATGAATATTAGTACGTAGGGAGTCTGAGATCGTGTATGCATGAGGAGAATCGTTCATATCTCTAATCGAAACAAGTATAGAAAAACGTCCATAGTCCGGACGCTCCACCTCCTTGGCTAGAGGAGTGGAGCGCTTCAAAAACCCCTCTCGCGCAGCTTCTCAGCGATCTCCTTGAGGAACTCGTTGTCCTTGTCCCCGTTCTCGATCTCTTCCAGCATCGTGGCCCGATTGAAGAATGTGCGCTTCTTCCTTGGCTCCGGACAGTTCCGCGCAATGTGCCCAGGCTGCTGACAGTTGTAGCAGATGATATTGCGGCCGCGGGCGTGGGTGCGATCGATTTCCATCGGAACTGGTTCGTTGGCAGCGGGTCCGGCCGGGGCGGGTGCAGGTGTCATTGGGGCTGCCTGCGGGCGGAATTGGGGAGGCGGTCGTGGTGCGGATTGCGCATGCGATGCTTTGCGTAGCTGATCGCGTAGAGCGTTCGCCTCGATGTTGACACACCAATTCTTGAAGGCACCATATGCCTTGGGCAGGGGGACGCCAGTGTTGTAGAGGCGGCTTGCAATTTTGCTGCTGAGTCCGCGCTCCAGGAACTCGATGAGGATATTGTCCTGTTCCCCCTTCTTGTACTCGCCCTTGCTGTCGGTGGAGGTGACCACGTTGTACCCCGCGTCTGCGGCCAGCATTTCGAAGTCGGAGATGTAGTCCGCAAAGGACCGTCTGCCCTGGCGAAGGGCCATGAGTCGGGCGGCAGCGACTTGCTCTGCGTTAGAATCCCCAAAGGCCCTCTGAAGCTCCTCCAAGAAGCTTGTCGCGGTGACTCCCGCCTTTAGTCCTTGGAAGCCCTCGAAATTGTGCTGCTTCCAGTTCATCGCCCATCTTGAGGCGGCGCAGCTTGTGCCGCTCTCATTGCGGAGGTAGGACAGGACGAAGAGGATTTTCGTCTCGTCCAGCGAGAACTCTGACCGATAGGCACCGATGTAAGTGGTGCACGCATCCACAAAGCCCAGGTACTTGGACTTGTCGCCATCGAAGTAGGGGGGATTGGCGGCGAGGGTGATGCGGTGATGTCCTGACATGGTAGGAGCAGGTGCGGTAGGTGGGGGCGAGGGTGGTTGTTCGGAGGGTAACTCGTCAAGGTCGGGGAACTCGTCTTCAGGCGGCGGAAGGGCGAGGTAGGGGTTGGAGGGCCCGGGTTGGTTTTGATGCGCCAGATCGGGCGACGATGGTATGATGGGGGGAGGGGATGGACTCCCAGATGATGATGGGAATCGGTACGAAATGGTGGATTCGTGTGCTGTACAAGCACTCGAGGAAAGGTTCTTTTGCTAGCAAAAAGATCCCGGGCCTAGCTCTTCACGTGCCCGATGATCCCGAGGTGCGTTTTCCCGAAGGTCTCCGCAGCACTCCTTGTAGCTACCGTAAGGCTTGGGTCGGGCTCAACGTTACCCGTGGCCTGGTGCTGTTTGCTCGATATGAACCCTTCACTGCGATAGTGGAGGACGACTAGATGATTCGGTAAAAGGGTAAGTTGGTTGATAAGGGTTAAGAGGATATAGCGGGCGTAGCGGTGCGGGATGCAGGGTAAGAGGTATGAGGTAGGAGGGTATGAGGGGAGTCTTCGAATTATGTGACAATCAACCCAAAAATGAAGTCGAAAAGAGAAGTGAATTCGAAGACTGGAGAATACAACCAGGTAGCTACAGTATTTATACCCAAATCCAGTCTGAGTCATATCTACAACTAATGAGTCATAAGACTATGTACCGCATGGAACGCTGGTCATGGGTTGTACTAGAACCTTCCGGAGCATATGTCGCGCAGCCTCGAATCGATAGAGATAACCCCTGGAACCCCTAGCCCGGACCGTCTGATGCCGTGATCCGTGATAAGATAAGTCGTGCCAAGATAAGATAAGATCGTCGATGATAAGATGAAAAAGTGGTCGAACTATGACAACAGTCTTCAAGTATTCCTTTGCACACCTCTTTGTATCTTGCGCAGGTATCAACAAGGAGTAAGGACTTCGAGATTCTAAGTTGCTAGGCTCATAATGTACCCTCTTAAGTGTGTTGTAAATATTTTCTGGGCCCAATAAAGCACTCTGAGCGGTTAAGGAAAGCAAATTCCGCAAACAGTCAGATTTGATGAATTTGGATTCCTTTGCACAGGTATGTGACATGTGTGACTACTCATCATCATCCTCATCACCATTGCTTTCCTCATTGTTGGAGACCTTTGGCTTTGGTTTCTGAGGTCTTTTGGGCTTGCACGGTAGGTCTTTTGGCTGAACACCTTCCTTTTTGAGTTGCTTGAGCATCGCCTCCCCCTCCTGGAGCACGTTGGTACTCATCCAGGGCAGCCTGGTATGCAGAGTTGGTCTTCTGCCATGCCTGCTGTTGCTTGACGTGTTCAGAAAGTGCATTGCGGCCCATGGGGTTTGGGGATGTGGTGGTGGTTGAGCAAGAAAAGAAATTGGTGGTTGCCTGCATGCAAAGCCTGTTGTGCTGTCTTGTCTGGCATGTTCTGGTCTCCCAATACATTTGCTAGAGCTTGTTAACATACTAATGTACATTTGTGGAACTTATTGGGCCTCATTATGCACTGTATTGAGGTAGAGAGCAAGTACAAAATGTACTGATCATTCTGAATATGGACATTTTGATCTACTTTCCCCTTGCATTCCTGCTACACCTGGCTGTTCTCTGTAACTTTTGGCACAGCTCATATGTACATATATAAGATGCTTCCCTGATTTTACCATGATTTCAAGGCTGGTAAGAGCAAAGTTTGGGGCAAGTGTGCAAAGGAACACTGATGTGCAAAGGAACACTTAAAGACTGTACTTGGATTTGGCTCACAGCTTGTCAAACAATGAGGAAAGCACCAGGGTGTGACAGATCACAACCAGCAACATCTGTATCTTGTTATCAGGACATGTCCTAGTTGCTCTACAGCCTGTCACAGGTGGACCTGATCTGTGTGTCTGGGGGCAGAACCTCGAAGGTACTTAAACTTGGTGATGGGAAAGGGGCCGTTCAGCAATGCCGACAGCCGCCGAGACTGATTCGGACCGGATTCAGCTGCAAAGAGTACAGGCGCGGCAGATCAAGGACTTGCAGGGTCGAGTGTGGGGCCGCAGCATCGGGCTTGAGAAGGTCGTGAGGGGCGTTTATCGATATACAATTGTGTATTGGAGACCCCTTTCTCCCTAACCACCACCATTACATCTGCTATCACATCTGCTGGTCGCCAAGCTTCCCCAGTCTGTCTGTCTGTCTGTCTGCCTCAAATCAATTTCTCTCGATTTTCCCAGCCTGTGTCCTCGTTGCCAATCTACTTTCTACACGTTTTTAAGTGGTGCTGTCATGAGCCCCCCCCACCGACGTTCCCTCGTCTCCGGCCATGTCCGCGACTTCCTCGTTCGAAGTTCTTACCCATCGCTCCCGTTCCTCCACCACCTCTTCTTCTCACACAACCGGGATCCTACTGGAGGATTCAGACGATGAAATTATCTGGAGTATCGATTCTACTGCCTCTTCCATCGAATCCACGCTGTACGACGACGACGACTTTGTCGTTCTTAGCCGTCCGCGTTCTGCGGTGCCACCGAATGCCAATCCACCATTGCAAGCTCCGCATGAACTTCATGGAACTATAGAGGATCTAGGCTGCCTCAGCCTTGGACCAGTACAGTCTGGCAGTGGGGCTCCCGATCGGCTGCAGTGTGAGACCCGAGAACTAGGAGGTCGGAAAGCAGACAGTAAGATACACTCTGCGTCTCCTACCGCTCCTTGCACCCCTCTCCTCGCAACCGCTATCACCACCTCGAATCCAAGCAAGGCGAGACGTCGTCGTCGAAGGCGGGCAGCCAAACGTAGCGGAAGCACTAGCCCGGATTCATCCGTCCAAGGTCTGGGGTCGCGTTCCATCGTTGACGATGTATCCGTTATGTCAGAAACGGACACCGATACCGAGGGTGGGATGTACGACACAGCTGCTCGTTATATTAGCGGGTACGCGGTTCCCCATATGGCATCGTCGCTTTGATCGAACTAACCGAGTGCATACTTAGTTTCCTGGCTGGAGACCCGACTTCGCTCTGTCGACTTACGTTTCTCCAGTCTCTGATCATCGAATGTGGTCTCGCCTCATCGACACTTCCTGCATCGCTGACGTCTGCCCGTGCCTTAATCAAATCGCATCTGTTTCTGAATATTGGCGAATATCTTCACGTCCGGGAACAAGGTCCGACTGCGATTCAGAGTGTGATGCACAAGAGCAGGTCCGCCCTCGTGCGCGATTTGCGCAAGAGTCGCGATACCATGCCGCGCAAATGGGTCAAGGACTCCGGCTTACAAGTGCTCATGGTGCAGTGTTATCGCTAAGTAGTGCTTCCCCCGATCTCTCTCCATGTGTTCAATATCCACGTCATTTAACATCCAAATGCACTCTAATTCTTGTCACACAAAGTTGTCCAGCACTAAGGAGACGAGGGGCATAAAATATTACATAACGATATGCTATGCTGGGCCGTGAACAACGACACCCAAAAGACCAAGTATTGCCTGGGAGAAGGTGTAGAGATTTTCCGGATTGGACGACGTCGGCGGTACATTGGTGCCAGTAGCCGGAGCGAGGGAAGCCGATGCCGACGGGCTGGCTGAGCTCGAGACAACTGTTGACAACGCAGACGACGAAAGGGCGGACTGAGAGCTCGCTGCCAGTGTGGTTGAGATCGAGGTCGTGGATGACGATGAAGACGACGATGAGGACGACGACGACGTCGTCGTCGTCGTGCTCGTAGATGCATGCGTTGAAGTGGTGTGGTGTGTGCTGGTAGTGCTGGTTGTTGAAGTTGTTTTCTGGCTTGTGCTCGTGGTCTTCTCATGCGTTGAAGTGGTTGTGTCGCCACCACCCTTATCGCCTGTGGTGCTCCAATCTCCGTAGATGACACCTGCATCCTGGGATGCAAAATGCGAAAACAGGCCAGGAGTGAAATCGAGGTCACCGTTGGAACATCCAGGGCACTGGTTATCCCAAGTTGCCGTCAGCGCGAGAGGCAAAAGTTGATCCACGCACCGAGTCCATGATAGTCGCAATTGCGCTCTTGCCCTTATATCTGATTTCGATTTGTTGGCCGCACCATGGACTGGGGTAGGTCCATCCAAAAACCTGCGTGTAAAGTCAAGCTCGCAGACACAGAGGATCGGCGGATATTACATCTTGACTGAGCGCAACGATCTGCGTTGCGTGAGCGAGATGGACGAGGAGGTTCATTGACGCACATAATCGGAATCCGTGTTGACGTGACCACAGGCACCTCTTGGGACGTGTTAGGAATCGCTGAGACCGAAAAGGCTTGACACGAACAGGCCGGCTTCGTAGAAAGTAAATCGCACGCCGGAATAAGAAGCCCTTTTCTCCAAGGAGTTCTCGGCTCTCGACCTTTGAGCTAACTCATGGTGGCCGCGGTTGACATGAGACGACGGATGAGCCGCCAAAGCGAGAGGAACAGCCAGAGCGAGGATTGAGAGAGAAGAAGAGAGCATAGGGTCGGATTAGAATGAGCGCAAAGTTCAGAAAAGTGTGAAGGAGCGAGGCGATATATCAAGCGAATAGGAGCAGGTTGCCGCACAGGGGTTAGTGGATTGCAACTGTACACAGTACACACAACCAAACAGAATTCATTACTGAAAGAACCCAATGATTCACGCCCCAGGCTATTTACACAGAGATTTGCATTGCAAATCAATCCAGCTTCAACTTGGTCGGAGGGCTTATGAATGTCGCCTGATCACTGTGAGAAAAGAACAGCCAACAGAGAGAAGTGGCGCACAGAGATGTACTTGAGGATCTCGTCGATGAGAATGACCGGTGCACTGAAGTACAGCACAGCTTGCCACTCCGCCCAGTTGAGGGGCGTGATCGCGAATAGCGACTGGAGATTCGAAGTCAGCGTCTACCTCGACGGAAGAGAAGATTGGCTTGCCGTGAAGAACGGCACGTAGAGAATCATGAAGTGCAGCCCCATGCTGAGGGCAACAGCAGCAACCAAGAACGGATTCTTCCACACGGGGAGTGCAAGCAGACTTTCGTTTTCTGACAACGAGTTGATAGCATTGAACATTTCGACTGTGACGAGGATCGACAGGCTGATGGTCGTTGCACGACGGGCCATGATGTCGGTAAACATTTGGCAGCCGATCTCAGGGAACAAGGCCGAACATTGGTGGAAGTGCGTCTGCTCAGATTGAGCTGGGAGCGATCAGGAAGATTGGAGATGTCACTCACCAATTGATAGAAGGAGATCTGGGGCCCTTGCGAGTAGAACATGAACCACCACGCATATCCGGCGACCGTGGCACAGCCAACATACGTCCCAACAACCATGTATCGGAAGAATAGCCATTTTCCGACCAAGGGCTCACGACTGTCCCGCGGCGGGACACGCATGATCGAATGATCTGGAGGATTGAAGCCCAAAGCGGTCGCTGGCAGACTGTCGGTCACCAGGTTGACCCACAACAGTTGTACCGGAATTAGAGCTTCTGGCATCCCCAGAAGCACGGTAAGGAATATACTGGTCAAAAATTGTCACGGAGGAGTTCCAAATGAATTTATAAGACCCACCTGACGACCTCTCCAATGTTAGAGGAAACTGCAGGCATTGTCAGTAAAGCAGTCAGAAAGATGGAGAGATGTCCGACTTACTAAGATAGCGAATGAATTGTTTTGTATTGTTATAGATAAGTCTACCCTCTTCCACGGCCTTCTCTATTGTTGCAAAGTTGGAGTCTGCAAGAACCATGTCGGCCGCGAGTTTTGCCACATCGGTACCACTGCCCATGGCAACACCAATGTTGGCTTTCTTGAGCGCAGGAGCATCGTTTACTCCGTCCCCAGTCTGAGCAAGGTCAACGAAGATTCCAACACCGTTGCAGAAAACGCACCATTGCCACCACCAAACCTAGCCCTTGCAATAGATCTACCAATTGGCTCTTGTGGGATGGTTCAGTCCGCGAAAAGAGGCTGGCCCGTTGCACAGCTTCGATCTTTTCTGCCTCGGACAGGTCGTCCAACTCACGGCCTGTGTAACTCTTTCCGCTGAGATCTTCATTTTCTCCAAAGATGCCAATCTGGCGACAGATGGTCTCTGCCGTTCCCTTGTTGTCCCCGGTGATGCAGATGACACGGATTCCTGCGGCTTTGCAGTTCGCCACAGCTTCACGAACTTCGGGGCGGGGAGGATCTAACATGCCGACAAGCGATACGAAGGTGAGATTCTGTTCGAAGCGTGCGTAATCACTGGAGTTTTCCGCCTTGTAGTGGGAGACATCGAGGTCCTGGATGTTAGCGTACGCCAGCGCCAGTGTGCGAAGACCATTCGCTCCGTAGACAACAGTTTTTGCCAGAATTGCCGCTCGAAGTTGAGGAGTCAGAGGAACGACGCTGCCATTCACCTGAGCCGAGGTGCAGCGCTCCAGAACTGATTCAGGAGCTCCCTTGGCAAAAAGTGCGCCGGACCCGTGCGCCTTGACAAGCACAGACATCATTTTACGGTCCCGAGAGAACTCGAAAGTGAGCAAGCGCGCGATGGTGCTCTCGAAGAACTGGTTGACAGCGCCGACACGGGTTTCGGGAGCCAGAGTGGCGAGAGATTTGCTCAGTTCCGCATCGGTACAGCCCAGCTTTTCAACAAGAACCTTCAAGGCTGCTTCTGTCGGCTCTCCAACATTGCTGTATGCCGCCTTATCCTGCGTATTGATCAGTTGACTACACAGATGATATGCATCCAACGCGACGAACAGCATTGTAGATGATTTTAGAGTCATTGCAGACAGCACTGATCTCCGCAAGCCGCTGGATGGCGTCTGACTTGAGTTCAGCAGAGGCGTCGTTGCCCTCAGCGGATTTCACAGACCCATACGGCGAGAACGTGGTGCCCTCGACCGTGAACTCCCGTGGGCTCATTGTTTTGCCGTCTATGACCAAGAACTGAGGGCTATTCAGAATCTCCGTGATGAGCGAGACATGAAAGCTCACCCGGGACACGCTCATCTGGTTGGTCGTCAAGGTTCCTGTCTTGTCGGAGCAGATGACGTTTGTGCATCCCAAAGTCTCAACACTGGGGAGATTGCGCACAATAGCGTTCTTCTGGGCCATTTTCTTGGTGCCAAGCGCAAGACAAGCCGTGATGACCGCAGCAAGACCCTCCGGAATGGCAGCTACTGCTAGTGCAACTGCGATCTTGAAGTAGTAGATGGCACCCTTCAGGGCGCCATGGTGTGAAGGGTCCCAGAAGTGCCGAATGTTGACAAGCCAGACAAGAATGCAGATGACAGAAATAACTTTAGCGAGCATGTCACCGAAGTCGTCCAGTTTGCGTTTGAGGGGCGTCTTCTCTGAAATCTGGGAACTGATGGACTTGTGAATATCTCCGATAGCAGTCTTCGCGCCGGTGAGAACGACGACTGCTTTGCCTGTGCCATTCACGACGGTGGTGCCCTAGAAGCCCTTCAGAATTCTCCTCACAAGAAAAAAAATCAAGATAGACTGACAGAAAAGAGCAAATTCGTCTGATCTTGTTTAACAGCCTTGAGGTCCGTGACTGCATCGACGTATTTGTTGACGCTGACGCTCTCTCCAGTAAGAATGGCTTGGTCGACACGGAAGCTGCTCGATGACACTGAGAGCAGTCTACAATCCGCAGGAATCTTGTCTCCAACAGCCACCGACACAATATCTCCCGGCACGAGTTCAGAGGCATGGATGCGAGCCACTTGACTTGACCGAACAACCTTGGCTTCATCTGGGGAGTATTCTTTGAGAGCCTGGAAAAACGGTTTGGCGCTGGACAAATGCAGAAAGTAAGCGACGCACGTCGATGGCCTTCTCAGCGTTACTCTCTTGTATCACTCCGACGGCAGCATTGGCGATAAGAATTAACAAGATCACAAGCGGTTCGACGAAAGCTGTGGCAAACGAGGACTCCTCCGTGTTCTCGACTAAGGCGAGAACGAAGGAGATGACCGCGGAAGCCAGCAATATAAGGACCAACTGGTCTTGAAATTGCTCGAGAATCAATTCCCAGAGAGGAGTGGATGGTTCCTCAGGGAGTTCTAGAGATAATTATGAAGATAGATAATGAACAGGACCATGCCGAAGGACGCACCATTCTTCCCATAGATTTGCGCATGCTTCGCAGCTTGGTCCGAGGTGAGACCGCGTTCGATATCGACACCAAAATGGTCCAAAACTTCCTGAGAAGTCAAAGCCCAGGGAGCCTCCATGTCTGGTTCAAGGGCAGTGTAAGGGTAAGGAACGAAAGCTGTGGAATTTTATACGAGCACGTGGGTGCTAGAGATTCAGACACGTCAGCCCGGCGACTGAAGGATGAAAGTGCCGAATATCCAATCTAAGGGCGCAAATGACTAGATAGACAGGCCGCCGTACACAGGGCAATCGTCGCGTCGCTGTTTGCGTTGCAGCCGTAGTGGCGAAATGCGGCAACTTGCGAGGAGAGGACCAGGGAAAGACCCAAGTACAAACAGTGCCAAGCTACACGGGCTGTCTTGCGCCAACATCTGCGGGGAGTTGAGCAGCAGGCACACACCGTCAATTCTCAGCATTCGCGAACTGAATTTGAAACACGAGGTCGATGGGTAACAACTCCTCTTCCGGACGACCCCAGGACGACTCGGTCGACTACGGCCAACTTGTTCCTCAAGGTGTCTACACAGGACCTCGAGATTGGAATCAGTCTATCACCGCCCAGTTCATCATCGCCAGGCGGCTAGCGCCATTCTACAGACCCCTTGAAGACTTTGACGAGTCCTGGGATGATGACCAGATTCTCGCTGCACGGAAGCAGCTACCCGACAGTGATGGGGAACAACAGCCCTCGCAGCCCCCGTCAGTCCCCAAATCGTCCAAACGACCTGGCTCTCTCAAGGAACCCAGCAAGGCTGAAGCTGCGTTATATCGAGGTGCTGTCGAATGCCCTATCTGCTTTCTGGTCAGCAGATTCGACGGCCAATGTCGTGTGCCATGCTCATGTCTATGCACAGTACTATCCGCCAAACATAAATCACTCTCGGTGTTGCGACCAAGCCATCTGCACCGAGTGTTTTGTTCAAATCAAACGCAACGAGCCGACAACTACACATCTCGTCTCGGAACCGGCCGCTTGTCCCTACTGTGTGCAAGACAATTTCGGTATTGTATACACCCCACCTCCCTGGAGAGCAGGTATCACGCCGGAGGGATCGGTGAGTTCGTCTGGAATGTATCCCTCCGCCCCCTCACCCAAGATTCTAGCATTCCAATTGGTCTGAATCGTCGAAGAGCTCTTCACCATCCATCGAGACTGCAGCTCCATACCCTACTCATAAACGACGTCAGAAGAGTTTCAGTGCTGATAGCGCGGAAGTTGTTCTTACTGGTGCGTATACTAGCTGTGGTCTCCAGTCATCGACGAGCCCACATCTCAGATCACATCCGTCCTGACTGGGAGGCCAAGCTCGCCGCTGTCCGAGCCGCTGTTGCTCGTCGGGCAAACAGGAGGATCATCATGCGGCAGGTGGGAGATCGGCTCATTCCTGTGGGAGTGACTAGCGGACGCGTCCATGCGCTCAGCCCCGAAGAAGCTGCTGCCCAGGCAGAGAACCCTGGCACAGAGGTCAGCCGACGATCTCGTCGAAGACAGCCGGGTGCTGGCAATGGTGGTATGGAGCAATTTATGGGGATGGGTGGGCAGGAACTGGAAGAGGTTTGCTTTGCTTCTTTTCTACGATTGGCCGTTGTCTCACATTCCTAGCTCATGATGATGGAAGCAATGCGACTCTCGTTGATTGAGCACGAGAATCAGCAACGGAAAGAAGCGGAGGAGAAGAAGAAGAAAGAGAAAACGGAAAGTGGAAGCACAGAACAGCAGCCTACAGCACCATCGACATCGATCTCCGCACCCGCATTAGCAGGGCCGGGACCGTCTACCATCGAAGCTCGCTCGACAAGCAGCATTAATCTCCTACCCTCTGCCTCCCAGGCGGCTAACACACTCGATGTGAACAAGAATCCGTCCCGTAGCAGATCGCCGTCTCCCAGCCCTCTCCAAGCTCTCAGGGATACGGCAAACGGCTGGCGACGACGCACTTCCAGTCCTCCGCCGTTTTCGACACTTACTGCAGCACTAAGTGCCGTCTCAACGGCGTCTGCGGTCGTGACTGCCGCTGGGAACGAGCAAATCACCTCTATGAGCGACAGTTCTGAGGTGGAAGCCCCGCCGACGCTGGTGGTCTCTGCAGAACCTCCCACGACCTCCGTAGAGCCTCATGTTCTCCGTGAGGAGTCTGTTGGACCCGAGGTCGCATTCGAGTCCGAGACAACAGCTTCGAGCGAAGCAGTCGCTGAACAACCCAACCTGACTACTGTTATCCGGCCAGCTCCTCCCATTCATCAGGACTCTATGGCCTCTGTTCTTTCCACGACATCGTCAGTCATGGGTGGAGCTACCTACGACAATCTGCCCTCTTCGCCGGATTCGGATGGAGACTCGTTTGTAGCCCACGCGCCCCTCCTGGGAGACAGCCCGAACGAAACCACGCCTACGAAAGTACCCCAGGAAGATGCTCCCGGCTATTTCGGGTGTGTAATCTCGCGTTCTGTCAGACTAGTTGCTGACCTATTCAGTGGTGCGTCTCATGGCGGAACGCAATGAATGCGATTCGGTGAACTGTCTTATTCCCAGTTGTACACGAGGGACATTTACCCACTTCGTTAATATCGTAATCATCGGTGTATTGTAGCGCATATAGAGCCGGTCCGGAATGAATATCACATACATATATCTCCCCTTCCATGCATGGGTCTACTTTTTGGAGACGTCGACCCAAGTTGGCCGGAATGAGTCCGAGTCAAGTGGCTCCTGAGAATCAGGGAAAAGATGTGAGTGAGTGACAATCTCCACTACTGCAACGTTCCCCACATGCCTTCGCGAATACCTTCCTGCGGATCTCTGCTTCCTGCGCGGCACGACGAGCTCGGGCCTCATCGACGCGCTGTCTCTCTCCAGGCGACAGTCGCTAGGCGGCCAACACGGTCAGGGTTTAGATGTGTGGCGGATGTCGTGAATGCGGACCTTGTAAGCTTCTTCTTCGCTCGGAACAGTAGCTGAAGCGAATAAAGAGACGAAATGGGTTCCGGTGCATGCACTTACTATTGAGCAGTAATAGTCCGGCGCCGACCACTGCATTCAGTTTATGCGTTCAACGTCTGGGTATCGAAAGGGAGCTGGACAAACATGTGGCCGTTAGCGCGGTGAATCTTCCGATAGGGAATGCTGGAGGCATCGGGCCGATTTTGATTGCTAGTAGTGGAGGAGGACAAGCTTGAGGTATGTGCTGTGCCAGTAACGGCTCGTGACTGAGACTAAGTAATATACAATACGAATGATAAGTGAAGTACAATACACACACGAGAAGTCAAATTACTGCAGGCCGCATACTCCCTCTCTTGCTCGAAAACCCCACTAAGTCGCTGGAACGCCGACTTCTCATCTCGATCCGGGCCAGCTCTTGTTCCCATTCTGCCACCTTCACATCGTCCAACGGGTTGTTGTAGCTACTAGAGGTGCTTATACTAGTGCTGCTAGCGCTGCTGCCACTATCGGCAGCGGCCCCAAGCTCACCACCGCTGGAAGGCACAGCTGCGAGCTTTTCGGGGCTTTGGAAGAGATCAAGAGCCGCGGGTTCATGAGGGAATGAGCGTGCTCGCGATTGGTCGCTTGGGCCAGCACTGGTGTGCGGCCTGCGTGACGGTCGGGAGGCACAGACCAGCCCATGAGGCGAGGAAGATGTGAGACGATGGGAGCTTTCCGTATGTGCTGTGGCTGGTATCGGGGGAACGTCGTTGTCGATTCGGTGCGACCGCCGAGGGGACTTGGATTTTGATCTTGTGCCCTGATGGCCTTCTTGAGTCTGAGAAAGGGCAAGTTGACGTTCGGCTTCATTCGTTGCAATGATCACCAGCTCTTTCTCAGGGAGTTCTAAAGACTCAGTTCCAGAAGACGATGAAACAACCGCCTAGAAACAAATTATGTATCCCAACAACTCTGACGGCAAGAGACCTTCATACCTTGACTCGCAGGACGAATTTGATCGACACCAGCTCGGATTCTATAGACTCCCCAATGGACCATCGACTGTTAGATTTCGCCGCTGGCCATTGTAATGTGAGCGTTTTGCTCCAGACACCGGACTCTGATCGGTGGAAGGAACCGGACGATTCAGTCCCTGCGATAGAGTGTACCGTAATGGAGCTCGACGAGCGATTGTCAGAGGCATTCAAAGTGGATACGGTCGATTCAGGGTATGACGACGGGGAATATGAGAGCGACGAGGATGAGGCTTTGCGCTGCGGTATAGGGAGAGGTGAGGTTGCCTGGGAACTCCCGAGCGATTGTAGGGTCGAAGAATTAGTTGCCGAAGGAATTGAAGGTGAAGGAGCCAGCTCCAGAAAACGCATGCGACGTTCGACGATGGCACTCGCACTACGGACAGCAACGCTGGGATCTGAGGACGTCAGATGGATGGGGATGGAGACAAGATCAAGAGGTCCAATGGGTGTTGTGGGTGCGTGGAGAGAGAAACGGATGGGTGGTAAATGAGGGTGTTGAACCTCATCGTTCAACACGGCCTTTGAAATGGGTGTCGAAGACCTTGGGAGGCCGAACCGTCGTAAAGGCAACTCGGAGTACCGCATGGTTCGCGATCCAACGCCTGTAATCGGAGCATGGTTGACGACTGTAAACTCTTCTGCTCATGAAACTCGGGGTTCGGGAAAGGAGCACGCACTGGCTTCGACGCGCCATGTGCATCGGTACAACGAGGCATAAAGTGCGGAACTGAATCCCGCAACCTTCGCTGGCAACGAGATTCGGAAGGGGAATTCAAGATCGCCGATCTCTCTGTACTCTTCATGTGCATCGGGGTTGGACCATAGCACTTGCGTATAGTCCACTAGCACGTTCGATTGCACGACCCCGAGAAGGCCTAGCTTCGCCTCATAGCATCGAACGGATATGGTGATTGATTTCGCGGGAAGCGGCTTGAGATCAGCGTCGAGCCTCGTTCGTACGACTAAAGCAGACAATGAGCAACGAGCAGAGCGAGAAATGGATATCCACCTGACCTCCTTCGACTTTAACAGGCGTAAGACCCAAATGGCCACAGTACCTGGGCAGAGAATGAGATTATGGCAACCACCAAGGGAATAAACCAGGCCTACGGGAAGTAGCGGATGTTATTGCCTAGTGAAGGAATGAGATAGAGGAAGCCTCTGAAGGAATGGGACTCACCCTTGCTAGTACTGAGCGTGAGGTGTACCATAGGATGTAGACAACAGTAAGCCGTTGGAGAGGACGACCATACTCCGCTTCTTCGCTGTTAAGTAATTGAGCTGGCTTCTCGAGATCTCACAGGTCACACCTATCACACATTTGTCACGCTCTTCAACTTAGCTTGCCTTCGGTCCTCTTTTGGCCCGCTGATTAGCGCCTAGGTCTTGACCACGCAAGTGCTGCAACGCGTCTTCTTGGAACTTCCCACCACCACGCAATTCTACTCATGCCGACGTCTCTATTCATTCCAATTCTCCTTGCGGGGATGATACTCACAGGTATGGAATGTCTTGTGTCGTTGCAATGGGCCTGGTTCGAACGTGCTACAGGGTCGAGCAACTCTCTATGGTCTAAATGGCAGGTGAGCCACACGCATCTCCGTTGGCCGTTCTTAAGCTAAGCTCCTTCAAAGGATATGCAATGTGTTGAGGATTGCGACACGAATCACCCGGTTCTCTACGAGCAACCGGTTTGGCAGACTCTGCAGATGTTCCGTGCGTTCTTGGCATCTTCAGCCACCATCTGAAACAAACTCCAAATCCGCACTAGTCGGAGAGATGCTGTGCTTTCTGCCCGTTATTTACACGTGGATTCAATCTAGACGTCAACCGGCCATCCATCTGTCTGAAGAAGATGCATCGCTCGCTCCCAACAACAAAGTCAATGGGGAACCCGAACCGGAACAACTCAAGGGATGGCGCATTTTACTACTCTGGATCCCAGCTGCATGTGACTTGACCGGCACGACCTTGATGAACATCGGTCTACTTTACACCCCCGTCTCCATCTATCAAATGTCCCGTGGCTCGCTAGTTCTATTTGTGGGAGTGTTGTCTGTGATCTTCTTGCATCGACGTCTGTGGGCGTACCAATGGGTCAGCTTGTTCGTCGTCATCACCGGGGTCTGTGCCGTGGGGTACTCGGGATCTCTCATCAAGGACGCCGTCAAGGAAAGCCTTGCGCTCGTCCGCACGTTTGTTACTTCCGGAGACTTGCCGGAGTTGCCGCCTCCAGAGGGAACGGACCCAGCGCCCGAGGCCGCTCAAGTTGTCCTAGGTTCGCAAACCTTCCATTCTGATCGCCACATGCTAAGTGCGGGGGTCTGTAGGTGTCTTCTTCATCTTGGTTGCACAGATCTTGTAAGTCGCTTGTCATTTTGGTCCGAGACATTCTCACCTTTGGTTAGCACGGCAACTCAATTTGTTGTCGAGGAGAAGATCATGGGTCAGGATCCGCCTTTCTTCCGTAGAATCATCCATTCACTCGGTCTCGAACAGGCAAATATGCTGTCGGGCCTCTGGTTGCTGTTGGTTTCGAAGGTCTCTTCGGTGCTCTCACTATCCTGCTCTTTTTCCCTATCCTCTCCATTCCCGCTGTTGCGTCACAGTCACCCTTCTTTGATCTGGCTCGGGGATGGCGTCAGATGATCAACACTCCCACGGTCCTCTACTCTGGGATGGTCATTGCCGTCAGCATCTCACTATACAATTTCTTTGGTCTTTCGGTCACTCGTCACGTGAGGTAGAATTCTAGTCTCGCCAACTTGAGTCAATACTGAACCGTCCAGTGCAACCGCCCGGTCTTTGGCTGACACTTGCAGGACGCTGTCCATCTGGATCGTCAGTCTCATGCTTGGTTGGGAGAAACTGGTCTTTCCGGTCTCGTTGCTCCAAATTCTCGGATTTTCGCTGCTAGTGTGAGTGAAACACTAGAGGCTCTCAGATGTGTGCTTACCGGATGTTCTCTAGCTACGGAACCGTGAGTTCATGCGCTAGCCTGATCCCGATCATCCTGATACATTTCTAGTTTGTGTTCAACAACCTCATCCAACCTCCCAAGTTCTTGCGTCCCGCGATCGTGACGGTCACCGATGTGGAGGAGTCCGAAGGGCTTCTGGCCAGCGGTGTTGATGAGACTGCGATTCTGCCCGTCGATCTCGGGCAGAGTGGTTTCGATGTGTTGCCTGAGGGCCAGCACATCGCAAAGCCAAGCAGTTCATAATAGACGCATTTTGTATCTGCCCCGAATCTCGACTTGCTCCTCACTGTAACATGGGTGAAAGAACAGTAATAATGTTAGGTTCTTGATCAATTGGATGTTTTTGATGTGCCCGAAGAGCGTGAAATCCGGAATCGTTCGTACGTACGCCTTCCACGAGTGTGGTGTCAGCCGCCGTGGAACACGTCAGTGTGTTTGTGTGCTACGTGCGATCATCTGCGACTTCAGGGGTTGCATTAGCATGAGCAATCATTTTCATGTAACCAGTATAGGCTTGCTTGCTCTCTGCGCATCATGAACGTACAAGTACGCACTGACCATCATGTTTACTCTCCTTCGCATTGACGCACCGACCAGCGACTGACCGCCCTACCCTCCCTTGAGACCGTCGAGCACCTCATCAATGTGGAGAAACTGGGGAATTGCGTCCCTGTCTATGTAGAGTTGCCTGCGGACTTGCTGACACCATGCATGGCCTATCTCCGTGTGGCCAAGGATTCGAAATACAGTTTCTTGCTGGAATCCGTGGTGAATGGCGAGAACGTCGCTCGATACAGTTTCATTGGCGCAGGTGCGATGCTAGTCTATCGCTTCGTACAGTTGCTCAATCGCTGTCGGACAGACCCCTTCAAAGTGATCAAGACTGGTCCCGGCGAAGAGCACACGGGCGATCCGATGCATATTCTGCAAAAGGAACTCGCCCTGCACAAATATATCAAGATCCCCGAAGTGCCAACCTTCACGGGTGGGGCGATCGGTTATGTGTCCTACGATTGCATCCAGCACTTCGAACCCAAAACTGCCTGCCAGCTTGATGACTCATTGAACATCCCCGAATCCGTCTTCATGCTCGTCGACACACTTGTCATCTACGACCATTTGTTTCAAAAGATAAAAGTGGTGTCTCACGTCTTCTGCCCCAAGAACGCTGGCACCGTCAACCTAGCGTTCGTGTACCAGACCGCTGTCTCCAAGGCGCGAAGACTTGCAAAAAGTCTCTTCGTGAACTCTACTCCTGAGCCGCTGCAACCGCCCATCACGCTTGGCCACGAGGCCGTGTCTAATGTCGGAAAGGAGGGTTACGAAGGCTTTGTCACAGCATTGAAGAAACACATCATTGCAGGGGATATCATCCAGGCCGTCCCCTCACAGCGATTAGCACGGCAGACCTCGTTGCATCCTTTCAATGCGTATAGACATCTGCGACAGATCAACCCCAGTCCTTACATGTTCTATCTGGATTGCGGCGGGACACAGATCGTGGGCGCCAGTCCGGAAACATTGTGCAAGGTGGCAAACAATGTTGTTTTCAACCACGCGATCGCTGGGACAACGAGGAGAGGCAAAACCGCTGAGGGTACTTTCTTTTCGCTCGCCGCTTCGCTATCGCAGCTGACACATCTTTCTCTGTAGAAGATGAAAGACTTAGTGCTGAACTAGCCAACTCGGAAAAGGACCGAGCAGAGCATATCATGCTCGTGGATCTCGCTCGCAACGACGTGAACCGAGTCTGCCAGCCGAAGACAGTCAAGGTCGACCATCTTATGCGAGTAGAAAAATTCAGTCACGTAATACACTTGACGTCGCAAGTTTCTGGGGTTCTTCGCCCAGACCAGACCAGGTGCGTCTCCTAGCAAGAACGGGCGGCAGTATCGCTGAGTCTGAGTGCCAGATTTGACGCTTTCCGATCAATCTTCCCTGCTGGGACCGTATCAGGAGCCCCCAAGATCAAGGCGATTGAAATTGTTTCGTCCCTGGAAAAGCAACGGAGAGGTGTCTATGCCGGAGCAGTCGGACGGTTCGACTTTGCCGAGGATGAAATGGACACGTGCATCGCCATTCGCACCATGACCTTCAAAGACGGAGTTGCGTATCTCCAGGCTGGGGGCGGCATCGTCTTTGACAGCGTCGAGGAGGACGAGTACACCGAAACCATCAACAAATTGCAAGGGAACGTACGCGCTCTGGAGGCGGCTGAACGTAGGTGATCTCCGTTGCTCTTGTTTCTGGCTAACAGGAATGCAGGCTACTGGTCCGACGTACAGACGGCGCCCACTCGAACTCGATAATTAGGAAAACGTATCATGCACTTTTGTTTTCAGTATTATAACCAAACTGCTCCCCCATTGCTTCACCCGTCACGTCGAATCCCTCTCCATCGGCGAGCCGCTGTGCGGCGTCCCTCTCCTTCTGAGCCTCTTCTTCCACCCCATCCAACAATTTTTCGCTGTCTCTGAGCTCGTCCTCGAGTCTCAGTGCCAAGCCCTCACGACCTGCAATGCTCAGGATGCCCGCTATGATCTCTGCAGCTTGAGGACTCTCGTCATTCGCAGGGATTGGATATGTCACGATGCGCGGATCGGCATTCGAGTCGATGATGGCAATGGTCGGGATGTTGACAAGCGTGCACTCGCGAATGCACGTCATGTTGGAGAGAGGGTTCAGGAGAATTACCAGATCCGGTCTTCCTTTGATAGCTTGAACAACCTCTGGACCGTACAGTTCGGCCGTGTTGGTCAAGGTCCCCGGTATCCAGCGCCCGCTGATGTAATAGCCCTGTGCACCGACACGCGCTGCGGCGGATTTCACGATTGGTCGCAGGTCCGGTCGCGTGCCGATGAAAAGAATTTGTCCCCCGGCGAATGTCACAGCGCGGACCAGGTTTGCAGCTCGACGAAGAAGAGGAACTGTGTGGTCCAGGTCAATTATAGTCGACTTCGCCCTCTCTCCGTACGCGTAAGGCATAAAATTGGGGTTCATGCGGGATGTTGCATGTCCGAAGTGGGCGCCGGCTGCGAGCAAAGATGAAACGGTCGCGTTTGGCACTGGACGTCGTGTGTAGTCCCGGAGTTTGAAAGCGTTTTCTTGCCTTCGGTTCGAGCCATAGTCAGAGAAAATGTCGACTGGAACAGTGCATTAGACCAAGCAGACATGAACAGTGCGATGGATTCACTCAGAGTTCCGACCGCGGCACGTTTGATTTGTAGTTCGCTCCAGTCTTCGAATGAGCGGAGAGGTCGGTCTCCAAGTTCGGGCTTGTCGCTATAAGACCGTACTCGCTTGGGAGCAGGCAATGGCCTTCTCAGAACGTTGCTTGCGCTTGCTAGCGGTTTGCGACATAAAGACATGAGTTTACTTCGAATCCGAAAACGTTGACAAACAGGACACCGCCACCTATCACCCAACTTTTTTTTCCATCCACCACTTTCCTCTCCCCCCTCCTCCCAAAAGCCATGGACGACGTCTTCGAAGGTGCTGTCGGTATCGATCTCGGAACCACATACTCGTCAGTCTCTGCTTGCTCGATGTCTGCGCCTTTCTAATCACCGTGCTCTAGATGTGTCGGTGTCTGGCAAAACGACCGTGTCGAGATCATCGCCAACGACCGTATGCCTATGCCTCTGCTTCTACCCTCAGCCCATTGACATGCGACAGAGGGAAACCGGACCACTCCTTCCTACGTTGCCTTTTCCGCCGAGGAGCGCTTGATCGGTGATGCCGCGAAGAATCAGGCTGCGATGAACCCCCGCAACACTGTGTTCGATGCTAAGCGTCTCATCGGTCGCCGTTTCGAGTTGAGCTTATGTTCCATGCCGTTCTATACCGTTTCTCATCGCTTCTCTCTCTCTCAGCGACCCGGATGTCAAAAAGGTAAAAAAAGTTTTCATACCCGCCATATCTTCCTGATGCTAAAAATCATGATCAGGACATGGTCCACTGGCCTTTCGAAGTTGTTGAGAAGGATGGATCTCCGTTGATCAAGGTCCAATATCTTGGCGAGGACAAGACCTTCAGCCCGCAGGAAATCTCCTCCATGGTCCTTACCAAGATGAAGGAGATTTGCGAGGCAAAACTCGGCAAGACTGTTAAAAAAGCCGTTGTCACGTCCGTGATTCCATTGGGACCCAACGCCTGAACTCAATCCGTTTCAGCGTTCCCGCGTACTTCAACGACTCGCAGCGTCTGGCAACTAAGGACGCCGGCGCCATCTCTGGGCTGGATGTCCTTCGCATTATCAACGAGCCCACCGCAGCTGCCATTGCCTATGGTCTCGACCGTCAATCCAAGGCCGAGAAGAACGTCCTCATCTTCGATCTCGGAGGAGGCACGTTCGATGTGTCCTTGTTGAACATCAGCGGTGGTGTCTTCGCCGTCAAGGCCACGGCTGGTAACACCCATCTTGGCGGTGAAGACTTCGACAACGCTTTGCTCGATCACTTCAAGAACGAGTTCAAGCGCAAATCCAAGCTTGATATTTCTGATGACGCTCGTGCTCTCAGGCGTCTGAGGAGCGCCTGTGAACGTGCTAAGCGCACGCTGTCCAGTGTCGCCCAGACCACAGTGGAAGTGGACTCGTTGTATCAGGTGTGTCGATTGCGTGCGTAAACCTTGATCATCCTCTGATGTCTTCCAGGGCGAAGACTTCTCGGCCAACATCACTCGTGCCCGTTTCGAGGAGATCAACGCCGTCCTATTCAAATCCACTCTCGACCCGGTCGAGAAGGTCCTGAAGGATGCCAAGATGGCCCGGGAGAAGGTCGATGAAATCGTTTTGGTCGGGGGCTCCACACGTATCCCCAAGATCCAGGCTCTTGTGTCTGAATTCTTCGGTGGCCGCCAGCTCAACAAGTCCATCAACCCTGATGAGGCTGTCGCCTACGGTGCTGCTGTCCAGGCTGCCGTTCTTACTGGCCAGACCTCCGAGCAGACCAAGGATCTCCTCCTGCTCGATGTTGCTCCCTTGTCCCTCGGTGTCGCCATGCAGGGCGACGTGTTCGGTGTCGTCGTTCCCCGAAACACACCCATCCCCACGAACAAGTCGCGGGTCTTCACCACCGTCGAGGACAACCAGACGACCGTTACCTTCCCTGTGTATGTGACTTGCTTGTTGGCGGGTGCACTGTGATTGAACTCGCATTAGGTACGAGGGAGAACGCACGCAGTGCCGTGACAACCGTCTGCTCGGCGAGTTCGAGCTCAACGGCATTCCTCCCATGCTCCGTGGACAGGCTGAGCTTGTTACCACCTTTGAGGTTGACGCCAACGGTCTGCTGAAGGTCTCTGCCATGGACCGTGCATCGGGCCGCAAAGCCTCCATCAGTGGGTGATCTCTCACAACACTTGCTCATGTCCCTGATTGTACGTCCAGGCATCACCAACTCTGTCGGCCGTCTCTCGTCTGCCGAGATCGACCAGATGATCAAGGATGCCGAACAATTCAAGAACGCCGACAAGGAGTTCTCTGCCCGTCACGAGGCGAAGTCGGACCTCGAAGCTTACATTCACCAAGTCGAAGGCACCATCACATCACCGGAGATCGGCATGAAGCTCAAACGTGGAGCCAAGGCCCAGGTTGAAGCTGAACTTGCACGGGCAATGGAGAAGTTGGAGATCGAGGACTCAACGGCAGATGAATTGAAGAAGGCTCAGCTCGGCATCAAGCGAGCACTCCAAAAAGCCACGGCTGGAATACGGTGATCGTGCAGATGTACATAGACTTATTCTCATGTTGTACTTACTGTGCCGCACTACCATTTTTGTTTCCCTGCATCAAATAACCGCACGCTCAGTCGAACAAGCAATTCAAATCACGCAGACATCGCCTTGTCTATCTTTAATGCAACCTCCAAGATCCACAGTTCCTCGTCAGCTCCATCGCACAATGCTTTGTCGGCCTCAGCTATCGCAAGCGCACATTTTGACTTTTGTCTTGGTCTCATCGTGGGATGCGGGACAATGAGATCATGCAACTGACCAAGATTAGCATCACCCTGGTCTGACCCACCAATTCTCGCACCTGATTCAATGTCTGGGCGGCAGAGTATCCCTGCCGCATCAACTCTTTCACTTTCTTTTGTATTGCATCAAATCCTCGCTGAGATTTGGTCGCCTCATCGACTTCCATCCTGTCCTCTCCAACGTCGATCCCCAAGACAGTTGCAAATGAATTGATGACAGCATCCGGGACAACGCCTGCAATTTCCTGAATGTCGGTCGCAGTGATAGGTGTCGGTGGAACAGTCGAAGTGGCAAGTCGGGACGCCGACTGGAGATACGTTATAGCTCGTCGCAGGTCTCCCGATGATGTTGAAATCAGTGCTTCGATGACCGCTCCGTCGACCTGAACATGTTCCGTGTCGGCGATGTGAACGAGACGAGAAGAAGATGAGGAAGAGTCCAATGGTGTAAAGCGGAATTTCGAACAGCGGGAAGCGAGCGGCTCAATGATGCTAAGACCGCATGAGACAGTGAATCGATGAATGGATGGACGCACCGTGTCACGTAGTTGCACACCAAACAAAAGCGCGTTATCCTTGCATACGTCTCCATGATCCGCCGAAGTGCGCCTTGAGCATCCTGTGTCATTGAATCTGCTTCATCAAGGATGATGATTTTGTACGGAGGACAAGGGTATTCCTTGCCATCAGAGGCAACAGCTTGCGCGCGAGGGGTTTGTCGAGCAAAGTTCTTGATCTTGTCTCGAACAATTGAGATGCCACGCTCGTCCGACGCGTTGAGTTCGAGCACACGATTCTTGAAATTATCGGGCCTGTGAACATGATTGTTCGTATAATCTTGAATCAGTGCGGGGATACGCACCCAAAAAGCTGGCGCGCTAGAGCCAAGATCGTAGATGTTTTTCCCGTTCCTGGTGGTCCATAAAACAACATGTGAGGAAGCTGGGCGGGTCACGAAAGGATCTCGACGCGTTTTAAGGAACACACATTAGTAGAAGAGAGTGTCTTTCTCAAAACAGCCACTGTGTGCTCCTGGGCTGAGACGTCGTCAATTGTCTTTGGCCGACTGGACGGACATTGAGATGCAGTAAGTATGGATAATCATTGTTGGAACCCAGCGCACTATTTCTCAACCCACGGCTGCAGTGCTGGGTCGACAACATGTTTGGGGGCAGAAGAGGTTTTCGCAGCGCCAGTCTTTGTGAAGAACGCCATGAGTGCGGTTGATTGAGTGCGAGTTTTCGACGCGAAGTGTCACACATCAGTGACGGTGACAGGACGCGGCTTTGCTCTCTCCCTGACCACCACAATAGTCTTCTGTATGAAGTCGTCAGTCCCTCCAGTATCTATCTCTGCGACAAACAATAGTATGAAAACTCAATTTCGCATGCTCGTTGCTCTGATAGATGTTTACTGCTAGTATCCGATACCCAAGGCGCGACCCAGTCGACACTTATGCAAGCAGAGAACCCGACCGAGACAAACTCCATCGCCGAACTGAAGAAGGGGAAAGTCGTATTCAAACAGAAGCCGATGTCCTTGGAGAAGCACTCAGAGACTCTTCAAGGTCTGAGCTTATGTCTCCTACAATCCACAACTTTCGCGCTCAAACGCAATCTAATGCAGAGATTGTCAAATTTCGTGATATGTTGGAGTTCCGCAAATCTCAACGCTTACTTCCTTTGGACACGGTTTCCGAAGAGTATAAACCAGTGCTTGTCAAGTTGGTGTGCGAGAGGTGTGTGTGCTATGCTCTGGGCAATGGATGCGCCGGCCTAATCTGATTCCTCCTAGTGACAAAACCCTACCTGCCATATCCAAACATATCCACCAGGAGCTTCTACCAGCTGAGGAGGAAGAGGAGGGCGGTTCTGGTTCACCACCCTTGACACTAAGCGCAGTGGAGAATGGCATTCAATCCGTGGCCGTTCGCACGAACTACGGTTTGAATGGTCCCGCTGGTGCGAAAGCGCCGAATGCCGTCTGTGTTTGGAGATGGGAAATCAAGCCAGCGTATGTTGAATACCTACCAAAAAACGCGCGAGAGAAGGCAGCAGCGCGACTGGCGGAAAGAGAGCAGGTGGGTCCACTATGTGTCATCCTTGTTGATGTGTTCAATCGAGCATATCTTCTCAGGCTAAGATTCGACTGCGGGCCATCTTCGATTCGCTACCCAAAAGCGAGCAAGACGCCCTCCTTGACCCCAAAGGGACCAAGACCCAGCCAAAGGAGGCTGTCGCTTCGGGCTCAAGTGACATCGTGCACATCGAAGCTGATTTCAAGACCCCGACTCAAGCCTCAAAAAAGACAAAAGAGAACGAAGAAAACGATTCTGTGCGAATTTCTGTGCGTCCGTTGACTTGTCGCTCATAGAGATTAGACGACTGTGGCCTCGAAGGTTGGCAAGCCGAAGAAGATTGCTGACCCCGAGAAGTTGGCCAAGGTAAAACACATGCCTCCCTCCCCTGATATACCCTCGCTGAACTGGGAAACTCGTAGGAAAGGGCGAAGCAGGAGAAGAAAGCCGCGAAAGTGGAACGAGAACAGAAGGAAAAGGACGCGCAAACTAAATCGCGTTCTTTGATGCAAAACTTCTTCAAGACATCTGCTCGTCCCCAGCCTACAAAAGACGCGGATGCTAGCGTGGCCTCGACGTCTGTTTCAGAGTTTGACCGCACGTTCAAGGCATTCGTGATTAAGAAGGAGACTGCACTCGCTCCCGTGAATCGATTCACGGAGGCGCGAAAGCGGAACACAGCGCGGCTCACTTATGATGGCGATGTGATCATTGTAGAGGACGAAGACGACACTGCTGTTCCAGAAAAGGAGCTGCAACGACTGAGTACTTCAGGTGTGTTAATACCATCTGTATCTTATACGAAATCGGCGTTGATTGCTGCCCCAGAGCGATTACGAACCTCGCTCCGGGATTTGATATCAAATCCGTGCTACCAGCCTGCCCGGAGACGGCGATCGTCCTTGAAGACTGAACACATCGTCCGTGTCAGTGACATGATGGAGCAAGTGAATGAAGCCGAAGTCTCTGGGGAAGTGAACCTGGTCAGATCTTTGTTGTCGACTTTATCGGACCGGGCCGTGGTCCCAGCCAAGGTTTTAGTGTTTGCAGATGATGCCCGACCTGGGTACTTTGGGACATGGACACGAAACTCTCGGCTCATTGGGCCTCGAACGCCCCTGGCTCAAGATGTCGCGGTTTTCGACTACGGATATGACAGCGGAGAGGAGTGGGAAGAAGAACCTGTTGGTGATGCAGACGATGTGGTCGAGGACGGGGACGATGAGGATCTCGATGCTGAGGATGCAGACTCAGATCTCGACAGCTGGTTGGCTGATGACGACGAAGACCAGGTAATTGAAGAGCGAGGAACGTCGCCTGTGTCCCATAGCCAGAAACCGGCTAAACGCAGGGCCGATGACACTGGAGAGAAGACTGCGAAGAAAAGGAAACTCGTTGCAGCCTTGAAAGCGTTCGCCAAAGGCCCGCTATGGGAGCAAGAGCTTGGCCAGTGCGCCAGTGAAATCTTCAATCCTTATCGAATCCAGTTACTGAATGGTACGTCTCTTCTTTCAACAATAAGGGGATGCTTGAAGTATTCCTCAGATGCTCCGGAGTTCCCTATTGATCCTTTCAGCCTCATTTCTCCATCCGCCGCTGATGCTACGGACGACGGCTTCGCGGTTCCTTTATTACCAGATCGTCTGAAGGATTTGCAAATAGGCACATCTGCGAAGCGCTCAATGCCTACGCCCAAGACATCATTTCCTGAAGCGCATTTGGCATTCCTTCTGGAAAGGATATCCAGGATCAGACTGGCAGCTTCCCCATCCTCATCGATACCATCTATCAGGATTTACGACAACATAAAGTCAAGAAAAACTCGATCGAGGCCAAGGTCCGAGAAGTCGCAGAGAAGTGCAAGGTCAACAAGATCTGGGTGCTTAAAGATGGCTTGCGAGCCAGTGCCGCTGCTGCACAATAATACATCCTCAGTCGTTATCTTACAGACACATAGCCAAGTCTTTATGAACTGGCCGCTTTCCAAAGTTGCTCCGCGTACTCAAAGTCTGTTCTCCCCTCCGAGAAATCTACTATATGAATGTCGCCTTCCGAAGAGCCTGCAAATCGTTCGACCAATACACAGTATGTGGAGAGACGCAAATGACTCACGAACGAGCATCTTTTTGAGTCCGCCACTCTTGTCGGTGACAGGCTGAAACCCCAGTCTCTTGTAGATCTGCAGTCGGAGTCTGCCCAGAACATGTTCAGAGAGTCTACAAACAGTTGAGGGATGCTCACGCAGCACCATCCAGCTCTTTCTCGTGTTCTGCGGCTGGATCGTAGTACTCTAATCGCCGGGCTTTGTCTTTGAGCGAAGCAAGCTCTCCCTCCTTGCTGGCAACCAAACCCTCTGCTTCCTGAATAGATTTCGCCAAGGAAAGGCTGGATTCGTCGAGTTCATTCAATGTGGCGGCGTGCATCTCTGCGGTGGGAACTGTGGATGGTCGAGTCGCCGAGACACGAGCGGCCTCGACGATCTTGGAGAGTGCTTGTTGATCATGAGCGAAAGAGTCCAAGCGTGCAAATGAGCATAGCGACACCTTTCAAATTCGAATGCAACTCCTCTAGCTCCTTTCGCCTATTAGATTCGGTAAGCGCGATAGTTTCTTCGGTTGAAACTAGGCCAAGGTAGTCCTCGTCTGGCACCACGAGAGCCCTGACTTCCCGCAGTTGATGTCTTCGAGGGGATGAGTATTGTTCCACAGTGCATGGATAGAGGAGCTGACATAGCTTCTTCCACTGAGATCGACATCGAGGCGCGTCGTAGTGGGAGTTGCGCGTAAGTTGGTGGCTGGCACGTGCCATCGTGACTGATCGTGGGTTTGTGACTGACTTACTTCGGACAGACTTTGACCTTGCCGTTGCGGTTAATGGAGGTGCGTCTCATCGACGCGGTTCTTCCAAATCTCACATCAATTGACGATCCAGGCTCTCCTCGATTTCTCCAAAGACTTCGATGTCTCCCTCATGGACAGGGTCACCATGTCTTTTTATAAGAGTACCGGACAAGAGGTCTATCTGTGCTCGCTTCCTCTTCTTTCTGCCGGTGTTGATAATGATGTAGCAACAACTAGCTCAACAAGTCCTCACTCAATTCCAAGACAGCCCAGATGCTTGGACTAGGGTGCCAGATATATTAGAGCGCTCCACATTTCCTCAAGCCAAGGTAGCTTTGCATGATGATCTGGGCGGCCTGTCACTGATATCGCTCGTCCCAGTACATCGGTCTCCAGATCCTAGAAAAGCTGATCACAACACGGTGGAAGAGTCTTCCGGAGGGTCAAAGACAAGGTTGGACATCGATGTTGCCTCTCTTACTAAGGGTGTTTGCCAACTCAGAGCTCAGGCATCCGGAACTTCATCGTCGGCGTAACGGTTAAGGTGGCCTCTGATGAAGCGACTATGCGGAAGGAAAAGACATACGTGGACAAGTTGGATCTGACGCTGGTGCAAGTGCGTAAATTAGCTTTGTCTGGCGATGCTGCTGCTGCTTATTTGAGCTCCGTTCAGATCTTGAAACAAGAATGGCCCCATAACTGGCCGAACTTCATTACCGAACTGGTCGAATCGTCCAAGACCAATCTCACGCTATGCGAAAACAACATGATTATCTTGAAGTTATTGTCCGAAGAGATATTCGACTTCTCGGCAGAACAAATGACGCAGACCAAGATCAAGAATCTGAAAAACCAAATGTGTGGAGAGTTCTCCGAGATCTTCAAACTGTGCTCGGATGTGCTTGGGGAGGCCAGAAGACGTCCCTAATCAAAGCGACGTTGGAGACTTTGCTGCGATTTCTCAATTGGATCCCCTTAGGCTATATCTTTGAGACTAGCATCATCGATCTTCTCTTAAATCGAGTGCGTTACCAGTCGTTTCATTCAGTCTTATACTAAACAGCCACAGTTTCTTGAAACCTCAGACTTCCGCAACGTAACATTGAAATGTCTTGCCGAAATCGCCGCGCTCAACGTTGGGCCAGAATACGACCCGAAATTTGTCATCTTGTTCCAGATGGTCATGACGTCCGTTAATCGAATGGTACCTCCGAGCACCGACATCGCAGAAGCCTATGCAAACGCCGGTGACTCCGGCCAGGAACTCGTCCTTAACCTTTCTTTATTTCTGTCCAACTTTCTGTGTACGCATTTGCGTGCAGTGGAATCGGACGCGACGCGAGACGTGCTGCTCAACGCTCATCTGTATATGGTCAAAGTGTCGCAGGTTGAAGAACGCGAAGTCTTCAAAATCTGTGTCGAGTACTGGGTCAAGCTTGTTTCCGAGCTCTATGAAGAAATCCAGAGCATGCCGATGGGAGAGTCGGGCCTGCTGATGGGGTTGAGTTTGGGCGGAGCGGGTGGACCTCCTGTTCTCGGGGGCATGTCCTTGCGCAAAAATATCTACAGCGAGGTTCTCTCCAACCTCCGCCTAGTTGTGATAGAGCGTATGGTCAAGCCAGAAGAGGTCAGTCAAGATGCCCACTTCCCTTTTCGCGACTGACCCGACTGCCGGCTAGGTGTTGATTGTTGAGAACGACGAAGGCGAGATCGTGCGTGAATTCATGAAAGAGAGCGACACGATCGTACTCTACAAGTCCATGCGCGAGCTGCTTGTCTACCTGACTCATCTCGATGTCAATGACACCGAGAGCATCCTGACGGAGAAGCTCGCGAAGCAGGTCGACGGGTCAGAGTGGTCGTGGAACAACCTGAACACGCTCTGTTGGGCAATTGGGTCGATCTCAGGGGCTATGAGTGCGTTGGTTCGTGTTTTCGTGCATGCTCGCAACTGATCGTTTTCGCAGACGAGGAGCAAGAGAAACGGTTCCTGGTGACTGTCATCAAGGATCTGCTTGGCCTGTGCGAAGTCAAGCGCGGCAAGGATAACAAGGCTGTGGTCGCCTCGGATATCATGTACATTGTTGGCCAATACCCTCGATTCCTCAAGGCCCATTGGAAGTTCCTCAAGACGGTGGTCAACAAGCTGTTCGAGTTATGCATGAAACACACGAGGGTGTCCAAGATATGGCTTGCGACACGTTCATCAAAATCGCACAGAGATGTCGACGACACTTTGTTATGCTCCAGTCGGGCGAAACAGAGCCTTTCGTAGATGAGATTCTACGAATGCTGCATCGGATTACTGTCGACCTCTCACCGCAACAGGTGCGTCTGGCCGGATACATTTGGGTCTACCCGCTCATTCTTGCAGGTCCATACCTTCTATGAGGCCGTCGGATGGATGATTGCCGCCCAACCGAACAAAGTGCAGCAGGAAAAGCTGATCGGGAGTCTCATGGAGCTGCCCAACAACGCCGTACGTGTTTGCTTTGGCTCGCTCGTGTCCGTCCGTGACTGACAGTGCTTTCTTTGCAGTGGGACTCGCTCATGGGCCAAGCGGCACAGAACATGGACGTCCTGGCGAACATTGATAACATCAAGATTCTGTCCAATGTTCTCAAGACTAACGTTTCAGCTTGCACGTCAATCGGGAGCTTCTATCTCCCCCAGATTGGCCGCATCTTCTTGGACATGCTAGGCCTGTACAAAGCTGTAAGTGGGATAGTCAGTGAAACCATTGCCAAAGAAGGTCAATATTCCTGCCGGATCTCCGTCCTCCGTGTTGACGATAGATCGCACAGGAGCATTGGCGACCAAGACACCAAAAATAAGACAACTCCGGACGGTCAAGAAGGAGATCTTGAAGCTTATGGAGACATACATCAAGAAAGCAGAAGATCTCGAGGCTGTGAACGCCAACTTCATTCCACCGCTGCTGGACGCCATTCTTGGCGACTACGGTCGAAATGTTCCTCAAGCCCGCGATGCGGAAGTTTTGAATGTGATGGCAACTATTACGACGCGACTGGGCTCCCTCCTCACACCTCAAGTCCCGCCTGTCATCGATGCTGTTCTGGAGCCAACGCTGGACATGATCACCAAAGACTTTACTGAGTTTCCGGAGCATCGAGGAGGGATCTACAAGCTGTTGCGATCGGTGAACGCCAACTGCTTCCCAGGTATGCCCCTGGATTTATAACAAGGCAACATCTCACGAGTGCAGCACTTCTGACCATGACCCCTGTTCGTTTCAAACTATTCATGGACAGCATCATCTGGGCCATCAAGCATACAATGCGAGACATCGCAGACCTCGGTCTGACCTGTGTGTTGATTCATTCGTTCGATTCCTGATCCCTCTCAACGCCTCCAGTGTGTCTAGAAGTGATCAACAACTTTGCCATGGCCGATCAAGCAGTGGCCAACGCGTTCTTCCATCAATATTTCCTCACTGTGGTGCAGGATATCTTCTATGTCCTCACTGACACCGATCATAAGAGCGGCTTCAAGCTCCAGAGCGTAGTTCTTGCTCGGATGTTCCAGCTTGTGGAAACAAACGCTATCCAGACTCCGTTGTTCGAACCCACCCAAGTCTCGGATCCGAACACGACAAACGCAATGTTCCTTCGCCAGTTCTGTTCCGATCTGTTACATAACGCATTCCCTCATGTCAACAAGTGTGTCCCGCATGTTGCCCGGTCGCGTCGTGGCTGACAGTACTTTCCAGGGCACAAGTGCAACGATTCGTCTCGCAACTGGGTGAATTCAATGATGATCCCAACCGATTCAAGCTGGCGCTCCGGGACTTCCTTATCCAGCTGAAGGAGTTCTCCGGCGACAACGCGGAGCTGTATCTGGATGAGCGAGAGGCAGAAACGCAGCGGAAAGTGGATCAAGAGCATCAATTAGCAATGCGGATTCCAGGAATGCTCAAGCCTTCTCAGCTAGAGGACCGGGACGAAGACATATGATCACGGACAGACCCTCGCTTGACTTTATTCGCTTTCGTTTTTTTCATGTAAACCTATGTATGTAGTACTACAGCTCAACAATTAATGCAAAATACTGTACACTAGTACCAGACTCCACACGTCACACCGGTGTGTCACATCTTCTCCTAATCTGCACCATGTTCAAAAAGTGAAAGCCCCGTCTGTTGGGCCTCACGATCCGTTCTGACCGCCGCGCGCCGTAGATTCTCGCCATCGACAGATATTGCCGGAAACACACCAGTGAAATCTTCCGTGCAAAGATCCATTCGATCTGGCGTGCTTGCGCAATGGAAATCGAGCCCGAGACGCTGGAGGCCATCTGGCCCAAGAAGGAGGGACTGGTTCACGTGAAATGGTCCACAGCCGGTGCATCCTCCCATCGCGCGACCCTGATTCTCATCGACGCGATAGCAGAGAACACATATCCATCTTCACCGTGCACAACGAGCCTCTCTTCTTCCAGCACTTCGACGGCCCGTTCTACCCGACCCTGCGACTGCTGCATAAATGTGAGAGACTCTAGCGGACCTCGCGTTGTTGGGACCACTGCTGACAGATGGCGGCACGTTGAAGATCCGTTTATCTTACCAATGGTACGAATAGACCGTGGTGCGATTCGGTTCCTATTGGCGGGGGCACACATGATGTGCCCAGGAATGACATCCGCGGGTGGCTATCTGCCACCCGATGATGAAGCGTATCCTGCTGAGAGCGCAGTTGCTATCTATGCAGAAGGGAAGGAACACGCGGTGGGTGTCGGCATCACGAAACTTGGCACCGCAGAGATGCGCAAGGTCAACAAGGGCGTGGGTGTCGAGACTGTCACGTACCTGGGAGACGATCTCTGGTCTCTACAAAGTCTTTGAGTGCTGCTGCCTTGCTGTGCAATTAGGATTACGTAACCATATATTCACTTGTACTCGCTCATGACCAGCGACGGTTTCAAGTATTCGGACTTCAAGCAGGTGTCCAAAAAGAAGCGCAAAAACAGGCCTGCGCATGACCGGCCATCTCTGCTGTCTCAGATCCAAAGCGTTATCGCGGATTGGGCCGAGAACGACTGGCTTTCCGACTGTCAAAGTCCGTTTCGCATCGCTGAGGTCGGGTGACAATAGACCGACAGTCCTCTTGCTTAGCGTTGCTCCGCGAGCATCTGGAGACGCGATCTCCGAAGAAAGTTCTCTGTCTAGGGCTCGGTAGTCTCTCTTCGCCCAACTCTCGAGCGCAGCTGGCCTTTTTGCTTGAGATCTGCAAGACCGCGGCAATTGTGCGTACAGGCTATTAATGTGCACCTGGTGGTCATCAATCCCTGCCAGGAACACGCAGACGTCTCTGTGTATGATCCCGTTTTCACGGAGGAGGACAAAGCTGTGTTTGGGGCCCTCGGGATGATCGTGGCGACGGAGAATCAGGTGCGTGTCGAGTTACGTTGAAGCTGCCTGGATCTGAGCCCTCGGAACAGGAGGGCCGATATCGACTCGCGGATCCGACCATTCTTTGGGTGAGTCTCCCCGATAAGCTCTGGAGCGTAATAACAACCCTCGCCGCGCAGATGCCGCACTGTGATCTTGACCTGTACGAAAACGTGGTTGCAACTAATTGGTCGCGCGAGCATTTATCCCGCTTGATCCTGATCGGGAACCGCCTCGGCGATTACATTGAGAGGTGAGCGATGCGGCCCGGTTACGTTCGAAATCAGGTGGAAACCAGACAGCCATCCCCAGAAGAAACTGGAAACGAGAGCGCCCCATATTTTGCGACTGGGTGCGTGCCCGGCCCGCAGTTTTGTCCAGTACTTATCTGACCTTGCCTATCAAAGATAAGCATCTTGAATGCAGACTGTTACCCGAATCTCTTGCGTGGAAAACGGCCTTCAACAACACGGCAATCCAATATCTGCCGACATCTTCCGAAATCCGGTTTTTGGAAGCAGACGGGCTGGCGGAGTGCGTCGATAGCAACAGCGGAAATAGCGCAGACAATAATATACATTGCCCATAGTGAAAATTCGGCGGCATACGGAGCTAAGTAGCAAAAAAATCTAGCACTGGGAGGAGAAGCGAGGAGAACTAGAGGGCACGGAATCAAATGGAGAGAACAGGTCAAACTCGTCGTCGTCGTCCAGCTCAGTGTATATATACGGTGTGGTCTGTCGCAAGCGACTTTCTTCGGGCAGGGGAATGGAAGCAGGATCGAGGGTCAGCGACGATAGCGACTGCCCCGGTGTCAATGGAGCATCCGACTCGTCGTCCGAGGTATCCTCAATGGCGTCTGGAACCGGCAGCTCGTCCAGTTCGTCAACGTCGTAGTAAGGTAAGGGATCAGCATAGGAGGTAGCGGGAGAAACCGGAAAAAGCAGAGGTGGGTGGAATGGGTACGGGGAAATGATGGAGGACGAGTAGGGAGGATATGGGACAAGGTACGGATAGAAGTAGTCGCTAGAGGACAGAGGAGAGACGGGCACACCGACGAGTTCGTCGTCGTCCTCAACAGGCATCACAGAAACACATGTTTCTCCGTCCATGCTGAAGTCTTCGTCTTCGTCTTCATCTAGTGCCTCCAACAACGAGTCAAACCATGCTGCCTCGGACGACGGATTTGCATCCGAACACGGTTCTTCAGCGACCGTCCCTGCATCAGGGAACATGAAGGAATCGAAATCGTCGTCCTCTTCGGCTTCAGTAGGGTGGAGACAGTATTAGACATTTTGGGAGAAGTGATGCAAGGAATAGACTGGATGACCGAGTTTTTCAGTAGCACCCAGCGGTGCAAACTGAAACTGTCCTTGTGGCCGGAAGACAGGTTCAGCTTGGAGCGCGCCAGGGCAAAGAGGTCAGACGAAGTAGACGCCATTGATAATGTGGGTGGTTGAGTGATTGAGTGGTTGGATGGAAGAACAAGTCTGGCGAGTTAAGTAGGTTGGCACGAGGCTCGGGTATCTAAAGGGCATAAGACTCGTGCATCAAGCAGGCAAATGAAGGGACGAACAGAGGGGCAGCTTTCAACGGTGTATACGTTCTACAATCTCAGGTTCAAAGAGCAAAGAGCCGTTATTGGAAGTACGGGCTAGTTTATTGACCATGCTTGTGCGAGGGTGGGCCCAGCAGTCGGTGCGACTCGGGTAGAGAGGGGGACGAGGGAGCGGACACGGACGACACAACTATGCGAACATGGTGGTCGAGGGAGGAATGGAGATCACGAGCACCACAACAGTCACGGTCGCGTTTTATATCACACGATCACTGACTCGACGGGGAACCGCTGTTGTCGGTGCCAAACATGGCAACACTATCGTGAGATATGACGACGGAAGTACGATCAATTAGCTATCCCTCGTCCATTCGATCGTCCGCACTGTCGTCCTTGACCGTATCCAGCAGTTTCTTGAGTTTCGCAACACTCTTGGGGGACATATCACGTGCTTGTGCAAGCGTTGCCGCAAACTTGACGTCATTTCCAACGAGTCGATAAGCCTTGGCGAGCTGGAAAACAACATTGGACTCTTCCGGCGCGGTATTGCGCAATCTCTCGAGGTCCTGGATGGCCTCCTGTGAAATAATGAGACACGACGGATAATACGCGAGAGAACCGCGCACCGGATATCTCTTCACTGCAATGAGGATTTTGGATCTGCGATAACGGACCAGGGCATTCTCCGGCGCCAACTTGACCGCGGCATCAAAGAGCTTCAGAGCAGCCCCACGATCGTACCGTTCCACCGCCTAGGAGCAAGATGTGAGCTTAGTACGGACACGTGATGGATCACGCACTAGCCCAACACAGCCAACTAACACCGCATTATACGGATGGATGTCCATGGCCTTGCGGTAGTGATACTCCGCCAGCCGCACCTTGGTCATCCGCAAGTAGCACGTGCCGAGGCCATACCTAAGCAGACAGATGAAGCGGGGTCCTTGCGATCGAACACACACGTACCATGCGTTGTAGTGCCGCGAATCAGCCCGTAATGCTGACTGGAAGAAGTTGATCGCCTTGTCGAGGTCTTCCTCGACAGACTCGTGTCCACTCAGAGTATATGCGTAGGCGCAGCGAGGGTCCAGCTGTGCCGCCCGCCGGAAACAAGTCAGAGCATGCGCCCGCTCTTTCTGCAGCGAGAACAGATTTCCCACGGCAATCCAGGCCTGGGGGCAGCGAGGTTCGATCGACAACAGCTCCTGCGCCAGAAATGAAAGCTCCACGTGCTTCTGGAGATACCACAGAAGTGTCGAGTACACCTCCATATCCAGTAGTCGATAAGGTTGCAGTGAGCGAAGCGCCTTGAAAGCACGTTCCGCCTGTGACCCGTGAGCAGCGGACACACCCCAGTGGATCCACAGGCGCACCTTGGCATATTCAAGCTGCTCAAAGTGGGCACGTCCTATCATAGCTAAAACCCAGGGAGTCTTCTGATGCACTGGAGGAAGTTTCTCCAGCTCTACTAGACATTTTGGCGAGTTGTACAACGCCAGAGCTCGTGCTGCTGTAGCAAATTGCCGTGTTAGGTCGTACACATAGAAATCTGCAAGTTCCCATTCGTAGGCATCCGCCAACATCGGATCATGCCTTGAAGGTGAGGTCTCAGACTGGGGCGAATTCGCTATGGCAGGCGGGGAAGGTGACTGGAACTCGTCTTCCATGTCAGATTCCATGGAACGAGAGCGCAAATGGTTTGTTGGGATCCGTCGTCGGTCCCGCGTCAATGTATGCTGGATTCATCAGTGGAGAACAGGAACCGGCAGGGATCGCAACGCCTACTTTAGATACATGAGCGGCTTTCCCCGTCCCACTGTTCAAACGTGTGCTTCTTCTTGTTCCAGGAACCGTTGTAGATGCGTGTCCACTGCTTTTACTACTGCCTGCTATCGGTCGAGAAAGTGCTGGAACCTGGTCGCGTTATTTTGAGATCGGGGCTCCCTGTACAGCAGACCCACCTTCTTCGAAAGCTCGTCCACACCGCCCTTTAAAGGCTTGATCGGCCTGTCCGTCTCACCCGGTGGCGCGGTCGACCTCAACTTCTTAGGAACAGGGCCCGCTTCATCGGCAGATGACAATGGACGTGAGACATGGGGCAGTTGGCCGTGTGGCCGAGCGGGAGGGTGTACTTGATGGAATGTCAGATCCTGAGCGTAGAAGGAGTTGTCACTGGTTCTGGACAGCGATGTCAATGGGACGCCAACCATCCCGTGTGTAAGGACTCACAAGGAGTCGCTGGGCCCCGCTGATTCCATGCGAAACGGGAGGGGTTGGGCGAGACGGAATAGGTTGCCAGAGCTGCCGGTATCGGGGGTGAAGAACCCTGCACCCGTCGCCACTGGCCCGGAAGACTTGGATGGGGGTAAATCATCGTGTGCGCCGCGTTTCACAGGTAGTTGTCTGGGTGGGAAGATGTCTTCAACCTCGGGAACAGTCCCTACGGCACACAATGAGACGCAGCGGCAATGTTCGAACCGTTCAAGGCGCACCTAGCGTACATAGACCCTCGAACGCTTCCCAGATATACGGATTCAACCCAAGAGCCTGCTTGTAGCTTGCAGTGGCCTCCTCTAGCAGATTTCCTTTCAAACTCATGTTTCCGGACCGACAGCAGATGCCAGCCTCGTCTGGGAAAACTCGCGCAGTTCGATTGGGTGCCGACGCTGAAAGACAACGTCACGACACGAACCGATCCGAGAAGCGCGACGACGCACCGTAAGAAGTGAAATTAGGGTCGCGCATGCATTCGTCTAACGCGTCCTTCGCCTGCCGATGGCGTCCGAGCAGAGTACAGCACTTTGCTCTTAGTTCCAAACACCCGGTACATGTCCGATCTCGCCCCAGCCTGACGAGTGATAGCGCGGAATGCGTTTCTCCTTGGCGGAGGAGTGCAGTAACGTAGAGATGTCTCGCTTCGTGATTGCTGCTGTCCATGGCAAAGCATCGTTCCGCGTAGAACACGGCAGTCCGCGTGAGGTCAGAGTCCAGGCATGACCAGACGAGGCTCTGCAATCGCTGGAAAATGTAGGGCTGTATGAATAGGAAGTTTTCTGCCATGCAAGTGGTGCGGAGGAATTCAGTGCATACAGTACACGCGACTGGCACGAAAGAGAGAAGGATTCGATTGCGAAACGGGTGGCACGGTCCTGTCACGTGATCGATGCTGATTGCTTTTATAAATTGGAATCTTTGTTCTGCTCTGTTCTTCTTCGAAATTACACTCGATGTGATACACTAAGTAATCCTATTCTAGTGGCCATGAGGATCAGGCTCCCCTTTTTGTTCTGAAGGACGGTAAATGAGCAAGCGATCACCTTGCGACCGTCGTGACGTACCTGGGACACACTGAATGGCATCATCAATCCGCAGGAGAGAGACAGCAGCCTCGTATGCCGACTTCAAGCTTTTCACCTTGCTCATAGTGGGCTCCAGCACACCCGCAGCCACATTGTCTCGCACATCGCCACTCATCAGATCCAAGCCGTATCGCAAGAGGACTTTCTTGGGATCGCCCGCAGGAGCATTCTGAGCCGCATTGTGGAACGACCGCAGTTTGGCAACGAGCTCGGTCGAATCCTTGGCGGCATTGACAGCAAGGGTCTTGGGAATCGTCAACAGAGCGCTTGCAAACTCTGCGATCGCCAATTGCTCTCGCGATCCCTGTGCAATAGGTCAATGAAACATTGACAGTCAGGGAAAGATCATTACTAGCGTGGTAGCAAAGTTTTCCAGATAGATGCTCAGAGCGCATTCAACGGCACCTCCGCCAGGAACGACAGAGCCGCTCTCCAGTGTGCGCTTGATCACCGACAGCGTGTCGTGAAGCGCACGGTCCATCTCGTCCAGCATGTAGTCGTTGGCACCTCGTAGGATGATCGACGCAGAGTTCACAACTTTGGTGCCCTTGACCAGTATGAGCTCGTCGTCCGAGATACGCTCTTGGATAACCTCCTCCGCCGTGCCCAGGTAACTAGCCTCGTACGTTTCCTCTCCGTCGAGGTTGGCAAGACTGGAGATGAGTGTACCACCAGTAGCCTTGGCGATCCGGCGTAGGTCCTCCTTCTTACAGCGCCGGACAGCCATGGCACCAGCTTCAACAAACTCCTTGAGGCAGAGGTCATCGATACCCTTGGTCGTGAACACAACATTGGCGCCGGCTGCTAGGATCTTCCTTATCCTCTCCAAGGTAATCTCGGCCTCCCTGGTAAAAAAAAAATGAGCAGATCCTCGTGCGAAGAATGACCCACGCACCGTTTCCTGATATCTTCTAGCTGATTGGGATCATCGACAAGGATTTGGACACCCAGCTGCATACGCTGCTTCTGCAGGTTGATGTCCAGGCATGCAATTTTCGCGTTCGTGATCCGCTTCTTCATAGCTTGACTCGCAACCGTGCAGTTGAGAGCATATCCCTGGACGAACAAAGATTCTCGAGCACTGCGTCCGTGAGCCTTCAGAACGTTGACTGCCTTGACGGGGTACTTGATGTCCCCGCGAAGGTTGATCGACTTCACAGCGAGCATAGCATCAACTGCCATGGGTGCAAAGAGATCGTCGTCACTGAGAGAACCGAAGATGAGGATAGAGGAGAGACAGACATGGGCAGCCACGCACTTTCCGATGATCTTGCTTGACATGCTCGTCTTCGCAGCATTGATCAAGGCCTCCCGTCCCAGCACGTCCACTTTCACACTCAATTGATCCTGCATGAACTTTACCGCCTCCCTGCATGCAAGACGGTAACCGGTGATGATGGTGGTGGGATGTATCTTGGCTTTTACGAGCTCGTTGGCGCGACGCAGAAGTTCGGCAGCGACAATGACGACGGAAGTCGTTCCATCTCCAACCTCCTTGTCCTGCTTTTGAGCCAAATCGACGAAAATGCGAGCAGCTGGATGCTCGACTGAAAGAAGACCAAGAATGGTTGCGCCGTCGTTCGATATAGTCACTTCCTGGGGAATGTTAGCGAAGCAGGTGCGCTCAAGGGTCCTAACGCACTCCAATGTTGTCGACCAACATTTTGTCCAGTCCCAAAGGACCTAGGGAACTTTTTACGATGTTGGCGATGGACGAGGCGGCGATGACTGCGATTCGTATTTAAAGAATCGAAACGACATAAGCGGGACAAAGTACCATTCTGATCTCGAATATCTTGGCCAGAAACACGGTCGCCCCCGAGAAAAGCACCAGCTCTGGGATCGCGTTGGAACATGGTGTGAAATCGCAATCAGGACGCGTATGCGTTTGTTTGGACATCAATCATATCAGGCTGGGACAATTAAAGGACGAAGGACGAAGTATGGTCATATATAGGCAGATACAAGAATGAAGATCGAAGGGGAGTTGTACATTCTTGTGCTACATCCCGCAAGCAGAGTGCTGCTGGAGGAGGAATGATATGGGTGAGATGTTGATGTATAGATGGAAACGCTGGCCAGAGCGGTGATGAGTATGCATGTCATAATAAATACACGTTCAGTCCTTTTCTCAGCAAGTGTCTGTGCGCGCCAGAGTTCGGGGGCCTTTCCGAATCCCCTTGTTTGCTGGCGGGCAGGGGCTGTCCCCGAGATCTTCATCCGTCTCTTCAGCATCAGTTGGCCCATGTCCGTCCTCGGACAACGGCATCAACGAGCCTCCACGTCTCGTCCGAGCTGCATTTGCGGCAGCAAACATAGAGCCAGGGCCAGCAGGTAGAGTGTTGCGCTTCGACTGGGGATTCTGCGTTGAGGAGGAAGCAGATGTCTTGTTCACAGCATCCCCGTAAGCATATGACTTGTGTCGCCCAAATTTGGTTTTGCGCAAGGCGTCCAGACCGCCATCTCTCGAGGTAGTGTGGGCCGGATCATCCATCCTCACATAGGCTTGCGGTTGGCAGCGGACAGAGGCATTCTGGAAATAGCGGCAGTATCCGCCCTCCAGGATGTAGAGTTCGGGGTAGTGGATTTTGGGATAAACATGGTTGTTGATCGCTCGATCTTTGGCCCGCAGGTGTTTTGCGCTTCCAGCAAATCAGCTAAAGAAAAAAAGGAGGGGCGAGCCAACGCACAAAGTAGGTGCCCGCTTGGCACTAAACTCGCAATGGAACACAAGAATTGTTTTGCGCGCAGGGTCTCCGCTAACAGATGCCTTGGGTTTGACCAGCGTCTCGCGCAGAAGGAACTCTTCGACGTCCCCGACTTGATTCAAGTTGATGGCACCTTGGATGTGACCGCCGTTGTACTCGTAATCAAAGCGGCAGTCAATAATATGATAGTCCGCTCGGCTACTGAAGTGGCCATCGAGCAGTTGGTTCAACTATGCCTCCGTCAGAAACCAATGCACAGCATGCAGAGAGAGAGACTGCACCGTGTCTGGCGTAATTCTCATCAAGCCATCCTCCGTCACACGGTGGCAAGGCAAAAGCTTGCCAGAGGCCTCATTGTCTCCGAATCCAGGCATTCCGGCAGTAAGGAATTTCGCGGAAGGACTTTCGTTGAGGATCATGGCCGTAGCCCCAGTCAAAGGCCGGAAGTCGTCAGTACCATCGCGCCGACGGAGAGTCTTCATGTGCTGGCGTTTGGCATAGGCTTGCGCCGGTGATGAAGTGCCCTCGAACGATGAATCATCCGAGACGGCATCAGGAAGCTGAGAGTTCAGCGACGACGGAGGGATCACAGCTGAAAATGCTCTCCGAGCGGGAGGCAAGGGTCGCCCAGCAGGACAAGGCAGACCATGATCCCCATCAACCGTCGGATATGCGGTTTGCGCGACCCCGGAGAGAGCGGGTCGCCGAGGACGTTTGAGCCCTAATATCGGACCGAACGCCGGGACAGGCTTCTCGATGACAGCAGCGGCAGCGAGCCGGTCAGTTTTATATTGAGTGGGCGAGGACGCTTGCGGAGGAGACGAGCTTCCTGGAGAAGCAAACGTGTTGAGATGGTCTGGGGACAGCGAGCGACGCTGTTTCTTGGGTTGTGGCGCGACGGGAGACATATCATAGAAGATATTGCTGAAGGCGGTGATAGTAGGAGCAGCAGATTGAGGTGCAACGATTGAAAGCAGAGGGGCTTCATAGGAAGAGTCCACATCCATCGCGTCATCGGAAAGTTGACGAACGAGCGCAGGAGACTAGCACACGGGGAATTAACGACGAGGAGGCAAAGTTAATGTTGAGAAACACACTGAATCTTGTTGCGGTAGTTGGAACCACTCTGTGGGCAGCGCACTTCGCTGGGTGCGTTTGCCACTGAGCGTTGACCCCACTTTGGATGAACCGGAGACGTCGCCAAGTTGTACCTGACTCGCTTGCCCCCATTCATTGCTTCGGTCCTGGCCGAACATACGCGAGTCGCTGGTCAATGCGCGCGGCCGCATGAACATCACAGGGGGGAGTGGAGATATATCCATAGGCTTCGGGTATTCGCTCTCTGGGGTAAGAGGAAGGGACAGCCTCGGGGGCGAGTTCAGCGATACATTGGAAGCGAATGAAAGCTCGAGGTCAGAAGATAAGTCCTCGAGCTCACGGCTGGGCAGTTCAGCGCGTGCGCGGGGGATACTGAGGAACTTAGACGACTGTGCGACGAAAGCCATGCGCGAAAGACGACGTCTCTTGTTCGAGATAGTGGAGATAGGCTCTAGAAAAGACATGAGTGAGAGCAAGTGGCAGAACTACGACCATACGCACGACTGACGACGTCAGGAGCCACAAAGCAAAGAACAATGAGCGTTGAAGTTGGTCACAACCTACCGAACCGTGACACTGTCACGAGCGCCAACCAATTACCGCTGTCCATATGCTGATAAAGCGATCTGATGTCCACTTGAGTGGCAAAGATCCTTTATTACACCTCATGTTCCGATACTTGCCTTCGATAAACGGACGATTCTAGTGTAAAACCTTTCAGAGCAATGTAATCCCCGTAAAGTTCGCGAGAATCTGCACACTTCTTATCTCCACGAGCCGAAAAAGAGCCATCTGAGCCAAGATCTGTGCCGTACTCCAACGTATCACGTGGTCGCGTGTGATGATCAATCTACCCCGTCATACATATGAAGTCATGCCAAGCTGAATATCTCTCTCTTCTGCACCGACGATGTGGGGTTATCCCAATTGACATCCCTCCAACTTTGGTCCCGAGCATTAGCATGATGGTGTTTTCATGGATGTGCGAGCTTACCCGGGGAAGACGTACAGCAGCTTCTCCGGATCCAGTTCAGGGAAGTGATCCACAATGGTCTTGATCAAAACATCATAGACGACCTAATCAGGAGTCAACTTCCATTAACAAGAATGATAAGCTTCCATACGGTGTAGCCCTTCGCGTTCAGGTGGAGACCGTCGTACATGTAATCAGACAGCTTCTCCTCGGTTTCACTCGCGGCCTGCCACAGGACTGACCAAACGTCCACTACCGGAACTCCGCAAGCGGCGGCGGTCTCCTTAACACCCTCTGCATACAACCGGGTGGTCTCGAATTTACGATCGAGTTCGAGCGGCGGATCCCTGCTGCTCAGCTCCGCACCTCGCTGGAAGGTGTTGATTGGCGGGGGAGTGATGAATATGATGCGAGTGTCGGGTGCGTAGTATGGCGAATTTTCGGATTGGATCAGGCCTGCGAAGTCCTTGAGATTGCTCACAAAGCGCGGCAACGGGACATGCTGGGGCGAGGGCTCTATGCAAGAGTCATTTGCGCCAAACCAGATTACCAGCAACCTGATCTTTGGGCTATGTTGCTGTTCGTGCTGATTCGCGAGACACTTGTAGACGATTATGGACGTTTGCAGCCGATCGAAAGCTTCTGCGTACCTGCTTCAGCACGGGGAATGCCCATTCTGTATTATAGCCTGCGAGCCCTCGGTTCAGAACATCCAATTTACGAGAGTACGCGTCTGCTTCGCCTCAGTCCTGTTTCCGATTATTTTGTGCAAGCAAAGTTCTAAACCTGAGAGTCGGGCCCCAAATCCACCCTCGTTCCAGCCACCCTGAGTGATGGAGTCTCCAAACAGGAGAATCGTATCTTGGACATAGGCCGCCATCGTTTCCGTAGTGAGTCAGTAAGTAGCACGTCGAAGTAGGGATGATTTGATGGGAGAGACTGATGATCGGCCATCGATACAATCTAATCCGAACCATCTCTGCTTTGATCATCAACGTCAACATTCACTCTCACGCGAGGCCTCTGTATGGCCTCGAAGACACCCCTACATCTTAGGGTTTCCAACAACAAAGCATACCTCTGGGATGTCGATGGTGTCTGGTGTCCTCTGATGTTTTCACTCCCACGACTAACAGTCAACGAGATATTGCTGTAGTCCGAAACGTCCATCGCATCTGCGGTGTCCTCAGTGGAACTCTTCCACATCTGAGCCAACAGAATGTTTTCTTGGGGGTCCCTCTGGTCCTTCTAGCGGAAGAGGTGGTTCTACTTGTAGAAAATGGTACGTCGGTCGTACTCTTCCTCCAACTTTACTTGAACGATGTAAATTAGAGGCGGCTGTTCTCGTGGACGATCCCAAGGCGCACTCAGATCCGTCTCCGTCCGATCTGCAGCGCTGGAGCGCCCGAGAGAAATCTTTGGCTGAACAACAGATTAACCAGGCCTCACAAGTTCAGAAGGATCCTACAACGCTCAGCATGTCCGATGCCGCCCTCAAGAAACGAAAAGATCGAGAAGCAAAAAGGGCGGCCGCAGCAGAAGCAGGGGCAGCGGATCCGTTGATGAGTATCACATCTGAGGTCGCTCCCTCAAGTGCGGTTGCTGCTCAACCCGCAGGCTCATCCCCATCCGCGAATGATTCGCAATACACAGTTGTGATCCCAGCTGATTCAACAGAATTCGAATGGTACAACGACAAGCACTCCGTCTTTACGACTATCGAAGCAGCAAAGGGGCAGGGATCTGGGAGTATCCATCCACCCTTTACGAAAGAGCCAAATGCGGTGTATTTCGAGGTCTATGGGAGCAAGGGCTGTATATGGGGCTGGGGATCAAGTTCGGAGGCGATTATCTGGTATATCCAGGTAGTTGCGCTTCAGTAAATCTGATTCTGCTGCCTCGTGCTCACAAGTCGCAAGGGGACCCACTTCGATACCACGCCCATTTTTCCGCTACAGTCCTGGAGTCACCGACAACTGCGTTGACACCTATGGAAATTGTGGCTCACGGTCGACTGGGAACAGTTACGAAGAAGTCACATTTGTTGTGCGGGTGGGACGATGAAATAAAAGAGTGCACATATCTTTCTATTGAGTGGGCAGGCTTCGGTTAGATGTGCTACAGTACGGATGACGATCAATCCATCTTTCTTCTGCCAATGTTGATTCGCCCACGAGCTGGCCTCAGGGGATGTGAGCCTAGACCACCGGCTTCCATTGCCTCAGCCCCATCACTGAATGCACGGGTGCGAGAAGGAACCGGCCGCGAGCTGCCCACACTGACTGCCCGCACGATGAGATCATTTAACCACATCACCAACGCAAATATAGGCAGCCGGATAGGGATGAACGGCGACGGATGCCGGACGGCGGCGTCGTCGTCGGCTCGAGGGGTAGGCATGAATGGATCGTCGGGCACAGGCTTCGCATGCATTGCCATGATGATATGCTACATAGCAGTATATGATTCCGTGCATTCAATCCAGAGCAAACAAAACCCACCAGAGGGTATATCAAGGCAAAAACAGTCAGGCTGGTAAAACCACTTCCCCAGCTGCAAAGCGCAGCAGAGGGGAGCCCTAACGACTTGAGCATCATCTCATCAGTCAGTAGCTGAACTGACCGAAGCCATATAATACGCCCAATGTTCCTCCAGATGACGAACACGAGTAGCAAGCGAGAGGCCACGGGCAACCCAGACAAATCTGGTTCTCGTCAGCAAGCACGACGTCGCAGCCACTGACAGGGACGCACTCAAAGAAATAGTAACTGTTCGAAGAAAGTCAACAGCTCCCCGACCAACGTCAACAAAACCACCTACGCATCTATCCAGCACAAAAATAGAAACCCAGTTAGTGGGCCGAAGTGCGGAATGAATCCAAGCGCAAATGAAATCGCGACGGAATTCACAGCCATCACGATGCGGTATGCCGAGGTCGCAACTGCCTTGAGGACTCCAGTGTATGTCATGGGCTGTGGCTGAGCAGCGGAGTGATTCTGGAGAGAATATGTTCGTTTGGCGATCGTATTACACCACGAACTCTGCAAATAAGACGTGAAAGCAAGTGCCGGTGAAGAAATAAGACTTGCATACATTGAGATAGAGCGACACTGCGAACATTGGGACCAGCCAGATAAGCTGATATAGCTTGCCGTTGTTCGGCCTGAACCATTCCTGATTGTCGATAAACAGCAGATCAAGAATATACAAGATCCCCAGACACGAGGAGTTAAGGATCAGGGACTTGAGTAGGTTGCTTCGGATTTCAGAGTCCCTACAGAAAGCTAGTCTTCGTTTGGATTTCAGCTTTGGACAAGAACTCGCACCTTGCCACAGTGCGGGCCACGAGGGGCCACCGTAACGCGTCGACCAGTCCTCGTGTCGCATAGGTAATTTGGAGAGCGAGGGATTCTGGGAAGGACAGAAACTGCGGGTAGCCATGCCCAGATTGAGTGGCCCTGAAAGACATAGGAATTCCCTCGAATGGATCTGTTCGAGTCAAGTTGATACCACTGGTGGCCTCTGCATGAACCCAGTTGGGTAATACCCGTGACAGTAGGAGCGCGTCACTCACTGCCACCGAGGGTGCTGATGACAGTCAAATTCGTACGAATTGTATACAACTACGTAGTATGTATTTATATGTAACACGAGCGTGGTCTATGGAACATACAAGCATTCGTAATAAGTTATGATACATAAGATAGAAATAGCGGACACGGTGGGAATAGGTACAATAGCGATGGGGTACACACAAACACAGGCTTCAAGCGCGTTTCTGATGCTAGATAAGTACTGTCGCACAGATGATGGTCGGTATATCACTTACTGCCTTCCCAGATTTCGTTACCTTGGCCTTCGATGGCGCCTTGGCCGCTGTCGTCGGCTTCTTCTTCGGGGCGGCTTTGGCCGCCGCTTTCGCTTTCGAGGCTGGCGTCGCACCCGTGATCGCCTGAACACGCAAATACGTTTGAGGGACGAAACGATGGAATGAGGAAGACACCTACTTTCTTCGCTGGTGCCCGTTTTGTCGTCGGCGTTGCCTTTTTCTTGTCGGGGACAGCCTTCGACTTGCCAGCAATTTTCTTGGCCGGGGCAGCTTTCTTCGCAGAGCTCTTGACGACCTTGTTTGCCGGGGTGGTCGCGACTTTCGGTTTCGTCGTCGATTTGGCCTTTGAGGCACCAGGCTTGGCCGGGGCCTTAGCGGTAGCGGCTTTAGGGGTTACAGTCTTCTTAGCGGCAGTCGTCTTCGTTGTGGCTGGCTTAGTGGTAGTTGACTTGGTGGTGGCTGGCTTCGCGGTCGCCTTCTTTGCCGGGGCGACTTTCGCAGTAGTAGCCTTCGGCTTCGCTTTGGCGGGCTTGTTCTACGAGCAAGAGCGGTCAGAAGGTTATCGGGAGGGACCAAAGTCCACACACTTCCTTGGCATCCACGTCAACATTTCTGGGGATCTTAGGCGCGAGCTTCACGCGACCCGCCGGACCTACGAACGCGTCAAATTTGTTTAGCGGGAACGAAAATGCATGCCGTGGTGTGCACCTTTGGGCAGCGCAAAGATGCCTTTCTCCGTACCCGTCGAGAGGGCTTTGGCGAGTTGGGTATTTTGAGCGGTGCCGATAGCGAGATTGTATCTGGTTTCAACGAATCTAGATTGGATGTGAGAATATATCCGGCATTGTGTGGACTGGCCACGCACTTCTTGATTTGGGGCCGAGAGACGCCGTGGCGAGTGTCTTCGGTATGAGCAGCGATACACTCCTGCATAGAGTTATTGATTGTGGTATGGGTATAGACACGATGTCCAACCCTGATCATATCAACCCATGGCGGATGGGTAGGAGCAGCCTTGGTGGTGCTCTTGGTAGGCACTTTCTTGGTGGCCTTTGTAGTCGTAGCAGTTTTCTTCACGGCCATCTCAGATCGGACTTGGCGGGCGGGAGACACAGATGTTGAAGTTGAACGATGCAGCGAAAGACAAGCCTTGTTGATGCGCGTCAATTGAACTTTGATTCAACAAACCCCCGATCGCGACCTGCCCAAGTCATGTGACGGGGGCACCTGTTTGGCTCAAGCGCCACAGCCACGTTCCAAGTGCTCGGTGATGTCAATTACACCTCAACTACGAGCTGCTGCTCGTTCTGCCTATCGACAGCTCTGGAGAGCATCGTCAATCACATTTGCTGGCGATGAAAGGGTTCTAAATGGTGGCTCCTCTGGTCACCTGTTCAGAACATGTTCACTTATATTCGACAGCGTTTCATTCAAAAATTCGCCACGACGCCGTTGCAGCTCGAACCACTGTGGATTCGGGCTCGTATGAACAGCACAACGCAGTAGCTCTTGAGGTTGCGGAGATATTGAGAAAAATATCGTTCAAGCTTCGAGAAACGCCGGTACTGATGATACATGGAGTGCGACCATATGTCTCCGCTCTGGCCACCTCTGACTCGCCTCCAGGAATTCGTCTCACTGCGGATACCGAGTTGGGATCCAATGACTCAATCAAGAGCCCTCCTCCGATGGAGACCAACAGGCGGGCCCGTAAACGAGGGGATGCCCCGGCAGCGTCAGTCGACCTCGTTCAATCTGGCCGTTCTCTCATTATGTAGCTCAGAAGCAACTGTGCCTGCGCCTCGGCATGAAAAACATTCTCCATCTCGCCTTTCCCTTACTGCTCTGAAAGCCGCTCACCAAGCTCGAACTGTTCCCGAATTGCGAGAAGAAGATTTAGAAGAGACGTTTGTGCGAGGTGAGTGCATTACCATGATCCCGATCACGTTAGTCGGCTTGGGCTGATCTCTGAGTTCTCAGGGAGCGGTCCGGTACGATCAGCAATAGTGTCGATAATGAATGTCCTTAACTTACGGATTGAATCCATATCTTCAAGGGAGGACAATCAGTCAACAAGACTGAGAATAATGTTCAACTGCTGCATATTCCCACAGGCATACGGGTCAGCTGCCATGAAACTCGATCTCTCGCTCAGAACCGACGTCGAGCTCGGCGACTAATCATCGAGAAGGCGAGTCAGTCAGTCTGGCTATGATCGGGGTCTAACGCAAACAGTTGGATAAAATACAGAACCCAGGACTGTCCAAGGGCGAACTTGTCCAAGCAAAGCAGCGCGAACGGAAGCGTCAACAAAAGAAAAAGTCGAAGCGTAAACAACGTGAACGAGAGTCGGAATCTCACTGGGAAGAGTGATTAGTCGTTCATTGACATCTATTTTTTGTTCTTCCCCTGTTCTCCCATCGCGAAGGACCGCTGGGAGTGTTCGCATACAGAGTGGTGAGCCTCAAGAGGCAATAATTGCGTCGAACACCTACGAACAGCTTTGTTATGATCGACAGAAACTGCTGCCGAAATGCCTTGGGACCTTGCTGAGCCGTGGTCTCTCGATGCCGTCCCCTCGAGCCTTGTTTATATATAAGACCTTGGATAATATATTGCATATGTCGCCTTTGTCTCTAGAATCACCGAAACTATCCCTCGAGTAAAGAAATATTTGGAAAACGAATGATGCCCAGAATGGATCAATTACCTAATCCATTGGAGTTGCTACTATCACCACGACTGCGTCGATTTCAAAATCGGAGACTCTACAATATGTCTGGTGGTTTACATTCACTTGCAACCATAATAAACGGTTAGTGGAATCGGAATGCCCCTGTTATATCTTTCCTCCTGACCATGGGTAACACTGGTTCCTTGAATAGGCTCGAGGCTGCGACCTCTCGCATAGAGGATCTTGCCATGGCTCAGACCCAGGCCGGTCCCCAACGGAGTGCTCCAGCCTCTGACTCTGCCTCTGCTCCGTCTGCGTCTGCCCCCGCTCCCCCTCCGCCTCCACCACCTCCGCCGCCACCTGTAGCACCCTCGGCACCCGAAATCCCGAAGACCGTCATTGCCTTCGACGAACTCGTGATCGAGGGCAAACTCAAGCCGTTCATTGAGCTGACGAAGGGCTTCGCAGGCCAATCCGTCATTGAGATTGTAAGGCAGACACCGAGCAAGTCAAGGCGTTGATCTGAAGTGGTCTACAGGTTGATATCCTCGCCAAGCAGTTCCAGGGATTGCGCTCTTATATCCTTCTGTCCTCTTCTTGTAAGAAGCCGGATGATGCTGGTCTTACCAAGCTTCTTGCACCGATTCAGTCCGACATGGAAGCGATTGCGCGGTGCAAAGAAGCAGGACGCAAAGACAGAGAATGGTTCACACACCTCACGATCGTGGCCGATGGAGATCTTGCAATGGGATGGGTCGCCAATGTGCTTGGACAATCCACCATTTACTTTGCACGTGCTAACAAGTTATAGCCTGCACCGGGCCCATATGTCGCAGAGATCAAGGACAGCGTGGTTTACAACGGAAACAAGGTCATTAAGGAATACAAGGAGAAGTACGCGTCTTGGTCCCCTATCTTTCTCATACCGACGTGAGGCAGAGATCCCAAGCATGTTGAATGGGTTCGGTCCTTCCTTGCCATTCTCGAGGCGATGCGACTGTACATCATGGAACATCATCGCACCGGATTGACTTGGAATCCGCAGGTGAGCAGCAGCCTGCACGTCACCTTGGGTGCTGATCTGAAGTTGTGCCAGGGCCTTGCTGTGGCGGAATATACCCAAAGCGGCGCGCCGTCGGCACCGCCAGCTCCAGCACCCCCGGCTGCGGCTGCGGCTTCTGCTGCATCCGGTGGTGGAGTTGCAGCTGTGTTTGCTGAGCTAAATCGCGGAGAAGATGTTACCAAGGGTCTTCGCAAAGTTGACAAGAGTGAAATGACGCACAAGAACCCAGCTTTGCGGGGAAGTGGTGTCGTCAGTGCATCGTCCGGGCCTTCACGTACGTTTCGCGTCTCTGTCTCCTACGCGACTCATCGGAAGTAGCGGCCAAGCGGCCGATCAAGCCGAGCAAACCGTCGGCTCTGAGTGGCAAGAAGCCGTCCAAGTTGGCTTTGGAAGGCAAAAGCTGGGCTGTGGTAAGTGGCATCGACGTCTTGCAAAAATTGGGACAGTCAATTCGTGCACAGGAACACTTTGAGAACGAGTCTTCGCTCAGTTTGGATGACTGCCAGCTGAATCAGGCGGTGAATATCTACGGGTGCAAAAACTCGACTGTCGTAATCAAGGGCAAAGTCAATGCAGTGACCCTGGGTAAGAGGTTGAATATTACAACACATGATTCTCGCTCATCATTTCCCAGTCAACTGCACCAAGACGTCGGTGCTAGTAGATTCTGTGGTCTCCTCGGTGTCTGTGACCAACTCTCCGTCGTTTGCACTCCAGATCTTGGGAACCGTCCCTATGATTCAGCTTGACTCCACCGACTCCGGACAGATCTACCTGTCCAAAGGCAGTCTGGGCGCGGAAATCACCACTGCCAAGTGCAGTGCCATTAACATCAGTTTGCCGGTCGAAGGACAGGAAGATGGCGTATTCGAGGAACAGGCTGTTCCGGAGATGCTCAAATCCGTGATCAAGGATGGGAAATTGGTGACCAGCGTCGTAGAGCACATTGGCTAGTAGATTTGGGTATTTTTGGATTCAATCGGAGATGATCGGCCCACAGACGTCATATCAGTTGATGGCATCGCCCAATGTTGATTCGCCAAGTGCAGCCGGATTTCATTCAGTTCTCGTTAGCATTCCTTGTGCTCTCCACCATTCCTGACGTGTCTCTCTTCTCGAGGATCCCTCTATCTTTGTTCCTATGGATAATCCAGGCTGGAGTGCCTTCCGCCGCGCTGAACGGGAAAGTCAACAGGTCCAACTGCTCTTTACCCAACCTTTTCTTCTTGAGCTCATCTCGATCCCCGGAATTGACAGTACGCAGGGGCACGTCGAGGAGAGGATGGTCGATTCGTCCCGGTTGAAATTGTCCCTCCTCTGAATGAAAGTTTCATCGGTGGTTTCAATCCATATGGCGTCCGTCCAACCACCCCGACTCCACCTGTTCCGCCCAAAGATATCGGATATCGACCAGGGGAGTCTCGTCTGAGGCATGCAGTGACCCCTTCTATTGCCAGTCCCGACGAGCTGCTGTCCATGTCCGCCATCCAACGCTCCCATGTGCTGAGGATACCGCGCATGAATCCGAACTTGCAGGCGAGTTTTTTCCGCAGCATGCACATCACGGGCTACAACGCAAGCCCGCAGTTCATGGTCGGACCACTTCTCGGCTTTGACACGATCGCCAATGGCGTTTGGCGGGGTGCAGTCATGATCGTTAGTATGTGTCGGCTTCTTTCTATCCCCGATCCGCGGCATTCATGACAGTTTTCAGCTGCCGATTCAGGCTCGACGTACGATCCGCACCCCATGCTTTGCTTCGAATGGGATCCGGACATCGACACAGCCCAACTGCGGCAAGTGCGACCCTCCGTCGACCTCGGGCCCCACCCTTCAGACCCTCGCTCTACCCTCACGTCCGCATTCGCAGCCAGCCAGTTCTCTGCGGTCATTCGGGACGTCAACAAGCAAGGCAATAATGCAAGAAGCGAGACCGTGCCGGGCCACGAGCTCTATGTGTATGGAGGAACTGCAGGGTACGCGCCCTCTACAATCAACACATCTTGAGGCGCATTCATTCGACAGGACGTTTACGTTCTGGCGGTTTGCCATCGAAATACCCCTGGGACGGTCTGAGACAGCTGTCTCGTACTCGATCAACAACGGGCAGGCGTTTGTTTTCTTCGTGCCCGGCGCGAATCAGAACATGCGATGGGCCGGTTATTCGGTAACTGCCTTCCTCAGGTATACAACGTCGAGCTGATCCAGTTAGTGTAATGGTTTTTCGGCCGGTGTTAATCCAGATGATTTCAGGGGACCAGGGTTTCAATCGGGTGAGTACTACTTATCTGAAATCGAGAGCGTACTCATATTTCTCAGCTATGACCCTGTCTGGCAGGATTTGCTCGCTGCTCACGTGCGTTTGTTGCTGCTGCATCACTGACTCGGGTGAGCTTCACTGTTTTCTTAGGCAGAGGAACCGTTCCATGCGCTCGTAGGAGGTGGAGATCAGATATACTGTGATAGGTAAGCAGCTCACGGAGCTTGAGTTGCATACCCTCACGCGTCTCGCGTAGTATAACACGCGAACCCGAGCTGCAGGAATGGAATGCCTGCAGACCCGAAGAACGCCTCAAATTTGAGCTCACGGCTGAGCTCTCATTAGCTATTGACCGATTCTATTTCAACCACTACTGCTCACAATGGAGATCCGGGGCTTTTGCTCGAGCGAACAGTTCTATCCCAATGATGAACATGGCCGGTACGTGTCATATCCGTCCGCCTTGACTGTCAATTGACGCGCAGCAGATGACCACGGTGAGACTTGAAACATTCACGCTCCGGATGGGAATTTTGACACACCCATGTTTCTGTGTCGCAGATATCGTAAGAGTTTGCGTCCCTTCTCATCTGCAGTTGCTAAAGCTGAGTTCTAGATTGACGGCTTCGGCAGTTGTATGTTCTTCTACTGCTTGTCTGTTGCATTCATGTTTAATGTTCCAGATCCCGACGACTTGCAAATGGCACCGGTCTTCCGAGCGTAAAACATAGCCTAATTGACTGGAATGAGATACTGACGTCTCTCAGGATCGGCGCTCGGGGTTACTTCTTCTTCCTGCTGTTCCAGTGTTTCGTTAATCGTGAGCAGTCGGAGCAATCGAGGTGATCCCGCTGATAGTTTCCTGCAGCGGCAGTTGATGGTGCTGATGATAAACGCCATTTCTATCGCTCCTTGATTATTGGCAATGTCGGGCCCTTTGTGAAACAGCCTAGTCACTCTTTTTTGGCCAATATGGGCCCTCAGACGTGGATGCTGCTGCTAGATTGCCGGTTGGTCTCTGCTTCTTTCGAGCTGTTGGGAGAGGTAACTGATCCACTATCTGACAGAGGAGAACGGAGAAAGAAACAAGTGTGCAGCGAGATCCAATACGACCGGGTCTTTGACCGCCTCAATAAAATGCCTGTGGGAGTGAAGCATCTATGTGTTCAGCTTGGTATACCGATTGGTGCGTTTCCTCCCCGTGATCAGTATCTCGAGTGTGACATTCCTGCAGCATATCCGAGAATGAACTTTCTTGAGACTGCGCTTGGGTCCAAATTCAACCCCATCGTTGCCCTGGGCAAAGCCCGGTCAATGGGATTTATCAACAAGTTCAACGGTGAAGCTGAGATTCTCGATGATCTGGTACGACCCATCAGTCTGTGCCTGTCTAGATCTTCTGCTCATAACGACAGAACGATCACTGGACGAGTCATTCACACAAGGTGGGCGAGTGTTCTGCTTGACCCAGCATCGATGACAACAACAGTCTGGCAGAGAGAAAGAAACTGGTTGGTAGAAAAACTGCAGGCATTCGCTAAATCGCGTCACATTCGCGTCACGTTTCTTTCCGGAGACGTGCACTGTGCAGCAGTCGGATTGTTCAAGACTCTCGTACCTAACAAGGCTCCGGATGTGAAGCCCGCCGAGGACCACCGATATATGCTGAACGTTGTGACCAGTACGTGTGTCACGTACAGCAGAGCTGTTAATCCAAGCCAGCCAGGCGCAATCGTCAACACACCTCCTCCCAATGCGGTCATTACGATGGTATCGTCGCTGGGTTCCAAGAACCACAGAACAATGCATCACGTGGACACGGACGAAATCATGGTCCCGCTCTTTGACATCGAGTAGCCCACAACCCACTGTGCATTTTCCAGCGTTGACCACGAGTTTACAGACAAATGGCAAACCCCGCAAGCAGAAATTCATTATGGGCCAAAGAAACTACACAGCGACTGTTTGGGATCCCAGCACCGGTGATTGGGTGTTTTCTTTCTTTGTTGAAAAGGAAAAGGGTGGCGGACAGACGATGGAATATACTATCCGGGCGCCTTCACCATCGTGGGCTTAGTGCTGATCGCTTTTTAATATCTATTAACTATCGTACTACTTCAATCTGAGCAGGGTCGTCATCGACTTGTACGCCATCCGCGTCGCCGGGAACCGAGTGCTGTCGCAGTGGGCTGGGGTTGTTGAGACCCGCTTCGATCACAAATGCAGTCTCATGCCGAAGAGGGCTCGGTTGAGGAGTCGGCTGAGGATTGAGAAACACCGACGAGTCCTCAGGCATCGGTGTTTCCGACAGTTTTACCCGTTTGCGCACTTCCGCTTGCTGCCGTTTCTTCTGTCGCTGGGTCCGTTTCTCGTTCTGCACTTGCTCTGCGATGGCCATCTTCTCTGCCTCGATCACAGCCTCAGCTTCGTCGAGCTTGTCCAACTCCCACTGCTCTTCCATGAACTCGGGATACCGCTCGCAGATCGGCCTCCAAGTTTGCTCGTCAGCTGCTTCTGTCTGCCCCGAAAGCATCGCATCGATATCTCGTGGAGGAGGAAACGCGAAGTTCGGTCCAGGATTGAGTCTGACCGACGCCTCGTTGAAAAGCGAGATGAACGGATAGTAGCCCAACGTCCCATCGTCAAATGGGTTTTCAGTGTGCTCTTTGACACCTTCACGAACGCGTCTCCGCGCCTGGTTCTTGCGAGACACGCTGGTCTGCTCGAGCTGGAGGTAGTCATACAACTCTTCAAAAGCCGTTCCTTGACACTCCCCATTGATGAAGAAGGCGATGCGCGACCCTGCTAGTGTCGGAAGCGGCCGCAGATTTCCTGTATTCGCCTTCGGCGTGCTTTTCGGTCCGCGTTCAGGGAGTTTTCCGCTCGCCACTTTCTTGGAGGCAGCGATAGAGGAAGAATTCGTTGACTTGCCCGAGTAGTCCATCAGAACGCTCATCTCTTTGGACTGTGTGTATTCCAAACTTTCGAACATCTCTTGACCCTTGAGATCAATCGCAATACGCTCGCGCTTCAGACGGGCCGGATCGTGATGGTTCTTGGGGTTGGCCTGTCGTTTCGGCGGCAGTGAAATGTACATTCCGATGACGTCCCCGGAACCGTACGGACGGCCATACGGACGTGGGCGCGAGAGTGCCACTTTCTCTCCTGTTTTGTCGCGGATGCCGTAGCTGTATCCATCGAGACCGACAGGCCCATTGAGGGGAGCCTCTCTTCGACCCCATCCGAGCCTGACATGACTACCTTCGCGCTTCCCTTCTCCACTCGCATGCTGTCCACCACCGCTGAGGACTTTGACCTCCATGTACCACGATCCTTCGCGAATCGGCGCGTTACACCGCGCGCTTCGGAACCCAGTGCTCCCCAACAGCCCCAATCCATCCTGTGTGACAGCCACGAAGGTGCTCCTGTCCTCCCAGCTGATTCGATACGTCTGCGGGCTGCTCTCAATCGTCCTACACGGAAGAACGTGTCCAGGACCATTGATGCCTGCCGGTGTATATCGATAGCCGATTCTGTTGACGCCTATGGTATCGCTCCTGTAGTATTCCGAGCCTTCTGCGATGGGCTGGAAGTTGAGACCACGCGAGACCGAAAGGCGCGGTCTGAAGGATAAATCGGCGCGCGAGGAAAGGACCCTGCTGTGCATTCAGCGTTGATGGCCCACAGACCATTGAAATACACCGCACTCGTTTGGAGGAACAGAGCCATTGTTACCGTCGGAAGGGGCTGGGGAGGTGGCTTTAGCCGGAGGGCGTTTGCGTTTGCGACTTTGAGATTGAGCGGGGGGTGTGTGCGTTGCTGGCGATGGGGCAGGAGACGGAGAGTTTGTGGTGTCCATTAGGTCCATTTCATTAGCCTTGTCACGCGGAGTGACGGCTCGCGTGGCGGCGGGACACCGCATTCGGCCACTCTTCCCAACCGACTATGGCTTCACTTCGGTGAGCTTCCTCGTCCTCGATCCAGGACCCTCTGACGACTTATCGATCAGTCGTATTCAGAAGGTTTGTCTCCATTCCGAAACGAGTATCCGTCCGTCTCATCCCTCGCAGGAGCTAACAGATCTTAACAAGAACCCACTGGAGGTCTTGATCATTCTACCTGGCGATTTGTTCAGGACTGAATCGGATAAAGGGGATCACAGTTGAACCGCAAGACGATAATATCTTTGAATGGAAGTGCTCTATCAAAGCTGCGGTGCGATCTCCTTGTGGACTGCGGGATCCTTATTGATTATAATGTGCGCTAGTCCGACTCACCTTACAAGGTTTGTAGAAACTACGCTCAGAACATGAGACCTATTCAGAATCCTTGCAAGAACGGAACTTTTAAATTCAATCTGTCGCTCCCCGCTAACTTTCCCTTCAAAGCTCCGACGGTCAGGAATAGAGTTTGCGACTGGCCTGCACTTATCTTCCGACTGCAGGTGACCTTTCAAACGAAGATTTATCACCCAGGGAGGCTCTCTTTCGTCTACAAGAGCAATGAACCCGACCAATAGCTATTCAGGAATCAACGAGGAGGGAAGCATCTGCGTTCCAGTTTTGAGGGATGAGGTTCGTTACTACCTGCGACGAGAAGATCTTTCTGAACGATGTCAAACAGTGGAAACCGTCTATAACGCTGTCCACTGGTAAGTCCGTCTTCACGGGTCTCTAGAGCACAGATCATGTTCTCCAAGTTCTCTCTATCATTCAAGAGAAAGTGAACAACCCTCGACCAGAAGATCCCTTCGAGCCGGATATTGCCGCACTGCTTCAAAACGACAAGAGCAAGTTTTTGGCCACAGCAAAGGAATGGACCAAGAAGTAGGCGGCCATCGTAATCAACATCTCTCATTCTGACCATCATCCGATCAGGTATGCGACATGAACGGACAGCCCGTCAAGGTCGTGGTCGGGACATTGTGTTCCAACCAGGCTAATGAATCAACAGTGAGTAACAATGCATGGAATGGAACGGCTTCAAATCGTTCCTTTCATTGAAGCATGTGTCGAAAGATAATCCAGTAGTCGAATTACCATCACACGAAGAACCAAGAATCCATGTATCCCATTTGAAATCTCAGCGAGCGGGTAAAGAGCAGGGTGAAGTTGTAGTGATCACATGCTAACGATATTCATGTCTAGAATGGCAGGTAAATCGGCGTGCAGCCGAACTGACAGATTATCGTTTTGAAGCAGCTGCGTTTTGAGTGTTGGCTTGCGCGAGGAGATCTTTTTGCTTGAACGATAGTTTTCTCCTTTCATTGAAGTAGGTAATCTACTCGCCCATCAGGAAGCAGACCTCTGCACATGGGTGAGATCTCACCCAGCTTTGGGCGCAAGACTTTCCGTAGAGGTCGTTCTCTTTTGCGCACGCTTTTCCTTCCTTCCCCGCCTCAATGACCCCAGCACCGTCTAAGCATGCATAGTATGCGTCGCGTGAGTCCCAGCATTGCTGTCGTTCATTACGTGTGAGAGGATTTGGGTCTTCTGCGGGTGGTGCGGAAGATGATCCAAAAGGCCACATGGGTACGGCAGGCAACGGTGGGTGAATCAAAGAAAACTCCGAAATCAAGACGTCCCGAGTTTAGAAAGTGCAGATTTGTGTTGGAGATTCGTCGGTGGAAGTGGTTGAGGCGTTCAGGGCTAGCTGCCGTGCAAGGCGTCGGGGCCGCGGGGATGCCGATGATGCCAAGCTGTGCTAATACCACGTGATGGCTTGTAGAGAACTTGAAGCTCTGAATCATTCTGAATCAGAAGCTTGAAGCCGAAGGGTCTGTATTTTTCTACGTTAGATTGGGTAAATAGATCAATGAAATTAACCCGCATTCTAGTCGAGGCTTCCAAATTGTGAATGTATGTCTCTCTCTGGGATACTGAAGCACCAATGGTCGTAAGGGTTGTATGAATGCATGACAAAGCATCCGGAGGTCATATATGCATGACTGCTTGCACCTTCTTCACGACGCTGTGCCTAACCGTACCCTCTTGTTAACTTGTTCTCCATCTGTCCATCACTTTTCTCATGCTCGTCTAAACCTCTTCCGCCTCTCCTTCTGAACCTGCCCATCTTTCTTACTCAAAACGTGGTAAACACGTTGCATCTGTCCATTTCCTAGCTCCGTATAAAGCAGTTCGCCAAGCGAGACGCCATGCACCGATTTCGGTGCGCACTACCCCCCGCACTGTAAGGGCCGCACTCACGGATACCTTTCTCGCTAGGAAAAAGTCGGACGCAAACACCAAACGCCCCAGTGCCCTGCAGATCGAAACAGGACATTTGACGACCAACGACAACGTCCCATACCACGAGTTGACCCAGCAGAGCTCCCCATCTGGCGTAGAGGGCCTTCCAGAACTCCCCACAGCCAGTGATTTTCGGGCGTCCTTGATTCTCACGGAGTGCGTAAATGCCACTGGTTAACCTACTAACTGACCGAAGCCCATAAGTCTGTCGCGTCGTTTCACATTGCTGAACCACATCGAAGAGAAGGATACGACGTCCTACGACACACTTCGATCAAAGTTGGCCGAACAGCGAGCTCGCGGCGCTAAGAATCAGGTTTCTGAGGAGGAGGAAAAGATGATCATTGAGAGTTTGGGATGGCGACCGAGCGGAAAGGCAAAAGCAGAAGAAGAGTCCCTCATCTCAGGCCCCGGGAGGTCTTCGGTGCCCGGCTCCCCTCCTATGAACAAGCGGTACAGCAACAACTTGTTTGGCTCCGGAAGGTTTCGAGATTACAGCTACGTGAGAAGTGTGCAAAAGCAGGGTTCAGCTTCTAGTGCCCGGGCCAGTTCTAGCACAACTGACAGTACCGCCCCCAAGCTGCAATCGAGCTCGCACGACAGTCTGGGACCACTTACCCCGGATAATCCAGAAGGGATTTCAGTGCACTCTGCACCGATCCATCCACCCGGGCCTTACAGCGGTCAGGCCATTTCGGTAGCCGAGTATCGCTTGTCCAAGGCTCTTGGTCCTTCTGTTATGCGGCGAGCATCACTAGCCATCGAAGATGCCATTCAGTCCATCGAAGAAGAAGCTGCAGAGGACGAGATTGTCATGCCTCGGACGGTCCCTGTGCCAAGGTTGCGGCGTAAATCCCAGGAATCGGTGCGTGAATACGACTGCGCTGTTTCGAGGACCCTCATTTCACTCTAGAAACCGTTCGTTATGGGCGCTTTCGAGGGTGGAGTGGCCATTTCGTCAGACAAGCATGTCAGCCTCGAGCCAGACTCGCCTCGCGCGTCACCCATCCCGACTCGTATCATTCCTGGATATATACCTGGCATGCCACGTCCTATGACTCCCACCTCGACAGAGTTCGAGGAGCAGCGATCGTACTCGACGACCCCTCGTGCTAGCTCTCCTAATACACCTCGGATTGTGTCGCCTTCGCCCCGGCGCCAGTCTTCAGTCCGCTCGTACTCCCCAGCTCCGATTTTCCTGCAGCGCACCCTTAATGGACGTTTCACCCCTGAGGATCCGAACTCGATGCATCATCTATCGCAAACCGACAGCGAGCAGGGTCGCCACTCTCTGGGACGACATTTCAGCCGATGAGCGTTGCAAAACGGCCAGGTACGCCGGGAAGCAAGTCTGCGGGACACACGAGAGACGGTAGTTGGGTCAGCGATCCTGGCACGGATCAATATTCTCGATCTCTGCGATCGCCAGCCTTGCCTGATTCGCCTATGATTGGGCCAGGGCATAACGCGATGCATTCGTTCAATTCCTCCCTCTCCACTACGTCCTCATTTGAGTCTCCGCGACCGACGTCCGTCGTGTCTGGAATCGACATTGGCTCGCCTGTCATAGCTCCCGTAGACAGCCGTCGGTCTTCCAAACAGAATCGGCCGTCCTCTCCATTCACGTTGACCCCCTTTCAACCGCTGATTTTCTCGCCTGTCGCAAACTCTTCTCGGTCTTCTTTGGAGTCTGTTGGATCCAGCTATCACTCGTGGAACGGCGACGATAAGGACCGAAGCACGCTCTTTTTCGCCGATCCGGAGCCGCAACGCGGAGCATGGCACGACATCGCCCTGCCCAGTCAGCTCAATTCGGACGGTTCGAACGCAGACGATGGGGAAGCCGAAGACATGGTGCTCAAGTATGCCGGGCTGAAGAACATAGATTTTGTTGCTATCCAAGAAAAGCTCGTTTCAGCTGCAACCAAACCTCCTGCGACGGCTGCGGAGGTCAGAACACCTTCTCTGAGAAGAGGTCGACCGTCCACTTCCCAGTCTACGTATTCTCTCAACGGCCGCATCGCCAGCCCGCCGCAGTCTCCGACGACGATATCGCCGCCTTCTGATGGCCAGATGGTTTATGCGGCTGAGTCTGAGCCCGTTCAGGACGTTTCGCCGACGACTCGCCGACACCGGGATCTCACCAAGGCTCTCTTTGGCGATGGAGGAGAGGTCGGTGATGAATCTGGTGTGCCAGGCCTCGTTGTGTCTCCTTCCGCTACATCCTTTCTGCCTCCCTCCCCTCGCGACCCCCCTTCGTCTGCGACCTGGCCTCATCCTCTGCCACGGAGCCCGTCCACCCCGAGACTGCCGCAGACGGAGGAAGAGCACGAAGAACTGGCTAGAGAGATACAGCGGAAAGCCGATGCAGCGATGATCATGCTGCACAAGCAGCCGTCCAACTCAAATCTTGCAGTGCCTCCGAAAGGCTCGACGCGGAAGCGAATAAATCCACATCAGATCTCGACGCCTCAGCTGGTGTCGGCCTCGACAAGTGTGGATACGATTCCGCTGCCGTCCCCCTCGCTTTCGGGTGGCCAGTTCAAGATTGGATCGCGGCTGAAACGGCTGCGGGGGTCTTTGCGAACCAAGACGATGCCGACGGCACATGATGTAACACCGTTCCCCCCAGAATTGCAGTCGCCGCAGGCAGCACGGTACGATCCCACCAAGTTCCGGGCGCCTGGGCCCACTGTCATGAGTGCCACGGAATTTGAAGGCTTCAAGGTTTCCGCCCCGCTGCCGCCTAGCCCCCCAGCATCTGCCGGACCCGGGCTCAAAGGTTTCATGGCCCGATTCAGAGGAAGACAGCGTGCCAGTGACAATCCGCTCGATTCCCATGCTGACCTACGCCCGATGTATAAATCGGGCCCCAGTTCCGAGACGTTGTCATCCGGTCACGTGCCCGCAGCCTCCCCGGATGATGGCCGTGCGGCAATCAAACAGCTGTTCGATGCTGCGTCCAATTTGGGACTGGACCAGACTGCGTTGAACGATCTGCTTGTTCGATCCGGGTCAACGTCGTCCAGAGCGAGTGAATGGTCTCCGCTGTCGCGTAATGCGTCTCGAACGACCTCGAACGAACCGGCTCGCAGTCATCGGACGCATCCCAGCATCGTTGCTGAGTCACCGGAGCCTGTTGTCGAAAGGAAGGCTGAAGCCGAAAGAAAGGAATCCAATGCAGTTGTTCGTCGCACTATCATTTTCCCCTCCGAATCACGCACGTCGACGATCGACATCAGTGTCTTGCTCCGAAAACATTCGTCTCGCCGGCGGAGAGCAAGTTCTGCCTCCGTGTCGAGCCGTTCGGTGCACGATCGCGTCCCAACCCCGCCCCCGCCAAAACCGCAGCGATTCTCCAATGTTCCCGCTCCCCCACTACCATCAGCCGACAAAACAGCCTCGGCCCGTGATACCTAGTGCGTTTTTCTGTATTGTTGGGGCTGTTCCTATTTCTGACATGTCTACTAGTTACGACATGCATGGAAATGCTGCGGACGCAGCTTCTTCCCAAGGTGGCCACGGGCAATCCGGGCCTGCGGTTGAGGTTGTTGAGTTGGCCAGTGGAGAGACCATATGGTGCGTTCCGTTCATCCGTTCATCTCAGAACTTGGAATGAACATGCGGGATCAGGAAAATCGTGAATGGCTTACGGAACGATGATGACGATCTCGATGCCTTCAACCATCGCGGCAGCTTCGCCTCGGACTATTCCTTACGTGATTCTGGAGATGGGGTCCAGGTCTTCTTTAAGGAGCACGGCAGAAAGGGCAGCGGGTCCTCATACTTTGGCCGGAAGAAGTCCATCACAGCCAAGTCAGGGAGGCCAGAGACCAAGGTATGCGATTCGTCGCTCAAGAATAGCGCCAATTGACTTGATTCTCCCGCCAGGTCTTCTACAGCTCATCTGCTCAAATCGGTCGTCTGATCGAAAACATCTCTGAAGGGATGGAAGCGGGGTCTTTCAACTTTCTTCCCACAACACCAGGACCAGCTGCCTCCGCAAAACCGGCCAAATTTGTACCCTCCACAGCGTCCTCGCTCGTAGAACCCGATTGGACACTAGAAGAAACCCTGGATCATATGATTTCGTCCAACATGCGCCGCTGACTCGATTTCTCCCTGCTCTCGCTTTTTGCTATCTCTGGATTTCCACTTTACGAAGTTAATGAGGACTAATTAAATACCAGTTGTATTATATACATTGAATCAGGTTGCAGCATACATGTTGTCAAACCATCGGTTCAATGAAAGGGTAGCCAGGGTATACAGCAGAAGCGCGTCCTGGGCAAAGGTATATTGCAGCAGACCCGTGCACCGCCCGATCGCGGTGTCCTCGCGGTAGCGCCGAAATGCAGCAACTCGGACGATGGGCGTGTTCATGGCATACAACTGTCGCAGGATATCACCATCAGCGCGACGGTCTAGACCGCACTCTCAACGCACGCACATCATAGCCTCCCGGCTCGCTCGTTCGCCTCCATTCGTATTTCCGACCATCGGGGAAGATGAATGCGCGCGCGCTGCGGCCAGACCCATCAGTGCACCATTCCCACGACGGCGGACAGGCGCGGCCTACCTGGCCGTGGTCCCCCTCGATAGCAGGCTCGGTATCGAAATCTGACTCTGGTCCCCGAAGATCACCGTCCCCAGGTTGTTTCCGCGCCCGAACAGCATCGTAGCAACAGGCAGACGGTCGTTGGAGTATATCTGGATCGGTCAGCAGAGCAGGCCGCGAGCCGGACGCGCAGCGAACCGTGGTCTTAGCGCCCTGAGATTCGAAACAAAAGTAGCGAGGGCCGGATGTGTCTTCGCCGATGAGGATGGAGTCGAGAGGGTCGTCGCGGCCAGTGAAGAAGAGATTGAACGTCGCCATCCTGGTCTGCGTCGCACGCCTGCGCGTTGGGAATGACTGGCTTGGAAGAGAGGTCAGATCTTTACATGGTTCACGCCTGGCCCAGAACTTATGACATGGGAAATACTTCATCTTCACTGATCTTGCGAAGCAGAAGCCAGATATCACAGATTCGATTAATGCCGGATAGACGATTTTCGAGACAAGTGGGCAGAACACAAGATGTAAGGCGTGAACTTGACTCCGAGTCTGCAGTGCATGTCATTTGTCAAATTGACATTTCCTGTCAATCGAGAATGCTTTGCGCCACCGTGATTCTCACGTGCACGTGAATAACTTGATCACCCAACCGAAATATAAGTATGTACAACAGTCCGAGCCAACTATGGGGTGGGATTGACTTTCCACAGAGACCGTTTGCGCATTTTCCTTGTCACATGCACTGCACTGCCACCAAAGTTGCTGAGCACCACCGTTTCTTCTGCTCCTCGCGCGATGCCCCGTTTTCGAATCTCAATGGCGTCTTTGGCGAATTTGAAACGGACCTGATCTGCGCCTAGAGACTGGTTAGTCGTGATGGGGATGTACAAATAGGCTCTGTCCCACCAATCTGGAAGGTCGGGGACTCGATGACAATTTTGAAAAGATCGAATGGCACACGGGACAGCACTTGGAGCAATGCATCTCGGTCTGTGTCTGGATTTTGAGGTAATGTCACAATCAGGAAGTTGAGCACGTCGTGTCTCAATCTCTCAGCGTAAGGACCGAAGATGGACGGGTGAGTCAAGTCGGGGGTCGCAGATCCGTCTGGTATGTTGTTGATGAAGTGCAACCAGTCGTCAATGGACTCGACTGATATCGAGCGTCGGCAGGCGTCATACGCGTACGATGCCAGTTCGTCCATGCCACCCAAAGCGCGCGCACTGGCCAGGACAGCGCGGCAGTTTTTCTCGTGGATCAATCGCATTGACACTATCGTCGACTTGAGAAACGGTAATCATTGGAAGAAGACCCGCGAACGCACTAGATGAGTAGAGGTAGCCTAGAGCGATTGCGAAGCCCTAACGCCTCGAGTTATAAGAGTTCCGTGCAGAATTGCAGAAACGCACCTCCGGAGTCACTTCTGGTTCTCCTTCCAGTTGAACATATATGACACGTTGTCCATTGCTGCCTTGTGGGGACGTCGACATGAGATGGGCGAGCAACGGCGAGCGAGATAGGATTATTGCGTGTAGACGGTAGGTTGTGCCATGGCCCTGATGGCCGACATGCTGAGGACGAAATAAGCAGGTGGTCTGATTTTAGAATGCCGGAGTGCACACACAAGAATAGTGTCCGCGTAGTTCTGCCGGCATATAAGTATTTCGGTCAAAGACACACTTTTCCAACCAATTGGACGCACCCCAGTCTGGAATCCCGAAGAATACAGATGGTTCAGAATCTCAGCGTCATGGGTTTCCCTGCCACAAGTCGAATAGTACTCGATTGAGGTTGCGGACAAAGCCATTCTGCCTGTCCAACTCACAGGATGAAGCCAGAGTTGAATTCGGCGGGTTGATCTTGGTACGCGCTAGACGGCGATTGGGCTCTATTCTCCGGGTGAGTTGCTGCACCGTTTGTATGTATGCCGTTGGCTGAAGATGACGAGGGCAAGGAATTCATGTCTTTTGGTTTATGTACAGTGGAAGGAATGAAAATGAAGTCACGCGTGACGCCGGGACATTGATGGATGGTTCCCCATTTGTCCAGGGCCGATTGCCACTACTTGCACATCTCGAGCAGTTCGTGCAGCTCAACTACTTCCCCAAAAGTGCCTACAGATCCCATCGACACGAAACTGGTGAAGAGATTGTTATCGACCATTGCGTTCTTACCCTTGATGGGAGGGTATGGGGGTGGAGATGCGTGGTATTGTGGCTTGGGGTCATCACCTGCGGGCATCCCTCGTATCTGCGAGAGTTGATGCTAAAGCGGACGTGTTGGGATGGGATGAGCTTACCATATGAGAGCGGTCTGATGCGAAATTCTCTAGGAATTCGAGACCCGGCACGATTCTGAAGAGGCTGGATGGCAATGAGATGAGGTGTTCGAGACGACAGGAGGAACGAGACATGGCTGCTTGCTTGCCTCTGGTACTGGGGCGGGAGATCCATATTGAAGGTCTGGTTCAAATACTCTTGAATGTCCTCAGCGTTCATTTTCAAGTCGGTCGAAGGTAGGCCTACCTTGCATGGGGCATGGGGAGCGCAGGACGGTGTCGAAGTCATATATCCAGTGCTGGCCGCTCTCCGTCCGCAACCAGAGGACGACATGATAGTCCCAAACGACCATCGATTCCGGCCGAAGTCTCTGATGCCACAGCGCGACCTGGGAGAGAGAATGAGCAGATTGGGAGGTAGTCGCCATTCTGACCGTTTGAGTCGTGTTCGAGATGAAGAGTGCGGACACGTCGTGTTCTCGTTCGAGGAAATTCTTGCACAGTAGATAGATGTTCTCTTCACAATAATTGGGAGTATAGGTCGTCTCCGGGGGACCTGGCGGTGCCGGTAGGCACGCGCTTTCCATGTGATGACAAGATGAAGATATACAACGACAGATGTGTGACCCTTAAATGGAATGCATGTTTCCTCAACCTCGAATCCTCCAGCCGTCACCCTTGCGACTGACTTTGCCGACGCCGCCAAAGCTCTCACGAACGACGAGCCAGAGACCAGTGCTGCAGATCACATCCTTGATTTCCTCGGCGGTCAGCAACAGTCCTTGACCTGGGAGCTGATCAGATAAGGCATGTACCTCAAAAACAATGGCATACCTGGCTTCAAGGCTGCACTCAACGACCCTTGCCCGGCTTCCCGCTTCCGGACCGCCAACAACTCTACGTCTACGTCTGGCAGTGGAAACGGGACCTTGAGCATGCCGACCACCTTCGGATGGTGCGGTGTCGGGGACAGGGTCCCCACCTTGATGCGCAATCCCTCTTTCTCCTTTCGCGGAAGCTCGGTGTTTGCATTGGAGGGACTGCGACCTGTTCGGCGGACTTTCAAAGTGCATGTCCACGGCGTCTCTGAATCTTCCGGATCACTCTCGTCCCCAGAATCTTCAGGCCGATCGTCCTGGTTGAGCGCCAAGGACTGTCTTCGTTCACTGCTATCACGGACCGCATGTCCGTCCTCGGAGGCTGCAGTGGTGCTGAAGCTACTTTGCCTCGATATGACATTCAGACTGAGCCGCTTCGAGGCGCTGGACCCGATCGAGTCTTTGTTGAACGTGCTGGTCTGTTGTCTTGCCCCACTTGCTTCGCCCGCTGGATTCTTCTCCTTGTTGACCCTCTTCTTAGGTTTTCCGCGTTTCCATTCAAAACGGACCTCGACCTCGCTCACGATATCGGTCTCGTGACCGTATTGGCCTTTGACCATCCCTTTGGCCATGGATAACAGCCCTGATCCTTCGACTTTGAGCCATTTCCGTACAACCCAGACATATAGCCCAGGTCTGCCTTTCGGTGGATGGACGGGAGCAGACAAGATCGGTACCACGCCGAGCACAGGCGCCCTCGCGGCTTGTATTTGTTGGGAGGAAGGCGAGTCGTCATAGGCCAAGTCGATCGAAGGCCGGATAGGTGCGATTGCAACCGGCGTATTGGAAACAGTAACACCCGGACTGGGCGACACAGATCTTGTGCGTGAGCGGCGAGTGGGGGTTGCTGATCCGTCATCCTTATCTGATCCTTCCTTCCGCTTGAAAAGCTTCCCGAATATATGCCGCTTCTGCGCGGTGGGCGTCGGTGTGTCACTGATTGGTCCTGGCATCGCGGATGATGCCTGGGAATGGGCACTGCTAGAGACAAGTGATGCTTGGGAAGAGCTAGGTAGCTCAGGCGTGCTCGGTCGGCTTGAGCTTCTGTGTGCAGAGTGGCCTGGTGGAAGCAAGCCACCCGAGTTGCTCATGAAACTTGGCTTATGCCCAACAGTACGAGCAGAAATGACAGAGCCTGCCCCCCGCGCACCAGCATCACTGTAGACCTCGATTGGTTCCATAATTGCCAGCTCGAGCATCTCTATCCCACGCTTGCTAAAACGTGCGATCTTGGCGTCAGTGCCCGCGTCGACGATCGTATTTGTCATGACGTTGTGAGCCTGAAGATTATAGAGGGGCACAATCATCCTTCGGCTGCTCGCCGTGGAAGACAGCGAGGTAGTGCTTGCAGAGGAAAGTGTCGAGGATGCAATGGATCTGTTCGACGGCGATCGCGAAAGCGAGGTGCCGGCGTCATAGGAGCTCCTGGGTGATGCATCGGCAACCGAAGAAGGTTCCGACCCTCCGAGATCGAGAGACTGACGTGACGCGCTCGTGAGACCAGAGGGTCCGCGGGTATTCGGAGGAATGAGTTGCACTTGAAGGTTCAGAGGATGGTTGCTCTTAGCGGGCGGCGGTCGCACGAATATGAACGTCTGTGAAACTATCGAGTCAGTGCCTATGCCCAGAAGTAACAAAGACAGGAGAAATGAAGTTGCCAGAGCACACGACCTCGCGAGAATACCAGGTTCTTCTCCTTGGGAGATTGTCGGTCGCAATGAGAGAGCCCAAGCGTCTCTCAATCCAAAGCAGCCGACAGAAAAATCAGAGCCGAAAGACGTCTTGTAAGGCCTGGAGGCGCGTAGAATGTTGCCTATCGCGTCTACCACGGAATTTGATCGTCTCAACCCGCCGCAGTCAGAACATCCGACCCACTTATCCCGTCGAGACGAGCTTTGAGCAGATGAAATAGACAGAAGAGCTCACCTCGTTGGGGTTCTTGTCTTTTTTCTTCTTGAACAAGCCAGGATCATCCGCATTAGCGTCGGACTTGTTTCCAGGGTCGTCGTCCTCGTCATCTTCGTCCTGTCTGATAGCGGGTATTGGCGATTTATTAGGCGTGTGTAGTGACGAAGGAAGGAAGTTCGATAGTGAAGAGAACATGAAGGGTTGCTGGATGCTGGGGAAGAAGACTAGATGAAGGAGACGAAAGAGCAGTCATGATGTCATCAGTTACAGCAGATCCCGTTGGTAGCAAGTCACATCTCTTGGCACTCTTCAAACATCAAGCATCAAGCTTAAGCACTCCAATTACAAATCTATGAGACCATAGGACGGTAAAGGAGTCGAGTAATGTACTCCAGGAGTCAGCTACGATACATTCTATGCTAGTAAGCACGCCGCACTTCCCAGTTGTCTTCTGACATCCTGATAGTCCACATCATGAGCTACCTGCGATCAGCACATGTTGTCCAGGTGCTTGAATCACTTACTGTCTTCCACTTCGCCCCAACGTTGGATCTGACTGTTAACTTCGACATGTGCTGCCTGCGACGCTTGTTCGACTGTCAGATGCCTTTTCACCAGACCCAGCGCAATGATAAATGATTTTGTGGCATATGTTGCCCGTTCCATGGCTGCAAAAGTTGAGAACGGGACATCAAAGGTCGCCTCGATCGTTCTTGCCTGCCATTTCCCAGGGGTCGAAGGTAGCCAGGACCTCATCTAATTTCGACTTGGTCTCGTCGGGCTGAGCGCTGAGGAGAACCGAATCGAAACTATGCAATTCGATCCCAAACGTCGTTTGCGCCCAGTCTACCAAAGGATCCCAGTGAGCAGCCTGCAGATCAACCAATTGTGGGGGATAGTCTTCCTTGAAGCTGCGTGTAGAATGAGGAGCATGAAAGGTTCCCGTGAATGTGCTTGCCAGATGGTGTCCGTGTCTAGATAATCCAACAGTGCTGTCCGAACGTCACTGCGCGTCTGCTCATCTTTCATGGCGTCGATGGCTCTTGAGGCCAATGAGGTCTGTCCCGTGGTAAGAAACTGATCCCTTGACGGCGAATGAAGGCAAAGAAACCATTGGTAGCGCATGATGCTTCAACACAAGATCCTGGTTGTCCCATTCCGTCGCTATTAGTGCAGCCACGAGTGACTTGTTCGGTGGGAGTAGTAGAGTATTGCCCGAGGGTGTTTTAAGTGCACGCTTGTCGAGCAGCACAGCATATGCGTCGTCCCGTTGCCCGACCGAGACTGTCTTCCAGAATCGTTTCAATGTCGCCTCCGTACCTGTTCCGAGTCAGTTTGGGATGACAAATGGGAGAGTAATGAGAATTCACGGTTGGTTTCAGTGACAGGAGGTCCCTCATTGACTGCAGTCGACTGCCACCGAAGTCCTATCGAGCTGACGTTGATTCTATGGCGGGGAGAGGCGCACACCCGTCTCAGCTGAGTGAGCATCATTTGATTTCGAGAAAAGAGTCCTGGCCGAGTGACACCAAGCACGTGGTGTGACACACGCGTCTGAGGAGTCGGACTGTCCGCTCATCGGTATCGTCATGTCCCCGTTACCCACTCCTTCGCGAACCGTAGAATCCAAGTTCTTCTCTCCTAATAGTAAGAAATCGCCATCAGGAGCCTCCTCCGCTGGCGAGCCCCCGACCAAGAAACAGAAAGTAACACATGGCACTACGGGCAACGGGGGCCCTGCTCCTCTCAGCAGAGGTAAGGGACCGAATGGGACCGACCTGGCGTTGCAACCTCTAACCTTTCCAAAGCTACCAGTGATAGCTCCTTTGACTCTTTCATGGCAATGGTCAACCCCGGTGCTAAGAAACCGACCGCGAAGAAGTCCGTTGCGAGGAAATCGGTTTCCAAGAAATCTGTCACAACACGACCGACACAGGAAATACGCAGAAAATCTTCTCTTAATCCAAGACAGAGCGGGAACGAAACTGAAAACGAAGACGAGGACGCTGACAACCACAAAGCCTACACGGATCTGCAAATTCAGGTCAAAACGATACGGGACCAAAACCCGAATGCAGTCCTCATGGTCCACGTTGGCCATAAGTACAAGTTCTTCGGGGAAGATGCGAAGGTGGCCGAGAACGTGCTGGGGATGAAAACTTGGATAGAGAAAGGAGAATTGTGCGCTTCTGTGCCGCAACACAGACGGGACGTGCATCTGCGGACGTGGGTGTTACAACGTGAGGTAAAGTATCTGGGCGCTGAATCATCCCAGACTTGTATACCGAGGATATCGAGTCGGGATTGTGCAACAAGTTGAAACTGCTGCACTGCACAAAGCGGGGAGCAACCGGAACAAAGTTTTCGAGCGCCGTTTAACGAAGATGGTCACCTCAACGACGTTCGTGTTTCCTTGAAATGCTTTCAATGCTTGAGCTTGCGCAGTTACATCGACGAAATCGATTCTACCGAGCTCACAGCACCTTCGTTCTTGTGTATCGTGGAGGAAGTCTCAGGCTCGCGGGACAGAGTCAAGGTCGCCATTGTTTCAATATCGGTTCATGACGGGGAGATTATATATGACGCTTTTGAGGATGTGCCGATGAGAACCGAGCTCGATGTCCGTTGCTTTGATTCCGTTCCGCAGACGTGTAATGATCTCCAGGCAAGGCTTGCTCATTTGCAGCCGACCGAAATTATCTATCCTCGCAATCGATTGTCGACGCCGACTGAGAAGATGATCACCCATCGCATACAGTAATCATGGTTTGATTATATGGTTTTTTTTGCCTCAACTGACCCCGATTAGATTCACAAATGACCACGGCGGTTCTGCTCGCATAGAACCTTTCGACGAACTCGTCTCCTACAGTGATGCATTTGACGTGATATCGGACCTCTGCTCTGGCTCGGAACTCCTGGCAGAGATGACAGGATTGCCTCGTCCTGTGGTTGTTGCCCTGGGCTGCACTATCAAACACCTGGCGTCATCCGAAATAGTCTCTACCCTTTGCCGTGTCAAACTCAGCCGGTTTACATCGCGGATTCACATGCTTCTGGCTGCTAACACTCTGTCCAACCTGGAGATCTTTGAAAACGACACGGATCACACCCGCCGCGGGTCACTTCTGTGCGCTCATCTGCAGTAGCGGAGCCATCGTTTTATCTGACGTCCGACTGGCCTAGTTCTCTGCTTGATCGGACCGAAACCCAATTTGGGTCGAGGTTGCTCAAATCTTGGATTGGGAAGCCATTGGTAGACAAAAGGTACCCGGCTTTGCCAGCGCATGTTCGAAGTGTTACTGATCGCGTCAAATAGAGCACTCCAAGAGAGGATCGATGCAGTGGACGAAATCGTGAACAGCAACTCAGACAAGTTCATCCTCCTGCGACAGGCCCTCTCAAAGTTGCCGGATCTGATGAGAGGGCTCAGCCGGGTTCAATCCCTACAGGTCAGTCTTTGCGATGAGACCCTCATGCGTGGCTCACCGGGATCGTCCAGTGCACGCCTAATGAATTAGTCATCATCCTCACTGCCTTCCAAAAGCTTGGTCGGATTTTCCCTGCGACAATCGTCGAGGAAGACACCCAAGTAAAATCGCGAATGCTGAACGAAATCCTGTACGCGTTGCCGCCGCTTGCGAAACCGGCGCAGCAGCTGTTGAATTGCATCCACCTAAAGATGGCGAAGGAGGGCAATAAGGAGCTGATGTGGGTTGACCCTGGAAAATATCCTGATATACAAAAAGCCGCAGATGAAGTGAGGGACTTTGAGTCGCAGATCGGCCGCGAACAGGATGCTGGCGAGTTAAACCTTGGCTGCTCTATGTCTATCTCTGACTGGATCGTTCAGTTCGGGAACTGTTAGGGAAACCCAGACTCGAATTCAAAACAATTTGGGACGAGGAGGTAAGTATTGCCTCTACAAGACCTGTGCCATGCTGAGAACTGTTGTCAGTATGTGATCGAGATGCCCAAAACATTCAAAGCACCCGAGAGTTGGCTCACAGTCAACTCGTCCAAGAGTTTCAAACGATACCGCACTCCTGCTGTCGCACAAATCTTGGAGGAGCGCGCACAAAGTCACGAAAGGATGATGGTATGCTCTGACGGGTATATCCGCGGACAGCCGTTGATGATGCTCCAGATTGCAGCGAATGAAGCATATCAGGTCTTTCTGAAAGACGATGTGATGGAGCACTACCCCGTTCTGCGACATGCAGTCGAGAAGCTGGCTCAGGCCGACTGTCTGACATCTCTCGCTCATGTCGCGACCCAGCAAGATTTCACCAAACCTAAATTCGTTGAAGACGGGGATGTGCTCGAGATGATTGATGGGCGACATCCGATGGTCGAAGTCTCGCGACCGGATCCGTTCGTGCCAAATTCGATCTCCTTCAGTCGAGGTCGCTGCAAAGTCGTTTCAGGTTTGCTGTTTTCGTTCCCGATACTCAAGCATTCCTCTGACTGGACGGACAGGTCCCAATATGGGAGGGAAGAGCACCTGTGTCCGGACAGTGGCGCTGTTGTCTGTGATGGCCCAGATTGGGAGCTACGTTCCGGCCAAGTCCTTCAAACTGAGTGAGTGCATGCGCTCGAGTCTGATGCATCGAAGCTGAGCAGACCGTCTACAAGGCATGCTCGATGCGGTTCTAACGCGGATGGGCGCTTCCGATGACATCGTCAGAGGCCGCTCGACGTTTATGGTCGAAATGGCGGAGACGAGTGAGATTCTGCGCACAGCCACGTCTCGCAGTCTGGTCGTCTTGGATGAGCTCGGGTGAGTAAGCTGGATCTGAGCAGCGTTTGGCAGGACACTTATCGACATCCCCACCCAGCCGAGGGACGTCCACATTCGATGGGATGGCTATAGCTCACGCTACCCTGGAGGAGTTGATTTCCACCGTGCGATGCCGGACTTTGTTCATCACCCACTATCCCCTCGTGGCAAGACAGCTTGGGCAGAAATATCCGGCAACTCCAGAATCTCCACGTCGGCTATCGCGCTGAGGAGCAACGCAAGCGGGATGGGAAGCGTGATGTCACATTCCTGTACAGATTGGAGGACGGGATAGCGCAAGGCAAGTGCCCTATGCTTAAAATGATAACCTCAGCTCGATTGACGCTTTGGGCAGAATCATTTGGGGTGGAATGTGCTCGACTGGCTGGTCTGCCGGAAGAGATCCTTCAAGTTGCTACCAAAAAGTCTGCGGACATGGAGACGACGGTGATCGCCCGGATGAGACGTAGAATGGTGCTCAAGAGAGTGGACGTCTTGAAGGCTGTTCTGGAAGAGCACTACCCGATGGCGAGAAGAAGACACACAGCCTTGAAGGGACATATCTAGCTGATGATAATCCATTCGATACACTACTTTTTGCTCGTCTTTTTACGCTTGGCCTTCGGCGTTTCCTCCTCGACCGCAGCAGCCTTGCGCTTTCCGTTCGATGCCGGCGGAGACGCACACAAGTTCGCGCACATCTTTTGCAGGCCTACAGAGCTCTTGAACCGCTCGGATTCGGCCAGCTTCTTGGCCAAGCCTGACCAGCTGGCGAAGTCCCAGCCCTTTTGAGCGGACAGGCGTTGAGCCAGCCGCACGGCGAAGGCCCCCAGTTTGAGCAGATCCTTCATTTGCGACGGCGTGAGTGTGATTTTGTCAGAACAGGCTTCGTCCACTGTATGGGCAAGTTTCCCGCTGAAAGCCAGCAGGAATTCCTCTGCCTCCTCACGCTTGTCCTGCGCGATGTTATCAGCATGACGGCAATCATGCAATCAAATGCTCACCTCAATCGACGAAATGCGGGTGAGCAGCGGCTGGACGAGTTGCAGACACTGTGTCCGGCGGAAGCCATTCACAGCCTGCTCGGCGAATGTGAAGATGTCATTTCTGAGCTCCCACATCTCTCCGGGGAAGCGGTTGATGGCGTCCGTGAAGAAATGGCCATTTAGCGCCGAGTTTTTGCGGGTGGCAAAGTCCTGCAGAGAGCGCCGGTAGACGTCGACCACGGCCTGAGCGGATTTGGCGTCCAGGAGGACTTTGGCAAGATAGAGGCTGCACTGGCTCAGCGTGGGAAGCAGTTCGGCAGAGTGCAGTTTCTGAGCCCGGGAATGGATCTGGCTCAGCGCCGACTTGGCGGGTTCCGAATCCCCGACAGTCGGGTGCTCCTTGCACTTGGCAAAGCGAGACCGCACGATACCGCGGGCCTTGTCAGTGAGATGACGCTCGTCTACGCTGGAGCCCAGAGACAGCTCGATCAGCGGAAGGAGAAGATCGATGGACAGCGGATTGCTGGGTTCGTTTTTGAGGAAGGTGTCAACAAGGTCCAGGACCCGGTTCTTGAAATGTGTTGCTTCACGTTGCGCGTCACCGTCTGATACAACGTCAGTCGCAGAGTCGGACATGCTAAAAAGTCGCCACCCACTTTTCCCCTTTTCGTCACGAGACTTGAAGAACTGGGCGAGTTGTTCGTCGATGGCAAGCATCTGCTCGTCGTCCATGAGGTCTTCGTCGTCGTCACTCGCGTCGTCGTCATCTCCGTTCTCATCATTGTCTGAGCCTGCGCCGACTCCATTCACACGCAACGCCTCTTCGATCTTCTTCCGCAATTCAGGGTCAACCTCGTCATCGCTTGGGTCCTCTGCAAACTCGATTTCGCTATCGGAGTCGTCCTCTTCCTCCAGATTACTGCCTGCTTCGTCCTGTGATATGTCCTCGTCTTCGTCCTGCGCGAGTTCGTCTGGATTCCGCCGCTCCAATTGCTGCACGGGATTAGCGGAAAGGAAAGCGACATCAGAAAGAGACGCACGGAGAGCATCAATTCAATCGTGGAACGTTGCGCGGAACCGGTCAACAAGGAGAAGACTTGAGTGCCGAGGGTTCGGATGAACGCGGTCCCTTTTTCGAGGAATCCAATGATGCAGTCGAGCATTACATCAACGGGCTCTGGCGCCGACTCCTCTGCACCTGCTTCCTCCTTGGCGGCCTTTTTCTTTTTGCTCTTGCTCTTTTTGGGGGCTGCAAACATTCTGTCCGTCGCATCCAAGCAATCGCTGATCACTTCCGCGTCTTTTTCAGTCGGCTCTTCGACAAAGAATTGAATCAGGACACCCAGCAACAACAGCTGGGCACCCTGCGCGGCGGGCTCCGGCAACTTAGATATTTATGAGCAGGCGTACGAGAAAAAGGCCGATGACGTACTGCTTTCAGCCTGGTAATGCCTTCTCGCACTTTTGTCGCCAACGTCAGGTCATCCTCCTCAAATTCTGATAGCAGTGAAACACGCTTCGAGTCCGCCTGGAGCTTGTCTATACTGCCGAGGACCTTGAACAGCCAGTATTCACCGTCAGATGCGACGCCGGGACGCTTGAGTGGCTTGTCTTCGGCTGCAAGGCGTTAGATTCAGAAAGGAACGAGAACCGAATATGTACCAGTTTTGTGGGGTTGAGTCTGTGCCAGCAAGTCAGCCAGGCAGCTGAGCAGTCGGGTGCGACACTGGTGGCGCAATTGATCGGAGAACGGAGGACTGGGGATCTGATGGATCTGCCCGAAATGGCTCAGTCTGAGGCCAATAAGATGTGGCCATGCCAACTTACAGCCAGGAAAGCACTTTTCTCAGATTTCTTCTTGACAAGAAACAGGCCGTGGACGGTGAACCAGTCCAGTACAAGCATCGTGCATTCGTCGTCTTTCGGCACCGCCCCATTGTGGATCAGCGCCGAGAGCTGGTCGATGATCCACGAGCGACGCGAGTTCAGCGCGTCCACATCGACGTCCACTGCAGAGTTGACCTGAGCGATAATGTGGTTGATGTAGCTTTTGATTCCATCAGCGCTCATCGATGTCAGAATCGACTCGACAGTTTTCGATTTGGTCAGTTTATCGAACTGCTGGCTGCCATTGACACCGGTCAATTGCAGAATCAGCGCGAAACCCAGCTGGGGACGAGTTTTGACGAGATTTTGGATGTCAGTGGACTGCGGATAGTTGGTCAAAGAAGGATAGGTTCCACATGGCCCACGTACGACTTGCTTGGCTACCTTATGCAGATACCGATCCGAGTGCGAAAGATGATTGATCCAGGACCGCATGAAGTTCTTTGTGAATAGCAGAGGAATGTCATCCTCAGTCATACGTGGCAATGCCTTGCGGAAGACTTGGAAGCCAGAATACTTTCGCTCTGGAGAGGAATTTGACGAGAATAGCGACTCTGCGAAGGTTGAGGACAGGTAGCATCAAGAAAAAAGAATGAATATCACCGTCAACAACAATCCTGAAGAATTCCTGGAAAGAGCCTTTGGTCGTCGAGATTGAATCTGGACCAGGCAGCAATTGATCGAGGATGGCACTCCAGACGAAATGTAACTGAGGGTCCACGATCCTGCAGCCGACTTGGGCACTCCGTTTTCCGAATCCGCCTCCGTAGTTGTGTCCTTGTTTCACATAAGCCTCGTCTGAAAGGGATCACAACAAAGAAACTCACCTTCAGAATCTTGCCAATGGCGGGCAGATTCGTACTAGCAAGCAGGTCCGGAGATTTGAACGGCGGGCAGAGAAGCGCGCGCCAGTCCCGCTTGGGATTGGTGTTCTGGAGTTTAAGCGCGATCGCGATCTTTTCAGGCGACCAGGGCGTGTTGGGGTTAAACACCAGCTCGATGATCGCGTCCGACGCGCTCTCCTTCCACGTCACCTCAGAGGCTTTCAGGGCATCCATAGCGAGACCGAGACTCCACCAAGCGCTTTCCCGCAGCCACGATTTCTTGTCCCCCAGCGCGATGAGATGCGAGACCGCGTCCTTGAATGCGCTCGAGGAAGATGCAGAAGTCTCGGACGAGGCGGAGAAGGGCAGTGGTGTCGTGCGGACGAGCAGGCCGGATTGGATTATTGCAGTCAGACCGAAGAGCCTTGCAAAAATAGCGTCCCGCTCCTCTTGGCCGGTCATCGAGCCTTGGGATTTAGTCGCATCAACCACGAGAAGAAGAATCTGAGAGCAGGTGATCGTGTCCAGTCGGGCCAACAACTGAAATCACGCTCAGTGAGAGCGCGGAACGATACATGGGATGCCGCACCTCAGTCAGTGCAACCGCGAATCCGAGCCGACTGCTTTCCCGAGGGCTGGAAAGACCTCGGATGAGTCGGCGGATGGAATAGGAAACATCCTGCGCGTTCAAGTTATCCAAATTGTCCATCTTCTCGTCCTCATCCTCTCCGTCCTCTTCGCCGTCCGTGCCAGAGGCATCCATAGATTCTTTGCGAACGAATTGTGACTGAAATTGTTCGAGAGCCCCAACCAGCTTGACCGATGCATCGAGACGTTCATCCTTCGAGGCTGAGGAGAGGTGCCAGAACAACGGCAGCGTCGTCGACATCTCGTGCCGGAGGTAGCGCAGAGCAACTTTTTCACGAAGTTCTCGGCAATCACCGTGATAATATGATCACGATCATCTTGTTAGTTCAAATTTGGACACTTGCTCCGGCCTCCCGGAGCTTTCATACCCCCATGTCAGTCAGTTCCCCTGGTCTGGAGAAAATCCCGATCTTATGTGTGATTTATTCGCCGTGTTATGTGGTACCGCGTTATGCGGTGATTGCTTTTACCCCCTTCAACACTTATCCGCCTTTCGTAATGCCGATCGCCAAATTGGCGCAGTGAGATTTCATTTCCAGACATTTCCGTCCTGAGAGCCCATTCGGCGATGCAAATGCTCTCAATAGTGAGATGATGGTTTCGACTGTAACTCGAAGTGCTGGAAGGACAATGCCATACGCCGCGCTATACATTAATCATAATGTGCCCAGTGCCCTTTGACACCCATTCGACATTTCTCACAATTGGCTCTCGGCCCCATCGAGAAACGAGGTTTCCTGCCACCTAGCGTGCCTAGGTGGGAGAAGGAGGAAGTCGGGGATATTGGCATCGACATGGAGTTTGTTTGAAGGTCAGGCGTCGGAGGGCGGGTGGGCGACACCAGAATCGGCGTTGCAGGGAGGACATTGATGGCGGGCAGCAGGAGAGTGCTGGATGTCAGTAACGGGTGGGGATGTGGTAGGTGTGATGAGGATTGGAGCTGCAAGGAGGAGGGTTCGGAGAAGGATGTCGGTGTGTTGGCCGAGAGCAGGTACGGTCTATCGGTGCTTGGTGGCATCTCCTCGTCTGTGTCCACTGCCTGCACAACGCCGTTCATAAGGTCCGATGGATGAGCTGCAGACATACCATGAATTCATCCGTGATCGACGAACATTCCGACGCATTTCCGCTGATACATGTATGCAGTGGACTGTCTATGGATAGGCCACCAGTTTGTTGGACCCAGTCTTCGGATGATTGTCGACTTTTGCTGATTGCGAGGGTCCCGTAGGGGCGAAATGGATGTTCCGAAGTACCGATGGCAAGAGACGGTCGTTTCTACATTTCATGTGTTAGAAATGCGGGCTTTGGCTTTTAGCAGTGGTAGCGCACTGAAGGTCGCTCGGATGGGCTGTCAGGCGAGCGAGATCGCTTGTTGGACACACAGCGATTTGCACGGAAGGAGGGCGAGTGCATTTCCATTTCCAGCATTTTCTGAGGCTATTGGGTTTTGTTGTATGTGTAAGGACGTGGGCAGAGAGGATCGACAGGAGAACGCCCACGTGCTTCTTTATATTGACGCGTCAGGACGCGTCAATAAATCCAATCAACGCGGAGAACACAATGTAGCTACCGCTTTACATGCAATTGCACGCTTACAGGATTGGCAAGCCCAAGGTATCATCACACATTTCATTTGGTTTCTTCGTTACAATACACCAGGTATCTTAGCTAAGGTATACAACAAGACATCATTCAGTAGAAGTTCCACCATAGGTCGCACCAGGCACTTAGGCGAAGAGGCTGCTGCGACGAGAGACGAAGCGCTTGGAAATGAAACCACAGCCGGTCTTGCCGGCTTGAGTTTGTGCACCGACGCCGGAGCAGATGCCGGACGGACCGGCACAACAGCCAGAGGCACAGTCAGCGGCGCTCAGGCACTGCCCGCCGATGAACTGGACGCCCTTGCCATTTCCCACGTTCTTGACACCGGCAGGGTCAAATGCAGGGCCCCCGACGTTGGGAGGAGGGGCGGCCGCGGCCGGGGGAGGAGAAGCAGCCGCGGCACCGTTGGTCAAGGAGCTGGATCCAGCGACGAAGCCGCAGCCGGTTTTCCCAGCTTGAGTCTGGGCACCGAGCCCCGAGCAGATGCCTGACGGACCGGCACAGCAACCAGAAGCACAATCTGCCTGGCTCAGGCACTGTCCACCGATGAACTGGGTGCCCTTGCCGTTTCCGATGTTCTTCACGCCAGCAGGATCAAATGGAGGGCCGCCGACATTGGGAGGCGGGGCGGGTGCTGCTGGAGCAGGAGGTGCAGCGGCAGCTGGGGGCGTGGCACCGTTGTTCAGAGAACTGGATCCGGCAACAAATCCACAGCCGGTTTTTCCAGCCTGAGTCTGAGCGCCGATCCCTGAACAGATACCCGACGGTCCAGCACAGCAACCGGAGGCGCAATCTGCCTGGCTCAGACATTGTCCACCGATGAACTGGGTGCCCTTGCCGTTTCCGATGTTCTTGACACCGGCAGGGTCAAATGCAGGGCCCCCGACATTGGGTGGAGGGGTAGCCGCGGTCGGGGAAGGAGAGGCAGCGGCGGCGCCATTGTTGAGCGAGCTGGATCCGGCGACAAAGCCACAGCCCGTTTTACCGGCCTGAGTCTGGGCACCGACCCCCGAGCATATGCCCGATGGGCCAGCACAGCAGCCTGAGGCACAATCTGCCTTGCTCAGGCACTGCCCACCGATGAACTGGGTGCCTTTGCCGTTTCCGATGTTCTTGACGCCAGCAGGATCGAATGGGGGGCCGCCAACGTTAGGAGGAGGAGCGGCGGTGGAAGCGGCAGCTGGAGGTGCAGCACCGTTGTTCAGAGAGCTAGACCCGGCAGAGAAGCCGCAGCCGGTCTTGCCCGCTTGAGTCTGCGCACCGACACCAGAACAGATGCCGGATGGGCCGGCACAACAGCCAGACGCGCAATCGGCGGTGCTTAGGCATTGGCCACCGATGAACTGGGCGCCTTTGCCGTTTCCCACATTCTTGGCACCCGCAGGGTCAAATCGGGGGCCGCCGTTAGCCTGGGCGGCGACGTAGGAGGCGAGGCCAAGTACAGAGAGGAGCGTGAATGATTTCATGATCGTGTCGGGCGTTTAAAAGAGAGGGCGAGCACCGGGCTCGAGAAGAGAGTGTGGTGAGAGAAGTGGGGGAGCTGAGAATGGAGCCGGCTGGGAATCCGCCATTTTATGTCAACCTTCGGAGCAAAGCCTCGCAAAGCACGATCGCAACTGATCGAGTGCCATACAATCTTTGCTGACCTCGTGATCAGATCACACTTGAATCCTTCGATCTGAGATTCCGTCAAAATTCCGTACTCTATTCCAGGGTCGTGCTTTGTCCCGTAGACATCGTTTTGTCTGCGTCCCCTTCACGCCTTGTTAATCGCAGCCAGCTTTTTCTGACCAGTTCTTGCAATTTTGGCATTGCTCCGGATGAGTTCTCCTTTCAAGATGGCATTTGAAGCCATGGGGACAAAGGGGACAATGGCGCATATACTCATCTTTGTTCGCATGGACGACCGTGGACGGCAGGAACACGTCGTTCTCGTTGGCGCAGGGTCAGGGATCTCGCCAAGTAAGCTGGTTCACCAGTTGTGACTGTTCACTGCTCTGCAGACTGGGCCACGCTCGTCGGGCAACAAGGAGGTGGTGTGAACCTCGGAGCTGAATTCTGCACGGATCTTGTGCCCGCACATCTGAGCAGCGTCTGCGCCGTATTCTGGACTCGCGGCCATGCCAGGCCGTGGTGTCCCGCCTACACGATCATCCGAATGTGCTCAAATAACGCCTGTGTTGTCACTGTCATCAAGCATGTATCAATCTCCGACTTGACCCTCTTCTCCCAGGTCGTTGCCATGAATGCTTCTGGAATGACGCAGTACTGCCTTTAACCAACGCCTCGGCGTCGGCATTCTCAGAGAATCACAGCATGTCATAGTGGTACTTGCAGCATGGAATATATATGTTAGTTCCGAATCGCCAAATCAGTGGTGTTTGTGCTTCTTTTCCTTGTCCTTTTCCTTCTCTTTGGTTTCGTGCGACTCGGACTTCGATTTTAGCACAGGCTGAAAGATCATCAGGAGAGAAGCGTGAAGGCGGTGATGACCTACCGCGCGATGAGGAAACACAGCAGATTTTGCATGGTTCACAACAAACTGGGGCACTGCGATGAAGTGGCTGGGCGGGCCGCCGGGTTGGTGATGCCTGTGTTGTTTGTTGCCCAGCGATGCCGCCTTTTGCGTAACCCAGATCGGGAGCGGCTGTAGCTTTTTGTGCTTGTGAAGCTTGCTTCGATGTTCGTGGTGCCTCGAATGAGAAACAGATCGACTTGTGCCAGACCCGGAGGCAGAACGGGTGTGAGACGGCCCTCGGACCCGACTGCGCGATTGCGAGCGCCCACGCTCGCCGTCCCGGTGTCTGTCCCGGTGCACATGCGTGTGATGGTGATGGTCGTGGCTTTTGCTCTTTCCGACCGGGATGTACACGGGTACTATGCGTTGGTGATGCTGGGATTGATGCTGCTGACGCTGGGGCTGCTGCGAAGATGGGGGTGGCCGTACTTGAGATTGAAACGGCATCGGTGGAATGAAAGCGCTAGCTCCGTGCCCTCTACCTCGATCTGGGACGTGTGGTGTGTCGAACGAGCTGAAACCACCCTTCCCTCGCGTGTCTTGCACCCATTCCGAAACACGCTCTCGGCCCACAGGCGTGCTCCAGGTCGGCAGTGATTGCGCTAGACCGATGTTCGTCCGGCCCATCGCTGCCCGCAGTGCGTCCATATCATCGTCATCGCTCATGTTCTGGGGTGTCGAGCCCCCCCAGACCGAATCCACGGACGCCGGGATGAAGAACGAGTCGCGCTCTCGTGAAGTACCGCGTTTCATCGCCGACCGCAGCGGTCGTTGGATGCGGTGAGTCGGGACCGCGTCCGATCGGGATCGTGGACGCGTCGGGGGTGAGTGTGCATGGAAATATTCGGCAGCAGCTGGGGCATGGTAAGCAGCCGGCTGGGCTGCAGGTTGATCATAAGACCATTGACTAGTAACCGGATTAGCTCGGTAGATGGGCGGAGGTTGCTGGTAAGCTTGTTGTGAATAGTGCTGGTGGTATGTGTTCGCGGCCATCTGGGTGATGGTGGTAGGTGGAAGAGATGGCAGAGCCTTGTGAACAACCTGCATCCAAGCAGGCCCATCGCCCCTGTTATACGCTCATCTCATCTCTAGCCTCGTGTTGTTACTTGATCACGGTTAAAAGATAGTCGGTCTAAACTCGGTGTGGAAGCTGTGGTCCGACGTTCTGGAAACTTGTATCTTTGGATGCGATACAGCGTTTGACCGTTCAGAATGTTCGAGATGAAGCCTACTGCTATGCAAAGACATTTGAACAGACAAACCGGCGCCGAAAGAGGCGCCTATGAATACAATATGTCGCAAGAACGGAAGTGCCGTGGGCGTCTGAGTGCAACAGAAGCGACACGACCAAGATGTGTACCAGTCTGTACCAGTTGTGGTGGCAATACAGCAGAAGTGGCAAAGCTTACTGAACATTTGAAGGCACTCGTAGTCACGAATGATAAGCAGATGTAACCCTTTACAAGACCAAGTTCTACATTTTGTATATCTACTGTACACTGGCGACCTTCTCACCCTTGCATCTGGAGGGGCAGGCGGGGAAGACGGGGTTCGTCTGGGGCATACGGCTCGTTGGTTTCCTCGCGGAGCATGTCGTTGAGCCAGGCGCCATTGGGCCGCAGTTTGACACCACGAGAGTACATCACCGCCACTGGGATGCTGGGTCAGAGACGCACTTCCAGAGCAGATGGATCGCATACAGTAAAGCCAGGCAGCAGCATTTCCAACAGTGCCAACTTCGTCCGAGACATGGGTCTTGGCGTATTGGCTCATCTTGCGGTACAGGTCTTCGTCCGTGAACAGGTCGTACAGATGCTTGGCGACCGCATCGGTGCCCGCCGGACCCGGAGTCGTCAAGAATCCAGACTTTCCGTGCTCGACTTGGAGCGGAATGCCTCCAGTAGCGGCAGCAACAATCGGAATCCCAGCGTGGACTGTAGGCCGTCGTCAGCGAGAACTTGCAGAGAGCGGATGTCAACGAACTGGCTTCCGAGACCTTGACCTCGAATCCCTCCCGAGTCGACAACTGCAGCGCCACCCTAGCGTTCGCCATAAGAGCGTTGAGCACTGATAGAACGATCCATCAGAAACATGTAGACACTCCAACCATATCACAAACACTGGTCGCTCGGAGGGAGACGCATGACAACAATGTCCGTCGCATACTTGCTATATGCGTCAGAGTGAATCAGCTGGATCACTTGATCGTAGATGATGCTAGCCTGTGCTCCCGGATCAGCCTTGCTTGGGTGCACACGCGAGCAGGGACCGTACGTCAGGATCGTCAACAGCCCCATGTCCAACAATCAACAGTTGAGGAATGTCCTCCTCCGAAAGATTGGGCCCCAACAACTTGCGGAACTTGGCATATGAGTCGATCACTTGAGGGATACCCTTCGCAGGGTCGAACCGCGCGATCTGGACGAAGTAGTCGCGGACGGGCCACTTGAGCTCGTTCATCTTCTCCTTGACACACAGGTTGCGGAACTCGTTCATGTAGAAGGCTGAGTCCCAAGGATCGAGCTCCTTGTTAAGACCGTCGAGGAAATCGGTGGCTGCCCCGAGGAGAGCCAACTTTTCTAGAGGGACATCACTGGGGACGAACTTGCTGACAGGATGACTGATGAAGAGGTCTGCAAGCTGGATGTTGTTCCAAAGATACTGAACAGATGCTTCAGTGACTGCCTTCAACTGCGGCGTGTGTGTGTCCACTGACCTTCCAGACTTCCTCTTGGGGTGAACCAGCCACGTGCACCAAATCACTGCGGATTTCGATGTGCGACCGATAGATGATGGGCAGATCGGGGCGCAGTTTTTTGATCAGAGGAATCAAACCCGGCATTTGAGGATCGTCCTACGCCCTGTCAGCAGAGCGAAATGAAGTCACGCGGGCAAGTCACGTACAATGAAAGCGATGTCAACACCGCCCTGGGCCAATGGGCCACCCTCCGCTGTCCAGCGCAAGCCGTTCTTGAGAATCCACTCATCGAACTTGTCTTTGTTCTCCTGAGTGAGTCGCAGATCGGGTGAGGCGACACCTTGCAAGATGTTGTGGTTGTTCTTGGTCGTTCTGAAGACAGTCGGGCTGGGGTTCGGCACATACCTGCGAATGCGTCAGTGTCAGTGTGAGAGTGCCAAGGCTCGACGGAATCCTTACCAGGCAGCGTCAATGTCAAGAAGAGAGAGGAATCGGATGAGAGCATGTCTCATGAGCGCGACACCACCTGCAGACAGACTAAGGTCGGGCGATGGCAAACAGCGTTTGATCCTCACCACCCTGAGGAGTCGACGAAAAGAACCCAATCTTCACATTCTTCTCCCGCAGCTCGTCGGCAAGCTTGATGACCGCGTTCCACGTCCTTGGCAACTGTAAGCTTGTGGGACAGAATTTAATGGCCGACTCACCCGGAGCGGACGGTATTCTTGTACACGTCTAGATCATCTATCAAGTGGATCTTCCCGCCAGCGTCGACAGTGACCTGATTGCGGGGGCCAATCGTCAAGCGGGGATTGTTGTTAGGCCCAAAATACATCAAGCATTTGCGTGCAGCGGAGTCCGCCTGCTCGTCGACCGTGCGAGGAAGAGGAAGACGGCCGGTGGCGCCGGGGACATTCAATTGACCGGAGGGTACATGTGAGCTGTCCACAAACATTGTGGGTGTCTCTGCACCAGAAGGGACATAACTGCCCGTGGTGGATGAGATGCGGTGTTTAATGTTGGGGCGGGTTACAGAATCTGTGTGGAACGGCTTGATGTTGAAAACGATCGGGACAATGTCCAGATCGAGCCAAAGGCGGGTAGCCAAGTTCGGTGCTTCCTTCAACAGCGAGACAGTGACACCAGCACCCAAGAATTTGCACAGGTGCTCAGCAGAGAACTTCCTGATCGTCTGGATAACGAACGTCTCGATATCCTGTTGCCTGGGCTCAGAAAGGACTAAGATATAGCGAGATGAAACGACGTACGCTGGCTTTGTTCTTGCCAAGGGTGATGATGGCGGAAGTAAAGTCGGTGGAATATACTGAGTCGTGGATGGAGAGCGCGATCTCGAACTTGGTCGCCTCAACATTGGTCCCCGCGATCCCAACCCACATGGGCTGCGCACCAATGAATAAAGACGCGTCAGACTACGAGAGACCACTCACAGTGAGACTCGCAAAAGAGGGTGGAACATTGGGCTTTTGCTCCTGTCCGACGCTGCTGAGCCGCCGACGAACGGCAGCAGAGAGGACGCTCTGGAACTGGTTTTGAGTTTCGTGGGACATGGGGAGACACGATGAGGAAATACCTGTCCTCGGAGCCCATTTTATATCGGACGGCTTGTGGGAAGCTTTGAATGGAGTTTCGGCGGTCATAATTGAGTAAGTGATCTAAAAGTGTGGGGTTGAACGAGATCCTGCGAACGATCCGGATGCGGCCGCGGTGACCCGCGACTGGTGCCTTGACTCTTCGAGATGTCTCTTGAACACGACCTCATCTTTCAGCCGACGATGGCTGCGATGAGCGGAGCAGAATCGATGTGTTTGAGAAAGCTGGGGCACGTTCCAGGCCCAGACCTTAGACTAAATCGAAGTCTCTAGCAGTCCAGGTGTACACCTCGTGTTGACTAAAGAAAAGCCGGGTACGATTTAGACGATAATGGGCGTAGAACGGGATGCGAAGGTAGGCTATGTCGTAAGAACTCCTGGCTGAAGCTGGCGGACGAATCGAAGATCGTCATCTGATCCAGTCGGCGAATCGCGAATCACATGAGCCAAGCGACACTTGCCCAGAACGACTTGTTCGCAGGACTCGTTTACCTGCTTGCAGTTGACAACCCGCTCCCACTCGCTCTTCTGATTCTTCTATGGTTGCAACGTGTTGACCACGGGAACATTCCAAGGAATACATCCTTCGACCCCATGGCGCCTGCAATCTGCAAGGCATGTGGCAACGCAACACTTATTGACGACGACGCCGGACTTGTTTGTGGAAATTGCGGAGATGTCGCGGACCCGAATCATGTCGTTCTCTCTATGGACGACTTTGAGGGTCGGACATTCGGGGGTCCCAAGATTCTCAAGTCTGGCAGGGGCAGAGTCCTACCTGGTCAGAGCGAACAAGCGAGAGACGCAGCTCATCACGTATGTCATGTAGCATCTCTCGCGAATGTCATCGCTGACAGAGTCTCGCAGGCCGAAATGAGGGAAAAGTTGACTCGGCTCGCCGATACGTTGGGGGTGTCAGACAAGCTCGAGCGGGCTCACAATCTCTTCAAGAACGCCATGAACACCGGGAAGTTTCGCTGGGGCCGCACGGCGAGGTTAGTCGCCGGAGCCTGCCTTTCTATTGCTTTGCGTTTTGACAATCGTCCCGAATTGTTCGGGAATATCGCTGATCAGCTCGAGGAGAAGATCACCACGGTCACTCGCGCATTTTCGTCTGTCGTGTCTGCTTTGGAGCTTCGAAAGACTGATGGTAGTGCACCACCTCTTCTTCCAACTTCATTGCCGCGTTCCTACATCGCCGAGCTTGGAGTCCATCTCAGCTCTGCCCTAGCGAACCCCGAAAGCTCTGGAATCCCTGCCTCTGCTGTCACTTTCCTTCGAACACTGTCTTTGAACAGCATATCGGAGACGGCGCGGGCTCTGTCGGATCTAGTAATGGAGCGAGATCTTGCGTCACCTGTTGCTTCTCTACCTGTTCCTGCAACTGCTTGTGCGGTCATGCTGCTGGCTATCGAAGCTGAAGCACGGACCCCTTTCTCGAACCTGGGGGAGATGGCTTCGTTCCTCGGGTCGTTTGTGCGACACAAGGGGCCTCTGATCATGGCAAGATACAAAGTGCTGCAAGATGATCTCCTCGGCCGCATCCATAAGATCGAATGGTTGGACCACTACGAACCAAACAGTGGCAAATGTGGGCGGGCCAAGGTGCCTCGTCGGATGGTGGTAGCTCGCGGAATAAAGACAGTTCTGCATCGAGAGAAGACTGAGGGCAATCGTGAAGATGCTAGCTGTGCACCGCGGCCTCAGAAACGACGCAAGATCGAGGCATTGCAGGTTGCGACTTCGTTCTTGGCGAATCCCCTCGTTGGACCGTTGCCGTCTTCATTTCTGGTGGCGCCTTCTGGCACTCAGGTGGTGCCTCTCTCGTTGCCGACCTATCTTCTCACTACCTTCCATTCGACTCGGGAGAATCAACTTCCATCACGCTTGCGGTTGCTGACGATAGCCCGTGGAGGAGTTGGGCCGGAAGAAGTAGGTGACGATGAACTGTTTGACACCGGGGAACTGGAGAAGATCTTTCGGGCCCCTGATGAAGTGGCCCAAATGCGGGTTCTTCATGGCTGGGATAAATTGGATGAAGAACAGAGCCCTCGCAAAGAACCTTCGAGAGCCAAAGTCGGAAACGTGGCAAGGAGGTGCCCACGACTTCTTCTCGGTTGAACACCGAGGCTGTCGCATTTTTCTTCGGCGACGACAAGGATGACAGAGATCTCGACGAGCTGGTTCAGTTTGGATCTGATGACACTTCGGACCAGGGGTTTATGGCTGGGGTGCCTCGAGCATTGATTGATCAAGACGACGACGACGACGACGACGCACTTCTACTGCCTATGCCGGACGATGACTACGTCGTGGATTTGATTGTCGAGGACTAGTCGTAATGAAATAATATGTACATTAGACGGTTTCCATGGGTATTCCCTCTCTCCTGGGCAACAACGAGCTAGGATCCTCGTCCTGTCGCCAGCCGTCTCTCGGCGCATCGCGACGTACGGTGCCTTCGAGAGGTCCAGCCTGGTAAACATCAGCTTCGTCGTTGGAACGGCGGAATGAGTTCGATGGGCGATGGTGGGTAGACGGCTCCTCCTTGGCGATTCGTGGGGCATAGGGAAGATGGCACACGTCGGACGACAGACTGGGATAGTACTGCCGGTACGTGAAATACGACACGACAGTCCCCAGAATCGAACCGATCAGGACATCCTGCCAGTGATCTGAACGGCTTTATGTTGAAATCAGATTCGCAGTCGCACTCACGGCGGTAGTCCATGGTTCTCGAAATGGCAACTAAAGCAGCACCGGCGAAAGGGGTAAGAAAGATCCATAGTTTGGCCTAGCCGAGTCGATGAGTATACATTGATTGAGAAGTTGCGGTCATATTGCTCACCGCGTAACCTCGCTGATCAAAAAGATGCAATTTGCCTGCCATATAGAATGCCAAGAAGCCCAGTCCAGCGAAGGAGAGAGTCTGTAACAAAATTGAGTCACAAGACACAGGGATGCAGGCAGTGCATACAGCGTGACCAGACGGGAAAGACCGAAAACCGTCCAGCATAATGTAGTCGTCGCTTGGTGTCGTGCAGATCGTCGAATTAGACAGCCCATAGATAGGGTCGACAGATCCCGCGGTAGGCTGGCAGCGGTCCAAAAGGTCGGGACGAGGCCGGCCTACCGTCAACTTGGTGAATTGCGTGATAGAACCGCTAAGAGCCAGTGCCAGGACGACTACATCGACGTCAACATGGTACCAGATGTGAAATTTGAGCATTGACTGACGTCCCAACAGACCTGCTGAGCGTCAGAATATATATATATAGTGGAAAAATGGGTGGCGCACTGTTATGGAGATCCCACCAACTGCGGACGAATCCTGCATTGATCAGAACCTGTGCCACAACAGGGGCAACGACAGCGATGAGGTAGAGGGCTAGGATAGTATATATCAAGGTCTTCACAGTAAAGGAGCAGCTGAGAGGTACCAAGATTCTAGGGAGACGGTCACTGAGAGGAACATGTGCAATGGCATGGACACTCACTGGCACGCGCTCATGGACAGCATACCTAAGACACGATGATCATTTGAGCGGAGGAGAATGAATCGGAAAGCACGAACGTATGACGAAGTCTTGAAAGGACGGTCCGGGGTCAATGTAAGGGGATGATGCTGCGCGGAAACATACGAAGTGTCCTGGACGGAGAACTGACGTCTAAAGCCGTGGATCTGATGATTCGATGAGTATGACAGAGGATTTGTTCTGTGGCTGGCTTACCTTGTCGAGAGAGAAGAAAATAGCTCTGTAAAGAGCATCGCAGGCATCATTGGATGACAACAACCAAGGCCACTCACGCTAGGGCGAAGGTAATAATCCTGTGGCGCAATAGTCAATTCCGAACTGAGCTATTTAGAGAGGGCATTTTTCACCAATCGGGGGCGTATGAGAGCAGCAACTGCAATTGGCGGCGTCGTGCTGGCATTGCAGAGTCAAAGTGGATATAGCCTGGGTTTTGTGACATGGGAGCCACAGCGTTGCCCAGTGCTTAAATATCGACTGCCAAGAACTTTCGGGTCAATTCTTCAAGCGATGCCGCAACAAATGGCTGTGCTCTGGAGCCCCAGATTCCAGTGTCTTCAAGATAACCGCACGGCCGAATAAAATATCTGAGAGTGTCTTCGACATTCTATGTAGGATATCATGGGCCGGACTGCTCGGCGGAATAAACAAACTCTGAAGCGGACCTCGTGAGCATTGGCAATGATGTAATGACTCTGAGCATCAGGAGCCAAATTAGGTCAGAAAGAGGCACAATTGAGATGGTCCAACTCTGCGTCCCTGCACCGACCGGATATGACGAGGATGATCGCTTCGAGAATGACGGAACTTTCAGACAAAGGGGCATGGAGCACGGGCCGTCATGCATCTGGCCAAGAGGAACTAGTAGTCTGGCGATATCTCTTGATCATGATGTCCCCACTGATCTGCAGCGGCACCACGTGATAGAGCTACTAGCACCTGATGATGATGGAGCAATCACCGATCAGTTTCTGAATCTGACCTTTTGCGATCGCATGATGGATCGCGACGCGATTTTGAAGCACGTCGCGCTCACAGACACTCTCAAGTGAGCTGGACAGCCTATATCCCACTCTAGTGCTAACCGTTACTCAAGCACGGAGTGGTCGCATCTCCGCACAATCATCAAGGAGAAAGTCACTCAGGTTTGCATGCTCTTCTACCACGCGTTTGCTACCGCCCAAATGGCTATCGCAGAATGTTGAACTGTTTCTATCGGGTTCCGACAAGCCTCCACCTACCCCGACTTTCTCGCCCTCTACGACCCCGTCTGGGGGTCTCAAGTTGCCGCCTTTCCCGTCCCGTTCCCCAGTGGTGCGCACTCCAGTGAACTATATGACAGCAGAGGAAGCGAACGAGATGAGAGACACTGTTTTCGGATTGCTGGACTCTTTCGACTCGTGTGTGGCCAATCGAAGACCTCCTTTTGTGTTCTCACTGAAAACCGAAAGAAATCCGCCATTTACAGTTCAGAGGCTATGCGAATTGTGCCTCTACCCACAGAAACAGTATACATCCGTGGGAAAGTATCTGAGGGCAGTAGAGAAGACCCTCCTCGTCACATCGACCCTGGACTGCTTCCCACCTCTCACCGAAAGCGAACTGGACACGACCGTGCGGGTCATGGTTTCCATCGGTTTCCCAGCTGTCCCAAATACGCCAATGTTTTCTCCTGTATCTTTCCTCCACAACGATGCACGCCGCTCCAAATCCCGCAGCCCTCCGCCTTCGCCCTTGATCCTTGCGGCCGGTGCCGCAGAATCACATCCCGAACCATTGGAAACCAAATCCCTGGGCTGGTCGATGAGCTCGATGATCCCAGTCCAGGACATCTCAGTGAACATCCAGTCGCTCTGTCCTCGGTTACGTCGACGGAGGGGACAGCAGTCGGTGTGCTTAGCGACAGGTTTGTATCCGCACATGAGCAAGAGGAGGAGCCGCCAGTTGATGAGAAGGAGGGCGACAAAGAGAATGCACAAGTGTAACTGTTTGTATTATTTAGGCGTAGTCTCGTTTGATGGTTTCGAGTAAAACGTTCATGCGTTTCTTCATGTCTGGCTGACCGCGGCCGTGGCCTCGCCCCCGACCGATGGATGAACCCCCTCGCTGGCGTTTTCCTAAAGGATCGGAGCGGTATGTGTGCAAGGAAGCCGGAGAGTAAGCTTCGCGAGCAAGATCTCGGGACGTCGGCTGAGATGAAGGATGGGATTGTTCTGTCCGGCGGCTGGATTCCCCCTGACTCTGAGAGCGGCTGTTGGATGACCTGCCATACTTTGCAGGTTTAGGAATTTTGGGATGCTGCTCGGCCATTCCCAGTTTCGTAACTGTTGCTTCATCGGCACTGTGAACACGATTGTCGCCAGCATCATCCTCAGACCCAACACGAGACTCTGAGTGCTTTACATCCTTGGCCACCCGAGACCCTGATCTCCTTTGCTCAGCCTTCCATTGACTCTTGATTTTAGCGTTGGTCACCCAAGCTTGTTTTAGTTTTTTCGCTGCGCTGGATTTAAGAAAGAGAAGAGATATGATGCGATTTAAGAACCTCTGTTCGACGGCAAATGTTGGAAAGAGGGAGGATTTCTCCGCTTTGTACTGTTTTCAGCAACAGCGGCCATGGTGGTTGTCAAATCGAGGCAGCCCGTGGCTGTGGGGATCAGCATCAGAGTAAGTGACACTTTCATAACTCTGCTCCAGCCTTTTCCTCATCCGTTTCTCCCTCACAAACAACTCCCACTCAGTTCTTGTATTTTACTCATCGCATGAGCGTTCAGAACTTAAACTCTTTCGGTTACACGAGCTGCATTCCATCGATCTGCCTCATTCTAATGCGGATACAGATCCTTTTGCTGAGGAAGCAGATCCTCTTGGAGACAGCCAGGACGTTGGATCTCAAGCCGACTATATCCATATCCGTGTACAACAGCGTAATGGACGGAAGACTCTCACGACATTGCAAGGGTTGCCTAAACGTGTGTGGATGTACTACCTTGTTCTCGTCTGAAGTAACGATCGGCGGCAGAATACGATCCCAAGAAACTCCTGAAAGCCTTCAAGAAGGCGAGTTGTCAGTTCTGTTTGTGGCATGTCATATGAACTGTTTTTGTTTAGGAATTCGCTTGCAATGGTACTCTGGTCGACGACGAGAAGATGGGACAAGTTATCCAACTCCAAGGCGATCAGCGCTCCAAGATTTCCACTTTCCTGATCGAAAATGGGATGGACAAGACGACCATCAAGGTTCACGGTTTCTGAACATCTCTTGTAGCGTACCTCTTATTCAGGTCACAATGTATTCTTCGACGCGTCATACGAATATTTTCATCATGAATTAGGCCTAACATGTCCAACATGTCCAGTCTCTGAATACTACGGACAGCTTTCTCATTCTCACTTGATCTTATCCAGTGGCCTGAGATGAAATCAGCACTCGATAATCTTGACATTCGCTGCATGAATGACCTGTTGAAACCTCCACGACTGCAGGCAGATGTGTGAGATTGAGAAATACAGTCGAAGATCTGCATACCGGTTCATGTATTGGCGCCATGTTCTCTGTTTTTTGATATTCACAGCGCCCTCTTGGTTGCCTTCGATGTGTTTTCCCTGAACCGAAAATCAAGCCAGGCAACCCAGAATCTGTCCATAAGGCAGACCTTAGTGGATCCAAACCCAGCCATACCCATCATGGCCATCATCCCTGCATCATCATCCATCTCTTCGCCCTCTTCCCCGTCAAGCATAGGATCGTCAGGAGCGTCCGGGTCGAGGTTGGGACGTTTGGACGGAGGAGCTTTGTTTGATTGTCAGCGTGTGATATGAGTAGGGGACTGTCGCAAAACACACAAGGATGAGCGGGTGCAGGAGCAGCTCGTTCCGAGTCTCGAAGGGCGCCAGGGCTCCGTGGCCGAGGATGGCGCGATTCGGTTTCTCTTCTGGAATGAGAACGATCATCATAGTCGCGCGCGTCCTTTCTGCGACTGGCACCATCTCTTCTATCGTCATATCGCGTTTCTCTGCGGTCTAAAGCCTTCAGAGAGAATATACATGCGTGCTGCGCGACACACCTGATCCGCGGTTGTCCTGTTCATCGCGTCTTCGTGGACTGCGCGAACGACTTGAGCGGCGTCGGGGTTCATCACGATAGTTCGGCCTGGCTCGTCCGGAGGCCGCCTTTCCCTGTCCCTGTCCCTGTCCCTATCTCTCTCTCTTTCTCTTTCTCTATCACGTTCTCGTCGCTCGTCGCGCTCCCGGCTTCTGTCGCGTCGTGGATGATCCGGCATGAAAGTGAGGTGACACGGTCACGCGTGTCACGTATATCTATGGCTTCCTCTTTACGACGAGGCACGCGTTATATTCCTGAAGGCAAGCATTATGTTCTAACAGCAGTTGTTTTCGTCTGACTTAGTTTCAGCCCTCAGACAGGCAACTCAAATCAGACTGTCAAATGTTCCCAAAACAGCCAAAGCTTCAGACATACGGCGGCTCGTGCGCAATGCGCAAGCGAGAGGCGTCGAAAGCGGTATTGCAACAGAATTTTCTCAGGTTTGTATCACTCCAGCTAATTTTGCCATCAGTTGCCATTGAGTATGAACGATTCGAACCCACTGGTCGAGCTTTGCTTCAGTTGACGCACCCGCAATATCTTCATTTCAACCTCGAGAATCTAGAAAAACCGTCCATATCTGGTGTTCATGTCCTAGCTGAGCCTTGTGCACGAAAACCTACACCATCAAATCCTTACGGAGTCGGACTCGATTCCGAACTCGGTTCTCGTGGCCAGGACGTTGTTTTGTGGGGTTTCCCAAAGAATTTCCGGCCTGCCATGCTGGACGTGTTGTTGAAAGACTTTCGAGTCTTGCAGGGACAAGATTACATATTCAGCGTTCCGCCGTGTGTATTTAACCTCCATTCCATGACTTCTCTGACTCTTTCCAACCTCAGTCCACCGAAAGCGTTTGCAACCGTTAGTCGATTCCGCGTCCGGCTGGAATCTCCTTCAGAATCCCATAGATTGGTGAGGCGATTGCACATGACAAAGACGACCAGAGACGGAAGCGATTATCTTATACGAGCTCGTGTTATCTACTGAAGAACTGCACTGGATTGGCACTATGTTACATCCGATCACTCTCTTCAATGTCAAGACGAGACCGTTGACCCTGGAAAATATTAGAAGGATAGAGCGATGTGGGAGTTCGCTGACCCTGGGATTATCGCCTTCGTCATCTGGAGAACGCCCACGCTTCGGTCGTGACTCTGCACCCTCTGTGTCCTTCCAGTCACCGCCCCCACCGGCCACAGCACCAGGGCCATCCTGGGCGTCGGCATATCGTTCCTCCACCTCTCTGCGCCGTTCTATCTCAAGCCGTTGTGCTTGTGCGCCCCAGCCCCCACGGCCCGGGTCATAGTCCTGACGGTGTTCATCTCGAACTTGTCCACCACTCTTCCCTCGGCCAAACTGTCTGCCCTCTTTGTAGCCCAAGTCCAAGTCGCAGCGAATGATGCGCTCGTCCAGTTTCGTACCACTCACGTACCGCATGCTCGCAAGGGCTTCGGCATGCGTATAGTATTCGACGAAACAAAATCCACAAGGAGTCCTGCCTCTGAGATTAGCGGAGCTATGACATGGATTGAAGTGTAGCACCGAGTGTTCCTGTCCAGTCCCATGATGATACGCTTGATACCTCCACCTTCTTCTGGGCTGGCACATTTTGTAAACAGGTCGTATATTTGCTCCTCTGTTGTGTAGAAACTCAAATTACCGATCTACACGAATAAACAAGCAAAGTCGAGACAGGAAGAGGGAGAACGACCTACGTATAGAGTTGTAGATTTCGACAAGAGATCGTTTTGCTTGTGACGGTCCATACGCGCCTGAGAATCTTTGTAGTTGGAGGGCTGATCCAAAGGTTGCACAACATGCGCCATGATTCCAGAGTTGGGACGAGATGGTCGCGTCAGACAACTTGAAGAAGATAGTTTGGCGAGTGGCAGTGTAACCGTCACATGTGCAGGTGACGCGTACGCACGCGTCGCACTCTCTCTCAATTCCTCTACTTACATACAGTCTGGTTATTCACCCTTGATTCTTGCGGTCATGGAAGAAATCGGAATCGAACTGCAGAAACAGGTTAAGCCTATCAGATGGACTCATTGTGTTAGCTGACGCGCAGGACAGGAACCTACTTTTGAATCCGTGGTCACCGAGAAAGTGGCGCTCTTCCAGGAATTACAGGAGGAAGATCTGTACATCAAGTACAAGAAGCTCTCCCGCCATCTTGAGATGCTTGAGATACAAGAAGGATACATCAAGGATGAGCAAGCGAACTTGAAGCGTGAACTTATCCGCGCGCAAGAGGAAGTGAAACGCATTCAGTCCGTTCCCTTGGTCATTGGACAATTCTTGGAGCCTATTGATCAGCACACCGGTATCGTTGGATCGACCACTGGTTCCAACTATGTCGTACGCATCCTGTCAACATTGGACCGAGAATTGTTGAAGCCTTCCTCCTCGGTCGCTCTCCATCGGCATTCCAATGCGCTTGTCGACATTCTACCACCAGAAGCCGATTCTTCTATTTCTATGTTAGGAAAAGAGGAGAAGCCAGATGTTGGGTATCATGATGTTGGTGGGATGGACTCACAGAAGCAAGAGATCCGGGAGGCCGTCGAGCTGCCTTTGACACACTTCGACCTATACAAGAAAATCGGTATCGACCCACCGCGTGGCGTTCTTCTGTACGGTCCTCCAGGTATTCGTCTCCCTGTCTGGTCGCAGTCCTTTCCTGATTGAACGGAAGGCACGGGAAAAACAATGCTTGTCAAAGCTGTTGCACACCACACTACAGCTTCTTTCATTCGAGTTGTTGGCAGTGAATTCGTGCAAAAGTATTTGGGAGAAGGCCCTCGTATGGTTCGCGACGTCTTCCGCCTGGCTCGAGAAAACGCCCCGGCCATCATCTTCATTGATGAGATCGACGCTATTGCCACAAAGCGGTTCGACGCACAGACTGGTGCCGACCGAGAAGTGCAGCGCATTCTGCTCGAGCTGCTGAATCAGATGGATGGTTTTGACCAAGGGAGCAACGTCAAAGTGTGTTTGATTCTGTCTGTTTCTGGAGCTCTCTCAAATATCATGCAGGTCATCATGGCTACAAACCGAGCGGACACATTGGACCCAGCACTGCTCCGGCCAGGTCGATTAGACAGAAAGATTGAATTTCCTCTTCCATCACGTCGAGAGAAACGACTCATCTTCCAAACGGTCACAAGTAAGATGAACTTGGGCCCCGATGTTGACCTCGAAGACTGTGAGCACTGAACAAGTTTGTCTATGCTTCATCGCCATAACAAGAGCACAGATGTGTCGCGACCTGATCGGCTATCCTCTGCTGAGATAGCATCTATCGCACAAGCTGCTGGACTTCAAGGCAAGTGGGCCACTTGTCTTTCCAGGTCAAACTAATGACCACACCAGCTGTCCGCAAAAATCGTTACGTAATATTGCCGGTGGATTTCGAAGAAGCTTGGAAGGTAAGTTTGCAGCTGTTTGAACCTGCTGACGTGTCTCATCCTCTTTCCTCTTACTCTCATCTCAGCAAACCGTCAAGCGTGGCGATGAAACTCACGAATTCTGTGCGTCTTTCCACTTCTTGTGCTCGTCATGCCATGCTCATCTCTACTTGTGCAGACCGGTAATAAGTACTTACTGTGAGTCGTCCCCTCATCGACAAGTTTATTTCTCTGACCATCATCCTTCAGTGTCTTGTCTTCGCAGTTTCAACCATCTTTCTCTACTATCTCGCGTGATTTTCTTCTCCGCTCCTACACTTTGCGTCCCTTCTCGTTCAGTCGAAGCGGCGATCATTCAGGGGAGCAATATGACATGCAGACTACGGTCCGGTCTCGCATTTTCATAGTCCAGTCCACATTTGTTTTGGTATGATAGGGTTGGCTCCCATGCGAGGGAAAAATATCTGTTCCTGTATGTTTTTCTCTCTTGAATACATCTTTTTTGACCATGTGTGATTTCCTGCTCGTTTCTTTTTTTATCTGCTCCTCCACACTCTGGACGGCGTTGTTTCCCACACGCCTGTTCTCATTTTACGGGAGCAATAGGAACCCATCTCGCACAGATGCTCTCGTAGCTGGTGCCGAGACCAGGCTTATTTGCGATACTCTGGATTCGATGGAGGGTAGTAGATCGGCGTAGGGCACATGTTTTCGAGTTGAAAAATATGATGCTCTAATCTTTTTTCGGCTGACCCAACTCGCTGGCCCGTTCTGTGGCAATCTGAATTGCGCGGGCAATCGTTGAACGCACACGTCCGTCCTCCATAGCCAGTAATCCAGCAATTGTGCATCCGCCGGGCGCTAATGAGCATCGATCAATCAGATCTACAGCTACCTCGGAAATCAAATCGGGCGTACTGGTTACTGCGTCTTTCAGTTGCGCTGGGTGAGTGCCGCCTTGCAGAACCATCCGTGCTGCACCTTGCAGAGCTGAAAGACACAATCAGCAACAAGAAGTATTGTTTGCAAAAAAAAAAACATACTTTGAGCAGCCAACTCCAACGCCTCAGCTCGTGGCAGTCCCATCATCACTCCACCATCGGCCATGGCCTCGAGGAAGATGCAAGCAAATGCGGGCCCAGAGCCAGACAGCGCAGTGCAGGCATCGAAGTGCTTTTCGGGCAGGAAACGCACACGCCCGATTGAAGAGAAGATCGTATTGGTGATGGCGCGGTCTAGTGGAGAGGGAGGGGGTGAGTCGGAGATTGTGGTCATCCCTTCACGAATCTAGACCTATCAGCTGCTCGCAACGAACAAACGAAAGAGGGGTGACCCACTTTGCATGGTGTGTTGGGCATCGCACGAATAACACGGGTTGTGGGAGTGACCCATGCTGTGAGCTGCGAGATGGTAACTCCGGCAAGAATGCTGATGAGCAATTTCCCTTCCAGCGCCTCTTTCATTCCCGCTTCACCCAAGATCGTGTGGGCAATCTGCGGCTTGCAACTGAGTCGTTCGGTGAGGCAAACGCGCCTATGAGCCAAGAAATTTACCAGAGGAGGATGACATCCGATTTTTTCACTGCGTCCAAGTTGCCGCCTGCAATGACTGCGACCGAGGAAGGGAACACGGATCGCAGACGCGCTGCACTCTCTTCACGAGAGACGCACGCCATAAACGAGGTCGGAACAGATTCGTCGTCTGTCTCGACTGCGGGCGTCACGGTTCCCGGCGTGTGAGAATCCCACTTGGCCTTCTTCGAGGAGGACGAAATGTCCGACGGGAGCTGGACACGCGGACGGAGACTGTCAAGAACACCGGACAGAACGGCGATGCCCATAGTACCACATCCTAAGTAGCAGAACGCTCAGTCAGACCAACAGCTTGAGTACGAGAGAGAGGGGGTGATGGCTTTCCTAGCACACAGATTGTATAGCCCATAGCTGAGAAGCGTGCGACCAGAGAGAAAGCAAGTACCCCGAGTCATAATCGATTGTCTGTTACGGCCCAGGTGCAATGCAAATAACGCGCAAACAGTGTGTCGAACGCGACCACGTCAACTTTGTACCATGCTCGCATTTGTCACTGTAGGAACGTTCGCCTTCGACGCACTCATCGACGGCATTCTTTCGGACGTAGTTCTCGATGCGCTGTATGCGCGGGGATATGACGCATTGTCTGTTCAGTGTGGGCATTCCAAATACGTCGAAGAGCTACTTCGAACCACGCCTTCTGCTTACACGCGTCGCAATGTCAGCATCTCACTCTTTGCTCCAAGTCGAGCCTCTCGGAGGACTTCAGCACCGCAGACCTCGTGATTGGGCATGCGGGCGCGGGGACAATACTGGAAGTACTGAGACTGAACAAACCGCTCATAGTGGTTCCCAATTCCTCTCTCCTACATAATCACCAAATGGAGCTGGCCGCAGCAATGGCAGGGCCCGGATATCTGATCCTTGCGGGTATCGAGTGCGTTGTTCACATTCAAAACCATCCCTTCGGTATTCAATGGTGGTTTTATTCTAACAGTAACCTCGGCGAGCAAATCACCAATTTGGATCTGCGCAGGCTACAAGAGTTCCCTGCTTTCGACGGAAGCAGGTTTCGCGCGGTGCTTGACCAGGAGATGGGATTTTGACTTCATCCCATTGATCACGCACCTTCCCTTGGCCAGGACCATCATGCCCACTGTGACATTAACCACCCCATCATCGTCCGAACCTGCCGCTTATGAAGAGACACATGTACATCGAGTCTACGAACAGATTGCTGGCCATTTCTCGTCCACGCGATACAAGGTATCCGAGGGTTGTTTCATTGGAGCAAAGTTACGGATCATCGTTCCAGCCGTGGCCTGTGATTGCAGCATTTCTCGAATCGCTCACTCCTGGCTCTCTTGGGCTAGATGCAGGGACTGGAAATGGAAAATATCTGCCTCTCGGCCCACGCGTGTTTACTATCGGACTGGACCGCAGTCGGAATCTGTTGCAGATTGCCAGGACGGCTGGCGGAGAGCAAGTCGTACGGGAAGTCGTTCAAGCAGACGTGATGGACAATGTGTGGAGGGATGGTCTTTTCGTACGCTTTCATGTGTCACATGTCGCTACAAAATATAATCTAGTCCAGGATTATGCCATTTCGATCGCGACTATACACCATCTCGCCAGTGCCGAAAGGCGATCGCAATCGGTTCAAGTGATTGAGGTTTTTCTTGTATGCTTCTTGCGTTGATTCTTCTCAGAGATTGCTCAGGGCTGTTTCCGAAAACAATGGACGTGTTCTCATATACGTCTGGGCCACCAAACAAGACGAACTTTCCAAGCGCACGATACCGCGCGATGAACAAGACGTGTTCGTACCTTGGAGTCTGGCATCGTCGAACGGAGCGGGACCCCAAGTTCTCAATCGCTACTACCACATGTTCGCCCCTGGAGAGCTGCGTGATCTCGTGGAACAGGCTGCTGGTGCACTTGGGTTGGTCGTGGGTTCCCCCGGGAGCCACAGATCGAAAGGCTTAGAGATCGTGCAAGATGGATGGGAACGCAGCAACTATTTTGTAGAAGCCCGAAGATGGCAAATTGTATGATACAGGATACACACTGAACTGATTACTCGCTCGCAGCCATGACTGTGAGAATCGTATCAGTATCTTCATAATACGGCGATTCGTTCACTTACTCGCGTTGATCAAGTCACCACCAGAATCCTTCAATACTTTGACAGCCTTTGGACGCGAGCAGTTGGTCTGGGTCATGACCAGCTCGATATCTTTGGGGTCCAGACCAGACTCATCCGGGGTGCCGTCTTCCTCAGGTGCCTCGAGCTCGGGGATCTCCTCATCATCGTCATCATCCTCGGCGCCGCCTTGGAGAAGGGGGTTGGCACCCTGGGCGCCGCCGCCGTACTGCTGGGCAGCAGAGAGCTGAGCCTGCGAGGACATGTCCTCAACCTTGGCCTCACCGAAGACAATGTAGCAATCGCTGTTGGCAGCCTTGTACACGTCAGGGGTGGAGATCACGAGCAGGACCTATGTGTTCATGTCGTTCGTCAGCACGTGCGCGCGATGAGTAGGAAGTGGCGCACATTCTTGGGACGCCTGATAGTGACACGAGTGATGTTCCCGACCTTCTGGAGACCGAGACCGAGGAGGGCTTTGCGGGCTTTGCGCTCGGCGCGAGATTGAATCTTGTCCAATGCGGCGGCAGAGGTAGGGTCCTCGTGGTCGTGGTCATGGTCGTGGTCATGATCGTGGTCATGATCGTGATCGTGGTGGTGGTCCTCGTGGTCGGACGAGATCTCCTCGATGTGAGCGGACATCTAGACAGCGTTCAGCGCGTACTGCGAACTTAGGGCTGGCCTGCGATGCCGGTGACTTACTTTAGCGTGCAAGGAAAAAGATGGGAGCAAAAAGTTACAGCACCACGTGACCTGACAAGCTTCACAGATGAAAGATAATCAAATTCCAGGCTACAAGCGCTTTTACGCCGTTCACAATTTCAAGGATGAGAGATATGATACAAATTGGATTTACTGGAGCAGATAACAAATGAATGAGATGCAAGATGAAGGGGCTAAAGCTCTAATCAATCTCCTCCATGGCCGACGAGGAAGCTGCTTCGAGAGGCGGAGGGGCCTCGTCGTTGGCGGCGGCCTCGGGCTCTTCATCCTCGTCGACATCCAGCCCAAGCGAGATCATGCGGTGAATGCGTTTCGCGAACGAGACAGGCTCGTCGAGGGCAAAGCCGGATGTCAGCAGCGCAGTCTCGAACAGCAGGAATGTCAGATCCCGAACAGCCTTGTCGCCCTTGTCCTCGGCGACCTTGCGCTTCAGCTCCTTGACGATGGGGTTGTGCGGGTTGAGCTCGAGAGTCTTCTTCGATGCCATGTAGGACGACATCGACGAGTCCCGCAGAGCCTGCGCCTTCATGATCCGCTCCTGCAGGCATCATCAGCACCTCACATACGCAAGAAATAGACAAACATGAAACTCACCATGTTCGAAGACCACCCGAACTGTCCAGTCACAAGCACACAGGGAGAATCCGTGATACGGTTGGAGATGACGACCTTCTCGACCTTGTCGCCGAGCGCGTCCTTGACAGTTGTGCACAAGTCGGCGAACGCGGCGGTCTCAGCCTCACGAGCGGCCTTCTCCTCTTCCGTCTCCTCGAGCTCAAGCCCCTCCTTCGACACACAGACCAGCTTCTTGCCCTCGAACTCCTTGAGCTGGGTGATGGCATACTCGTCGATCGGATCGACAAGCAAGAGAACCTCGAAGCCCTTCTTCTTCAACACTTCCAGGAACGGAGAGTCGCGCGTAGCAGCGAGCGATTCTCCAGTGAGGTAGTAGATGGACTTTTGGATCTCGGGCATACGAGTGATGTAGTCTGGAACATGACAGTTGAGCATAGACAGATGAGCACGATGAACAGTGACTCACCCTTGAGAGAGGTCTGTTCGTCAGAGGACTTGGTCGAGAAGAAGCGCAAGAACTCGGCGAGCTTCGAACGGTTCTGCGCGTCCTCGTGGATACCAAGCTTCAGGTTCTTGCCGAAGGCCTCGTAGAACTTGTTGAAGTTGTCCTTGTCCTCGGCGATCTCGCTAAGCAGGTCCATACATTTCTTCACGATGTTCTTCCGGATGACCTTCAGAATCTTGTTCTGCTGCAACGTCTCACGCGAGATGTTAAGAGGAAGATCCTCCGAGTCGACGATACCCTTCACGAAGTTGAGGTACTCGGGGATCAAGTCCTCACAGTCGTCCATGATGAACACGCGACGAACGTACAACTTGATGTTGTTGCGCTTCTTCTTGGACTCGAACAAGTCGAAGGGGGCACTGTCAGAACCATTCAGCATCAAGCAACAGCGAAAAGTGCACAGCAACGCACCGCTTGGGAATGAACAAGATGGCCTTGAACTCGAGCTGACCCTCAACGGAGAAGTGCTTGACAGCAAGGTGGTCTTCCCAGTCGTTGGTCAAGCTCTTGTAGAATGCGGAGTACTCTTCTTGTGTAATGTCGTTAGGGTTGCGCGTCCAAATGGGCTTGGTCTTGTTGAGCTCCTCGTTCGTGGTCTCGGTCTCCTTGACTTTCTTCGTCTTCTTGGGCTTGTTATCCTCTTCGTCGTCAACCTCCTCGATCTTGGGCTTATCCTCGTCAGCAACAACCTCCTCGTCATCCTCGACTTCCTGCGGACACCGTGAGAGACATATAAAAACCAAGTAGAGAGACAAACCTTCTCGACCTCTTTTGTGACCGCCAACTGAATAGGGTAAGAGATGAACTCGGAGTGCTTCTTGACGATCTCTTTGATCTTCTTCTCCTCGAGATACTCGAGCTGATCCTCCTTCAAGTAGAGGCGGATCTCGGTTCCACGGCCGAGAGGTGGGTTGGTGGTGTCCGGGGTAATGGTGAAGGTACCGCCGGCAGCAGACTCCCAGATGTACTGCTCGTCGTCGTTGTGCTTCGAGATCACTTGCACACGCTCTGCAACAAGGTATGCAGAGTAGAAACCGACACCGAATTGACCGATCATAGAGATATCGGCGCCGGAGGAGAGGGCCTCCATGAAGCCCTGCAAGATACCGCGTCAGGAATGTGTGATCAGCAGATAGTGGAACGCACTTTTGTGCCAGACTTGGCGATGGTACCCAGGTTGTTAACGAGGTCGGCCTTAGTCATGCCGATACCGGTATCGCGAATGGAAAGGATCTTGTTCTCCTTGTCAGGAGTCAGACGGATGTAAAGCTCTTTCTCCGAGTCCAATGCAGTGGAATCGGTGAGCGACGCGTAGCGGATTTTATCGAGAGCATCGGAACTGTTAGAGATGATTTCACGCAGGAAGATCTCCTTGTTGGAGTAGAAAGTGTCTGTCCGTTGTTTAGACGATTGGCGACTGGGTGAAAAAAGAAAATACGCACTGATGATCAAGTCCAAGAGCTGGCTGATCTCGGCCTGGAATCCAAAGCTTTCAGTGGCCATGACACTGGGGGCGATAAGCGTATAAACAACGGTAGAAGTAGAGTGGCCTACGATGAGGAAGGATGTGGGGAGGGGGGGGATCGTGGATGGGAGCAAAAACTGAGGAGTAGAAAGAACCGTCGCTTTCTGGGCCTTAAATAAGACACAATTCCTTCGGTCACCTTCTACAGCCTTCGCACACAATTCTTCGATGGGACATTATGTAATGACTGCACGTGTAGAAAGATGAGAGCCCAGAGCCTTCCTGCATCGTGGACTCGAACCTGGAACACGACAGTTCGAAGCAATCTTTTTTCATCCCTCAGTTGAGAGGCTCTTGAATGTATTCCATGGCTTCCAAGTGCGCCAACTGATCATGAACACCTTTGGACTTGCCAGAATGATTTCTTTGTGGCACTGGAAGGTTCGAGAATCGAAGCTGTCACTGATACACGTGATCCATTCCTCCCTTTTGTACGGTTTTGACACATTTTGGAGCTCGGTGGCTACGTCGTGGGATAGCCTGCCGGAGAAAAACGAAAGATTTGAATAAATTGTGGAAGAGGGCTGATTCTCTTGACCGATCCGAAGAACATGAGAAGAACACAAGAAATTGTGTGACGTAGCGCGTTCGTGACTAATTTGTTACAGTCGAGGACGGATCAACATCTCGATGTGCTTCATCGCGCGCTCGCAACTCTTCGACCATTGCTCGTTGCTCCTCCAATTCATCCCGTAATGCAGCTATCTCATCTGACATTTCATCACGTTGCTCCTTATATTCTTTGCTTTGCTTCGCAAATGTCGCAATGTCATCCTCCCGTCGAGAACTCAGCACTGCGGCCTTGGCGACTCGTTCCTTTTCGTGCGAAAGTTGGGCCTCTAGGGCACGGATATGTTGACGCTGTAGGCTATATGGCTCATCAGCCAAAGTGGTGTCGCAGAGAATCGGACTCATACCGAACACTGTCTTCCTGTTCTTGTGCTGAAGACTCCAAGGCTTCGCTTCGCAGCCGCATCTGTTCGAGTTTTACTCGGACATCTTGGATTTCCTTGCCGCGAAGGTTGAAACTGTCGAAATCTTTGTCAAACAGCTGCTGCACTTTGATGTATTGCTGGATCTGGCGTTCATAGTCGTCCAAGCGATCAATCTTGTGCTGAGACTCCTTCTGTCTCGTTTTGAGAGCCGCAACTTCCTGATTGGCCTCGCTCAGACGTTTTCCCTGCTCGTTGAATAACGCCTGTCACAGTGTCTAGTCAGAGTGACTTCCAGCCAACGGCAGCATGCACCTGATTCATCTTTTCCGCTGTTCGTAAAGCGGCTGCTTCTTTGTTCAAGGCCTTGCTCTGGTCTCGGAAGTCTTGTAGTTTCGTCTGCAATTCTGCATTGTAATCTTCCTTCTGTTGCTTGATGGCCAGCGTGTTCGCCTTGCTCTCTCCGAGCTCCTTATCAAGAACCGCGACTTGGCTGCGGTAAGTCCGCAGTTTATTGTACTGTGGACATGAGCAATTATTTCGCGGAGGGCGCAATTACCTACTAAGCCTTGTCTCTCGACCAGAGCATCTCTGGATAGCACTCTCTCGTGATATAGTCTTCCCACGTGCTTGACATTTTGGCGCGACAACCAAACCTCGAGGTTCAGCTCGTTTCGAAGGAGAAGAACCTCTCGCTGAAGACCAGCCAAAGCTTGGTTGACATGGACAGGCGAGTGGCTTTCATCGGTGGCCGTATGGCTGATTTTCACAAGAGGATCGTCGACTGCGACATCGGAACTGAGGGGGACAATGTTTTCGTCGTTCCATCTCGAGAGGGATGCTTGCTCCTCGAAGACCTGCTCTTGGATGCCAAGCGACGCATTTCGCACATCAAGCATCATCGATTCCGTAGCGATTTGCTCAACATCGAATTCCTGCTCTGTCCAGAAGTCTGGTTGAGCCAACTCCTCCTCTGCATCCCGCCAGATAATGAGCGGATGTGCGATGTGCGATTTGAGCATCGGCTGATTTTATTGTCAGTAATTGTGAGGAAATATTCAAGAACAGACCTCGCTGACGACCCGGATTCGTTTCTCATCCAAAGAACCTTCCCATCCATCTGCATATGGACATTCCAAATCCGTCCCGCTCAAGGCGATGCTGCTGAGATACTCAACAGGTGCTCGCAGATATCTAAGCACATTGCAAGGGAACAGATAATATAGCAGCGTGAAATATCGTCGGACATTTGGTGGCATGGCAGACGCATCAAAAGATTGGCGCAGAACTTGCCACTGAAATCCATCCTTGACCTGGAGGACCGGAGCTGCAGATCGGCCAGACTCTACATCGAGATCTGTCTGGGCGCTTTCCTGGTCGGAAAATCGTGAGGGCAACCGCTCGCGCCAATATAAGATGCGGGACAGGATGATGAGAAATCGTGGAAGCAGTTTCTTGAGATCAGGAGATGCATGCACTGCAAATATTGGTAGCAATTTGACCAGCAATGTCAGTGTGTGCGTGCAAAGGGTCGTTGAGGTGTCAAGTAGGAGGGAGTTTAAGACGCTGGACATCAGCGGGTGCGATGCCAGGACGCGGACGGTTGATTCGGATTGGAATGCAGGTAACGAGGTATACAGATTAAGCAGGATAGACAGCTGCAGTCGGGCAGAAGGAGTTGCGAAGTGGATGTTGAGCTCAGTGAGAAAGTCCTAATTCGAAATATTTCTGATGTGCTCGACCATCAAGCTGTTCAACATACCTCCGGCATACGCAGTCCAAATTTGAGTAAGACAGCTTCGAGATTTGCCTTCCAAGAGGCTTTAACCTTTCGCTCTTGTGGTTCAAGTGCAGCCCATTCCAAAACATCCTGCCCCGATCCCTCGTTGAACGCGTCCAGAAGATACAGATCCACGATGCGCCGTCGCAGTTTGGATGGTTCCGCTTCACCGCACAGAGCTGCAAATACAAGATCTGTTGCCTGAATGCGGGCGGCTTCTGGTAGGTTGGGTTCCCGAAGCGCCGGGCGCAGCAGGATGTCGAACCATGAGGCGATGAGGGATGCACGGATATGGATCAACTGTTCGAGCACAACAAGAAATATTTGCGCCTGGAAGATGGAATGGTCGCTGAGCTCGTCGAATAATTGGTGGAGACTATCATCCAGCAAATCGAGGGATGGATTAGACGTAGACGGCTGCAAGCTCGAAACAATCTCGCGCGTAACAGTCGCTAGGTCTGCGAGCGTGGATGCTAAGGAAGCTGGGTTTGACTCAAGCGCGACCCGGACATGCTGTGACAACGCAGATGACATTTGTTACTTCCGCGGTACTCGTACAGTGTGAAAGAGGTTGCTGTAAGCTGGTCGTGGTTGTGTGTGCATGCGGATGAGATGAAGCATGGGTAAACAAATCAATCCGTAAATCCGACCTGCCTGCGATCAAGTCATTCCCGCCGTCTACTGGGAGAGGCTATGACTCATTCTGAGCTCTATCTCCATATCTCGTCTTGTCATGTCCCACTCAACGACTATGGAACCAGGGGAAGCGATAGGAGCTGGAGATTCTTGGCTCGGACTCAATCTGCTCGATGCAGAACTCGCGGAGGTGGCATTTGACCGTTTGCGTTCCGAGGTAGCCTTTCAACGCATGAATCATCATGGTAAGGCGATTTGATCAACCACGCGTCTCCTTGGTTAGAAGACGTCGTCCACAAGGTGGTGAAGTGCCGAGGCTGGTTGCTGTCGAGGGTGCTGTGGCGTCTGATGGCAGCTTTCCGATCTATCGACATCCGGCGGACGAATCGCCTCCGCTGCACCCTTTCTCTCCAACCGTCCAGCTCATTCGACAATATGTGGAGCAGGCAGTCAAGCATCCCGTAATTACTAGGCCCTCTTGACCCCTGAAGAGACTTATCGCGGTGTAGGTAAACCATGTTCTCATCCAACTGTATCGCACCGGAGCGGACTACATCTCTGAGCACTCGGACAAGACGATCGATGTTGTGAAAGGGTCGAAAATCGTGAACGTCAGCCTCGGTGCCCAACGCACGATGACTCTGCGCTTGAAGAAAGACAGAGAAAGTTCGCACCCGACAAACGAGCGCGACGGTGAAGAGGCGGGTAGTGTTCGGAAGGAACCCGGTCCAGCTCGCGAAACCCAACGCGTCCCCCTTCCGAATAATTCCATCTTTGTACTTGGACCGGAGACCAACGCGAAATGGGTTCATGCCGTCAATCAAGATAGACGATTGCTCTCCGTCAAGTCTGAACCAGAGATTGCATACGAAGGGGCGCGCATCAGTCTTACATTTCGCCGCATAGGAACGTTCCTCACTGGGGATCAGAGGCATATATGGGGTCAAGGGGCAACAAGCAAGTCGCGTGAACTCGCCGCAAGGGTAGTCCATGGAGAGGAGGCCAGCACAGCGCTTATTCGGGCGTTTGGACAGGAAAACCAGATGTTGGAATTCGATTGGAACTTGTGGTACGGTCAAGGATTCGATGTCGTGAACTTTGCACCCAAGTAACGGCTTGGATTCTCGCGGCCGTGAAAACGGAAGCTCGCAAATAAAATGCCATCTCTATGCAGTCTTAGTCAAGTTCCGCCTTACGTCACCGACGCGGTCGCAGCTGCGACGCAACTTGAAGTTGCTTTGTGAATCGGCTAATGTCCATCGGCTGCATCTGTATTGGGTACCAATCGCTGCTTTCTAGTTACGCGCGCTGCTTTATGGCTGGCTACTCTTTTACGCGTCTTGCTTTGTGCTGGCCGGCGGAAGAGCGGTGAAGGCGTTGCTCGCGAGGCCATTGCCTGTGATTCGATGCAAGGAACATTGGAATCAGTGGAGGCAGATCCGTGACGCTAGAGCTTGAAAATCTTGATTTTGGCGCGCAGTTTCATTGATCGCGTGGTTCATACGTGTGAAGCCAGAGACAACAGAGGAGACAGCCGCGCCATGTCCATCAGTGTGATAGTGAGGAGACGCGTCCCGTCACATCGAGTAACGAGTCACCCCCCTTTCTTCTTCCCACCATCTGCAATCATCTTCCTCCCATTGTCCGCCCGATTAGTCCTTGCTATGATTTAAAGACCTTCACGACACGTTCTGTATTGTTATCGCTCCCCATGCCGTCCCTTGTAGCGCCTCAGCCTCGCGACTCCTCTCGCTCGCCTTCCGTCGCTATTTATTCAATGCTGTCCCACTCATCGCTGTGTGGAGCCAACACTCCACTTTCGCCATCTACGGCAATCCCTCCTCTTGTCATGGTCACGCCACAACGGCTCAGATCTCCGATATCGATCAACCCTCGTCTTCAGCTGGTTAGGCCGACCATTTCCAGTGTACCTGATTCATTCTCACTCCTTCTAGGCCACTTCCACGCGCTCTTTTTGCAGTCCTCGTCGTCAGAGGGCGCGTGCATCGCGTTCGCCGCGCCCACATTGTGCCCGTTCAGACTGTCCGATCCAGTCTGCATCGCATCCTTTCGATAGCTTGTCCTGGATCTCTGCCATGGATGCAGCTCCGGATCCGAACATGGTCGATGTTGCAGACCTCTCACAAGTTGCTGCCGACGTCGATTTGGATTTTACAGCTAGTGGGCGTGCCGGGCCCGTCCGCCGCCGCAAGACCTCGCTGCGTTCCAACCCTCTGGGACCCAATATCATCGTGGCCAACCAAGGGTCGCCCCATACACCACCATCCCAACTTAATCATTCTCGCGTTCTTTTTCGCAATCTCATGCCCGTGCTTTCTTGCGATCACAGCGCACGACACTAATGCACGGCGCGCAGTCGCCGCTGGTTTCCACTTTACCTTCGCCACGCATAATCATTTGCCGACATGACCCAAGCATGATATCCCTGCCATAATCTCGCATATCGTCTTACTCCAGTATCTATGAACTGCTCAACCGATGTATCCCCAATCTCGTCTCATCTCTCCCTCATGATATACTATGTTGATATGCCAATCCCGTACTTGGTACACGCACAAGTAGTATCTATTTGCATTCTCATCTCTGTGTTTTATCTGTCCCTCTGTTTTCGCACTGCTTTACCCTCTCGCATATGTCGTTACTCAATCTGCATGCCTCTTGCACGTGTCTGCCTTGCCTGTAAATCGAGTCATACTGAACAGAAGAGTTGAATTTCTCGTCCACATATTGTGTGGTATACGCCAATCTGTTTCCTTCCTGCTGTCATGTCTGGCCGAGTCATCAATTTTGGCGCAGGGCCCTCGGCGTTGCCGGAGTCTGTGCTACAAGAGGCCGCGAAAGGGTTGCTGAACTTTAACGGCACTGGCATCGGCATCGCGGAGATCTCGCATCGCTCGAAGGAGTTCACCACGTTTCTGGCCGGTCTAGAGAGCTTGATTCGCACTCAGCTCGACGTTCCGCAAACACACAGTATCCTCTTCACGCAGGGCGGGGGCACCGGACAGTTCTCTGCAGTGGTGCTCAACCTCCTCGCACGCCATCGGCTGCTCCACCCGGACGTGCCAGACACTGAGCGGGCCCTGGACTATGTGGTAACAGGCTCGTGGAGCAAAAAGGCGGCGGACGAGGGGCGCAGGCTGAGCGGCAGCAGCCCCGTGAATATCGCTGCCGATTCGCGCTTGCATTCGGTGGACGGAAAGTCGTTCGATCGCATACCACCTCCGAGCGCATACAAGTTCTCTCCCGACCCGGCACTGATCTTTTACTGCGAAAATGAAACCGTGGACGGCGTGCAGTTCTCGGATGATGCGTCGTCGGACGCGTCTTTCCCCTTCCACCTGCTGCCGACAGACACACTGCTGCCCCTCGTCGGAGACCACTCCTCGTCGTTCATGTCCCGTCCGATCCCGCGCCTGGCGGACCACGCCGTGATCTACGCCGGAGCTCAGAAGAACATCGGCCCGGCGGGCTTGACGATCCTAATCGTGCGGAACGACTGTTTGGTGGATGTAGATGCTGCGGCCAAGCTCGGCGCTACGCCCGTACCCATCACAATGTCCTACAAAGCGACAGCGGACGGCCAGAGTCTGTACAACACGCCGCCGGTCTTTTCGATCTATTGTCGGGACTGGTGCTGCAGCGCATGAAGGATTTGGGCGGGATGGGCTACTATGAGTCGCTGAACAAGCGCAAGGCCGATAAGCTATATGCAGCGATCAAGGAGGGCGAAGACAAAGGTGTATTCACAACAAGGGTGAGGCCGAATTCGAGGAGTCTGATGAACGTGGTGTTCAATATCCTCGGCGATGGCGCTGAAGCCAAATTTATCGTCGGTGCTGAAGCCGAGGGTATCAAGGCTATCAAAGGACATCGGTATGTGTATATTCTGGAGATTGAACCCTGACTAAGCTTTCTCTAGATCTGTCGGAGGTAGGTTTTGTGCGAATCTTCAGATGACTCCGCTAAGCTCTCGTCAGGGATACGGGTTTCGCTCTACAATGCAGTCACAGAGGAGCAGGTCGACGTTATGGTGGCCTACATCAAGACCTTCTTGGCACAGGAGTAGAGACGAAAGAAAGGAAAGCAGTCATAAAAACATGATATCCGACCGAAGGACGTATTTGACTCCTTCCGTAACCTGTGATCCCTCGTGCAACATACAATCCCGTCCATGTCTTCGACCCAATCGTTAACAGGGGCACCCGAAGAATAAGACCTACGCACCGATGTAAGAGCGCTGTCCCCCTCGTAAGAGGTGGCTTAATGACCTCCCGAGTATCATCTCGGTAGAACAGCGTCTGCCAAGTTTGAGCCCAAGGGCAAATGAAATCGGGATCCGAAACTCACCTCGCCGCCCCTCACTCCATCTTCTTGGCCACTCAGATAGATCAGCAGTGTCCATTCTGACCGCGCCCCGGTCACTGCGTCCCGGCAGTCGTCGTCATAATGGGGACTGCAAGCGATTGAGTCCATCCCTATGAGTTCGAAGATTATGCCGCACCCGAAGTATTGGGACGTTGTATACTTGTAGACCCTGATGTTGGAATTGAACGAATGAGCTGGTTTTGCCACAGCAGATGAGGATTTGTTATTCTTGGAAGGTAGGAATGCCGGCAAATGAGGCGCAAACAGTTCATGCAAACATTGTGCGAATTCGGTGGATGTTACGGAGAAGCGATCTGATATGCTGGAGTTCAGATCCCAGATGATCTAGGAAGCGGCGTACGATTGTGTCTTTCCGCTTCTCCACGTTTCTTGGGCGGGGTGAGCTCGAGCGGCAGGCCGTCGATGAATTTCACAAAGGACTTGCATTCAGCAGGAGAGAATATATCCTAGTGCATAGATTTCAGGAAGAACCGGGTCTCATTCTCGTTCCGGGGAGACAGACTTCGATGACCAGAATTTGGTTTTCCAGGATAACGCGACATCGAGCTCCGTCTTGGGGGATAGAGGTGGAAACTTGATGTTAGAGCTCGAGGTTGGAACAGAACGCGTGCTATTGTCTCTCTTCCCCATAGCTTCCCAGTACAAATGATTCGGCTGGTCAATGGGAGTGCAAGGCTCACTTGGCGCAGATCAAGTGTCAATCATGTGCATCGCCACATTGATGTGAGTCTGTCAATCGACGCGTGCTCCTCAATATGCCGCCAACACTACAGCACGTTCGAAAATATGTGCATTTGTTATTATCAGACAGGCGCTACTTCTGGTGGCTTGCTTCGCTCGTGATAATCGGGGACTTTGTCTTGTCCCAGCTGATCATCCTCGTTGTTTCTTGTGCGTGATACTTGACACGATACCACCGTCGGACGCTCAACCGCGTCATCAGACACAGAGATCGACTGGGAGACGTATATGATTCAGACTGAGGTGTACATGAAGGGTGAACTGGACTACTCCCAGATCTCGGGCCCACCGGTCCGCTTGTGTATGCTGTCTTCTCCCCACAGTCCGGATGACTGACTGACGAGCCCTGCCTTGAGATACCCTGCCGGACATTTACACATACACAAAATTCTGCATGCTTTCACAGACGGGGGCCGCAACATCCCCCAGGCGCAACAGATATATGCCGCTCTGTACACTGTTTCCGTCGCGCTCACTTGCACCACGTATTGGCTGGCGGGTGGCGTGCCAAATTGGATCGTGCTCCTGTTGCCTCTCAGCAGGAGACTGCACTCGATCTATGTTCTGCGACTTTTCAACGATTGCTGGGCCGTAGTCTTCGTGCAACTGTCCATAGTTGCGTACCAAACAGGCTTTGACGATGTCGGGACACTTCTCTTCAGGTGCGTGTCGTGCCGCGCGCTGGGAAGCAAGATTTCATATGGACACAGTGCAGCTCTTTCTGTGAAGATGTCGATATTGCTGTATGCCCCAGCGCTTTTGGTCTTGATCTTCAACCGGCTTGGAGCCCTGGCAACCTTCCGCCACGTGGTGACTCTGGTCGCATCGCAGGCTATGATCGGACTCTCCTTCCTCGAGTATGACCACTGGGCATACCTGAACTCGGCGTTTGAACTCTCTCGCGTGTTCCTGTACAAATGGACTGTGAACTGGAGAATGGTCAGCGAGGAAACATTCTTGAGTCGTCCCTGGGCCAATGGGCTACTTCTGGGCATCTTGGCTGCTTGTCTACTTTTGGACTGTTCGTGTGGCTCAAAAAGATGGAGGCGTCTGGCAGGTCCTCAGGCGAGGCTTGATGAAACCCGACGAGCCTCCGCATCGCGCGCCCATAACCGCCGATTGTAAGTAACTCCTGCCAGCATCGTTGTGCGAAATTCCAACTCTGTGGTCTAGATGTGGCAACCATTCTCTTCACCTCCAACCTGATCGGCATCATATTCGCCCGATCCTTGCACTACCAGTTCTATGCCTGGTATGCCCAGCAGCTGCCATTCCTCGCTTGGAGGACAAAATATCCGATTCTCGTCAAGTGCGTTCTCTTGAATCCCAATCTTTCCTTACTGACCGATGCAGAATCGCCTTGCTACTTGCCGTCGAATATGCGTGGAACATCTTCCCGTCGACTCCCATGTCTTCCACGGTTCTTCTCATCGCAAACTGCGCGCTGCTGGCCGGAATCTGGACGGGATATCCGAACGGCATTGCCTGATGACATAGGACGTAAAAATATAGCATCAAACCCTGGTACATATTTGTTTATTGGTAACCCTGCAGATATAGATACATAAACAACCCAATAGGTAGGAGGATCAGTGAGTGCGGCCGCCGAAGGAGATGGCGAGATCACGCATGATCCTGCTCAGGTGCCTTGGACGCGGAAGCTCCTGGCGTTTGGCCGTCGTGCCAAGCGGACCAGTCCGCTTCAGCTTACAGCTCTTGCCCTTGCTCGCAGTCGTTGATGTCGACGATGAACCCGAGGCAGTGCTAGTAGGGGTCGAGCCCGACCCGGACTGAGCCACGAATCCTGCGACTGGTGGACCGGGGAAAGTATAGGAAGGAGGGGGCACATCGAAAACCTAGCACACCTCAGCAAAGCTCGAAGATCAACCAAGAAAGAGACTCACATTGGGCACCAAGATGCCGGGATCGTTGTCAGAGTAGGCGCCGGGGAAAGTCGCGAGCTCCGATTGAGCGGGCGCGCCGGTTCCACTGCCGCTCACGCGGATCTGCGTGCAGGATGGATAGAACTCGGCCCCGCCAGGAGAAGTGGCGAGGTGCAGCGCGATGATCTCGTGTCGGACGAGGTACGGGCCAGGAAGGATGTTGGAGGGCAGGGTCGCGTTCGTGGTCACCCCAGCTTCGAGGACTGGCAAACGCGTGAGCGGCCGATGGCTGATATAATAGGGCACTTACAGATGCGGTTCTGGAACCAATCCCCATTCGAGTCTCGTCCGACTTGCCCAATTTTGAACCACTTGGCGGTGGTCGAATTAAAATTGGAACAGTCGGACGTGTTGGAGCCGCAGGAAGTCATATAGGTCATGAGGGGCCCGATATTGTGTGGCCACTGCACGAAAAGAGGATGAGCTTTCTCAGGACGAACGCGATGCCGCAGGAGAGAGGTACCTTGCTCAAGTCTCCACCAGTCCACAGGAACCGCATCGTATCGCCAGGCTTCGCATCCGCGATGTCCTGCGCGAAAGCCGCGTCTTGGCCGCAGTTCAGATTTGGGTTATCGGCGCCCTTAACGGGGTCGACGAGGTCGATCTGGCGCACGATGCTTCCCGTGGGTTCAGCATTGGGGGTGTTCCCCAGGAACGTCTTGGTGCCGATCCAGACTTCGTGGACGAAGCCGTGCGCGGCAACATGCGCAGCCAAGAGGGATAGGGAGATAAGAGTCTTGAACATTGGTCGTGAGGTCGTAGATGGAGACGTAAGTTCTAAAAAAGAGGGAGACAGAGATGAGTTGCGCAGCAGCTCGAAACGGAGAGACAAGGACTTGCGGAGAAAAACTTGGGGGCGATGCGTTATAAGGGATTCAAAATGCAGACCTCATTGTCTTCGGCTGGACTTTTTGCTTTTGTTCTCTCCGAACACAGGCCTCATCGCCGCCTCGTGGCGTGCCATTGTCTGCGAAGTTTCCAGCCAATCAATGATTTGCCCCATTGTTCCGCAGATCCGTTCAGTCACGTGTCAAACGGATCAGTTTCGCATCATGATCTTGCTTGGGCTCAACCACTACACTGAACGAGCACGGAGCATGCGACGAGTTTTATGAGCGACGAGGCCAAATCACAACAGATCTTCCAAAGAGTGTGTACGGTCGAAAATCATGGCGCTTTTTCTGATCACGCGCGCAGCTCAAGCCCATCTGCGTACCACTCCTTGGTGCCTCGCATCTCAGTACTTCCTCCATCCCCGATGTCTCGCGTCGTTTAACCGAACTTCTTGATGTGCTGAAGAGTACGCGGCATTCTAGCCCCGATCTTGTACTCAGCAACTCCCTTCTGTCTTACACCTTCTATCCACTATCAACCCTCCTCTCGCGGAACCCGTTGGAGCAAATCCCAAATGGTGTACTGGAAAAGATCCTCCACTTACTGACGATCTTGTATGAGGATTGGTGGTGGTCGTGTGAGGTTAAGCTATGGGAGCAACTGTTCGTCTTCTGTGCGGGCGTCATCGCAGACATGAAGATGCCGACGGAGAAAGGAAAAGGGAAAGGGAGAGACGACGAGACCAAATGCGCGGCCGTTCAGTGCATGTCCAGTCTAATCCGACCGAGAACCACGGAAGAAGCGACGAGACACGGTGCAGACGCCCCTGCGCGGCTCGGAGAACTGCGTACCCACGCATCGGCGCAGCGCTTCATACCGATCCTCGGCCAAACGCTCGACTCCCTTCTCACCACCGCGAGCTCTCGCTCTCCTGCTTTGCAACAGTGGTCTTTGGAAGTCTTGGACATCTTGATCTGCCATTATTTCCCCGCGCACCTGACGCCGTCTGTTCTTCCTGGCGTGGTCAGCACCACCACCAAGCTAGCTTTGGGCGCGCACGAGAATGTGGGGTGGGCCAAGGGAGCGACGGTCGCCGCGTCATTGAAGGTCATGGAAGCGGTCATCGTGCAGTCTATCGGGGACGATGTGTGCATTCGAGAAGGCGCGGTGATCGCTGTAGAGGATCTGGGAGACCTCACGGAGCTGATGAACACTCAGACCAGCCGAGCTCCTTCGGACGATTCGAAACGCCCTTACGCGACGGTCCGCTCGCCCAGCTGGCTGCAGGGCACTAGTTCGCAGCTGCACATTGCGCTGAATACACTGAAGCCTTTGGTTGTGCACGAAAATCCCGTGGCACTGCAGGCGGTCATCGCGTTTTCATCCGGAGTGCTGCAAGCCACGGTGCTCACGCTTCATCAGAGCCAGGAGCTTTTGTTGTCCTTTTTGCTCTCATTGTCGATCCAACCCCTTCCCGCGGTCTCAGTCAAGGCACGGGCGTCTCTGCTTGATCTGCTGACCGTACGCTCGAGAGCCCAGCAGCCTCTGCTACAGGCGCTCATGCACAGCACTCGGGACAACCTCACTGCGCTGCCCCGGCTTCTGTTGTCGCAAGCCGATTCCAAAGTCCAGCACGTGGCGGGCCTGATCGAGGGAGTCTGCGCTCTGGGAGAAAGCTTATCAGTCGTTTCCTCCGGTTTGGCGACTCTCCTCGGGCCTACCGGAGGAATCGAACGTTGGGGATGGAGGCTTCTCTCTGTGATGGAACTGGCTGAACCGCCCCGCATATTTTCTCGGACATCTGCAGCCCAACTGATGCTCGAGAACGATCCGGACGGCGACGGAGATCCTGCGTTCCCCGAATTGACTCTCAGGAATCTGAGCACGAGGGCGGCGTATGAGTCGCTTGTGCGCATGTGGCAGTGCTTGGGGCGAGCAGCGGGGGACAGCTGTTTGTATGCTGTCGAATGGTTCATCGAAATCGGCCGGAACGGGGTTGGGATCCAGGCGGTGGCTGCGCTGTGGTGTGCTTCCCGGCTGCTTGAAGGGGTGGCCAACATTTCTCTGTTCTCTGGCACACATTCTCTCGGAGAGCATCGGAGCGCTCGACTGCAGAAACTGGCGCGATCGGTGGGGAAGCTTCTTGCGGAGCTTTGGGATCAGACCACCGAGCCCACTTCGCCTCCTCTGCAAAGTGAAACTGTAGATGAGGACTTGACTGTTCAGCTCGTCAAAGGCCTCGATCCCGTGGAAGAGAGTCTCAAGATCTTCGACTCTCGGAACCTGCCGCCGGCCAGTCGCGCACAGGGCACGTTACACGAGATTCTTTCGTTGCAGTTGCTTGCTATCACGTCTGGGATCCTCCAATCCCGGTCGACGTCCCTTCTTCTGTACACGCTGTATCCAGTGCTCCACTCCCTGGTCTCTCCCGACTTTCATCTGTCCTCGACTGCACTGGCGGCACTCAATTTCATGGCGCGACACGCATCCTACGCGTCGCCGGGTAATCTGCTGCTCTCGAATTTCGACTACGCGCTCGACGCTGTCTCGCGCAGACTGACGCGCCGTTGGCTGGACATACGGGCCACCCGAGTGCTGGTTGTGCTGATCCGGCTGGTCGGGCCGGAGGTCGTCGATCGCGCAGGAGACGTCGTCGAAGAATGCTTCGACCGTTTGGATGAGTTCCACGGGTATGATGTCGTGGTGGAGGGCCTGGTCGAAGTGTTGGGGGAGGTTATCAGGGTCATCCAGACTGAGGAGGAGCTGTCACGGGCCCACTTACCGCCCCGGCCAGTGTCGCCTTCTTTGCAGATCCCGTCTGACGATGCGCAACTCGAGTCGCTCTTTGCGTGGTTCTCCACCCGATCGCAGGAAGATCCGGTCCGGGAGGAAGAATCGCCTGCCTCTGGCGATCCTTCTGAGGAGCCGAAAGCGTCACCAGCGCAAGCCCTCACGCAGCAGATTGTCTCCCGGTCAGTCTACTTCCTGACGCATGGCTCGCCTGTCATCCGGGCACGGATCCTGAACCTGCTGGGATCTTCGGCTTCTGTCTTGGCCGACTCGTCCCTGCTACCGTCGATTCACACCGCATGGCCGTTCATCATGAACCGGCTGAACGACAAGGAGACGTTCGTCGTCGCTGCCGCTGCATCGCTGATCGAGGGACTCGTTCTGCAGACAGGGTCGTTCATGTACCGGAGAATCTGGAACGACGTGTGGCCGCGCTTCCGCACTCTGCTTGCGCAGCTGGACAAGGCAGACCGCTCCAATGCGCTCTCCCGCCCCACGCAAGCCGGGGGGACTGCCTACGCGCACTCGCACCGGCTGTATCGAGCGATGCTGCGGAGCATGACGGCCACGGTCAAGAGCATCCGCGCGCAGGACGAGTCGATTTGGCAAGCGGTGCTGGCGTTTCGCAGATTTCTGCATTCCCATGCACACGATGAGCTGCAGCGATGTGCACGCGAGTTCTACCTGGCCACAAGCCAATCCAACGCCGACCTGGTCTGGCTGGCCCTTTCCATGTCGCTCCCGACCGCTACCGATGCTAAAATGGCGTTTCTGCGCCAGCCGATGTGGGATATCCAGGAGAATGTAGCTCTAATCTTGAAGTAGTCATAAATATAAATGGACAATAATTTACTGCGTGACCCGACCGCCTATCCAGAACCCATCCCGAGAACAAATGTGCTCCGCCCGCCCCTGGGCAACACCAGCACTGTCTCAGCGCCGTGCACCTGATACGTCTCCGTGCTGGGCACAGCCATCGACCCCATCGTCACCTCGCCCGCGAGCGGCAGCGCTGTGACATTCACTTTGGGCAGGCCCAGCTCCCCGTGGTGCAGCGCAATCAGCGTGATGGGCACAGTGTATACCCCGTCGTTCCTTGCGGGAAAGTCGCCGCGCTTCCGGCCGCTCACGAGCCAGTCCCGCACCATCTCCTCGACGTCGAAGCGCATCATAAACGTCCGATCCTTGTCCGTCGAGCTCGATCCCCAGTGGAACGACGTCGAGATGCTCAGGAGCGCGGGGATGGGTTGCCCCGCATACAGCGAGGGCTCGTCTTTCCGCGTCAGCCGGATCGAGGCAGCAGCGACAATCTGGCGCAGAAAACGATCAGCATGACCATCCCTTCCTCATGCCCATCTCAAACACGCACGCTCATGTATGGCACATCCACCGGTATGATGATCTCGCGCCATTTGCCTTGAGGTTCCCGGGCATGTTTGTTCGCTCGCAGTAGCTGTGCAAGGTCGAGTCGATTGAGAAGCATAACACTTGGACGGCGGCAACATACCTCCAAGATTTGCTTCAGAGAATCCTCTTTGTCATCCCCAAACACATCAGGAACCCGCAGCTCGCCCGAAAGTCCGTAGAGCTCGACCCAATCACTGTCGTGTTCCAACGCTTCGACAAGCCTCATGATCATGCCGACCCGTTCTGCCAGTGCCGTGGAAGGGATGACTTGTCCAACCACGCTCTCAACCAAAGCTTCAACCTCTGTCAGGAAGATATCATCAGCACACGAGAACAGAATCAATCTTGGGACTGTGCTCGCCATCTCGAAGCATGCGATACCGGATCCGAAACCGCAGGGAATCGTGCACTGAGACACGGACAGGTCAGTTGCAGACGACCACGTGAGCAAACAAACCCACCAGAACCACTGGCAGAGTCAAGGCAGAAGAGAAAGTTGGTCGGCTGCGCTGGAGTCACTGTCTGCGGAGGCGATCGGTTTCAATCAAACAGGCCAAGGGTACGCCACCCACTAGCACATTGCGAGATCCAGACGAGCAAGCCACGATCCTGAGGCCATCCAGTCCTTCAGCGGGTGCTTGCAAGTGAGCGTCGGAAATGCGGACATGCTGGTGACTGGTTGTAGAGATAGTGAATTGCGAAAAGAGCCTGTGCGAAGTGATCAGGACACGGGCAGTGCCAGGCGAGCAGTCGAGCACACTTTTTGCCACGGAAAAAGTCCTGCACGTTGACGGAGATGGGAAGAGCGGTAGCGACTACACGGCCGAGTCTCAGCGACCGGGTCGTATCGGGTTCAGCGATCGTCGTGTATTCGACCTCGACATCCACTTTCTGCGCGAACAGACTTCAGCAGGATGTATCGAACCAGTGAGAGCGGAAAAGATACCATTGCATTGAAAGCAGACGCGTCTGAGTAGGGAAGCAGGAATTCAAGATTGGTGGCTTCAGGGACATCGGACAGGGCAATAAATCCATCTTCGGTGGCAATGAAAGGGGCTGTATGCGTAGTTAGACCCAGAATCTGCACACAAACTATACACACCAGAGGAGACCTGCGCATACCGGAAGGTGGCCGACGGCGCATGGAATTTGATACTCGCTTTCTTGACGTGATTCCTGCCCGTCGAGACCACCACCAGCAGCGCTGCAGGCTTGCCCAGCTCGACTGCATGCGTCAGACAGGATAAAGACGATAGGGCGAGATCGCATACCCAACGTTGGGCGATTGAGCCGCACGTCCAGAGCCAGCAAATCCCTCGGTATTCGGACAAGATTGAGACCGTTGTTGGAACCGTGTCGCGGTTTTCGATGGGTCCATTGGAACACCAAATGTGAGAGCCGGGCCTCGGTCGTGTCCAGGACGTAAGTACCAACGGAGGATGTCTAGCAAGGTCAGCTGGACACTACACCAGACCTGCATACGCACAGGGCAAAAGAGCACGAGTTCAGACTTCCCAGATGGAAGCGTCTGACATGGAGCGGCGAATCGCAGCTTCTGGGAGTCGCGACCGACTAGTATGGCAATGACCTCGTCGCAGGGAATGTCCTGGCTCGGTGTTCAATTTCTGAGGCGTCACACCAAGAAAAGGCACCCACGCAAGGAAGATGGTTGTCTACCGTTGCTACCAGAAAAGAGCCATCTTTGTCTCCTGCACTTTTAGCAGTGGGAGATATCTGAATTGAAAGTATTGGGTGATCAGGATGCGACAGATCTGCGACTAGATTAGGTCATTGTAAGGACAGCACAGTCTGATGGAGCGTACCCGACTCGAGACTTTTGGCAGAGGCGTACATGGCTTCCACAAGCTGCGACACGTAGGCTTGGTGGTCCACATGCGGCATCAGCAGCTCCAATCCCTCGGTTTCGATGAATGTCTTTAGAAAGGATAGCAGGATGTGTATCCACTCTCGATCCTGCGTCTTGTCCAGTTTGGAATGTGTGTCCAACGCCAGAGACAACATCAGGGACTCGAGCGATGCCCACTGATGCGGTGCGTAGTGGGCTGGTAAAGACGTATACGTGGACAATGCCGAATCGAGTCGACCTCGGTGTCTGTGCTGTTTCTGAGCCAAAACAAAGGGGGGAACCACGCGGCGCTCACAGGTCCAGAGCAGCCAAGCTTCCGTGCAGCTTAAGGGCAAACTTCCTGCGCCCCGCTTTGGCATACATTTCGATCGCCCGATTCGTGATCGCCACATAATTTTCATAGAATTTATCCGCGCTTTCAATGGATTCCAATATGGTCTGGCTTGAGATTTTCTGTTCCGATTTGGACTGTACACTCTTCGACAACGCGGTTGTGCTCAGAAACGGCGCTTGGGAGGGGAGGTGACCGACTGCGACACCAATAATGTCGAGCTAGACTAGTCAGTGACGTCAAGAGCACGATATCTTTTGAGAATGCACCTGAAGTCGAGCAAGTTCAAGCAGTTCCCCCTTGCCTGCGTTGAAGGCATTCAGCTTGGCGCCTTCCAGTTTCTGATGCTCTGCCCATGTATCGCACTGTTCCACAACGCTCAGAGCAGAGCAATAGGTCCAAGACTCGACGAAAGACTGGGGGATCGTTTCCTTACAGGATTTCAGCGACCCCGGCACGAGACTGAAGCGAGCCACCTACCTCGACCTCTCGCAGACGGCGTCCGAAAGCACCCAGAAACGCCGAAACCTTTTGGCTGACTTCGTTGATTCGTCCAAGGCTTGCCAGGAGCTCACACTGGCGCGCAAGCAGGTATATTCGGAGGTCGAATACCGTTATCGTGTTCGCGAGGATGAGATCTCGGTAGGACTTTTTCGATATCGACAGCAGCGCGCAGGAATCGTCGTTGGGCCCCGGAGTAATGAGCGTCCCAAACCACGATAGATTCTTCTCCTTGGAAACCAGATAGAAGGATGCCTCCAGCTCTTCGTATTGTATGAACGCATCCTCAAACAGATTCATTCCTTGGAGCGATCCCGCCAGACTTTCCTATAGATGTAAAGGAAGCGGTCACAGCTCTGCGGACAGCTTCGTAGGGGTACACACCTTCAAGATGAAGAACGTGCAGAAATTCCAGCCCGGCATCTGTCTTTGACCCTCTGACCGTTTCACATCGTCTTCCCTCTGAGAAACCGCTTGGTCGAACGACGACAGTAACCCATCCTTCAGCTTGTTGAGGAACTCCGCCCAAAGCGCCGGGTTGCCGAAACCCGTGCTCCATTGTAACTGAACACACCTGCCGAGGGATTGTCTAATGAGCTAGCGAAGTAGAACTCCCACAAGTTTGAAGCACCTGTCGCGTCTGTCCACGTTGAAATCGCCCTTGAGCTTGTCCAGAACAGAACCCTTCAGTTGAAAGAATGTTCCGCCCTGGGCACGCGAATCGGGGCGGACAACATGTAGGATGAGCCATTCTTGGTTCTTCTTCATTGAGACTACCGAATGCCATTCCTTGACTTGTCGTTTAATGGTCGTCTTGTATGCTTCGAGATCATTGTCCTGGCGGGATACGGGTGAGAATGCGGCAAATGGCAGGCATAGACGGCACGGACTTCGCATGTCACGATGTACAAGTTTAGGAATGGCTTCTCCAGCAATGTCGCTGGGATCTGAGACGTGTGTTCATCACGCAGGGATTCGAGGGGAACGAGCGCGATATTCAGCTCTTGAATAGTTCGGATGGATCGCGACGAAGACTTCCAATGTATATTGCGCAGCGGGAGCTGCGACAGGAGCGCAGTGTGTATCTGGTCCCAGTGTCCGGAGGACAAGAAGGACTGGGATCCGGAATACGACACCAAGACGCGATGAGGAGGCGCCATGAAATGGTGTTTGGCATCATCATCAATTACAAACATGGGCTAGAAAGTGGAATAGATAGGAAGTCTGGGTATGAAGCTAGAGTCTAGTAGGATGTAGTCTGCCCATCTGATAGTCCTTGAAGGAATCCAGAGCGATAGTCTTCCTCGGTGCCTTGCGTAATGACGGATGGCGATGACAGACGCATACTGTCCTCAATATACTGCTCTTTAAATCCAAGCTCCGACCCATCAAATCGACAGAAAGTCTGAGCGGCATTAAATCCATCTTGATATCCTTTCGTGTTTGACTGCTGTTGAGGTTGTCGCCGGAATGCACGCCGTTCCTGGACAGCTGCAATGCGATGGTTGGTAGGTGAATCAGGAATGGATCTGGCTTGCGGTCCGGGTTTGCATTGAGATTTGTAGCGCAAGAAGTCCACAGGAAGAGCAGAACCGGCAGCCCCAGCAAAGCACCAGTCTGCAGTGCAGTTCTCGAGGTAGAGACTCCAGAAGCTCCATCCAGCAGCGTTGTTGTAGTACACTTCCGCTTGGGTCATACAGAACTTCTTGCGCGCATCATCGTGGTCAGATTCCGAAGCAAGACTCTGTGGGGACATTGCACACGACCATTCTCCAACGATCAGATTGCCGCGTGCTTGGTCTCTCGCCTTGGCTAGGGAATTCGCGATGTTGGTTCGTACTTCTTGAGTATGATTAGAGGCAGATTCGCTCGTGTCTTTCGGGGTAAAAACAAAGTACGAATGCTGCGCTGCCCTCCATCAACGAATTACCGCGAGATGCGGAGACACTCACGTGGTCCTGAATCACCCAGTCGTCCCTCGCCGAAACGAAATTGCTGTATTCCTCGAGATTGAACGCATCATGGATGTAGAGTGGGAAGACAGCTGCCCATTCGGCCACCGCTCTCATTGCTGAGATGGCTCGATTGTCTGGAGCAAAATTCAGTCTCAGAACAAATCGAGTGGTAAAACCCACAGAAGTCTTTGAGCTGTGGACTATCCACCGGCTCATTCAAGATCTGGATCCCCACGACGTTGGTAACTTGTCCCAGATTCCGCATCAAGAATTCGAGACAAGCCACAGTCATGTCCATGTTTTGCTGTGATTCGAAGAGTCCCACATGGTGGTCCGAAATTCCAGAGTGAGATTGCCCATTCTGGCTACCGACCGCGCCGTGCATATCAATCAAGACCCCGATGCCCACCTCGGCAGCCATGTTGATCGCCCGAACGACGAACGCCCAAGAGTTCATGTACGCATCTGCATAATTAGCGAACGGCGTGTTCTTGCAGAAATCGGGCCCCAGGTTCCAGTATCCAATCGGCAACCGAACGGTGTTGATACCTCTGTCGGCCAGTTGCTGGAAATCAGCCCGCACAATGAAGTTTTCCCAATGCTGTTCCAGAATTTGACGAGCGCACGCCGTCCCGTTACACCCAGAGGCGATATCAATTTCGGACGTCCGTGGTCCGACAGCGCATTGAAAAAGAGAGGGTGTCATCCAGTTTTCGTGCACAAACCAGGACCCAAGATTAAGGGCGCGTTGCTTGCGATACTTGTAGACGGTTGATTCTTGATGAGAGTAAGGAGCGAATGATTCCACAGGTATGACTTGAAGAGCCTGGCTAGGGTCACAGGAATACGAGATATCTCGCATAGCGAGCTGAGCACGAATCTCAGGGAGGGCGGCGAGGACGGGAATAAGAGCGAGGTTCCAACCGAGGCGCATCTTGATGAATAGCACGCATCTTGATGAATAGCACTGTGTGGGCGAACGGCGAGTTTGAAGGAAGGACAGGATGAGAAACGAGCGTGAAGAAATGAAGCAAGATCTAACGGTCACGGGTTCGCGACTCGGTTTGCAGCCACAATCAGATCGCATCAAATCAAATGCCGCACATTGACAGGGTGTCCTCTCTCTTCGATGCGATGAATGGTGTCTCCAGAATTCTCAGTCCACGTCCATTCCTCTTTCATCGAGTATCGAGTCGAAAACTGGCATATTTCTCGTGATGGGACGGGCAAACGAGTCATGGGGGCTACGACCTGGACTTGGTACCACCCCTTCATAGCCCTCGCTGTAGCCGTGATATGGCCTTATGTGAGGCGACCTTTGTGCTCCTTCCCCTTTTGTTTTTGACTCCAATTAGGTCAGAGACGATTCACTCAAACTATTGGCTCTCACATTAGGAGTGATGCTGCTAATCTACCGGATGTGTACCCAAGTTCTCTTTGGTTCGCCTTCAAGCTTTGATCTCTACTTTCCTCGCCAACCAGAAGTTAGAATCCGTCATTGTTGTCAAATCGCATGGAATACAACTGGAGACGCATAGAGGGATGCCCGGTCTGCCTCCGTTGGCTGTCCGACGTCGCTTCTTGCCCTTCTCTTCGCTTCAAGACTTTGTCATACACGAAGGACTGAGCGGATGGAATGTGAGGTATTACCTTGCTGCGATCGTGAAGACGGATGCGGATGATTACAAAGTAGATGTTGCGTTCGAGGTGCGTGGATTCTGATGTTGCCAACGCTAGCTCATCAGCATCGTAAATGCAGAATATACTACCCCATTTTCCAATACTCCGCGAAGTCTATCTTGGAGTTCAAGACGAGCTGCCAGCTTAGATAGATTGTCCGTGTAGATATACTAATACCACGGAGAAATAGATTACTCGATAACACCGTCCTCACTCTCGTACGCGCTCAGAAATTCGTCCAATCCGCCCTCATCCTCAACATCCCCCTCGTTAGCGACGCTGTCGCGTTGACTCCTGGAAGCTTTGATAGTTCCAGTTGACACTTTTCTCGTCCTTCCCGAGTTCTTGCGTGTTCTGCTGCCGTCCTGATTGTCTATGGTATCCCCCGTGGAAGACTTCCTCCTCCCCCCGCGCATGAGAGTACCAGCCCCATTCACACCGTCAGTGTCTGCTTCGAAAGTCGCTGCTTTCGGTGTCGTGGCTTCAGTGATGTCGTCTAGTCGATCGATGACCATGAGATTAGGACGAGACAGATCTTCTGTTTTGATGTTGGATGGTCGAGAAGCATATCTTTTGGACCGTATTCTTGGGCTGACCGGAGGCGGCGCGGCCTCTGAATCAGTGGTGTCGTCCACTTGCAGGGACAGGCCTAACACGTTTGGTGCCGTCGAGAGGTGCTCAGAGATAATCGGAGTTGTTGGGCCGGGAGGGCTAGCCAAACGTTCTGGAGATGTGCTGGCCGACGAGCCTTGGGACGTCGGACGAATGCGAGATATCGGTGCCATTGGAGAGATGGACCGGCGGTTGAGCGCCACTCGGCCGCCCAAGTCGACGCTCCCATTGCCCTTCCATCCAGGTGACAAAGACGACGCAGAGGACTGCGAATCTCGGTGGAGATGGTGAACCTTACCTCTTGGGACATGCTGCCATTGACTTGTGCCATCAGAAGATTCCCTTCGAGGATGCGCAGTCATAAGCGTCGATGAGCTGAGCAATAACGGTTTCGGTCCAGACTTGGGTGGTGGTAGTGGTGCAGCGAGCGGTGGGCTCTGAGGTCGAGTCAACGCCGACAACGTTTCCTGCAGATTCCGAGCCCGACCGAACAGTCCGCCGTCTGACTGTGGAGACCAGGGTGGAGTTCCCGGAGGCGAAGATGGTGCTGGCGCCGGCGGCGCGGGTCCCATGAAGCTGTCTCTCGGAGGCCGAAAGAACGAAGGTCGCTGGGGCGGAGAATACGACGGCTCCGCGGACATCGACAGTCCAACCTCAGGATTGAGATGGGTCGATTGTTGCGGTGGGCTGGCCGGTGACCTCTGAGGTGAGGTCCATGACGTCAACATGGCTTTCGCGCGCCAGTTGCTGCTTGCTTTAGCCAAAGCGGCTACAGTATCAGAATCTTTGAGCTTCTCGGCATAGTTCCAGAGACTTGTTGTCGCAGTCGCAGCTGGATCTCTCGCAGGCTCTGCCTCTTTGGTTGAATGCCAGGGTGAACCAATGGGCGAAGGCAAAGGCGAAGGAACCATGGGTGACATGGGTGTCGGAGGCGGCTCCATAGAGCTTTGATTTGTGATGCCGCGCCAGACTGTGCTGGCGAGTCTAGCTGTGATCCCAGTGCCCATTTCTTCAGCTTCCGTTATCTGATTGCTGCTGGACGTCTCCTCTTCTCGAGTGTCCTCTGATTCCGGAGGAGAGACGTCCGGAGAAGGCATCTGATTGGTGAACCCTCTCCACATCGTCTGTCGAAAACGTGCCGAAAGCGTCAGGGAGTCGGGCTTGATTTGCCTTTGCTCGGTCTCTCGACGATGCAGGAGATCGGCTGCGGTCTGCATCAGTCGGTCAATGCCGCCAGCTGCTTCGATCGGATAGTCCTGGAGCAGAGACATGCCCTCCATGAATGCATCGCCAAATTCCCGTGCTCTGAGGGGCGATGGCGGTGGAATTGTTGCGCTTTCCTCCCCCCAAAGGCTGGCTGATTTATGCCCGCTTTTGCCTAATCTAGAATGCGGAATGAGTTACACCGTGACTTTAGATGACATGTGCGCACCGAAATAGTATCCCGCGGGCCCTGACAAGTAGTGCGGCACAGACATCCAAGAGGTATTCGGCTTTGTAGGACTGATCTCGTTCCCTCATGGGCCGAGAAAACAGCGAGTCCCAGATGACAAGGATAGCCGGAAGGGGAAGTGTCTGTGAAAGGATCGGTGCCAACCATCGGCTGATCTGGTCAGGACAAAGTCAACCGCTAATCTGACCACGTACTAGGAGAAATGCGGCAGTGAAGGATCCAGTCCTTTCGCAACCTTTGCAAACGTGTGAGAGATCGAAGACCGGTAGTAGTTGCTTACGTACCAGCGTTTCAGCCAATTCGGAATCAGCCCACAATACACGATCGCTGAACTTTTTCATCCACAAGCTGGTGCCCTCGTCGTCTTCAAGCTCGGAGAACTCTCCAACGAGAGCTTCGAACAGCCAAAATGCGTCGGCTGACTGGAAATGAGAGCCAGTCTGGGCAATAAGCGGTAAACCTGCCTTCAACGTGATTCAGGTCTTCAGCTTCGATCTCCTGCCCCAGAACCATATACAACGGAAGAAGCATTCCTGGAAGATGAGAGGAGTGGCTGGCAGGATTGATCATCGAATGGATATAGAGAATCCGCAACAATGCGGACAAATGCTTCGGATGTGCACCACCGAAGCTTCGAGGGCCTGAAAGTACTAGAGTATGAGGAACCGAAGGTCGCCGTTCCGAAATCGATTGCGAGAGAGAAGACGGCTCTTGTTCTTCGGGTGCTTCCTCTATCTCGAGGCGTATTTCAGGGATGTTGCTTTCCCCAGGTTCAGGTTGGTCATCACGATCTAGAATCGCTTTGAGACGAGTGTCGAGAATATTAGCATAGGGTATCTTGATTTCTTCAGCACAGCCCTCGTCAAGAGGACACGTTCCAGCGTGTTCTGGGTCTTGAATTAGCCCTTCGAACAAGCGAGCAGGCGTGCGAGAAAGCTGGTTTGAGACCGCTAGTAGAGAAGAGTCCAGCTGGGTTAGTGTTGTTTGCGGAGGAGGCTGGTCGCAGAACGGTTTCAGAAGGCGCCGAACAAGATCCTAGAGACGGGGTTCAATCCGGTTCGCTAATGCCAAGAGTGAACATACGTAATAACTATCGCGTTGCTGCTGTGAATCGCGCCGCCAGGACGACTTCAATGTAGGGAGAGTTCCCAGAAACAGTCTGACAATTGCCTTATAAACAACACTCTTTCATGATAGTCACAACGCACCTCCAGATTCTGGGCCGCAACCAAGGTGGTTCGTCAGGCAGGCCTCGGGAGTGGTCAATAAAAAGCCCGCAGTCAGACGAGGAAGTCACCTCTGATACACAGGTGACGTAAACGTGGTAGATCCACGACCACAGGAGTCTCCGGGTTCAGGATCTCAGACAGGGGGTTCAGGCTGAATCTGTTTAAAAAGATGTCCGAAGGTCGTGATTGGAGACGCACATATCCTGTCTGCGAGGGTCTGGAAACCAGGAAACTCCGTACGAGCGCGCTATGTTGTATAGGTACATGTCGAGATTTCCCGCGGTGGGTGGGGCAGCAGAGAGTGCGTGCACGACCTAACGTCCAATCAGTCCCGTCCGCGAAATGAGTTATGCGTTCTGACGCACACGAGCAGGGACATGATTGTCTCGATTCGAGACAGCTGATCGTGCAAAGTCATCTCCAAGTCGTTGAATCAGCAGCGCTCGAACAGAAGGAAGCTCTGAGGCACGGGTGAGTCGACGAGACTGGTGAGACAGGCGTCTTATAGTATACTAACCTTTCGACTCCGACAGAGATGCACCGGCGTATATGATGCTTGAAGCTGCTTCGACTACAGCAGGTGTGTTCACGTATTCCTGGTCCAATTCCGAGAAATGCTCCAACAGTACGCTCAGATACAGTTGTAGCACCTCCAGGAGATCCCCGGATGCTGTATACATGAGAAGAAGGAGCCTCGAAGAGCTGCGCGGGCGTACCGTCCTCCTGGATCAAGTTCTGTGCCTTCAAGCGCGCAAGCCCCGTGTTCCCTTGCCCCAGAAGCGTCGCGATATCTCTTCGTGTGATTGATGCATGAGAGTCCTTCCGCTCTTGAATCGTTCCGAGTCGCTGACTAGTGAGCCGTAGCAGGGCCTAAGGAAGGTCGGTGATGAAGCCCTTGGATTCCAACCAATTCGCACCTTGACTGAGGTCGGGTCCCAGCGACCGGTCATTTCAGCGAGTGGGGTGTGTCGTGAAAATGTCTATTGCTCGCCCAGCGTTGTAGTCACCGTGGTCATGTCAGATCGGCAGTCAAAATCATGGCTGTAGACGCTTTCACGTGCCCTGTACCAGAACCGGGCAGCATGTCATTTTGTCGGCTATTGTTCAACTCCTATTATCAACTTAGCATTACAAACTGAGATTGAAACCCCACGGATTCAGATGGATACAATACATTTCATTTGATAATACTAGGGCTACAGCAAGAGTGCAGGAGAAGGTTTTGTTAGACCATTGTAGTTGAAAGTGCGGGTTGACAATCCGGAGATGTGCTTTCGGTGCTCCAAGTCCGACACTCTATTTTTCTCTGTCCAAGTCGACGAGATGTGTGATGAGTGCTTCAACGCAGGGTTCATGATAGGGAGGATGGAGCCTCGATCGTGGTCCATCTTGGAGCGCCTGCACACCATGACGCCTAGTCCTGCGGCATAACCTATCACTGTAATGGTTGAGACCAAGTCTATGAAAACAAACAAGATCTGACGTACATAACACGGGGACTACCCAACTGGCGAGTAGAATGTACAGATTAAGGAGTTGGCATACACCCTGAGAATCAACGCCTAGGAGAACATGTCAGGGAGGAACAACATAGAGGGCAACGAAGAGACCCACCGTTTTGGGGGCAATGGAAGCGAGGGTCCCAAAAGGAAAAGGAACCGGCCACGCCTGTAGACTAGGAATGAGAAACTATGGGAAGACGCTGGAATGTGCGCACCGATCTGGGCAACCAAAAGCAATATCAATCTCGCACCGTCTAGCCATGGACGAAATGGCAAGATAAGCAGTATAAGCAGGATGATGAGAGTTCCCATGTGTGTGAGCAGCATAACGGCAATGATAGGCCCTACATTCATCGTTGAACAGTCGGGCCTGTAGCCTCAAAGAACTCACGCACGCTCGCTCGGATCCATGTAGTCCCATTCAACATCCAGATAAACACAGATAAGGGTTATCCACAGCAAGCAAATGAGAGCTATGAGAGCTATCCATTTGTTTTCAATTGAAGCGTTCCGTATCCGGTAGAGAGGCTGATCATACAGAACGCGATAGCTCTGATCTTGAGGAAGAGAGGTGAGGAGTTCATGAAGTGAGATAGGGCGTGAAGTCGTGTCGTTGTAAGGAGTGGAATGAGATATGAGAAAGCTCTGCCAGAGAGATGAAAGAAGCATTCAAATCTGCCCACGACTTTATACTCATTGTTGTACGAAGAGAGAACAATACGCGCGCCAAAACAAGGACGACAACACTATCATTATGGGTAGTCACGCCTGGTAACGCTTCTATCAGGCGCATTGATCCGAAGCTGAGCTACTTTTGGAAGTGACGGCGCATATGGGCTTGCGAGTGGCACATTCAAGTTGCTCAGCCACCGCAAGTACGATGTCTTCGGTCTCACAAGTCGCGGCGTGCGTTTCAATAGTAGCAAATGTGTTGGTCCTCGAATGTATGAACCTGGCTTATCCTCTTATCCCGCCATGCTCCTAGGTTATGCGCCGGCACTGTCTTCATTTTCCCCATCTTGTCTCCGAGCCTTGCACACAAGTTGACGCAACCTCAGCTCACCTCGATCGTATTGGCGTACGTCGGATCCGTTTCTCTTTCTCTCTTCTTCTCTTTATAACTGTATCTAGAGGCATTGCTGGCCAGTATCCGTGCACGCCTTTTGTAGGTCGCTTGGTTGACCAGCGGGGGCCTCGTTTAAGCTCCCTCATCGCCTCCGTTCTCTTTTTTGCATCGTTTGGTTTATCTGCCGTGGAATTTCAGAGGATTCTTGAGTCTCCCAGCGGCGCCTCCTCGACGTCTGCGTATGTGCTAGTCCTGTTATTTGCGTGCGGAGGTTTTGGAACCGTATTCTCGTGCGCTTTTCTTGAAGGGAGCGATTTATGCTCTGACTCACTAATTCAGATATTTCTCATCTCTCTTCGCGGCTACACGCAACTTTCCGGCGTACCCTGGTACCGCCTCGGGCGCAGTCATGGCTCTATTCGGACTATCACCTCTGGTTCTGACCTCCATTGCCACGCATTTCTTTGCGGACGAGACGGGAAGCCCCGACTCCCTGCAGCTGGTGTCGCTAATGAAATTTCTTGCTATCTTCACTGGTGTTGTCCACGCGGTCGGCTTCTTCTCGCTCAAAATATCAAACACTGCGCCGGTTCAAACTGAAGACCCGGACGAAACAACATCTCTGCTCGCAAACCCGCCTAAAGTAGTTGCCGTCAATTGGACTGATCTATTTCATGACCGATATTTCTGGTTCCTGTTTGCTCTCTGTGTGTTAATCCTTGGACCTGTGAGACCATCTTTCCAATGGACGGATTGCGTTCATAATAGCATTACCAGTGCGAGATGGTCATGTCAAATGTCGGGACCATCGCACTTTCCTTACCGGCGACGTCGGGGTCGTCACCCGCCACTCAGGTCCAGACCCTTGCCACGGCGAATACACTAACCCGCATCATATACGGCTCCTTGGTCGATCTTCTTTCGCCCGCTGCTGGCTCTTCGAGAAAGCAATATCTTAGTCGGGCATGTTTTTTGATCGCCCCCAGCGTCATCTTCTGTGTCACGTTGCTTTTCACGGCAATAGGCATCCGATCTAGGGATGATCTCTGGGTCCTTAGCGTTGGCACTGGGATTGTCTATGGTGCTACATTCACCGTCTTGTGCGTCGTATTGGCTCGTCCTCGTTCACGCTCTCAAACAGCACAGACCAAGCATCATCGGCGCAGCATGGGGCCCGCAAAATGTCGGAAGAAACTACGGCATAATCTCCTATGCGCCTCTCCTGGGGACCACCCTTTTTTCGTACTTGTATGCCTTCGACGTGTCATCTCATGCGGCAGATGGCCAAGTCTGCACTGGCAGCATTTGCTGGGAGCTGACGTTCATCATCTCTACGTGTGCACAATTATTAGCTTTCTGTTTTGGTCTGGGGCTATTGCATGGTTGGAAACGACTGCTGTAGTCACTGGAATCGAATATCGCCTTGCTTCCATACTCATAAGTAACATCATCAATAGATCCAATGATTTGATCATATGTCACCCTCGCTAGGCCAGTGGTCAATGTCGTCGAACAGAACGTGGGCGCCTGAGACTTACTTATTGATCAGGGTGTCATCCGGCCCGCCGACAGGTCTGAAACTGGGGAATCATCGCATCCCTCTTTTCTCTCGCCATCATGTCCTTTCTCCGGCCTTTACTGCACATCAGCGCACTGAGTGCTATGACCTACGGGTGATGTTCTCGTATCCTCAATTTCGTCCGTACTTCTGATAAAATCGGCTAGTTATCACAGGTATGAGCGTGCTGCCGCGCGAAACTGGAGTGAATCCAACACGTCTTCAGTCTCCACAAATTGCCGGTTACATCCGCCATCGACAGTCAATACGGAGGACACTTTCAATTCCTGACTATACAAGGGTTGGCTATTGCATGGCTTACTATGGCTGTCAGCTCTCTTGTAGACTTTTTCCCTTCGGCGTCCAGTATGCCTCCATTTTGCCGCTCAGCATGCCTCATATCTATGACGTCCTCTAGGTCTCACGAGTCTGAAGCGCGCCCTGCTTGTGATCGCTCTCCCCGTCGCTACCATCGTCTCTGCAATCTACTGGACTCTGCTGCTCGGCTTTCCGAATCTCATTCTGCAAGGAGTGTCAACAGAGGCATTGGAGCTATACTACCTTCCCCTGAGCATCGATCTATCGCTTCACGCCGTCCCATGTGCATCGATGCTACTCGACTTCATGGCCTTTGAACGCAAGTACACCAAGCAGACTGTTCGATACGGCGCTCCAGTCTTGGCATCCCTCGCCACGCTGTGGTATAGTTGGTGGGTCGAGCGCTGTGCGGAGCGGAATGGGAGCTGTGAGTTCTCTCAAATCCGTTGTTGGGTACTGAGAGATCTCCAGTTCCGTACCCATTCCTCACCATCAATTCATTCGATGTCCGAATGGTCATATATGCGGCGGCAGGCGCATTCGCTTATTTCTCTTTCTACGCTCTCAACGCATTACATTCCAAGTAAATAGGCTACATGTAACCCAGAAATTCAGTCGTAGTACACATTTCTGTTCCACAAATAGCAGCCATGCGTCGGCCGAAAAATGCCGAAGAAAGTTTGTGACTACTCGCGTTCGTAACCCAATCTTTCCACAAGCGATTATGACCAGCGAACAACCGACTAAACAGAAACTATGGGGAGGTCGTTTCACTGGAAAAACGGATCCCTTGTTAGTTGACGATGCTGTCCTGTTTTCTTTCCATTGACGCGCGTTTCTAGAATGCATGCATTCAACCAGTCTCTCAAGTACGACCAGCGGATGCATGCTGCCGACATCAAAGGCTCTATCGCATACGCAAAAAGCCTTACACTTGTTGGGATCCTGACGAAGGAGGAAGAAAACAAGATCGTGCAGGGGCTCAGCACTGTCGGTAAAGAATGGGAGGATGGTGTGGTGGGTCTCGCATTCCTTGGTCCTCCCTTTGACCGATCCTGTGCAGTTCCAGATCCAAGCGGACGACGAGGATATACACACTGCCAATGAGCGCCGACTGAGCGAACTCATCGGTCCTCTAGGCGGCAAGCTACACACCGGACGTTCTCGCAACGATCAAGTAGCTACTGACATGCGACTTTGGCTCCTCGAGCAAGTAAAAGACATCGAGGCGAGTGTGAAGGCCCTACTTCGCGTCATCGTGGACCGGGCGGATCAAGAAAAAGATATACTTTTGCCGGGGTACACCCACTTGCAGGTGCGTGTGTTAATCCCGCGGCCGAGGGCTCACTCTCAAGCTATGTAGCGGGGACAACCTATTCGCTGGTCGCATCTTCTGCTGAGTCATGCGACCTCTTTCCGCTACGATCTTGAACGACTGCACCAGTTGGCTCCTCGCATCTCTGTCTCCCCTCTGGGCTCGGGGGCGCTGGCGGGTAATCCGTTCGCTGTTGATCGCGAGTTCCTTGCCAAAGAGCTCGGCTTTGCATCTATCGCAGAGAACAGTATGTGGGGAGTCGGCGATCGGGACTTCATTGTCGAATTTTTAATGTGGACAAGTCTCACCATGACCCACATCAGCCGGATGGCAGAGGATCTCATCATATACTCGACCGCTGAATTCGGATTTGTGACTTTGAGCGATGCGTACAGGTGCGACTCCCGTTGTTTGGCGCACATGCAATTCTGAGGCCTTGTGTAGCACCGGATCCAGCATCATGCCGCAGAAGAAGAACCCAGACTCTTTGGAATTACTGCGCGGAAAGAGTGGACGCGTCTTCGGTAATGTTCGTGCGCTTCTCGGTCAATCGATCTCAGGGATATGACTAAATCTACCAGATGGCCGGTTTTGTCATGACTCTGAAGGGCTTGCCGTCGACATACAATAAGGATCTCCAAGAAGATAAAGAGCCTCTCTTCGACTCCGTCGACAACGTCACAGCGTCTTTGAAGATTGCTGAGGGTGTCATTGCCACGATGGAGGTTCGTGCAAACACATGAGCGTGACAAACCGGTCTCTACAAACATCCACGAAGGTCCACTCGGAAAAAATGCTCCGGGCATTGACTATGGATGTTCTGGCTACAGATCTTGCGGATTATCTTGTGCGCAAAGGAGTAAGAAATCTTTCTAATATTCGCATACCCTTCTGATGGCGTGTTCACAGATCCCTTTCCGCGAAACGCATCATATCTCTGGCAGAGCCGTCGCACTGGCGGAATCGCGGCAATGTCAGCTTAATGAACTGACGTTGACTGATTTCAAAAGTCTCAACGAGAACTTCACCGACGACATCGTCAAAGTGTTTGACTTTGAAGCCAGTGTGGAGCGCCGAGAGTCGATAGGAGGCACCAGTCGAAAGATGGTCGAAAGGCAGGTCGAGGTTCTTCGGGGCATCCTCAGCCAATAGTGTAATTTGTGTCTGTACCCTGTGCAACTGCTTCCGCAGTTTGTTTCGTGGTTCTTACCAGGTAACCTCATATCACACTGGATACATTGATGGCAAATCACCGGTCACCGGTCGACTGTCAGGCTGTGTTTGAAACATCGTCGTTCCACTCAACCTCCATATTCCGCCCTCCGCGCTGTTCCAGCTCGCGAATACTAAAGTCGCTCTTCTTTCGTTAAATCATTCAGTGAGACATATTTCGCCATGGCTAGAGACAGATTAGCTGCTATGAGGGTGTGTACCTTTCACCCGTTACTTTGCCAACCCTGACCAACCTTGCTTGTTAGGCCCAACAGCAAGGGAACGTCAGCCCGTTAGTCAGACTAGCCGTGTCGATATTTCATACTGAGCGTCCACAGGAACTCGTATCCGACGCAGGCGTCCGGAGGTGGAGGTGGGTATGGAGGAGGAGGAGGAGCCGGTCGGCGGCCCAACCCCTACGCACAACAGGACGACCGCGCGTACGAGATGTCTGACGTGAAGGACACCTCTTCGCAGTATGGCTCTGCGCCCGGTGGCGGGGGTGATAGCATGTCGGCTTTTTACACGGAGGTACACTTATCAGCGAACATGCCCTTCGCGAATTAATCCGGTGCCCCAGATTTCCTCCATCCAGGACAGCCTTCGCAACTTCAACGACAACGTTTCGCGGATTGGAGACCTCCATTCTCGCTCGTTAAACAACACTGATGATGCTGCTGCCCAACGCAATGCCGCCCAGCTCGAAGACCTTGTTGAGGAGACCAGCGCTCTGAGTGCTACCTTGAAGCGCAGAATCAAAGCCCTGGAAAAGCAGGGAGGTGCTGGCCGCGATGGTCAGATTCGGAAACAGCAGGTATTTTGGGCAGCGTCCTTACAAGCGACTCACACTCACTCATCATTTGTTCAAAGACTGCTCTTGTCAAGTCGAAATTCGTTGAGGCTATTCAAAGCTATCAGACTGTTGAGCAACAGTTCCGCAGCAAGTACAAGCAACGGATGGAGCGGCAGTACAAGATTGGTATTTCGTCCTTCTTTGATATGTGCATTGTTTGCTGAGTGCTTTCCAGTCAAGCCCGATGCATCACCTGAAGAAGTTCGTGCTGTCGTCAACGATGAGAACGGCGGGCAAATTTTCAGTCAAGCTGTGCGTCCTTGATCGTTTACCTTCGCGAGCAATGGCTAATAATCAACATAGTTGATGAATTCGAATCGTTATGGCGAGTCTCGGGCGGCCTACAAGGAAGTCCAAGAGCGCCACGAAGATATCAAGCGGATAGAGAGAACACTCGGAGAGCTTGCTCAACTATTCAACGACGTGCGTGTTACCTGACCCGGATACATTTACTTTCTCTCAACTCCCGCAGATGAGTGTTCTCGTTGAGCAACAGGACGAAACCATCCAAGTGATTGAGACGCAAGCGGCAGCCGTTGAGAAAGACACGGAAGTAGGGTATGTGCCATTCGTATGTTTCACGTCATCGTCACTCATCATCATCCGCCAGTCTGCAATACACGGAAAAGGCCGTCGAGTCTGCCCGTGCAGCGCGCAAAAAGCGTTGGATCTGTTTCTTCATCATTCTCGTCATTCTCATTATAATCGCGGTGGTTGTGGCAATCAAGGTCATTCAAAACAACAACGCCGCGAAAAAGACGACTCCGTGAATATGCGTTATGGACTTCATTGTACATATCTATTTTCGGAACCATCATCTTCTACTTATTTTATGTTCGATACCCGCGGTTAAGATAGCAGTCCAGTCGGCCATCCTTAATTCACAATTGAGATTTGTTTCAACCCTTGACTTGTTAAAGAAGGTCATGGATGGTCATGGACCACAGCGACCTGATCCCATCAGTAGGCACGTGGAGGCTGTGCGTGCTCATTATCTGGCTTACGCGGCCACCTCCCTTGTTCTCTACACCCATCTTCCCTCCTTCCTTTGAGAAGTGTGTTCCTCCTGCCGTCTACTGAAGTCTACTCTGACCACCTTGCCCAAGGCACATAACACCACTATGCCTGCCAAGAAGCGTTGTCAATTCCAAGCCGGCTCCGATGCTCAGTGCAATTCCGCTGCTCTGCGAATTGTCGGTCAGTGCGCCTTGTGTAGAGCCCAGTTCTGTGGAGATGTGCGTCTCAGACATTGCTCCCCTCCATATACTGATATATCCTCCTCAGCATCGCATGCCCGAACACCACTCATGCAATAACCTCGAGGACTGTAGACAACAGGCGTTCGACCGCAACAAATCGAAGTTGGAGGCGGAGAGGACAGTGGCTAGCAAGATGGCCACCGCTTGATTCTGCCATACAACCCGCCTTTCTTTGCTCTTCTTGCCGCCTTGTTTCACCGCTCTCCTCATTAATCACTGCATTGCACCCACTATTATCCCCTCACTCGGACATCCATAGTCATACATTCTGGGCTATTGTACAGACACTATCATAATTATCCTGAAACACGAACTGTAACACGCAAGAGATACACCTCAGCCGTCCTCAATGGCAACCCTCACACGATAAGCAGTCGGGAAGCACCGCGACCCAAATGGAGTTATTGATTGCATGTCACCCGGGGCCCGGGCCGTGATCCATCGTAGAAGTATCAACCCCGCGCACCTGAAATTGACTCCAGTTCCCGACTATCACAAGCTCCCGAAATCGTCTAGCAGGTACTTGTTCAAAATCAACGCTTTCGATCCGTCCTACGCCTCACTGCCCCTTTTCTACCCTATTCTTCTCAGCCGGCCTAAATCTGATCAATGTCGAACAGACTCAAACAGGTTCAAGAACAAATGGCTGGCGCAACTGCAGGTAAGCAGATCTCGTTAGTGGCGATTCGATGCGTTTACCAGTTCGCTCTAGAACAATGGCAGAGCGTCCCTCTCGCGCCTCCGGACAGGTAAGCGATCGGCGTCGCGACATAACGAAAGCATGCTCATTCCTTGCAGCATCTTCCAACTCACAGCGGCGTACAAGGAAGATTCATTCGATAAGAAAGTCAATCTCGGCGTCGGTGCTTATAGAGACGACGATAATAAGCCGTGGGTGCTTCCCGTTGTTAAGGAGGTTCGTGCTGTGCCTGCTCTGGGGTGGCTCTCCTCTTGAGGACTTCGTCTTGCAGGCTAAGCGCGTCATTCTCAACGATCAAACCCTCGACCATGAATATCTCCCCATCACTGGACTCCCTGAATTCACCGCTGCTGCGGCCAAACTCATCCTAGGGCCGCAATCACCTGCTCTCGCCGACGGCCGGGTCTCGAGTGTCCAGACCATCTCGGGTACCGGAGCCAATCATCTCGGTGCATTATTCCTCTCCAGGTTCTATCAATGGGGTAGCGAAAAGAAGGTGTGGTTGAGTAATCCTACCTGGGGTGCGGCTTTTTCTCGGCGCTCCGAAGCAAAGACTGATTACTCCCAGCGAATCACTTTGCAATTCTGAAGAATGTCGGAATCGAGCCAGTCGAGTATCCGTATTACGATCCCAAGACCATCGGTCTCGATTACGACGGGTTCTTGAACACCTTGAAGACTGCGCCGGAACGATCTGTGTTTTTGTTGCACGCTTGTGCCCATAACCCCACCGGCGTCGACCCGACCCAAGAGCAGTGGGGTGCAATTGCGGATGTGATGCTCGCGAAGAAACACTACGCGTTCTTGGACTGTGCGTATCAGGGTTTCGCCAGTGGTGATCTGGACAAGGACGCTTGGGCTGTGCGCTTCTTTGTCGACAAGGGAGTGGCTCTGCTTATCTGCCAAGTAAGCGGACCTCATCTTCCGCTGCCTGTGCTTACGTGTGCAGAGCTTTGCCAAGAACGCTGGGTTGTACGGCGAACGAGTCGGTGCCCTCCACATCGTGTCCCCCACTCAGGAGACGGCGGCCAAGGTCAAGAGCCAGCTCTCCGTTCTGCAGCGGAGCGAAATCAGTAATCCTCCGACCCACGGAGCGCGCATTGTGTGTCAGCCTTCTCTGTCCATCTCCGCGTGTCTCACGTGAGAATGAGGTTTCACTGATCCTCAACGATCCAATCATGTTTGAGGCCTGGAAACGAGACATCCAGACTATGGCAGGCCGCATCATCGAAATGCGTAAGGAGCTGTTCCGTCTCCTCACGGAAGAACTCCACACTCCAGGCAACTGGGATCACATCGTCAAGCAGATAGGCATGTTCAGGTAAGTTCATATTTCGAAGCACAGGCAACGGAATCTCCATCGCCTTCCAGTTTTACCGGCATCACACCTGCACAAAGCAAGGCATTGATCTCCGAATGCCATGTCTATCTCACAGGTTCGTTCTGCCGCAGCTCTCAGTGGTGTTTCATTAATGACCGCCGCAGCCAATGGCCGCATTTCGATGGCTGGTCTCAACACCAAGAACATTCGCTATTTCGCCGAGTGCTTGGATCTTGTCGTCAGAAAGTTCTGAACCACGTAGCACGCGAAGAAATGTAACTTTAGAAATGTAGAAACAAAACTTGTCGTGCCTGCTGAACGACCAAGCTGAAAGCCTGAAACACGAAATGAATGACGTGATCAGCCTGTCGAAAGAAGGGTTAGGTGTACGACGTCATGGCTGCACAAACACCAGTCACTCAGTTTTCCTCCGTCTTCTCCGTTCGACTGTTCATCTAGCAGCAAGTCATCCTCGGCGGCGGCGGATTCCGAGCAGAGCCCGACCATCTCGTCGCGCCAGCCATCCTGCTCAGTGGACGCCCGATTGTTGCCATCGCTCGTCGTCCTTGACCTGACTTGCATACCTCGCTCCACTCATTTCCAGGACTTGCTGTTCACTTGGCCTCCCGTTTTTCTCCGGCCCCAGTCTCTTCGCCATCATCCTCGGCATACACTTTGCATGTTTCCGACCTGGCTCCTGGCATTCATCTTCCATCTTGTGTCATCTTGCCACCCCGTAGGCTCGTGTCCTCGAGCCGTGCATAGAACAGTTGGCATCTATTCTTGCCTTTCTCTCGCGCACTAACATGGGCATTCTAGTGTCAGTTTTTAGCCCCATCACAACGTCGTCAGAAGATGCGAGAGAGGCTTCCGCTCGAAGCAATCTACGTTCAGGACAACTACCTCCCCAATTCATCGCAATGCCAGCCCCGTTCTTCAACCCATCGACGCAGTCCCTGTCATCGACACCACAGGAAGAACTGCTGGAGAGCCCGCTCTTCTCCCCGGCTCTCGATATGTACCACACAGCACCTTCGACACCCATTGCATCCCCACTCATCGAAGTCCCCTCTTCTGCCATGCACCAGCGTGCGGCAGAATCATCCCCCGCCAAGCTGCACATCAACATCCCTGCCTCACCCCCCGACCGACGGACCATCGATCTCCCCATCGAAGACGCTTTTCCATCCGCCGATATTCCGGTAGACTTGGTCGATGATGAAGGACTGAGCGCGCTGGAAAAAATATATCTGTTTGCCCGCAGCCAGTCGGTTTTCCACAGGCTGTTCATCGTGCATGCTCTGCCCTCGTTCCTGGAACAAGTCACGCCACAGGAGGCGATCGAGTATGTGTTGCCACTTATTCCATGTCTCGCAATGGACGAAGGTATTTGGGCGCTACGCGCTCCAACTGCGTACTGATCCTGATTTGTGCAGATGAGAGCGTCAAGGAAGCGCTTGTTGGGGAGCTGGTTCATGTGATATGGTGGTTTTTCACTGTAGTTCAATCTTATCCACTCCTCGGCGCCAGCTCAAGCTTCTGCAGCATTGCCAGGTTGTTCCGGATGATCCAGATGTGGAGGAGACGGTATATGTGTCTGCCATGAGCACGATCTCTGTGCAGGCCTTCACACCCAGTTTGGGAACACTTCTACTGAGCCCGAACAATAAAGTAGGAGGTGGCGCGAGAATCGTTGTTGTGAAAGCGCTTGATTGGATGAGGAAACTAGACCGCCGCGAGTCGGGCACCCGTGTGCCATCTCCCCTCCTGTGCCATCTCCCCCTCCTGTGCCATCTCCTTTCGACAGCGATTCCGATGAGGAGGAGGAAGAGCTCGTCTTTGTCGGTCTGTTTGGGAGAGAGGAGCGCCTCATGTTCGAACAGGAACTTTTGCAGCATGTCGTCATTGGCATGGGACGTCTGGATCTCGACGATGACGTTGAAATGAGTGAGGGCGATGTCATTCCGGAAGCCGTGTGGCCGGCGGAGGAGCAGACGGTGCACGTTGCCAATGCCGAGGACGAACCTACACCGCAAGTAACCTCGTTCAAGTCCCCGAAAGCTCCAGGCGCTTCACCGGTCTCTTCGTATTTCCCACCCGCCGTGACTTGTGCGGTTCCCTCACCAGCCAGTTCGAATTCGTCGACGCCGAATTCGTCGAACTCCTCATCGGACACGTCTTCATCGGCCTCCTCTCCTGGTATGCTGCTTCATGCGGACCCAAACAGGTCGTCTACGGAAATATTGCCTTCGCTCCCACCATTCGACGAAGATGGCGCATTGGATGAGGGTGAAGGCGATCAGGCGGCCGTTGGGCGTCTTTCGAGCATGAGCCTTATGGCGGCGGTGACTGCGAATGGTGCGTGTGGCCACGCTCATTGGATACGTTCTGATCGAAGACTCGGTCAGGTGACCTCGACGACAACACCAAGCATGCGTTTGTGCGTGAAGTCGAGCGAGTCGGTCATGATCCAGTGTACTGGGTGCGGCGCGAAGCATCGTATGCCCTGGGTGCCCTGGCCAAGGTGGTTCCCGAGGAAGTGGTGCTGCTGTCACTGGTAAGCATTTCGGACTTGAGGCGAGCAAGAGCTGATGGTCGCAGATGCCCCTTTTCGAAACATTGCGGCGGGATTCACAGTGGCACGTGAGGCATTCTGCCTTGTTTGCTTTGCCGGCTATACTGTCGCGGCTGCATCCAGGCCAAAGGAGAAAGCTTGCTCTCGAAAGCGTGCTTCCTTTGTCGACGGATGAATCACAAACTGTGCGTTCTGGTGCATTGGAATGCCTGGGAGAAGTCATCTACACTTTCCATGCCGATCCTGGTGGACCACCGAAAGAACTTGTGGAGCTTTTCCTAGGGCGGAGGGAGGATAAACGGGTCCGGGACGGCCAGCAGGCTACTGAAGAAAGGGAGCGTTACATCCAGTCGCTGCTGGGGCGAGCCAATCCTACCTTGCCTGTCAGACCAGAGAGCCCTTTGACGTCATTCTTCACCGACTCAGCTAGGCCTTTGATCTGCGCGTTCAACATGCCTGCTGTGGCACTGACACTAGGCGGCGCCCGATGGCCTGAGTTGCGGCAGACGTATCTGGATATCTCCGAAAACCGCGACCCGTCTATACGTCGGACGCTGGCTGCAAGCTTGGCGGAGATGGCGAAAATCATCGGGCCGGAGCATGCGGAAGTCGATCTGCTGGGCGTCTGGTGGGATAGTGTCGTAGCCGACGACGAGGAAATCAGGGAGCGAGCGTTGGGGATAACAGAAGCGTTTGTCCCCATGATGGGAAGAGACAATCGAGCGGCCATGGTCCGGGGCTTGTTGGACGGCTGGCAAGCAGGTTCATTTCGCGGTTGGAGGGAACGCAAGTCCATATCCAAGTCTCTGGCTGGACTTGCTTCGGCCGTCGGGGACGAGATGCCCGAAGTGCTGCGAGCCTTGCTCATGAAGGCGCTACAGGACGACATTGCTGCAGTTCGCGAGGCTGCGATTTCGATTGTGCGCTACTTCCCAGTGATCCTTTCTTCCTCGTTGATCTTCCACCACAGCTTCCTCGTCTGTGGTGTACGCTCGGGGGCGCGGATCTGCAACAGGATATCCGGCCTCTTTCCCAAGCCCAAGTGTACCGCAAAAGAATGACGTAAGGATCCGATCTCGCTCGAAATTGTCCAAATCTCACTGACTGGCAGGTTCGTAACCTGCGCGCAAACGCTTCTGACCGATACGAAGCTGGAATTGGAAGATTTCTTCCTGCCCGACGTGACGGCTCTTGCGAATGATGCAGTAGTTGGTGTTAGAATCGGTGTTGCAAGACTGGCGAGAGCTTTGCTAGGTCTGTCGACCTTCCTGGTCATTCTCGTAACAACTGACTAGCCGTTAGAACGCTCTCGAGACTCTGGACGGCCCATCTCTGGTCAATTACTGGCGATCATTCAACAGTTGTCCTCAGATCCCTCGGCCGTTGTCCAGGCCTACGTTCGCGGATGCTTGGATTCCGCGTTTAGTCCAACCACTGGCAATCAGCTCACCCCTGGCAAGCGATCCAGACCGGCAACATTTTCACGGCCACCTCCTCCACAATCTCATCTCAACTCCAGGATATCCTGACGAAGAGTGAAACGCGTCGTTGATGATGGGGACTGAGTACGCACTCTGCTGCGGTTCAAGTCGAGAAGAGGTTGAGCCATCACTTGCCGTGTTCATTACAACTGCTGGCTGCATTTATTACATATTTCCATTCGTATTTTAATGTAGCACTACGCTATCGGAAGCAAGGATTTCTTGATCACCCGAAAGCCTATTAGCATCTACAGTACATCATTGGATCTGACGATCAGCACCTCGTGTCCTGCCTTCCGTCTCTCATATCGGGACAGCTCTGGGTTGCCGCAAACGCATTCCAGCGGCCCTTGACGCGGCAGGCTCAGCGAGCGCTCTGACGGATTTGCCATGAACTTTCTAGCTCTGTCACGGTATCTAGTTTTCGGTATGTACATCTACCACGTCTAGCGCGTTCTTGCTCAACTAGGATCGCGGCGGCTAAGCTACTTTTATCGTTCTCAACGCTATCCTGGCATCCGTTGCCGTATGGAATTTCAGTCTGGTCTCGATGTCTTCGCGCGTCGGTGAGCCAGCTTCAGCCTTCTCTTCCATAACATTTGTCATGGAACTCCGATTTCGGAATAGCTCGTATTGACATCTACATCGTCGTCGTCGCTGCTCTCGGCTTGGCTCTTACCTTCACCATGTAATTCGAATGCATGATACATCTCTTCCCTCTCATCGAACATCGGCTTTCCACCAGAATTTTCACGGAACTGGTTCGCAAGAATGCATTTACCGCGCGGATCTGGTTCGAGGTTGCCTGGACGAGTGTGTTTTGTCTGCTGGACTTGAGTGCGTCGGATCAACCTTCCGTGCAAGACATGAGGCTCACTAGTTCACAGGCGCTGCTGTTGTCGTGACCGCCATCAGTCCCGTCGATACGTGTGGAAGTACCGGTGAGCGAGACCCACAAGCAGTACCAGTCTCTGACGCGTGTCTCATTTGACGACAGATAATCTCATCCCAGCCAATTGCACGTCGACTCGGGTTCTGCAGGGGTTCACATGGGCATGCAGCGTTGTTCGTGAGTCGGTGGGAGGCTCATCTTGCTTGCCGGAGTTCTGATGAGATCCTCAGTTCTGCTATATCTCACTTTGCTGGTTGCGCTCACTGTCGCCAATCGCGACAATGAAGATGTTCCTCGAATCTGGGAATGCGCAATACATAACTTCCCGCCGCTGTCCTCGCTGTCCACATCGATCCACTCGTTCACACCACGCCTCAGGCAGGAGAAACCTGCCGTAGTTGTTGATCCTTTCCCTCCACCGCCAACCCGCCGGTCTGCGGCCCCTCGTCCTCGACGTGGTCTTATGAGTTCGGAATACGAGATCGAGCATTTCCAACCTCCAGTTGACCGTGTCGCTGTCCCCGAACCGATCAGCCCCGTTGCCTCACCTGCCGACCATCTGCACCGAGATCCTAGCAGACCAGGTACCATTCAGGCTGCCGTTGCGCTCTACCCGCAGTATCTGTCCTCGGCATATACACCCCCCATTCCCACGAGCAGTGGTAATCGCTCTCCACCACCACTGGGAGACTGGCCACGGCCAGATGCGCCTCTCCGCCTGAAGCGTAAAGCTGTGCCACAGATTGGGCCTGGGGACCACAGTCTGTCGCCCCAACGTCCAGTTGGCCCGCGAGTCCGGTCTCGCCGCGATGACCCATAAAGTGTACCGTGTACCAAATATATATTCCATTTGTATATTATGCGCATGTACTCACATCCTACGCGAATCGGCGCCTCCATTGTTCTTTGTTCCGCGCTCATGATAGAGTACAAGGACTGCCGGTTAGCCCCGCCGCGGACAAGGATTTCTGAGCTTCCGTGCATGATGCCATCACGTGATTCCAATGGAACCCCGCCATTGTTCTCATCTGGACTCATTGTCCTTATTGCCCTTATATAAAGTTCCAACCATGGCCACTATTCTTGCCACCGGCGGGCTATCCTCTCTTTACGCACCCTCTTTCTGAACGACCGCGCCCTTCGCACCACGACTCTCATGCCATTCAACAAGTTCGCCGTCGCTCGTCTCTTCCTCCTTTGTGCGTCCGTTCGTTTCGTCGCGATCCTACGTGTCGCTGATTCCCCGCCAGCTCTTTTGGCCAATCTGCATATCTTCATCCTTGTTGCGGCAGCATGGATGGCCCATAACAGCATGTCGGCACATATTCCCGTGTCGGGTGCAGCTGTTGCCTTGATTCTTTCGAGCATTGTATATCTCCTCATGGTCTTAACGTACGCATCGCGATTTTTGGTCATCCAATAGCAAATGCTGATGGCACTCATAGGACTGGAACCGTTTGGTGCTTGCGCCTCTCGTATCCTCTTCTCGCATCCCTCAAGTTTGAATGCCTATGGTCTGCGGCCATTACCGTCTATGAAATCGGTTGGTCTATCTTGCCACACACTCTATCCGTGGGCTGATTTCATCCGGCAGGTGCTGCTCTGGCGGTCACCGCATACGTACCACCCGCAGGAGCTCGTGAGCTACATTTTACGACTTACCCAGGGTGCAACTTCTTATCATCGCTACAGCTGTCACCGTCTCTGGTTCTCGCGGAATGCTTATTGCTGTGTCATGGGTCACTATCGTCATCTGTACGTCTCATTATACCTGCTCTTGTTCTCTCCTCTTACCATGTGCGACGACAGCAACCACAAACCTCGCTGGCCTGATATTCTCTGGATGGGCTCACAGGACAGTCTTCCCCGAAGTATGGTCTGCACCAGGCTATTCGATCGAGTGGTTCGTTCATCTGAACCTCGCCGATGCCGACGCATTCCCCCAACCCGACTCGTGGGCACTGTATATCAAGGACATCGAAGCGGGTGGATGCCAGAAGCCACCCGTTTTGCCCTTCGCCGGCTCGAATACCACTTTTGCTGTAGACAACAAAACCTCGGAGAAGGCGCCTTGGGCTCCCCAGATTCGACGTGGTGTGGACGAACCTTTTGCTGTCTCCCCTGCTCGCGAGACGCCATTGCCTCTCCGACCCGGACTCAATACCGCGCTTCCTCCCTTGCCTTTACGAGTCCAGAACAAGAGTACTGGTGCAGGCTCACGGTTCGTTGAACGCTTCCGGGAGTCGCGCCTCTTCCGGAACAACAGCACGTCCCCCAGAGAACTTCCTTTCCCTGCTACTGTTGTTGACCACGATAAACCAATACCCATCCCCCAGTGGTCCTCGCACTGGCTGCGGGCCGATGGCGGTGCACAGGCTGGCCGAGCACGTATATGAGATCAAACGAAATGTTCATGACTCTAGAAGATCTGACACTGTAGCCTTAGCATTTGTTTTCAATGTACAACACCCAAACCTTTGACTTCTACGTATCCACTAATATTCTGTTGTATATTCGATAACGCTGTGTATATGTCAAACACTATCGATTCCGTGGACATATATCGGAGTGATTTAAGCAGCAGGAGCCTGCAGACGGGCCCGCAGACCCGCGTTCTCCTTCTTCAATACGGCCAGCTCTTCTTCCAATTCAGCGGCGCGCACCGCATCGCGCTCGTCGATTTCACCCACCCCGACCGACACACCTAGCATATATCAGCTCTAAACCGGAACATGAAGATAACGACGCACCTCCGACCAGTTTAACGAGACGCCACAGTCGAAGTACGATCAGCATGCCCGCGAGTTCTTGCTCTCGGCCACGGAGCACGGCTTCCAGGATAAATGTGACGACGATAATCAGGGCATCGAAAAGATGCAGGCCTGCGTGTGGGACACCCGGAAAGGGTCATAGAAGCGAGTGCCCAGAGACCACAGGGTCATGGGTATTTCAAGTAGAAACAATGTAGTGATGCCCAACGAGACGTGGCTCAGGGTAGCAAGCCATTCCGGATCCTCCGGCGGGGAACAAGAGTCGTTGAGAAATGTGTAGCTAAGATCAGCAAGCACGCAACATGCGTCTGCGTAAAGCTCAATGCGAGCTGAAGATCAGTTTGTGGGGGACAAGACAGACCTATGGCGATCTATGGTGCCAGTCATTCGCGACGAAAGAGACACGAAGAGCCGAGACCCACCAGCGTAATCACAAATTTGTGGAGAGTCCGACTTTCGAGGAATTCAGCCACACGTTCGCGGCGGGTCGGGGCGGAGCCCTGTTCCGAGGTAGGAAGTAACGGCTGCGACTCCGTCATGGTCTTGGCGAATATAGTGTCTGTGGGGGAGTGACGTCACGAGTTCCCCAGCCTGAGTTCCACGGGCTTTGACTTTTATCTCCCAGCGGCGCCCTCGACCGACGATGTCGTTCTCAATACGCACTACCCTGTTCCACAAGTCCTTACACGGTCGTCGTCATTTCTTCCAAACGGCGAATTTGTCGGCACACCGCCAGATCGGCAACACATTAAGATCGACTAGTATCAGCCGTCCTACCCTGTTTAAGGGACTTTCGGCTGTCGGTCTGGGACTCGGAATCTCTGCCCTGTCGACCCCACGTATCATTTGCGAAAGTGTGCATGTTTCTTTCTTCGCGTGAGTTCAGCTCATTCATTCCGCAGGTCCGCGCCCCTTCGTGGTATCTTCAGCAGGTTCAGCTTCATCCCCTGGAAATGATCTACCTCCGCCCCCCTCGTCCGTTGTCAATGTCTACGAACTTGGATTCGGAACTGTAGCAGGTATATGCGCGGGCGTGTTCATCAAGAAAGGAGCCAAGGCGGTCGCCTTTTTCTGCGGCGGTATCTTTGTCTTGCTCCAGGTGAGTTGAAACTACTCCCAAACCCAATGTGATCAATTGCGAGACATTCTCAACAGTACTTTGGATCTTTCGGAGTGGTCAAAGTCGATTGGCAGGCTGTCGGAACCAAGTTCCAGCACCTTTTCTACACCAGAGACCCCAAGTCCGGGAACAAGGCCACACCAACTATCTACACAGTATGGGTCTGGATGGTCGATTTCTTAACGGCGGATTTCCAGCCCCGAGCATCGTTCATCGCAGGGTTGGCCCTCGGTCTACGCATTGGCTGAGGATTCAAGCTCAGGAAGAGTTCAAGCAAAGTAGACAACGCGTAAACAGTTGTACACAATCCGATCACTACTTTTTCTCTCTCCAAAATATGGGTCGCCGCGCAAAAAACAAGCAAGGGCCGCCGGAGCCTTACGATCCTGAAAAATACGCTTTTTCGAAGAAACTGGGAAAGCGTAAGGCCGACGATTCTGAAGAACGAGCTCGTCCGGCGAAAAAGAGCAAAGAGTCTGGCGCTACCAATGCATCGAAGCTCAAGCCCAAAGCCAAACCTGCCAAAAAGGCGTCCAGACCGAAGCCGACTGAGGATTCTGGCTCCGGAGACGGTTGGGAAGATGTTGCGGATGGTGCTCAGATGTGAGTCTCGGCGGAATATGATTTGTATTCATTAGAATTTACTCCCGACACAGCGGGGACTTGGATAGTCTGTTGGGTGACGATGACGAGTGCGCTGAATCTTTTACTGGGTTCTCCTTGTTCCTCATTGTGGTTCCAGTGACATGCTCCGTGGGCCGGCACAAGAATTTGACTTTGGTTCGGACGCAGAAGATCCTGATGATATGCCGCCGACGAGACTGAATTCGAGAGCCAAACTACCGAACGGAGGATCTTCTGATGACTCTGACGAGGAAGACGATGAGGAGGAGCGCGTGACGATGGCCAACATGGAAGCCCGTTCGAGAGCACTCGACCTGCAGGCTGCAGCGGAGGCAGAACTCGATATCGAGGAAGCTCAACTCGCAGCCGTTGAGGCCGACGACGAAGATGAGGATGTAGACATGGATGGGGAAGAGGACGCAAATGGTGACATGAGCGCCGAACCCTTCACATTACCCACCGCCGAGGAACGCGAGGCAGAAAAGATCAAAGTTCCCGATGTGCACACCGTGCAGAGGCGAATGAGGCAATGTGTCCGAGTGCTCGGAAGGTTCAAAAAATTGGCTGAGGCGGGAAGGTGTGTTGCATTTTCGACTGGGTCCTTCTTATGCCCATTGCTACATCTACAGAGCACGTTCAGAATATATTCAGCAACTTATCGCCGATATTGCAAGCTACTATGGATATAACGAGTTCCTCACAGAAAAGTTGTTTCATCTGTTCTCGGTCCCGGAGGTGAGCACCTTGCCGTCACAAACATACTTTCTGTGACATGATGGCGCAGGCGATCGAATTTTTCGAGGCAAACGAAGTGTCTCGACCGGTGACCATCAGGACGAACACTCTTCGCACCCGACGTCGCGACCTTGCTCAAGCACTTGTCAACCGCGGTGTTAATTTGGAGCCGATTGGGAAGTGGACCAATGTCGGTCTACAGATTTTCGAGAGCAGCGTTCCCATCGGTGCTACACCGGAATATCTCGCCGGTCACTACATGCTGCAGGCTGCGTCCTCATTCCTGCCGGTCATCGCGCTGAGCCCTCAACCCAACGAGCGCGTGCTGGATATGGCATCCGCACCCGGCGGTAAGTCGACGCATATCGCTGCTCTGTTGCAAAACACCGGTGTGGTTTTCGCGAACGATGCCAATAAGGCTCGAACGAAGAGTTTATCTGCCAATGTCCACAGACTGGGATGCACAAACGTTGTCGTTTGCTCCTATGACGGACGGGAGTTTCCCAAGGTCATGGGGGGCTTTGACCGTGTCCTGCTTGATGCACCGTGCAGTGGGACTGGTGTCATCAGCAAGGACGCCAGCGTGAAGACAAATAAGGCTAGTTCCCTCATCACACACTTATCTGTCTGTTGTACTAATAGTTTACTGTTTGTGCAGAGTGATCGGGATTTCACCCTTCTCTCGCATCTCCAAAAGCAACTTATCCTTTGCGCGATCGACAGTGTTAGCCCCGAGTCCAAGACGGGTGGTTACCTTGTGTACTCGACCTGTTCCGTTATGGTCGACGAAAACGAGGCTGTGGTTGACTATGCGCTTCGCAAGCGACCGAACGTGCAGCTAGTTGAAACAGGGCTGGGGTTCGGTGTGCCTGGTTTCACCCGTTTCCGGGGAAAGACTTTCCATTCGAGTGTTTCTCTGACCCGGCGGTTTTATCCGCATGTGCACAACATGGATGGCTTTTTCGTGGCCAAATTCAAAGTCGAGAAGCGTGCCAAGCGGTCGAAAGCGGTTGACGAAGACGATGGCGGCACGGTTGAAGTCATTGCCGAAGACGGAACTGTCGAAAATCCGGTCATCGATGAGCAAGTTGGCTTCGATCCTGAGGAGGATGAACCTTATCTCCAGGGTCAGCAGGCGTTCTTTCTGGATCTGATCACCAACGCTGACGACTGGGCAGATGCTAAAAGACGGAGGATGAAAGCCAAGGGCCTGCGCCCATCGCGGAAATTCTCGAAAGCCACGGCTTGAGCACGTCGCTGCTTCTCTTCTCAGATGTGGTAGTACTTCGCGAGTCTAGCTTTGCGAGGATCATCGAAGGAGATCGACACAGGATTGTCCACAGGTACATTGGGAAGAAATACATAACAGGGTATCGTCATCAGTCCTTAATACTTCTCATTCTCCGACCTGGACGAAGTCAGCAAAGGAAGTGATCAGCGGCCAAAAGCTTGAGCTTACACGCGCCGTCTGTTTCCACCACACACACCAGCACAAGCACCGACCGTGGCAATCCAGAGCAGCACTGTTGCGGCGAGTGTCATCCACACGGCGTTGCCCCAATTCAGATTGACTGCTCCATCAGTGTCTTTCTTGACGCGATTTCTAACCAATGCGACAAGGATGACGTCGATCAAAAATAAGATTGTTGTCAACAATGCGGTCAAGAGCCCCGCTCCGAGCGCCAACAGTGACGGCAGTCGCGAAGTGCCGTTTCGACCACGCCGGAGCATAAACAAGGAAATGAGCAGCGTGATGAATGTCAGAACGACCACCACGATATTCAGCGCCAGGGCACCAGTCAGGCTGCGGGAGATGGTGTTTTCAATCCCGCTCACGTGACTATGAAACTGAATAAACGCGACCGACGCTCATGGAAAGAGAGACTGACAGCGCTTGCGAGACGGGACCGTCAAAGGTGTATCCGAGATGATGCGGCGAACACTCTGCAGCGGTGTTATGGTGGATTCCGACAACGCTGGGATACATGTCACAAAATCAGGTCGCAAGTGAGGAAAGGAACGTACGAGACTGAGGCACCAGTAGTGCAGTAGCCCCAAACTCCAAACGTGACAGAGTCGGCGACAGAGCTGTTGAGCAGGCCTGAAGAGGCGCCTACTGATAGACGCCAGAGGAAAATGGTTTTGATGATCGGCACAGAAAGTGTGACGAGCAGCAGGAGAAGAAACGCGACAAACAGGAGAAAGGGCGTGAAAAATCCGAACGGAATCATGATGTCGGAGGCGTTAAGAGTCGTGGGGCAGTGTCTTGAGCGCGACGTGGATGCTGGCCTCTATATAGGTGCCAGCGACCGATGACGTTATGGGGCAAGTGGAGTGTGCTTGAAAGGGACAAGAACATGATTGCCGAGTGCTTCCGGGATTCTCTTCAGAGAGGTTATTTTACAGTATCGTCTTCACCACGCCTGGCTCCCGACAGCAGATCGCGTTTTAATCGCATTGAGCAGCGGATGTCGAATTTCAGGAAGAGCTTGGAGCCATCGAACAGAATTCGTGAGAACTAGAATGTGCGCATGACACAGTGGCAGGTCGAGAAGGCCGAGGATCTCAGCGGTTCATCGAGACCGCTCAGCTTCAGCGGCAGCGCAACGTGGGGGAGGAAAGTCCTTCGAGGATAGGTCGAACGAGGAACAAAGGACCCCTTGGAGAACGATAGATGAAACAATAAGAACCAGTCGCGATCGAGATATACAAAAGGGGTGTAAACACGTGGAAGGTTTTACGCCAGTCTCGCGCGAGCAAAAGGGAGACATGACGGACTCGGCTAGGCCTGAGAATACGAGAGAGACATCCATCGATACTGCAGCATGTCGTCGCTTGAAAGACCGGTGCGCCTCGATCTGTCTCAAGTCACCTGGGCGTTGCTAACAGACCTATCACACTTGATGGTCACGGTAGAACCATTTTACGCGGGAGTCACTGGTCACGCGCATATAAAGCCCGTTGTCAAATGTGCAGCCCCCATCCTTCGTACTCTATCCACTCCCACAGCGGGTTACCGGCTTTGCTCGACATCTTCCTCTCTCTATCACCTAATACCTTTTCGTGTACGTCTCTCAGCTTCCTTTGTCTTCATTTTTCGCTTATCGTTTTTCCTTCCCAAGCTCCGTAATGTCTACCCCTGAAGTCGCCGCCGCTGCACCCGTCGAGGAGGTCAAGACTGAGGCCCCGGTTGAGGCCGTCCCCGAGCCCGCCGTCGAGGCCCCCAAGGTCGAAGAAGTCGCTGCCCCTGTCGCCGTATGTGCTCTCTTTGTCCATGTCTCTCACGTTATCTCATATCTTGGCATCAAAGGAGGTCGCCGCAGAGCCCGCCGTTGAGCCTAAGGTTGAGGTTTGTTAGTACCTCGTTCCACGACCTCGCTGCTGAGTACGAGGCCTCAGGAAACTCCCGCTCCGGTCGTTGCTGAAGCCGCTGCCGAGCCCGCCGTCGAGGCACCCGCCACTGAGGCACCGGTGGCCGAGACTGCTGAGGCGCCCAAGGAGGACGCCAAGGAGGAGGTCAAGGAAGCTGTTCCTGTTCGTACTCTCTCCAGAACTACAATCATAGTGCTTGCTGATCACTATCTGACTAGGCCGATGCACCCAAGAAGGAGGAGCGTCCCAAGAGCCCTGGTCTGCTCGCCAAGCTCCTTGCTCCCTTCAAGAACGAGAAGAACAAGGTTGAGAAAAAGGTGAAGAGCCCCAAGAGCCCGAAGAAGGAGAAGAAGAAGGAAGAGCCGGTGCGTTATCATATTTTCTTAGATTGTCACCAAACTGACAGTCTCGTAGGCTCCCGTCCCCGCTGCTGAGGAGCCCGTGACCACCGAGGAGGCTGTTCCTGCTGCCCCCGTCGAGGAGGTTGCCGCCCCTGCTGAGGAACCCGCTAAGGTTGAGGAAACCCCTGCTGAGCCGATCAAGGAAGCGTCAGTCCGAGTTTTGTCGTCCTTTACTCTAGCTGATAAGGTGCTACAGTGAGGTCGCCGCCGCGGAGCCCGTCGCTGAGACTGCAGCGGCCGAGGCCCCCAAGGAGGAGGCCGTCAAGGAGGAGAAGAAGGAGGAGAAGGTGCCATCATAATTGATCAGTGCGGGGCATCGGCTGACCGGACATGCACAGAAGGAAGAGAAGGCGCCCAAAGCTGCCAAGGTCGGTCGCCGCCTGTCCGCCCGTGTGGGCGACTTCTTCAAGCCGAAGCCCAAGGTCGAGGTCGTTCCCCCTCCCAAGGTTGACGAGCAGCCCCCCAAGATCGACGAGCCCGAACCGATCGCTCCATTGGAGAACCCGGCCACCGAGGAGGCTGTCAAGCCTGCCGAGGGAGAGACCAAGGCTGTTGAAGCCGAGGAGACCAAGGCTGCCGAGCCCGTCGCTGCCGAGCCCGCAGCTGCGACTGCTTAAATGCTCTTCAAGCGTTTGTTTTTGCATGCCCTCCTCAGCACGACCGTTACGCCTCTATTCTCTCGAACCATCCTATCCCACTGCATGTCCTGGATCCTTTCTCTCCTTCTTACGATACAGCGGGTTGGTTCTGACGACTTGCTACGACAACCTTCATCCGCATCACACTTAATACCAGCTGAATCCATTGGTTTGTCATCATACCCCTACTTTCTCTATTTCGGATTCCGCTTCTGTGTCGTTTTTTTGTAATCGTTTTCTATAAAATGATGCTCCCTTCTTTTGGATAAATCTGTTTGAAATTCTACTCAATGAGGCCGTCTGTCGTGCAGGGACTACCTTTTCTGTGACTCGACTATGATTGATGTAAATATTGTATGAGTGCGTATGACTATCGATCACCATAGGGCAAGTCACCCCGAGAGGCAAGTGCATTCCACTTCGGTAATTGTCACGTGACAATACTTCCTTCTCTGTTCGCTACTATGTCAGATAATCCCTACCTCGCGCATCACAAGAAAGGAATGGGCTACGAGGCTGGGCCTTCATCTGGATCAAACGGAACAATGCTTGGAGCCAAGGATCCATTGTTTGGGTGGATTCCTCGTAAGGTTAAAGGAGAAGACGCTCGAAAAGCATTGGTGTGTTTCGTTTCATCGCGCGCTTGCACTCATCTGGAGCTTTCTGTCAGGACAATGATATCAATCCATTCACGAAGCAACCTCACTCATCTGAATACAAGAAGATCCTGGCAGGAAGGAAGAAACTGCCCGTCTATGCTAAGATGGACGAATTTTTCAAAATGGTATGTAATTTGCAGATGCGCCGGAGTGAAGGGTTTAGACCTAGTATAGGATGAACTCTAACCCTTGCTTCCGGCTGCTCGTCGTATTCGGAAGGCGCTGACGGTCCGTCCAGTTCACCGAAAATCAAATCATTGTCATGGTTGGAGAAACGGGTTCCGGAAAGACCACACAGTCAGCCAAGCTCCCATTCTTGCTGCACATCTTGATTCTCACATCCGCCTTTCTAGGATCCCTCAGTTCGTTGCCTATGCCGATCTGCCCCATACGAGGGGGAAGCTCGTTGCCTGTACCCAGCCACGTCGAGTTGCGGCCATGTCCGTCGCAAAACGTGTAGCTGACGAAATGGACGGTGCGTAGCAAACATGTATGTCTAGAGCTCTTGTTCACATCTTTTCAGTCTCACTGGGCCGCCAAGTCGGTTACTCGATCCGATTTGAGGATATGACTGAACCCGGCACGACATTTCTCAAGTATATGACGGACGGAATGCTTTTGCGGGAAGCCATGAATGATCCCAACTTGGAACGTTACTCGACGATCATTTTGGACGAGGCCCACGAACGCACTCTCGCCACGGACATCCTCATGGGTCTCCTCAAAGAAGTCGCAAAGAGGCGGTCAGACCTCAAAATTATTGTCATGTCTGCAACTTTGGATGCGGTCAAATTCCAAAAGTATTTTAGCGTCAGAGGTTCTGAGGCTGCGCCGCTTTTCAAGGTTCCAGGACGGACGTTCCCCGTCGAGGTAGCTATTCGCTCGATTGATCGTCCCCAGGCCTCTGTCTGATACTTTACCAGGTCTTCTATACGCAAGAGCCTGAACCCGACTACGTTGAAGCTGCCATCCGGACGGTGCTCATGATCCATCGAGCAGAAGAGCCGGGCGACATCTTGCTGTTCCTGACAGGAGAAGAAGAGATCGAGGACGCTTGTCGCAAGATCAAAGCAGAGGCCGACGACCTCATCAATCAAGATCCAGATGCCGTTGGACCCTTATCATGCATACCATTATACTCGTCACTCCCTCCCCAACAGCAACAGCGAATCTTCGATCCAGCTCCCCCTGCTAGAGGCGGTGGTCCTCCTGGTCGCAAAGTTGTTGTGTCGACAAATGTCGCCGAAACGTCACTAACGATCGACGGGATCGTGTACGTCGTGGATCCCGGCTTCTCGAAACAGAAGGTCTACAATCCCCGGATTCGGGTGGAGAGTTTGCTTGTCAGCCCAATCTCCAAAGCTTCCGCTCAGCAGCGAGCGGGCCGTGCCGGTCGAACACGACCCGGAAAATGTTTCCGGCTGTACACAGAGAAGGATTTCATGAACGAGTTGGAGGAGCAAACGCATCCTGAAATCTTGAGGAGCAATCTCAGTAATACTGTCCTGGAGCTGGTCAAGCTCGGCATCAAGGTAGCAGTACTTTTGTCTCTGCACGACTTTGCTTACATTCGTGCAGGATCTCGTCAGGTTCGACTACGTCGATGCTCCGGCGCCCGAAACGCTCATGCGTGCGCTCGAACTTCTGAACTATCTCGGTGCTCTCGACGATGACGGAGCGCTTACGGCTTTGGGAGCGATTATGGCTGAATTTCCCCTGGACCCGCAGGTCAGCAGCTTTTGTCCCTTGAATCGCTTTCTCACCGACCTTAGATGGCCAAAATGCTTATCGTCAGCCCGGAATTCAAATGCAGCAACGAGATTCTCACGATCACGGCTATGCTCTCCGGTTCGTTCGTTTTTCAACCTTTCGTGCCGAAAATGACCTTGGAATACAGTGCCCAATATCTGGTTGAGGCCCAACAACCAACGCAAAGAGGCCGATGCTGCCAAGGCAATGCTGACAATACCAGACGGCGATCATCTGACGATGCTTAATGTATATAACGAATACATCACCAGTGAGGAGATAGCCACTTTCCACCTGCCCAGTCTCTGATCACCTGCAGATTTACATGATAAGAATTGGGCTTGGAGTCACTACTTGTCAGCCCGCGCTCTTAATCAAGCTGAAAATGTCCGCAAACAACTGGAGCGAAACATGGAACGCTTCGAGATTGACCTCGTCAGTCTTTCCGAGCCGGCCAAACTCTATGTGCAGGTCCGACAGGCTCTGGTCTGTGGCTTTTTCATGCAGGTTGCGCACAAGGAAGGAGAAAAGGGAAACTATCTCACTGTCAAAGACAACCAGGTACGTTCTCGGTCTCTGATACCGGATGCGATGACTGAGGACCTCCAGGTTGTTGGTCTTCATCCATCCTGTGGCCTGGAAACACAGCCAGAATGGGTCATCTTCAACGAATTCGTCCTGACCACTCGGCCATACATCCGCATTGTGACAGAAGTCCGCCCAGAATGGTTACTGGACTACGCCACCAACTATTTCGACCTATCTTCGTTCCCCGACAGCGAAACCAAACGAGCCCTGCTCAAGGTTCTCAATAAGCGTCTCAACAAAGTCCGCGATGGCGATACTCGAGAGACAAAGAAACGCAAAAAGAACTAGATTAGATTAGACTGGCCATCACATCGATGCTATTCGAGTCATTCGGTTACGTAATCTTATTGCGCCCATCCAACTTGAGTATTCCGTCCATGGCTCCAAAGCTCGCTGCAGGCAAAGAAAAGCTCATCGACGAAGAGGACGAGGTCTGCTTGCCGCATACACATGTATTCGTTTCGCCGACGCACAGTCTGCATCGATATAACAGGTCCTACAAGCGGTGATACTTGCCGACAGTTTTGACAAGCGTTTTCGGCCTCTAACGACGCGTACTCCTCGTGTACGCATATAATCCAGCTTCTCCCGATGTCATTTCACGCGGGAGGATAGTGTCTGCTGCCGATCTGCAACGCACCGCTTCTCGATTGGACTTTCGAAAGTCTTGCACTAGCCGGCGTACAAGAGATCTTCGTCATCTGTCGGTCCCATGCTGAGCAGGTCAAGGCCGCTATCAGGTGCGCTGTGTCTGGATCCTGTCCGGGACCCGTCCCAGCTGATAGATGCGGGCAGGGACTCGAAATGGTCGCGTCCAGGTTCGGGGATCAAGATCGTGCCCATTATGACTGCGAAGGAGACGTTCTCAGCCGGAGACGCCATGCGCGATGTATACACCCGCGGACTGGTGACGAGCGATTTTGTCCTGGTCATGGGCGACCTTGTGAGCAATATCCGGATCGACGAGGTGGTTCGCGTGCACAAGGAGCGGCGGAAGACGAACAAGGACGCGATTATGACTATGGTCGTGAAGGAGAGCGGGGTTTCACATCGGACGAGGTGAAATTGTGTGTTCTGCGTGTAATGCAGCGCTGATCTAGTGCAAACTGACAGAACGACCGGCGACTCGTCCGTATTCGTGCTCGACGCCCATACGTCTGAGTGTCTGCACTACCAACCGGTCGATGCCCATCCTGCGACTAGATTCGCGACGATACCCCGAGAGGTTCTGGAGTCTCATCCAGAGATCGAGCTGCGTAATGACCTCATAGATTGCTCGATCGACATATGTTCCGTGGAGGTTCGTCATGGTGGTCTCGATGGAACTTACCGAGCACTCAGCTTCGTTCTCAGGTTCCATCTCTATTCCAAGACAATTTCGACTACGAAGATATCAGACGCGATTTCGTGCATGGGGTTCTCACGTCCGATCTTCTTATGAAGAACATCTACTGCTATGTGGCTGAAGACGGATATGCTGCCCGGGTCAAAGACACCAAAAGCTATGATGCCATCAGGTACTGCGATCTGCGAGACTCCTTCACACGAGACGATACTCACGATACTCAGCAAAGATATTCTTTCGCGATGGACCTTCCCTCTGGTACCGGACGATAATCACCCCGGCGGGCGTGTACCAACACAGCCGAGGCAACAAATATTTTCCCGCAGACAACTCCGTGACGCTCGCACGGTAGGAACGGGCAATTCATCCTATGCTCTCTTACCATCATCTTCTTCAGATCATCCAAAATCGGTAACAATACGCTTATTGGCGCGGCGACCAGAGTCCACGACAATGTGGAAATCACAGGCTCTGTAATCGGTCGCAACTGTGTGATTGGCGCTGGCTCAGTGATCGAGGGCGCATACATCTTCGACGGGACAGTCATCGGAGCCAATTGTTACATCAAGCGTAGTATCGTCGGAGCGGGTGTGACGATCAAGGATAAAACGCGCATCGAAAAGGGGTGTCTAGTCGGCGACGGCGTTGTCGTTGGGCCACTAGCAAGCCTCGACTCTTTCGAGCGATTGTCAAAAAGGCGCGAGCAGGGCGAAACCTATGCCAGTGACGATGAGGACTCTGACTTGGAAGATGTCGAAAACAGTAAGCGGGATCGGTGTCTTTTGAAGTGCTCAAATATTGAATCTCACAGATCAGGATGCCGAAATCGTTGCTGCATTGGGAAAGGACTCGAATGCTCTCGTATGGCCTGAAGGCCCGGGAGAAGAGGACGACGAGGACGACGAGACTGCGGCTGCCTGGAAGAACCAGAGGACGAGGCGATTGGGCGATGACGGCTCGGAGCTGGAGTATTCCGACGACGGATCGGACGACGACGACAGCTCGGATGAATCTGACTCTGATGAGGAGCTGAACTATTCTGGGTCTGAGATCGAGGTTGAGGTTCCTGGGGCTTCAAATCTCATGCAAGACAAGGAGTTCACGATGGAAGTCAACCAATCGCTGGAGCGGGCGTTCGCAGAGGGACACTCTGTCGACAATGCCGCCGTCGAGCTGAAGACACTGCGTATGGCGAGTAATGTCCCGCTCTCGAGAGTTCGCGAGGCCGTCATAGCTGCTATCGTGGAAGCCATCCCTGTCGTCGAAGGCGCTGCTGCCCAACGAAGAGAAATCTCCCGTGTCATCTCCCGGTGGGGACCGCTTATCAACAAGATTGGTGGCATAGATGCCGTAGAGGCCATCGGCGCGTTGCAAGTATGTGCTTTCACTGGACCGTTTCTCATTTCAGATATTAATCACGGACAGGGTCATTGCTCTACTTCGACGCGGCTACCGATGTTTGGTCATATCTTGGCTGACTTGTACCAAATCGATGTCGTGGACGAAGACCACATCCTAGCATGGCATGCCCTGGTCACATCCAAAGGTCTCGACTCTGAACCGAATGCCGAGAACGTAAAGCGATGCTGGATCGCTGGGGGACATCTTCTCAAGCAACTGCAAGAGCAAGAGAGCGACGAAGAGGACGAAGACGGGGAAGACAAGGAAGAGGACGAAGGCAAAGCATCTATCAGCAGTGCTAAAGAAGGGTCTGGCAGCAGCGAGGATGAATCTTCGAGCGCTGCAGAAGGAAGCGAGAGTGGCGAAGAAGAGAGTGAGAGTGGAGAGGAGGGAAGCAGCGATTCCGAAGAAGGCAGCGGTGACGAAGAAAGTGACGAAGAAAGCAGCCATGTCGCAGCAACACCTCCAGCGTCAGCGCCAGCGCTAACGCCAAAAGCAGATGCGCAGGGAACATCTGTCCAGATCTCTGGCGAAAGCAAAAACATCGAGGAGAGCAAAACCAGCGGACCAAGTAAAATCCCCGGCGAAAATGAAACCACAACAGCAAGTAAGAGCGCCGGTGAGAGTAAACCCCCTGGAATCAATGCAGAGAGCACTAGTGGTGAGGAAGATGGCGAAGAGGATACCAGCGACAGTGAAGGAGAGAGTGGCAGCAGTGAAAACGAGAGCGGTAGCGGCGAAGACGAGAGCGGCAGCGGCGAAGACGAGAGTGGTAGCGGCGAGGAGGAAAGCAGTAGCGGTGAAGATTCTGGGGAAGATGGCGCTGAAGCCCACCCAGTCGTCAAAAAGCCCTAGACACATAATATGAATACAGTTTCTGATGGATCCAGGCCTCCGGCCACTGAGGTATATGTCGCTCCGGAGAGTGCAACTAGGACCCAGATTGACTAATTCCCCCTCTGCGCTATCGAGTAGAAGCGGAGCATGAGTGCTTAGACGCTTCGGATAAAGGATAAAGTCGGGCGAAGTCCGTGAAATTCTCGAAAAAGAGATAGGGCAAAGCGCTCAATCTCAAGCGCAAACGTACCCGCAGTGTCAAAACCAGATATGGATAGCGGGTACTCAAAACAGACCAGAAAAGCACCTCAAGCCGTCTCAGATGATAAAACACAGCTAGTTTGCGAGAGGAAAAGCCCCTGATCGGCCCCGAAATGGAGTCGATCTGTCAAAGGCGGTGGAGGGACCTCAACGCAAGTGACTGGGGGCCTGTGTGTCCCATGCGCGACACGCGGTCGGTGTTTCAATACTTGAGGATGATGTGGATCGCCGCAGAATCATATGGTACCCGGTCTATGAAAATCAGCTTGCCTAGGCATGCCTCCGACCCAGTAACACCGAGGGGTCTGACGTATGGGTTGCGCATGGGTACTTGGTATCCCATAAGCGCCCAGACGATGGGCATAAGCAGATTTGCGCCAGACCCTGGGATAGCGTGAGATGCATCACGCGAATGAAATGCGCGAAAGCACTGCAATTGGCGGATTGGCGAATTCGAGAGGCGTTCGAGAATCACGCACGCAAGGGTTGGAAGCAGGAGCGCAAGAAGGACCTTGCAGACGTCCGAGGATGCGAGAGCCCAGAAACGCGCTAAAGTCGGCCAGGGACAAGAGGACCCTACCGCAGTGAAGCTTGTGTTGAGAATCGGTTCAGAAAGTCGAGCTAAGCGAGACACTTTTGGTCATTTCACGTTATGTATGTGTGCCGGGCCGGTGATCGCGCCATCTGAGCGCATGGGTGTTGCCGGATAATTTCCACTGGACCGGGTCTGCATTCATTCTGCAGAGGGCACGAGGTCCCAGCGTGCGGTGATATGCAGTCTGGAGCAGACCAAGTGTGAGAGTCATGCTGCTGCGGGGGCTTTGAGGAGTTGACGTTGAGACGTGAGGCAGGGATGACGCACTTGTGACAGGCTGTGCCTTGCTGTGCCCATGACGCAAGTGCCGATCCGCGCTCCACATGATTACTATAAGAGTGCGCAGTCTGGCCATTTCCAGCATCTGACGACCCTCACGTCTACAACATCCCACTAACATGGTGCGTCCACATCCGTGTCCCTGCCTGGGCAAGAACTGACCCCGAGTCCAAGGCATTCACCGCTTCTGACATCTGCAAGATCATCCTTGCCGTTATCCTCCCTCCCCTTGGTGTCTTCTTCGAACGAGGTGCGCCGTGCGCATCAGTCGCTTCTGCCTGGTATTCTGACACCCGAACCAGGCTGTGGAGCTGACCTGCTCATCAACATTCTGCTGACCGTCCTTGGATACATCCCTGGCATCATCCACGCCCTGTACATTATCCTCAAATATTGAGGTAGTCGAAAACAGACTCTTGAGCAACGATACCCGCGTGTACCCTAGTTCCACTTAATTCCATTGCAATCTGGCTGTAAACTTGAACACATTCAATTCGAATCAGGTCAAATTCGCGATCACGTGTGAATAAAGAATTTTACGATGCTGTCACTGCATCCAACACTGCCTCCAATGTCGCAGCGGCGACCTCGCAGTGGCTGACGGTATTGAAAAGGGGTGCCGGTGCGAGACGGATTACATCCGGCTGACGTTCATCGCCAATAACGCCCAAATCATTGAGTTTCTCGTGAACCTTGTGCATCAACCCGGCGGGAAAGAACAACAAGGACAATTGCGCGCCTCGACTGTTTGGATCGCCTGGCGTGATGATCGTGAAGCCCGGCGAGGCGGTCAGGTCCTTGTCCACGTGCACAAAGTGCTTGGACTGCATCAGAAGCTTCTCCAGCGTTCCGGTCAACAGTATCGAGCGCTCCCTCAGTGGTTGCATCATCCCGGCGGCTTCAAAGACCTGCATCGAGCCCAGAACGGACGCCGCGCCAAAGATGGAGGGGTTCGATTGCTGGAATCCCTGGGCGCCCTTGATCGGAGAAAACTTGGGCGGCATGGCAAACCGAGTTGCAGGCTCATGGCCCCACCAGCCGGCAAATCTAACACAGTCCGTGAATAAACTTTTCGGGTTACTCGAAGCGCGGCTCACTTTGGAAGCTCGGTCTCGTTCCATTTCTCGTGCACGTAAAGCCCTGCAATGGAACCTGGTCCCGAATTAAGGTACTTGTATGTGCACCACACGGCAAAGTCGACGTTCCAGTTATGCAGTGAGAGTGGCACATTTCCGACAGCATGAGCCAAATCCCAGCCGCATATGCAACCCTGCGCATAGTAAGCCAAATGGAGCGCACAGCCTGCAAAAGCCCTGACCTGATCCTGGGCCGCCCGAGTGATCTTTTCCATTGGAAACCATTGCCCTGAATAGTATTGCACGCCGCTGAAAATGACTAAGGCAATCGAGGGTCCTTCGCGGGCGATCATGTCGAGAATGTCCTCCTCCCGCAATGTATATTCCCCTGGCCGCGGAGAGACTTCAAGAACAGTCTGCCCGGGATCGAGACCGTGGGCCTTCGCTTGGGAAGCAAAAGCGTACTGTAGATGAATTCGAGTCAATGCCAGCACACGCGAGAGTCTGCTGTGCTATGCAAGCTTACTTGATCCGAGGGAAATGCTTTTGCCTCGCACAGAATCTTATATCTCGTCGAGGTAGGCTTGTAGAACGAGTCCATCATCAGGTGAAGATTGGCCGTCAACGTCCCCATGCACGCAACCTCTGTTTTCGCCGCGCCTGTGCGACACGGGTTTGAATGTGGCAATCGCTGCGGACTGCCTATACTTGCCGACCAAAGCTGCGAAATGCGGCGTTATGTGGTCGCAAAAATCCACCCATCCACGTCCGAACGGATGTGTCGTGAAATGGCCTGCGACTGCACTGGAAGTGTGTCAACCATTAAAGGTTGATTTACAGCTCATAGAGTCGCACTGGGTCTTCCACGCGAGCAACTCTTCCTCGACCAGCGTCTGTGATCGCCTCGAGAGTGGGCCCAGTGAGTTGCCGCACAGATAGGTGCACGTGCTGTCTGGGGCACTCTAGTGGTCAGACGTAGGATAGATGACGATCGATGCAAGGCGGGACCTGGCTCAGGATGCGCAGATGCGCCAATCTGCTTGTTCGTAGGCAGAACGAATTCCTCAGACAGTGGCGAAGACATGAATCAGATATTCCCGATATGGTGCAAGGTCGATGTCCCAGAGTGGAAGTAGATTGGCTTGGTCAGCGACATATCACCGTCACTTGTTTTCTGCGAATGCGGACGCGCAAAGCGGTCATTGTCGGTGCAGGGCCCGTAGGCTGCCTGGCTGCAATTTGTCTAGCAAAACGTGGATGGCACGTTGAACTTTACGAAGGGCGGCCGGGTGAGTAAATGCGCATGATGCCGGCTCAACGATGGACATGCCAATAGCTGAACATCTCTGCTTCTCAGACCTGCGCACAGCGACTTCAAAGCAGACCACTCGTCTTAGATCGATAAACCTCGCTATTTCTCACCGTGGGCTGGCTGCCATACAGGTTGTTGACCCCCTTGTCGCCGAGCGTTTCTTGCAAACCGTCATTCCCATGAAAGGACGCATGATACATCACGAAGATTGCACCCAGGTCAGCCAATTATATGATAGAGATGGACAGGTCCGATTTCTTGTTTCCATACGCGTCCTCTGGTTCACGCCGGTCCGCTTGCTTCCCGACAGTGCATAAACTCAATTGACCGCGCGCTCTTGAACGAAAGCCTCTTGGAACATGCTGCGTCGCTAGAGAACACACAGATTTTCTTCCAGCACAAAGTGCAAGCCGTGGACTTTGATCGGAAAAGTATGACTGTTATAGATACAGCCGCTGGCTCTGAGCGGCCTGTGGAATTCGATTTCTGCATCGGAGCAGATGGCAGCTATTCGGTAATCCGGAGACAATTGATGAGGGTGCTTAGGCATGTGCATCCCGATTGTCAAGACTGTGTGCTGACTGGCTCTCCCTGTTCCTGTTATCGGATTAGAATGGATTTCCAGCAAGAGTACCTGAAGGATGAATACATCGAGCTGAGAATGCCAGCAGGCCGTGACAGCGAGGGCAATCCCATCTTTCTGCTTGATCCGAGCCATCTTCATATTTGGCCTCGCCACTCGTTTATGTTCATCGCTCTTCCAAACAAAGTAAGCTCGTGTCACAAGTGCACAATGTCTTCTGAATGCCGGCTTCTGATGTTAGGACAAATCGTTTACATGCACATTATTCGCACCTATCTCAGTCTTGGATCGTCTCGTTGACCGCCAAACGTTCCTGTCTTGGTTCAAAGAATATTTCCCAGACGCGCTGAAGCTTATCGGAGAAGACAACCTTTGCAGCGATTGGTCCAAGAATCCCAGAAGCCCATTAATCTGCACCAAGGTGATATTAATTGGTTCCACGTTTCCGCTTTGACCTCAAGCGGCCCAAACTACAGTCCAATCCTTATCACTATCTGGACAGAGCTATTCTCCTTGGTGATGCGGCGCATTCGATGGTTCCATTCTACGGTCAAGGTTTGAACTGTGGGCTGGAAGATGTGCGAGTGCTCGAGACCCTGCTCGAGGCCGGCCAAGTCTCTGCCATGGTCCCGGAGGGTGACTCGATTGACGTCGCGCTAGCTGGGACACTTTCGAAATATTCGGAGACCCGACACGCAGATCTGATTGCCATATGTGATCTGGCGATGGCCAATTAGTGCGTTCTCCGGCCCATTGGCGGTGATGATTAAACAAATTGACCGTAGTGCGGAAATGCGACACTCTGTGACGACCCCCGGCTACATATTCCGGAAAGCGTTGGATTCGATTCTTTATTCCGTGACTGTTCGCAAGATGGTGGCTCTATCGTCTTTGGTTCCGCTGCTTTCGCAAGTGCCATTTGCTTCCGGGATTTCCGGATGGCTCCCTTTGTACACGATGGTCACCTTTCGGCCCGAGATAAGCTACGCAACTGCCAAGCGACGAGCAGAGCGGCAAGCGCGAATCTTGACGGTGCTGGGCTGGACGGGGACTGCAGTCGGCCTCGGTCTGATGGCTGGCTTGATCAGTAGGGGACACTTGGGCTTCTCACGCCATGTCCGTTTGCATAGATGATTTTATCCCGTGAACACTTCGATTCATCTATTGTGGGTTGGAAGCTCCTGTTCGGGGAAATATTATGCAAGCTTTGTCAATGATATTGAGCATGAATGATATTGTGAACAATTGCGGCCGTATCAAATGTTTTTCGACAGCGGAGATGTTGCTTCTCGAACATGTGCACCGGGGAAATCTCTGTGCGCTGCAGATGGGAATACATTTCCGGGGACGTATTTATTGCAGTGGAAGTAGGTGTTTACAGATCCAGGATAAATATGCAACGACAACAGCGTTCGACGGGACAGGCGGGACAAACAGGAAGAGAAACTGGGTAGATATCGTGACGTAGAGGGTGCGCATGCGAGACAAGCGAGGAGAAGGGCTTCATGGAACAGAAATCAAATCGAATCGACCGCATTTCGAATCGAGTGAAGGGAGGCGAATTACACGGCAGTGGCGGACGGAGGCTTTTCAGCAGCAGCAGTAGCAGCAGCAGCAGTAGCCTTCGGCGGGCGACCCCTCTTCTTCGGAGGCGCGTTCGGGTCGGTCGGGACAGTTGGTTTGGGCGGCCGTCCTCGTTTGCGCTTCGGCGGCGGCTCATCGCTAGAGTCCTCATCCTTCGGCTCTTCTTCCTTCTTTTCCTGGAAGAAGCAAGGGTCGACGTGAGCTGACAACGCGTGAAGGCGCACGCGAAAGTACCTTCGGAGGCCGGCCGCGCTTCCTGGGGGTCGTTGGTGTGTCTCCGGGGGGAGCGGCGCTCGTGTTCTTGTTTTTGCTGCCCTTAGGCCGCCCCCGACCGCGCTTCACGGGCGGTGGCTCGCTGGGTTCCGCTGCGATGGGAGAGGGGCAAGATGTGAGCCGCCGGACGCGCATAGAGATGCTGAGCATCCCGTATCAACTGCACCGCGTACCTGTGTTGGCCCCATCTTGGGCTGGAGAAGCATCCTTGTCATCCTCGGGCTCGCGATCCTTGGAGGTCTCCTCCGGGTCGTCTCGGGGGGATGGAGCCATGAGAGTGGGGAAAAGGGAAGGGCGGGGAAGAGGTGTCGTGCCCTCTTTAAGTTCGCCCAATATAGAATCTTCAAGAATCTTTAGATCTTGCTGGCAGAGAGACCGAACACCTGATGAGATAATCGCTTGCTTTCATCTGGTAAATCCTCACTTTAAATTCGAAGGCGGGCCTAGGCAGACCGTCGTAATCCCCGATAGGCTCAGGCGTCAGGGAAGACGTCGGAATCGCAGAGAATCGCAGCAATACTCGAAAAGATGCGACATATCACGGAGGAGCCCTAAATCATGGTCTGCCAACTTAGTTCCTTGACGTAAACGAGAAAATTCCGAGAAAACCTCACGAAAGTCTGATAGCCCGTTGGAACCACATGGAATGGACTGTGATGGAATTTCTTCCATGGTGCGGGCCCAGTTCGGCTGTGTGGTCGCCAATTCTAAGCGCATCTTAGACATCAAGGCTCCATCAAAGCCTGCCGATCCATTTCACTCTCCGCCGGCGGAATCTCACGTGACAATACCATTCCGCGGACCACGTTAATTAAGTAACCTGCTCAATGCGACGTTGGCCGTTACTCTTACTGCCCGCTGTAGCGGCGCGCCTGAGTTCGCTGCCTGAAGACCCTTACGCATTCCCGAAGTTCGCAGTTGACTTTCTGGACCATCTACCCGTCCCCAATGACACCGCGCAACGATGGCTTGCCAATGGCATACGTGGCGGACAACGCGAATTTCTCGGTCAGCCTTGGGAAGACCCCCGACATCCACCGGCCCTAGGCAATGGAAATGAACAGCAAGCCGTATTGACAGAAGATGTTGTATCAACACCGGTGCGTCGCAGCTCAAGCACTACCGCGCACAATTTGACCCCGACTTCGGAAGGACGTGTCAAATGATTTCTCTCTCGACTTCATGAAAATGGGAGCTGACGAGTACATCTGTCTTATTCCTAAACCGCTGGAGCATCTCGACGTGGAAGAAGAAGCAGAAGAGGAACCGGAACCTATGCACACTTGGTCGCTTTTACTTCCTCTTGTTGGCAACTGCTTATATGTGCGCTGGTCCGTCTCGGCCGCGGTCTCACTGCTGATTCGGCACCTCTCGGCAGCATCGGCAACCGTGGTTCACATACTCTTATTGTCACAACAAGGAAATCCGCCAATTCCGTGAGCTGATACAGGCACGTCCCGCCGCCGGTGGTGCGTGCGAATCAATTTTATCTGTCAGAAATGTTCTCTCACACGCCGAGCAGCCGCTCATCACCCCGAAGAAGATCCCACTGTTAGCTGATAGTTTTTTTTGGCTGACGGCTCTCGACTGACGTTTATCACGTTCTAGTGGGAATCATACACTCTTGGACGAGCGCCGGAAGCTGCGATCGAACCCGGTGCCGAGTTGACTGTGGCGCAACAAGATGCGATTGCTGCCAACGTTGAACTCGCGCGGTCTACTGGTTCTCGCTATTTGGTTCAGCGATGGGGTGATGGCACGGTGTGCGACAAGTCAGGGTGTGTTCTTTTTCCTCGGGATGTCCGGCAGAAGTGTATCCGACGTCGCTGACCATGTGTTTCGTTGACAGCAAACCCCGCGAAGTTGAAGTGCAGGTAAGCACCTATCATTCCGACCGCATGTGGTGTCTAAAATCACTAAACTCTAGTTTCACTGCTCGATGACAACCACGGATGCGATTGCCTTTGTAAAAGAGACCAAGACGTGTGCCTATGTGTTAGTTGTACACACTCCCAGGCTGTGCGGTGAGCCCGGATTCATGTCCAAGAAGGACGCCGGGGAACAGGCTACGATTTCCTGCCGGCAAATCGTGGCAGAGGATCGGGCGGCCGAGGCGGGGACGCGACTTTCAGCGGGAACGGACCATCCATTGAAGCTGGCACGTCCCAAACCTGTACTGCCAGTGCCTGCTGCCAAAGGATCCGGGAGCGGAGGGACGATTGACGGATTGCTGGACGCGAAGCATTCGGACGCGTTGCGCAAAGCGATCGGTACGCTAAAGGACGGGGACTGGAAATCGGGGACGCCAATTGAGATGGAGATGGTCGAAGACGAGGAGGGAAATATCGTCGTCCAGTTCTACGACGGATTGGAGGACATCGAGGAGGGGGGAGATGTTGTCGCAGATATGATCGTCAAGGCTCTGCGAGACGAGGGCTTCAACATCCGGGTTGCCACCGAGGAGGAGGAGCACCAGCACTCGAAGAACAAGAAGAAACGGGTTGATGAGAATTGATCTGTACAGAATATCATATCATGTCTTGTAGGGACGAGTTTAACTGATCGCTATACAGGATTACATGTCTAAATTGTCACTAAATAGATGAAAAGATGGGAAATAATAGTAGCTGTAAGAATAGCAATGTAGGGATCCAGCTGGAGGAAGTGCCTCAGAAAAAGCGCCTTTTCGTCGGTTTCTCCGATACCGTGACCTTGATATGCACATGTTGAGGCGCAAAGCCAGGTCTGGAACAAGGCACGATGTCCCGCAGCCATTCGTCGCCGTCATCTTCCTCATCTGGATCAAAGTCGTGGTCCGCGCAAAACCCGCCGGAAGGATCCATTGGCCCCTCGCCACGCACATGGCATCCGCACAGCAGGTTGCTCTCTTTCCCCTTGCCCTTGACCAGATCCGTCAGCGTGCAGCGCGCCGACGGCTCAACATGCAGCATTCTCCGCAGCGCCGGTCGAGTCTCCCGGGGCAGCAGCCGGAAAATCGACTCGGCCCCTCCGCCGTGGAAAGTCGTAACGCTGTCAGTCCGCTGTCTGCGTTTCGGTGGCTCTGGAATCGGCGGCAAAGGGGGCTTCGGGGTTCCTGGTCCTGCAAAGTCGGCGTTGCATCGGACGCCGTCGACTCAGTGGTCACCACAACGGGTTCCTCGACAGCCTGTTTCGCCAGATGCGGCGGCGACTGGAAGGCGTTGAAAGTCGCGGCCCGCGTTCTGGGGGGCATCACAGGATTGGCACTCAGCGGCATGGTTGCGACCTTGGGGGTCGGCAGATCATCCGCTCGGGCCCGAGGTGTCGCAGGGAACTCCATCAGCCCATCCCGAGGACTGAGCGGCAGACTCTCCGTTGAATTGCCGGGACGTGCAAACTTGAGCACCGAAGGATCCATTTCGCGATCACCGTCGGCAGGACTCTCGGACAGCATCAGCCGAGAGATGTCAGGCAACGTAGCCGTGCTTGGAAACATCGTGTCGTGCAGCTGCAGCCGACGAGAGGCCACATCAAATGACCCGTTACTCTGGGTGGACAATCTCGTCGGAGGCTCGGTCAACATGGTCGCCACCGAGCCCCGATCCGTGAAAATGGAAGGTGTTTCCGAGGAGTTACGTGTGCTCGTTGGATCTCCTTCAACGCTGCCGGTGTCCAACTTACCGGTGCTCGAAGCACGCTCACGTGCTCGGGGTGAGCCCAGCAACGGTGCCGGCGGGGATGAGGAAGGCGGTGGGAGGGTCGTCCCGCGCTTGGCTATGAGCTTCTTCTCTTTGGGAATCGACAAGTCAGGATGCGCGTTGACGAAGGCCTTGAAGCTCGGGTCCGTCTTGGGGTTTGGGATCGTCCAAGGAAAGCGTCGGAGGACCATACACATAAACATAATCCCCACACTCCAGACATCCGTTTTGCGGGGGTCGTACGGCTCCCCGCTAAGCACTTCCGGGGCAAGGTAAGGATCACTGCCGACAATTCCCGTCGCTGACGTGAACAGCTTGCCCGGGTAGTGGAAGACGGTAGCCGTCCCAAAATCAATCAGCTTCACGACATTGTCCATGGTCATGACACAGTTGTCCAGCTTGAGATCCCGGTGAGCCAGACCCATCTCGTGGAGGTAGTGGACTCCGTCGCAGACTTGTCTGAACACACAATAGATCTCCGGTCGACACATCTTCCCAGACATCACCACGCTGAACAGGTCGTACGGAGCGTACTCCATGACCTAGAATAGACAGGTTACGGCTAGAAGGCGAGCTGAAGCTCAAAAAAACACACCTCGTAATAGTGCCCATGATCCGAGACAATATCCACCGTCGCGATGATGTTTGCGTGCTTCAAAGTAGACCCGACACAAAATTCGGCCGTAACTTTCTTCTGATACTCTTTCTCGCTCTCTCCGGTGCGCTTCGGCCGGAACTGCTTGACGGCAAAAATTGAGCCACCGTTCTTGCTGCTGGCCTTAATCAGGCGGACGGTGCCCCCGGCGCCACTACCGAGGACCCGACCCCATTTACCGTACTTCTTACCGAGATGAGCGTGAGTGGCCTCCTCGAGCGAGTGGAAGACGTGCAGTGCCGGAGGCGATGATCGGGCTGTATTGAAGCTCGGGGCCTTTGATGGCGCTATCGAAGGGGCTTTCGATGGCGCTTTCGCATGTTGGATTGGGGGCGTGGAGGGCGCGGACGGTGTTTCAGCAGAAATCGGGGACGCACGATCGCTGCTGAGCTGTTCGCTAAAGTTGGAGCGTGCTGGAGATGGAGTGCGGTCTTCGCTCGGGGTCCGGTCCTTGCTCTGTTTGATCGGAAGGGACTTTACGTCCTTGTCCTTGTCCTTGTCCTTCCGCATGAGCGATCCGAGCTTGCTTTCACGGAAGGACGAACGAGCGGATATGCTCTCGGCCTTCGAGTTCGGGGCGGCGGGCTCGACTGCAAGCCCCGCCATAGCCTCCGGCTTCGGCGACGCAGTGGGGGGGTCAAAATAGGCCGATGGCGGATGCGTCGACGCGTCCAGATGGGAGGGAGAACTGTGATGCCCGCCGGGGGAATGTGGAATATGGTTGTTCAGGAAGCGTTTGAGGTCGTGGAGTGGGCCATGTGCAAGCTTGGACACGGCGCCGTTCGTAAGTGGCATCGCCGCCGGGGGTGACCCAGGCGTGAGGGAGGGACTACCCGCCGAGGGCGAAGAGTTCGGTCCAACGCTCAACTTCCTGTGGGGTACGAAGCGAAATTTGGAGCGGGTAGTTGGGGACGTGTCGTGCGGGAGTCCTGCGACGTCCGGAGGGGGTATAGGGTCGAGGCGGAGGGACTGTGGTGGATGAGAACAAGCTCGCTGGAGGATATCAAACGTACGGCATTAGGCTGTGAAGGGACTACGAGGTCAGGCATGGTTGTCGGAGGGAGAGCATGGATCCAATGGCTTACATCAAATCAGAATCTCTCATTACCGAGTTGTCACTTTCTCCTTTGTCACGCAACCTGTGACAAGATTTGATTTTTCAGCGCAGGCAGCTGCGATAAAGTGTCGCATCTCCATCTTCTTGATCCCAAGCAAAGGGATGGCCCGTGTAGCCTGTGCTCACAGGGATCTCCACAGCCGAGTGCGCGCACGCCGTTGCTGTCGACCCAGAGAAGACTGATTTGTTGGCATGAATGTGTCAATAGCCGGACCGATGCGTTTTGCGCGGATTACGTCATGGTAGATACGAGCACATGGGGTATATCTAATCCGTGCTAGCCCTGGTCCTCCGCCTCTCTTTTCCGTTTCATTTCTTTGGAGACTCGGTGCTGGGCAGACTCGTGCTTGGCCAATTCGATGGGGACCTTGCTGACGGGGCTCTTGGCAATCTCTGGGGTGCAAGATCAGATCAATCGTAGCAGCAGCCCTAGGAAGATTACCATTTTTGAGGTCATACCTGTGTAGAAGCGGGTAAATTCAGCCTGTTGGAAGAACGGAAGGAAGACACGCACATGACTTCGTCGTCCTCGTTCGTCAAGAATGTTATCGCGACACCCTGTTTGCCGGCCCGGCCAGTTCGACCTGCAGAAGGAGTGAGCGAGCGTTGGACGATAGAATCCAGAAGAGAAACAGCACAAACCGATACGATGTACATATGCTTCGATGGAGTTGGCCATCTGGTAGTTGATAACAAGACTGACATCCTGCACATCAATTCCGCGGCCAGCCAGATCCGTCGCCACCAAGATGTCAGCATCGCCGCTTCTCAGGGCTTGCAATGCTGCTTCCCGCTGCTCCTGGTTCTTGCCCGAGTGCAACGTCGACGCACTCCACTGACAGCAGTGTTAGCAAGCCTAGGCAACAGATGCCAAGACACAAGACATACGTTGGCCCGCCCAAGATCCTTGGCCACCATGTCGGCCGTCTTCTTCTGGTTGACGAATACTATAATCGGTGCCGGATACGTCCCACTATTCAGAATTTCCAGCATCCGTTGCCTGCCAAGACAATCAGCAGCGCAAAACGGAGGGAATGCCGCTTACTTCTTCTTCTCGTCGCCCGAAATAAACTCGACCCTTTGTTCGACGGTGTCAACCGCCCGTCCAGCCTCGCCGATGGTAATCACCGCCGGTCTCCGCAGGTATTTACGCGCAAGCCGTTCCACGGCAGACGGCATGGTGGCACTAAACAACGTCGTCACCCGTGTTCGCCCCTTTTTCACCATTGTTTCGCCGTCGACATCCATCGCCTCTCCTGGGTCCTCGCCTTCAAGCATATCCGACGGCAGCTTGTCCAATATGAACGTGAGGTCCGCTTCAAATCCAAGATGAACCATCCGATCGGCCTCGTCCATGACAATGTACCGGCATTGAGAAAGCACTATCACCTGCCGCTCGATCACATCCTTCAGACGACCAGGGGTAGCGATAATGATCTCCGCTCCCTCGCGGAGGTTAAACTGCTGTTCTTCGACCGCGCGCTATAGTGCCGCCACCCATCAGGTGGCGTTCCACAACATAAGATGTCACGCACCCCACCAACGATGGAGACACATTTGAATCCCAACGGGCCCGCAAACTTGCGCGCTTCCGACTCGATCTGTTGCGCCAGCTCACGTGTTGGTGCCATGATCAATGCATACGGCCCGAGATGCCGATTCTCGTCAGTGAATGGAGGGAGCTTCTCAATGAACGCCAGCATCGGAATCACAAAGGCCGCTGTTTTACCCGAACCTATTCCAGGAATTAGCATCTGTGTTCATAACAAGATCAAAATAGACGAGCCTGTTTCTGCGATGCCAATAATGTCGCGGTTTTGCAGGCCGATGGGGATAGCTTGGCGTTGGATGGGCGAGGGTTCTTTGTATCCGATCTCTTCGATGCATTCCAATATCGTCTTGGGAATTTGTGACTCGGTCCAAGACCGTAGCGGATGAGGAATCTGCCCACCTGTCGCCAAAACCGTTACAACGTGACGACAGTGGAAGGAGCGAAATCGATCGTACCACGAGCGGAGATGCTGAAGTCCTCCCGGAAGATACGCCAATCTCGTTCTTTCATCTCTGCCAACGACTTCTCTGTCCAGTGTCTCTCATCGGTTCCACCCTTCGCAGCCTTCCTCCGTTCCATGGCGTCGGCATGATAGGTGTTGCTGTCCGAACTTTTTCTCGTTCCGCCACCGTCATCCATGCCGGCCACACGGCCCCGCCCAAACAAGATCTGAGCCCCCTGCCGCTGTCCACCCACAACAGATGGCGCATCCTCGGCAAGCGTGTCATCCTGAGTATCCCAGTCGAACACGAACTTCCGGTCATTGATTTTGCGAATCTTCCGTTTCTTCTTATCGACACCCAAATATCGTGATCGAATCGCTTCGCGGTCAGCTTCGCTGATGTCGGGAACGAATGATTCCATGTCGGCCGCCTCGTGATCGTTTCTTCGCTCTGAAGCATGAGTGGGAACAGGAGGTGGGGGCATGGACGAAGAGCCCGACGAAGGGGTTCCAGTTTTACTACGGTCTGCACGAGGTCCTGTAGGCACATTTTGGTAGCCGTCTCGAGATGAGGACGATGGGCCGGGGGGTGGTGGACGGCGGTGGTCGCGTCCGCGTCCACCAGTATGGCGGTTATCGCGCTCGCGGTCACGGTCAGGGTTTCCATAACGGTCATCGTCTTAATCTGCAGTCAGCAAAGATGCCATTGGTGCACAGAGCAAGGACTTACTTCGGCCGTACCGCGCGCTGGACTCTCGGCTCCGCTCCTGCGCTCGAATCTGTTCAGCTTCCTGCTCAAGAGCTTGTCGGTCTTTTCTCGTTGCTTCATCTCGTTCCTTCTGCTCACGGAGTTCCTGCGCGCGCTTAGCTATAGCGATCTTCGCGCGTTCTTCTTTCGTCAGAAATTTAGGCTGCAATGCATGTAAGAACAGAGGAACACTAGGAGTAGAGAAGATATATTTGCCTTGGCGGCAGCTTCTTTCTCTTGTTTCTGTTTCAGGAGAAGTGTCTCAATGGATAGTGGCTCGGAGCGCGACATTGCAAGTCAAGCTGCTTGAGGTCGTTACCGTCAGTCACATCGTGACTACACTCGGCATCAGCCGCGGGCATGCTCTTTTGCGCCTTTGATGTCGCGAGCAGAGACACCAGAACCCAGTCGCCTGCAAGGACGACGGAATGTTATCACTGAGGTGCAGCTACTCGATGGGGAGGGTGCGATCTCCGACCAACTGGAACTTTGCCTCAAGTACATCTTCGGTGGCTACCTTCCCCTGTACAACCAGCCCAACAACAATTTTTAAATCACCTTTCAGGCAAATACTGTGTACCGCCTCCTTTAGTTTCGGCCGATTTGAATTCTTCTGCACCATTGGCGAATACCGGCAGAGCAGCCTTTGAACTCAGGACCGTGCTTCCAGAGGGTGCATATCTCACACAGGAGGGTCTCGATTCGTGGGCACAGGACACCAATGGCGCGCCTTTTCCCCAGGAAACCAAGGACGAGCTGGTGGAATTTTTGGACGTGACAGACGCTGGGGAGTTGACGTGTGCCGATCTCACTATCCGTGTCGCTGGAGTCTGAGTGAGGCAACAGGTTCAAAGGATTTCTGCAAATCTACCAACTCCAAACGGAGAACGATGAGGAGGAGACTTGGCGCGACCTGGTGTGTGATGTCATTTTCCCATTCTCTCTGCGGTTAGATGACGCCGGCAGTCCAACCATGGCTTCGATCGTACATTGCGGCTAGTAACCACTCGGAGAGAAGACGTGACGGAGTCCGCACCTGGCCGTACATTATAAAACTATTCCGCCGCTGAACTATTTTCCGCTGTCGCAGGAGGTTCCGCTTGCACTCTACATCTGCACGCCACACGACCAATGTAATGCCGTATATATTAGAAATGTCAACACGAATGACCAGTTTGAACCGTGTGTAAGATGTTGAGATCGAATGCGATATGATACATACAATGCAGTGGTACAGATGAGTTTGGTCGTAGACATGCTGTCTACTCTCGTCCTGCGTTGAGTAACTCTCGCAGATTCTCCGAAAGAGCAGGTAGGTTCAGCAACTTGTTCTCGGCAGGAGGCTCTGAGCCGGCAGGCGCTGCACCCACATTACGTCGGCGCAATCCATCGCTGGTACCAGACTGTTCCACTCGCCGCCGATCGATATCAGCGACAAGTTGCGCGAACGAAAGGAAGAGGACCTCGGCTTGCGCGAGCGTCGAATCCAGCTCGATGGTCATACTCAGCTCATTACAGTACTGTGCTGTGTTAGAGTTGATGCGGGCAATCCAATAAACCGCTGACCTTGAGTATCTCATCGAACTAGAAGTTGATGTTAGATGGAACGCCAATGCAGAGGCCAGACGACTTGCCTCTACCAAATATCGCAAAATAACATCGCGATGTGATTCCAGGACAGCCAGCGCCACAAAAAGGAGGAAATTGTTGCTGTAATAGTCCGTCCAAAGCACTTCCCACAAACGAAGCACATCGTCAAAAGAGAATTCGCGCTTGAAGGCGATGAGAACCCATCGGAAGCAGAAAAACAGATTCAGTCCGTCCGTTTTTTCTGGGAGTGATGTCAAGAACGTTGGCACAATACGCCAGAGAACTACTCACCTAGGTGTCGATAAAGTTCGGGATCCATAACCTCGATCAACTGCTGCAGAGTCAACAGATGTTTTTTCATGCCACTCTGATCGCGAAGGAAGTTTTGCTTCTAGAGCGGATTTCAACGAACAACAACAAAACTCGTGAAAGGGAAACGAACCGTGCGGTTCATGAATTCGACAAAGCACCAGAATGTCATCTCTTCATCAGTCCCCATCACCACGTACAAGGGAGCACACATGTCTGACATGCCCTGGACATATCCCAGCTCTTTTTCGTAGAAGTTGTATGTCAACAGGATACCTGAGAGTCGGTCAATGTGTTCGTTTGTAGGTGATTGGGCTCCTATGTCGGCCGTTTGGGGAGAGATCGTAGAGTAGCGCATGCTGCGGTCCTTTTCGTCATCCACAGCGCCTGTCGCTTTGGGCGATGCAAACAAGGGCTGGTTCCGATCTGTCCGGCGACAATCTACATCGATACGATGACGTTCCTGAACCATCGAGTCAGGAACTGCCGAGATTCAAGACGAGATCACCGACCTCAAGCGTGTCCGCGCGGTCGAAGACCTCGGGAACACCGCACCATTCGTTCTTGGTAGCATGATATAGTTTCCTGTCGATTTATCAGCCAAGACTCGCGCTTGGAACGTAGTCCTAACCTCTTTTTGTCCCATGCTTCGGCTCTGGATGCATCGGTCGAATCCCATTCGAGAACATCCAGCAAGAACGGCCAGATGCGCTGCCGAAGAGTGCCACTAGGGTCGATCCCTCGCCGGAACACCTCTCTTCGCATGTGCTCCAACCGAACAGTTGGCGTCCCATCATCAGCAAACCAACTCGACCACATTGCTTCGTTGACGGGATGCTCTGGCACTCGAGACGATTTCGGAGTCGGAAGATTAGCAGTCGAGTGCAAGAGCTCGAACACGCCTAATGATGAGGATTCCTCTGCGACAGAGGACGGAGGCAAAGCCTGCGCTTCCCTTCGTCTCGCTCGTTCCCCTTCTTCGGCCACAATCCTTGCCCAGCGCGCAAGATACACTCGCGCACTCTCGAATTCTCCGACACCACTCTTGTCAACCCAGCTTCCCCATGTCGATTCACCGTTCGCGTTGACCAGGCTGCGGACCTAACATGATACCATCAACACCAAGATAAGATAAGATTATTGGAACTCACGGGGTCCGGTAGATGGGGAACGATGGGCTTGGCCAGAGGGTGTGACAATATGTTCTGCGCAGCATGTCTCGTGGCACGAGTGATGTTCGAGAACGACTGCATGAGGGCAGCGCGCGCTTGAGACGACGACTGGGAACTCGATGAGGTGGATGCCAGTGACCGATGGAGCACCGACGCCCGATGGGGATACGCAGCGGAGCCGGAGCCCGGCGTCGCAGACGACAGTGGTCGAGGTCGTCGGTGGATGGGGATGGGCGAATGAGAGTTCACATACGGGGACTCTCCCAGAATCTCATCCACTGCTTCATCTGCAAAGAGCTGTGTAGAATGTGCCTCGATATCGGAGCGAGATGGGTCTCATGATACGGTCAGACTTGGCCAAAGGAGTCACATCATGACTCACCAACGAGGAACAACGAAGGTTGGAGCGTGGAGCGTAAGATGTAAGCGTACGACCGTAACTTGGAGAGAAGATGTTCTCCTCCCCAAGAATTACTTGCTCTTGGACTGGTAGTCGGAGATGATGCAGGCGATGGCGGATATGAGGTGGTACTGTTGCGGTTGGAGATTGGAGGCGGAAGGGTGAACGACCGGGATTCATCGTCGTGAAAGTGGAGCGTAGGGAGGGTGTCTCCGTTGATCAGATTTATTCCAATGGAGCCGTCTTGTAAAAGATTAGAGTGAAGGCGCATCGAGAGATCGACGGACGCACACCAGGATGACAATGTCGGGGGTTGAACGATAAGCGAATATATTGAGGTCAGTGGCACGGAGAAAGCATACGACTCCGGTCGAGAGGTCGGAAGGTCGATCAGAACAATGTCTGATGAAGTTTAGAATGCGAATGGTTGGGAAAGTAATACGGACCATCATCGTCATCCTCAAGGAAGGAGCTCTCTTCGACTTTCGTGAACTTATCCCACTCTGCAGTTCCCTTCTCATCCAACAGAGACTCCGGAATCCAAGCAAGCAGATACGTGGGGTTTACGGCCTCCTTTGAATATGATCGTGTGGGAGACTGGACTGGAATAAAGAGAGCTACGGGCACGCACACGCTTCACAAGAACTACGAAGCCAGGTATGTTGTCACGAGCATAGGCGGTTGGATTGACATAGACCTTGGACTTGCTATACAGCAACCTAAATCGATTGTCTTCTGGGCTCATGCCTGGTAGGCTGAGGTCCTCTGCTCGCTTGATTTCGACCATCGAGCCAGACTAGCAGTAACAGCACTCCTTAGCACAGGTCAAGCAAAGACTGTGGAGACCGACGTACAGAGAGAATGGAGAGATGGGAGTCAAACGAAGAAGCCTTGAACTCCTCTGCATCGGGTTTAGGCTTAATATGCATGGTCAACTGCGGGCGCAGGATCAGAGGCCGTAGTACCTGCGAGCCGACTCACGACGTCATAGCCACTGCATCACGTGATACACAAGCGTCGTCGTTTTCGACCAAGTCAAGGACCATAGGCGCGTTTGGAGGCAGCTTGACGCGTTCGAATCCTCCTGCTTCCCGGGAAAATGGACCGCGGCCTCATCGTTGCTGCGCAGCTTTCTTCGATCTTCCCTTCAACGCAAGCGGCATCTTTTACTGTTCTCACGAGTCGCCACACATCCGCCCTCCCTCCCGTTCCAGACGCGTCAGGACCACCAGTCGAGCATGCATCCTACTCAGCCGTTCTGCACACCCCCGACACCGGCACCATTCTTCTGCGCGTCCTCCATGGCGGCGTGATGCTCGAAATCATCTCGTTGTCCACAACCATTCAACCCGTGCGACTGGTATTTCCAGTGACCGTGCTTCCATCCCCGGCCGTTTTCCTATGGGGAACACAACTTCATGTTATGGCCGTCACGAGCATAGGGTCTCTGCATCGCATCGTCATTCCAACCAACGGAGGCGTAGACTTGTGGCAGGGTCAAACGAACGGCATAACCTCTCATGAATACCAAATTTCGAACTTTCCCACAGCTGGCCCTGTCCTCGTTCATGTTCAAGGCACACATTGCGTGGTCATTGGCCAGCCCGGAGGTGCGATACTACGCTTAGAATCGGAAGGTTTGGAGACGCAGGATGGAGAAGGTGTGTGTGTGTGTGCCTTTCCAGGTTGACACATCTGATTGACGAGTATTGTCCTAGAAGAATGGGCGGAAACTTTGTTCCAGCACGGCTCGTTCTTGACGTCCTGGACCTCGCTCCTTCCCCTCTCATCGACGCCATCGAGTGGCTCTGAAATTGTGTCGATCGCCACTCACCAGTGGCCGACAGACGTGGGACATGTGTGGACTCTGTCCCGGGACCGAACACTGCGGTTCTGGAAAGCGAAGGTCGGCTGTGTGTCGAGCAAAGTGCTCACGCTTGTATCCGGGCGCGAGACTTCGCCGGTGCCCTCACGCGCAGGAACACCGTTGATACTTCTGGACTCTGAACGCCAGACGCTGCTGCGAGTGTTCTCTTCAGAGTCAAGTGACGACCATATCTATGTGCTTGCATTCGTTCCTGGCCCACACTCTCCTTTGTCTGGAGGCACTTTCCATCTACTTGGGACGGTCTCTGATCAATTCCACGAGATCGGCACCATTGAATGTTCGAAAAACAGTGCTCATTGCCATTTACAAGACTTTATGGTCATCTCCGATGTTCTATACACTCTCTGGGAACGGCAGGGCCAGTCGCTAGTGGAGCGAATGCATCTGCGGACAGATCTTTTGGCGGACGGCGAACTATTCCAAGCTCAGCCCTGGCACTCTTCGTCTTACGCGACGGAACCAGAGTTGACTCCGGGATATCTGGAAGAATTGCTGGTGACTCCAGGGTCTATGACGGACAAGTTTTTCGAAGCGATCATGCGCCCGGGGATGTTCTCTGCGCTGACACTGCAGACGGCTGTCGACCAATACTCCGATGCCTGTGCCTCTCTCCCTGGGCCGACTCCGCCGCAACTTTCCGCGAGTTACAGCACGATTGGCGAGACCATCGCAGCTGTGGTGGGGTGCACCGTGACTCTGAACCGAGATCCTCATACTGGGGCTTTGCAGCACAGCCAGTACTGGAATGCGCTCAAACGCGACTGGGAAGGCTTCATTGCGAGGTGCCGGGAACTGGAACGCAGTGCTCGCTGGCCGTTGGTCCTCGGTGCCAAGGGGGAGGGCGACATTATCGTTGTTGAAAGGGAGCGCGTGGGCTCGTTGGTGACAGAGGATCTCCCGATCCGGCTGCGGAGGAATCTTGGCGAGGACAAACTCATGGACCCGGCGCATGCGCTGCTCGGAGTGCTATGGGGCCTGCAGGCACAGTTGGGGGCTGAGTTCATGCTCAGCTTGGAGAGCCGACTTGCCGACATTCTCAGCCAAGAGATCGCATTCTCGTTCACGGATATCATCCAGGATCAAGTGGCGCGCGTCAAATTTGAGGAGGCACTGGAGAACGGAGCGAGAAGCTGGATGGACGGCCGGCTACAAACGATTCCAGACATCGATGCAGCCACTCGCTCTGCCTTGGATGTTATTGGCGGGTTTGACTCCGACGTGAAGAGAGAAGAAGACGAGGTGGAGATGCTGTTGCCTGTGGCTCAATCGGACTGGTCTCGTGCGTTGACTGCGGCGTATGTCAACACCACCGTCAACGCCCGCTACGACCTCTGCCTCTCGTTGGCCACACTCATGTTTTTCTTTGCCGCAGATCTCGCCGACTGGGATCCGGCTTTGCTCGCCGAGGTCTTCGCTGTCTTCCGTGGGATTGCCATCCTGCGTTTTCTCACGCGACAGTCGACTATGGATGAGAGAGCGACAGAGGCAGAGTCCGATGACGTTATCGCGCGGCTTCAGAATATGAATGTGTCTCGCGCTCAGAGGCAGATCAGCATCCGGCATTCCCTGATCCACCGCCTTCTTGTCCAATCTTCGGACACGCTGAATCTTCTGGGCTCCGCACATCGCTTCCTGGACTCTACGGGGCTTCTGCAGTCTGTCACACCTGCCAGCGCAACCAAGTATGAAGTAATCTTCTGCGAGCGATTGCGTGCTCTGGGGCATCATGAAAGCACGAGAGAAATCCTGTCTTGGCTGCCGCGCACCGCAGGTGTGATTTATGTCCAAGCGAGACTCTGGCTCAGCATTGGCCGAGCCGAGGATGCCGCACATCTGCTTGAAAAGCTGGCTGGCGCATTTGGTCTGTGTTGTCCCGCGGCTGAACTTTGACGATCACTGACGTCGGTTGCAGGCCCCGAGAACGCTCTAAGCCAGGAAGATCACGAAGCGCTATCGTTTGTTCTTCCGGCAACGGATCCTTTTGACTCGACCTTCTTCTTCTATCTGCACGCCGCCAAGCTTTTCAAAGCAGCAACTCTGGTGCAGTACGAAGTCCAATTCACGGCGCTTGCTCTTTCTACAGCGCCACCCGAGGGAGATCTGACCTCGCTTTGGAGCACGGTCATCAAAGGCTTCACTGATCTCGGGCTATACGATGATGCATACTCTGCTCTATTAGCGACTCCATCCGAAAAACTGTGAGGATTTCTACTTCTTGTGCACTGTGTGGGCTCTGAATTTGGCTCGTAGCATACGCGAATGCATCGCATATCTCGTCTACCGCATGTGCGAAGACAATGCCGTCGAGCAACTGGTCGGTCTGAGCTTCCCCGGCTTTGCGGAAGAAGTGGAAGAGGCGTTGTCGTTCAAAGCTCGGAATGTGGATCCTCGCATCCTGCCCAGCTATTCGCGCATCCTCTACTCGTGGTACACTTCCAGAGCAGACCATCGTAACGGTGAGTCTTCTCGGCGGACGACGATGGGCCGTGCTGAATGGGAGTTTTGCAGCGGCTCTGGTCATGTATCAGCGAGCGAGGAAAATCCAAGACCTTATCGGGTTGGATGGGTCGCTGGCTGCTTCTCTGGCGACTCAGCAACTGGATGCATATCTGACCGCGATCAACTCATTGTCTCTGGTCGACGAGAAGGGCTCTTGGTTCCTCCTGCCTCTGCTGCATTCCGAGGTTTGTCTTCGCTTTCCGTGCTCGACCAGGTGTCTGACCCCACTCAAAGCAACCTCGAAAACGGCGGCGAGTGACGAGACACATTCCCGACTCCCATTTTACGCCTGGAACACATGACCGCGAACTTGTCTCGCTATCGGATATCCAGTCCGACTACGCATTGGCAGCTGCCCAGGCGGAACTGGTCAAACGGGGTCTCTGGACAGAGCCCTTGTTTGATCTCCCACCGGATTCGATCGTCCTGCGCCTTGCCCAAGCGAACCGATTCACACTCGCCATCGCCACTGCCACCAGTCTACAAGTGGACATGTCAGATCTGTTCACTCACTTGACCATGCAGTGCTTGCGCCTCACCCGCCGTTCGAGTGCTGTTTTGTGCGTCGACAGCATTGAGCAATCAGAGACACAGCTGCTAACTGTTCTTCCACAGACAAGAGGACACCTCCGATTGGTTGCTGACAGACAAGACGTCCTCATGGCCTGGGACTCCTGCTGAACGTGGTTGGAGGTTCCTTCGACAGTCGCTCGAACGGACCGAAGGGCCCAGCACCGACTACAAATACAGCAAAATTTCTTTGGAGACCGTCCTCGGGCAATCCAAAGCCTCCCCGCCCCCTTGGCTCGTCAACACCCTCGAGGCATGTTCTACGCGTAAAATCTTGGAATTATCATTGACCTGGCGATAGCTGCATCACCCCGAATATCTCATCCGCATCCATCTAAAATACGACAAGCTGGACGAGTCTATAGCGCACACAATCGCCCTCATAAAAAAGGTCTATTTTCCGCCGGTCTTTTGCGGCTATCGAGTACTCATCGTGCGCGCAGGCGGATGCGCAGGTGTCCCAGGACCCAGGAAAGCAGACCGCAGTCACATGGTTGCCCTACACACTGGTCGATCAAGTCCTCCTGGCTGCCTCGGAAACGGCACCGGGTGCACCACCCCCCTCTGGGCTTGTGCAGCTCCGGTCACTATTGGACAGTCGGTTAAAACGGATGCAGAAATTGAGCATCAAGTTGATGCCGTGATCTCATGGCTTGAAGCCCCGCGGAAACACTTGTCGGACGTTGATATTTACGCGTGTTGTTTGCATGTAATTGGCGAATGCTGTCCACTCTGTGTCGTCTGCTGGACCCAAATGGGCCGGCAGTGTGTTTTCCAAGATCCGAGGCACTCCTGAATAAGAATAAGCGCGCGCACACTCGGGTCGGCAAAGCTGGATTGCCGAACCGTGGTATGCTCTTCTGCACACTGGTCCAGACATGATCACAGCGTCTCCGGAACGCAGTAGGATGGGAACGGGCTCGGAATCACGAGTATGGCCGCCGATCAGGAATATCGCTGCGTTTCCCAGCCTAGATTGACAGTCGTGTCAGTCCCGGAGGCATCTTTGAGCAAAGAAAACGCATACGAGATTGAGACCAGAGGCGATGTTGCACAGACTTCGGACCGATCGACGTGCGCCATCAGTGTGTCCTGGAAACATGAGGAACATGGAATCAGCTTCAAGAGACTGGGCAACCTTGGTTTGATAAAAGTTGACAATTCCAGCATCGGGTTCTGACGAACAGCGATGAACAGCATGATTTCACCAATTGGAGGCGTAAATACCATAATCATCAGCCCAGGTCTTCCACCCGGCTTCTTCCTCGCCCCAGTCTAGACCGGCTTCGAGATCGTACACCTGGTCCCAATCGACACTGCAAACTGCCCTGCGGCACTCGTCTGCGAGCAGGCGGTCTATCTTGCTCGTGACTCGGCTAAAGTCGTATTGTTTCGTGCCCCAATGGTAAAACTGAGACGCGCGTCAACATTCAGCAAGGTTGTCGCGTGTGTGTGAAGAGGGAAAATGAACCCAGCCGAGATTGGCCCAGCGCAACTTGGGCAGCAGAGCCTCCGGAGTGGTCTCCCGCGCGTTTGCCGACGGGGCAGCGGGCAGTTTCTGAGCCGTAGCAAGATCCTCGAAGTTCGCTGCGCTGACTGCTGTGTTGTTGATCAGCTGCCGTGGACCCACCTCTTCCGGCATCGTCTCGGTGTCTCCGGCTCGGAGGGGTTGGACGTGGAGTGATTCTCCGTTGTCACGGCGTCGGCAGAGAGACCAGAGTCCTTCCTCAGGTATGGCGTAGTGGACGTCAAGGTTGGTTGGATTGGGATGCTTCGAGTGGTCCGCTAAACACCAGCGGATGAGCTGTCTCTGCTTCTCCGGCGAAAGAAATCCGGGCAAGATCACCAGCCCTGATACCGACGATTGTAGCAACAGTCGCGGCGAGGAAGATTCACGCCTACCAGGATGATGATCGGTCAAGGCGTAGGCTGCGACGTCGGCGGAGGGAGAAATACATGGCACCTCGCGGTATCCCGAGAGCGCAGTGCCTTTCCACCTCCCATCTTGCACTTCCCTCGAGCGGGTCTCGTTCAGCAAAGCCAGGTCCAACACGTCTGAGAGATCCGGAGGGGGAAATCGTGCCTAAGGGCCCCCATCGAATCAAATTTCATCCACGAAACTCTCCGCCTCTTACTCTGAATCGTTTCTCAGCCACTCTGAATGGAGTCCAATCATGCTCAATGGCCTTGTCCCGGCTCTTCGTGGAGGCAAGATATTGCTTCCGCGCCTAGTAGACGCAAGAGATGCCAATCACGTAGAAAGCTAGCTGCTGATTATGCACCTTCTTGTAGGCAGGGCTCGTCGGGTCGAGTACACCGCTAGACATGGTTGCAGCAAGATGAAGATTTGTGCAGATCAATGACACATGCTGATGACGGCACACCAAAAAGTCGAGAGGTCGGCTCGCATGCCGGAAGCATATGTCACTCTAAAATCTTTACCTACCTGCTCCGAGATTTAGTTCTTCGAGCACGCCGTCGTCTCTCTCTCTCTCAATGTCGTTGTGGCTCCCCCGCTCGACGCCGGGCCTCATTGTTCGCTCATGTAGAGCCCATGGCGCCGCCGTCATTCCTTCCCTCGCGCGCCCGGCGGCTTTGGCCTTCAGTCCCGCTATATCACGCTCTCGCCGATTCCAGAGCACGAACACGAGCACAAGCACGCCCTCGAAATCTACCACCCCTGTCTCGGTAGATTCGAAGGAAGTGTCAGAGAGCAAAAGCAGTCTGCCAGCTACGAAGGAGCCCGCGAAAGGCCCTCTACTGACACGGGTATGGAAGAAAGTCAAGCACGAAGCGGCACACTACTGGCACGGATCCAAGCTACTCGTCTCTGAAGTTCGCATCTCGGCCCGTCTGCAGTGGAAGATTTTGCACGGAGAGGCTTTGACGCGACGCGAAAAGCGTCAGGTGCGTCCCCAATATTCAGGATTGACATTCCCTCGCAGCTCATTCCCCCTCCTCTCTGACTAGCTGAAACGTACAACCACGGATCTCCTTCGTCTGGTGCCATTTGCGGTCTTCGTCGTCGTTCCCTTCATGGAGTTGTTGCTCCCCGTCGCCTTGAAACTGTTCCCTAACATGCTGCCATCCACATTCGAGGACAAATTTGCTGCTGTGAGAGACTCTCGCCCATCATGTATGGAGGGCACACTCTAACGGCCAACGAATAGGAAGAAAAACAGCGCAAGCTGTTACGTGTGCGGTTGGAAATGGCCAAGTTCTTGCAAGAAACCCTCCGAGAGTCGCCGCTGAAAGCGAACGCTCATATCGTCGGCTCTGATGCATTCAAGGAGTTCTTCCGCAAGGTAGGAGCTCGCGGCACACGCTGCTACGAATCTCACCGGTCACACCCAGGTGCGGTCCACCGGAGAATCGCCGTCTGCCGCCGACGTCATCAGCGTCGCCAAATTGTTTGATGACGATTTGACCCTGGACAACCTTTCTCGACCACAGCTGGTTTCGATGTCTCGGTACATGGGCCTCAATGCATTTGGGACGGACAATTTCCTTCGCGGCGCCATCCGGTCTCGGCTGTTACATCTCCGTCGTGACGATCAAGCCATAGACTCGGAAGGTGTCGATGAGCTATCCACTTCTGAGTTGCAGGCAGCCTGTCAGTCACGTGGTATTCGCACGGGAGGTGTTTCGCCCGCGAGGTTGAGGGAAGAGCTCAGCACTTGGATTCATTTGCACTTGCACAACCGCGTTTCTGGTGTTCTTCTTGTGCTTGGACGAGCCTTCAACTTTGACAAGAAGCCCGGCGAGACTGAGGATGGAAAGACCAGCATCATCAAGAGTCTGGAAAGTGTGCTGAGTGGTCTGCCCGATAACTTGGTGAGCCGTCATGTGATGTGTACCCGCTTTCTCCCTGACTGAAACTGTGCAGCTCAACGAAGCCGAACTCGAGGTCGATTCTGACAAAGCCAGCTACAAGCAGAAGCTCGAGGTCTTGCAGCAACAGGAGGAACTTATCGAAGACGAAGAGGAGCAGGAGCAGAAAGAGGAAGATGCGCGCCGTGCTAAACGAGAGGCCGCCGAGTTGGAAGCTCGCACAGCGCAATCTCTTCTGCCCGATTCGGAGGTAGTTCTCCATTTCTTTGTGTTTGACAAACATCTGACGCATCCCGATCAGCTCATCCCGGAAATTGAAGCTGACTCTGCCCGAATGACGACCGAGCAGCTCAAGGAACTCGCCGAGGCTATGTCTGTCATGTCTGCCAAATCCAGTGTTCTCAAGGAGCGCGACGAATTGCGTGCTCTGATGGAAGAAAACTTACAGGCTGAAGAGGTATGCCGTATTTTCGCTCCACCTCAATCCGATGGGCGGCTGACCGGACCGCGCAGGATCCGAAATCTCCATCGGGGGCTCTGACGAAACGGATCCGGAGCATGCTGAACAAGATCGACCAGCAATTGGAGGAATACGATGCCCGTGTCGGCAACTCGCTGCAGACCATGTCGTGTGACGCCCAGGGCCGAATCTCCGTCGACGATCTTGAAAAAGCGCTCGCTGTCATCCGCCACAAGCCAGACGACGAAGTCGGTCAGGCGGTCATCCAGAAGTTGGATGCGGACCAGGATGGCTTCGTCGAGCTTGAGCACGTGCTCGGTCTTGTCAGGGAGGAAGGACTGGGAATCGTCATGGAAGATGCAGCCGCCAAATCGCTGCTCGGCCAGGGCAGGGAGCTCATGAACTCAAGACCAACGCCCAGGAAAGAGGACATTGTAAAAGAGGGGGACGGATCATAGACATTCGCCACTGTATGTTGAAACAGCGTAGATATTATGATTATAATACATATCGGAGATTAGACTAATGCGACGCGTCGTCCCTCGCTCACGACCTGACATCGGGGGTTTTCGCCCGTGATGCCGTGGCCTTGAGCGACGACCTTTTTTGCTTTTCGGTTGCCTCCTCGCCATCGGTGCGTTCGGCCCAGAATCGCCCCGCTTGGAGCACGAGAACACCCGTCAGGGCGACACTGCACATGAGATGGTTCGACGCCAGATCCAAAGTCGCCGAGCGCAGCGATTTCGGAAACGGGTCCATGCGCTGGTGAGTCGGCAGAGTCGTAAATTTGACGACGATGTCTGTCACGAGATCAGCTACACGTCCCGCCCGACCAAAAACGCGTCGGGGCTTACTGGGGAGAACCGAGTTGAGATACAGGACGACGGACGTCCCAAAAAGAACTGTGAAGCGTTCGGGGAGAGCCCTGTGCAGACAGCGCTGGACTCACATATGCTCCCGCCGTCGAACATGAGATTCCCCGCCTCGCCATCCCGGAGACTCCACAGAATCGAGCCTGCGCCGAGCGCAACGACTCCGGCGGCAAAGGAATAGATAACAGGCGAGCCCTTGGCCAGAATCGAGTAGTATGATGCAGCTAAAATGTTGGTTAGCGAGCGCACTAGTGCAACAACACAGTAGAGTGAACGCGGCGCCACCTTTCCATAAGTGTTCGTCAGTTACTGGAGATTTCCATAGCGTCAAAGAGTCGGCGATCCAATGGGTGAACAGTGTTCCTGCTCGGACGTTAGTTTAGAAGGCGCTGCGCTGCGTATGCGGGGGGATGACTGACCGAGAAGGAAGCTAGTTACACAGACGACGACGGTCGAGCGAATTCCCATGATGTTCCAAGCGCAAAAACAGACAAGATGGTACAGGAAAACAAAGTCCAGAAAGATACAGTGAGAGAGGGTGCAGATAGACAGGCCCGGGGGCCAAGTCCCGTTACACCAAGAAGTGTCACGTGAAAATGCTTTTGGAGGGGTTGCAAGCGCATCATGATTCATGATCATGTGAAGTGAATAACTGCCATCAAGTACGGTACTTATAGGTAGTGATAGAATAGTCGTAATCTCCTCGGGAAGATAGTGCAGATGAGTAAATAGTCCGGTCCACGCGGCTGGAAGCCTTATGTGCAAAGATACATCGTGCTACAAACGACAGAACATCTAGAGTCTCATGGTCCTGGAGTGATGCCGGCGCCGGGGGCGGCTGTGCAGACGCTTGCTGGAGGGCTGACTGTGGATCCAATCCATGGATCCAGGTAAGAGCAGCCGGCCATTTTGGTCATCATACCAGCCGCGTCAGAGGGATTGTTCCATCCATTCCCGACGTTGACGCTCGCAGTCAGACTCTGGACACCAGCACTGCCACTGACTCCAGTGATGGTGGGAGGAGCAAGTGTGATCGGGCTGCCTGTGGGAGCATAGGCAGGCAGCGAAGTGGCCGCCATAGCGTTGTTATTTCCAAAGGAGATCGTGGGTGGAGGCCACGTGAAAGCCGAAAGCGCGCTCGGATCGATGGTCCCGGCACCAGCCCCACCGGTCTGCCAGGAAGACAACGTTCCGGTGAACGGATTCGCGTTTCCGCACTGACCAACGGCCTGACGAGGATCGGTCGGCATCCAGCCATTTTGCAGACCCAATTGGTAAGACCACTGGGGGGCCTCGACGATTCCAGCGGTCGAGTTGGCGACTTTCCATGTCCAGAAAAACCAGTGCTGCAGGCAAAGATGAGTTGAAGTCACCAAGTAGAAGAGTAGGTGCCAACGCACCTGCAAAGCGTCCATGCTGGCCATCGCAAATGTCTTGTACTGAGACTTGGTCTTGCTGCTCCAGTTCGTGTAGTCCAGCCAGTCCGTGGAGCAGTTGCCGACGACAGGCCAGTTGCCTCCCTGGTTGTATGTCCCTTCGTATCGCACACCCTGTCCGACCCCGTTCACATACAAGCCACAGTCCGTCACCGCATTGCTGAACTCTCCGGCCAGAATGAAACCAAAATTGGCCATTGAATTGTTGATTTGGGCACCCCAACTCGAGCATGGCTGTGTCAGGTGAGACCCAATCGGGTCCGGGCTCTGCCCGGCGAAGCAAAGGTAAGGGTGATAATCGAGAGTGAACCGATCGGCCCCCGGGAACATCCCATTGAATTGATTCAGGTCGACAAACCCGTTGTGGACCGACACCAATGGTCCGTTTCCAGCCCCCAACCCGCTGGCTGTCCGCACTTCCTGATAAGCCTGCAGATAGCTGCACGAAAAGGATCAGTCAATCTTGCCCGATGCGCATTGCAACGACCGACTCACTAGCGCGACAGCGAGTCCATCCCGATCTGGTTACCCTGCGGCTCATTTGTGATGCCGAAGATGGCTACGACATCCTTGTACTCAGGTTGACTGATGAACTCGGCCAAAATGCGGATGTAGTCAAGCGACCGCTGGGCGTTGGCAAGTCCCATCGGCCCGTACAGCACGTTGTAGCTGCCCAATCTTCCGGAGTGGTTCCATCCATTCTGCGAGCCTGGCAGAGTGTGCAGGTCGAGATTGATGCGGATGCCGTACTTTCGAGCCCACTTGATCGCCTTCAGGAAGTAGGTCCACGACACTTTCGGCAAGAAGCCCTCGCCATCCCACATGTCGATGGCCCAATACGGCAAGGCGATACGTACGAAGTTCAGACCTGCTGCAGCAATCTCCATAAAGTCCTGCTCGGTGATGAAAGTCTCGTAATGCTGCACGAGCTGGTCTGTGCCGCCATTCGCGGTGTCGAGCACCATGGCTTGCATCAGTGTCCATTCGTCGATGATCGTTATCCCAGCGTCAACTGTGGTTTTCCGACTCTGGAGGGTTTGATACAGTGCAGGCACTATGAACTGCAAAGGTTGTTAGGTGCTGATGAGGCGGAGAAAATGGCTGATAGGGGACTGACGGGTTCGGTGACGAGCCACCCGCCAATATTAACGCTGTAGGGGGTAAGAATAAGGTAATACGCGTTTAGAGAAGACACACCCTCTAATCCTATCAACGCCGTAATGGAACGTCTCGTTCAACGCCGGGCTCCATGACTGGGCACGCGCGCCATTGTTAAAGGGATCGTTCACGTCGTACATCCATGTTCCACCGAAAGGATTCGAATAAGTGAAAGTAGACCCATCGTCGGCGGTCACGGTGCTTCCGTCGCCTCCAGTGGTCAGAGCAAATTTGATGGATGGCCCAGAGGATGATGAAGCAGACGCAGAGGGATTTGATGGCGAACCGTTACCAAGGTTGCTCGTACCGCTGGACTTGTGTTTCCCCGCGGTAAGCGCGATGACTACTCCCAGAACGATAGCCGCCACTACCACAACACCAACCCCGATCAAGATGGGTTTCTTGCGCGACTTGGGTTCCCAGGCGGATACCCCGCGCTTCTCTCTGCGCAGAGGTTGCTCGCCGACAAAAAAACCAGGCTCGTCGTGATACGAAGAGTCGGTGTAGCCATCATCTCGCCTCGCTCCGGATTTGAAACCCACGGTGCTGTCCGCGGTGTACGCTGAGGACCGGTCGGCGGGGAAAGTCGAGTGCGACGACGATGCGTACGACTCGCGCATTTGGGCACCCCCATCATCGTACAAGGCGCGACCGAGAAATCTTGGTTGCGCGGCACCGAGTGGGATGCCCATGTCGTCCGAATACGGCAGGCCATCGGCATTGGGAGAGGGAAGATGGAACGAGGACCCTGGAGGGGACGGAGGGGCATTGTAAAGAGTGGTGGGCGCGTGGTCCTCGTGGGTGAGGGGTAGAGGCTCATATTCCGTGCGTGGTTGAGCCATGATTAGCGTGGGGTGAGGGGAAGAGGTAGGTCAAACGGAAATGTGGTGACCTTGGCGCTCCTGTCAGTTGTCTGCCGTCACTCATCGCTTTTGATTTATTTATCTTATGTATGGTCGCGGATCTCAGACGGGCAAGGGATGCCGCACCGCCCGTCCACACGTCTCAGAGTCAAAGCTCCATAGAAAGGGCACTGTATGTGCCCACATATTTTTATCTCGCTAGAACACTTACCAACCCCGTCGAACCTTGTATACGAGCCGGAACTGGCGGCAATTCTGATTTGCACACAGCCACCTGATCGTGAGCTCTTGTTTTCCCCAACTGCCACTATACAAAACACAACTACCGCGGTTTCTTCATGCTTGGGCTGTGTCGACGACGTCTATTCTCAACCGTCCCGTGGTTTGTAGACGCGAATGTGGCACCGCGCTCTTCCCCGCCACATCTGTCTCTACACGAGATACCTCCACTGCCGTTTGACGCGCCGCAAGTAGTGAAAGAACTCCATGCTTTACTGGCGCAATCGCCTCTTCTTGAGCCGACGTCTCTGATTGTGGCGAAACCAAGGTCTCTGCCTCCTGGTCCTCCACTTCCTCTCAGGGAACCTCAGGGTCGACGCAAACGAGGGGGCACTTTTTCTGGTCACTCAGAATTTGAGGTCCCAGGTTCACTTTGGAACTGGACAGTCATGGCACAGGTGATTTGGTTTGAAACCCTTGTACCTGCTTGGCTAATAACATGCGCTTCAGGTCAAGGAGGGCACTGAAAACAAAGGTGCGATCGAGTCTGTGGTGCGAATCGTGCGCAAAACGGTATACCCACTCAGTCTTTCGCGATTCGCTTTCTCAATATTCCCAGCTGCTCACTCACCGCCCACCTCTTCCGATTCCTCCCAACTCTAAACACCGGGAGAACAATGGCTGGGCTTTAGTAGATGCTGGCTCGTTTGCTGTGCATGTACTCAGCAAACAGGCTAAGGATAAATACTTCCCTGTGGATAGATACGACAATCGTGACTGGTGATTCCCTTGCGCAAGCTGGAGCTCCTTCATCTCACATGCCATGGTGCCATGCTCGTCAGAGTTGACTCCCGCTTGACGTCAGACCTTCGCCCTCCCTAGTATATATACACCGCGTACGCACACCGGGGACTACTCACAAATGGCTTTGAACGACAAGAATCTTCTCAACAACGCACAGGGCGCCGGTGTCTATCCTGGCATGGCGAACCCGACTAGTTCTTCGATGCCCAACGACCCCATGGAAACAAACTTTGTCAGTGTTGTCCGCACGCACGCTAATCCACTTGTTGAAGAATTCATCTTAGGTTAACGATCCGACTACCGATGACAAGGGGGCCGGCGCCGGTCCCAATTTCGAAGGTCACAAGCAAGCGCAACGTTTGTTCAAGGAACAGGCAGGCGTCGTCGAAGGTGCACCTGGAATCATCGAGAGCACCAACGTACATCCTCTTCGACCAGATTCAAACGGTATGCATATAAGCTTCTCATGTTATCATCGCTGACCTTCGCACAGATGACGATGGGTGGGCACACGCTACTAAACAGCCGAACGCCGGTAGCACAGACTCCCCCAACGAGCAGAGTTTTGCAACCCAGGCCATGAATAAAGCCTCCGGCGGCGCAAAAATGGCTTACGGTTACGCCACTGGAAACAAAGAGGTGCACAAGCAGGGATCGGATGAGTACTATGGCCAACAGTAGAGAGATGGTGTAGCACCCTGTAGCACTTCCATTTCATCATTGTACAATTAGTCATCAACATTAAATCAGTCCTTGAGCTCATACTATGACTTCAAGAGCAGGAGGTCTCTACGGTGGCCTTACGTTCTCGTCCGGAGTATCCGTCCCGGCTTCAACACTCCCAGCTCCCGCAGCCGACCCTGTGCCTGTTGTTGAACCCGTGGAACAACCCGCCGCTCCAGTCCAACAACCTCAGCCCGCTGAAGATTTGGGAAACGCAGGACCCGCCGGAAAATCCACAGCTGGTATTTTCATCCGTTATACCTAGCTTTTCCGAAACACTTTATTGAATCGGACATTCATGTCGCTCCGAAGGATGGTCGTCCTCGCTCGCTTTCGCTCCAGTGCGGCGTAATGCTGTACAGAAACCCAAGCCCACGACAGCTCGGCTTCCCGTCGGGGCGGCCTTCACGACTGTCGCGAGCTCCGCCGTCGTGTCTTCCTCTGCGGTAGTGTTTGCGCCTCCTGCCTTGATCGAACCTGCAGCGAAAGACGACGCGCCAAAAGCCGCTGAACCAGGTGGATGGGGCAAGAAAGTGAAGCCTCCATCGATGGTGCTGGATGAAGATGTGAATGGCTACAAATCCGCGTATTCGAAGCGGAAGGGCGGTCAAGGTCCAGGTGGGAAAGGGAAAGGCAAGAAGGTGCGTTTCTTGTCACGTCTTGCTTTTCTCCGCCCATCGTTTTCCTGTTAGAACAAGAACATTCCCAGCATATCTGCTTGGGATCCTACAGAGCCATACGACTTGCTTCGACCAAATGATTACAACGAGTACAAAGTGTGGAAACAGAAAGATCGTATCGACCGTCGAGAGCGTCTCGCTGAAGAGCGTCGCCGCGAAGATCGCAAACGTGGAAGGAGCGATAGTCCACTGTACAGCGAGGACGAGCATTCAGACGAGGACAAACGACCGAGGAAATCTGGTGAGTGAATCAAAATACCGTGGTATGTTTATTTATGTTCTTGCCATAGGACGATATGATTCAGAGGATCGCGGAGTTCATGACCCAGTTTTGCCCGTGTCTGTTGCACCTCCTCCTGCAGACCTTACCGGGGATGATGCCTACCAACGTCGGGTGGCGTTGTCGCAAAAGTTGCCACCGACCATAGAACAGGAAATGCCTGCTCCAAAAGTGACAGAAACGGGCGATGAGGCGTATCTCAAACGCATCGCCATGTCTAGCCAACCTCCGCCGGCCCCGGTGGCCCGTCCAGCTTCTCCGCCAGCTCTAGCCTACAACCCGTTCGCACCGCCATCGGCACCACCCCCTCCGCCGGGACCACCACCTTCGTTAACGACGGCATTGGATGCCAGAGTCAAAGCTGCCGCAGCCATCGCCGCTCGTCTCGGGGCCTTGAGCGGGCAAAACGAAGCGGACGAAGCGGTAGCGCAAGCTGCGCCGGCGAAAAAGTACGTTCAACTGTTCCATCTCCGGTTGCGATATCCTTATGTGGATCGTAGGCCTGACCCTCACGGCTATGCTGCGCGGCTCATGGCGAAATGGGGTCACAAAGAGGGCCAGGGACTGGGGGCTGATGGCTCCGGGATCGTGAATGCGCTCACTGTCGAGCAAGTGAGCCAGACGAAGAGCAACAAAGCTGGGCCTAGCGGCAAGGGCATGGGCTCCAAAATGGGCAAAATCATCAACAACAATGAAGATCTCAAAGCGAGAGAGGACAGAGAACGCTTTGGTGAGCCCAGCAAGGTCGTCGTCTTAACCAACATGGTCGGGATCAACGACATAGACGAGGATCTCAACGAGGAAATTGGTGAGCTACAGTCATTTTTTCTGTTACGGGTGGCGCTCAAGCCATTTTAGGCGACGAATGCTCCAAGAACGGTGTCGTGGACAGGGTTGTCGTCCACGTGGTCAGCCCTCCACCGTCGAATCCGGAAGAGGCGGTCCGCATATTCGTCTTGTTCGGTGGGCCAACTGGAGCTTGGAAGACTGTACGAGAGCTGGACGGCCGATTTTTCGGCGGGCGAATGACGCGGGCTCGATATTTCCCTGAGAATTTGTTTGCAAAACACGCCTTGGATGTTCCGTTGTCTTGATTGTATTGTTGTATACGAATGGGAATACAATAGGAATTACGACGACTAGTAAACCCGCTTGAAAGGAGGAACAGCCTTGCACTCGTTCTCGTCCAAAGTCGTTCCGATCACAGCCCGGTACTGGAGCTCAACGTCGGGCTTCGTGGGGTCACGCTGGAAACTCAGAGTGTGCTTCATCCACTCCTTGTCATCGCGCTGGAGTAACGAACAAAATTAGAGCTGTTAAACAATGTGTAAGAAAGAATAAAACGGACATCTGGGAAGTCCTCGCGCGCGTGAGCACCACGTGACTCTTTGCGAGCAGCAGCCGAGGTGACCGTTTGCATGGCACACTGCAGAATGTTGCGCAGCTCCAGGGTCTCAATCAAATCACTGCCAAGCTCATCAGTTTCCTCGCCGCTTCCTCTGTACGAAACAAACGCACGAGTTCCAGATCATGCTTCGGTCCTTGATTCCAACATTGTCGTAGCTCTTGTAGATCTCGGTCATCTTAGCAACACCGTCGTCCAAACTCGACTGAGTACGGAAAACAGCGGCATCAGCTTGCATCGCCTTTTGCATCGCCAGCCGAATCTTGGCAGTGGGCTCCGGGCCATCCGAAGTTCTGGCCAAGGGTGATCAGCGAACTGATAGGCAGCAAGGTTTAGCAGACTCACCTAATCTTATCCAAAAACTCGACAGTCTCCATGCCAGCCTCTTCCGGGATAGCCTTGTGGGGCTTGCCTGGGGTGAGGGTTTCCTTGATGTGGTGGGCGCAAGCGCGACCGAAAACGACGATATCCAACAGCGAATTGGCGCCGAGACGGTTCGCACCGTGCACGGACACGCAAGCAGCCTCGCCGGCAGCATACAATCCCGGGACAACCTGGTCCTTGCCCTCCGCATCGACAGTGATGACCTCACCGGTGTACTTGGTGGGGATACCTCCCATGTTGTAGTGCACCGTGGGCAGGACGGGGATCGGCTCCTTGGTAACATCGACACCCGCAAAGATAGACGCCGTCTCCGAGATACCGGGCAGCCGCTCGTGGAGGACTTCGGCAGGAAGATGGCTCAACTGAAGGAAGATATGGTCCTGGTCAGGGCCCACACCACGCCCCTCCCGAATTTCCACGGTCATACTCCGAGACACGACATCGCGCGAAGCAAGATCCTTGGCCGTCGGCGCGTAGCGCTCCATGAAACGTTCACCCTGAGAGTTAAGGAGGTATCCACCCTCTCCTCGAGATCCCTCAGTGATGAGACAGCCGGAACCGTAGATACCAGTCGGGTGGAATTGCACAAACTCCAGATCCTGCAGCGGCAAACCAGCTCGAACGACCATCGCGTTACCGTCGCCGGAGCAGGTGTGCGCGCTAGTGCAGCTGAAGTATGCACGTCCGTATCCTCCGGTGGCTAAGACAGTCTTGTGGGCGCGGAATCGGTGAAGCGTGCCGTCCTCCATGTTGAGAGCAATGACACCGACACACTCGCCATCTTGCATGATCAGATCCAAGGCGAAGTATTCGATGAAGAAGTTGGTGTTGTGGCGCAAAGATTGTCCATAGAGAGTGTGCAGAAGCGCGTGTCCGGTCCGATCGGCCGCAGCAGCACAACGATATGCCTGGCCACCTTTCCCGTATTTCAGGGATTGACCACCGAAAGCACGCTGATAGATCTTGCCCTCCTTCGTTCGAGAAAAGGGCACACCAAAGTGCTCGAGCTGTAGGCAATTCGATTCGACAATGAAGTCATCCTGAACTTGGACAACATACCTCGATGACGGTGCCAGGAGCTTCGCGACACATGTAATGAATGGCATCTTGGTCTCCGAGCCAGTCTGAGCCTTTGACCTATGCGTAGTTAGCGCACCGAGAAAAAAAGGGGGGACGTCGCATACAGTATCATACATGTGCCACCTCCAATCATCCTCAGTCATATTCTAGATACAGGATCAGTGCTGTGGGCATGGACAGTTACGTGCTCGACTTACTCCGAGGGCGGCGTTAATACCTCCCTGTACGCCAGTTCAAAAAGGCATTCACTGAGAAGACAGTAAACATACCTGGGCCGCGACCGTGTGACTTCGAGTGGGGAAGAGCTTGGTAATGCAAGCAGTGTTGAAACCAGCCTCCGCCAGCCCGAACGCAGCGCGGAGACCAGCACCACCGGCGCCTCTGCGAAATGGATGAGCAGCAGCCCAAGAAAACTTTGCTGGGACACTCACACAACGATAGCATCGTATTCGTGCTCGATGAGAGGGTACTTTCCAGAAGCCCAAGACTGGGAAAGGATCAGAACGGGCGACCAGCGTTCACGGATGGTACCCCAAGAGCGCGCCATACCTTGACTTCTTCAGCCTTGACCGAGTTGGTGCCTACGACCTTGTGTACGGGGGCAGACGAGTAAAAGGACCGAGCGCGGGGCAGTGTCCGCGCAAGACTTTTTCTGAACATCGTTCAGGGAGAGATGAAGTTGCACAAGCCAGCAAGTCTTTACGACGTCTAAATCCGAATGACGCCGACATCACCCGCCAATCACATGCTTCTCATTTGATTCGGGCATCCGCTTGTCCGGCGGCGTTGAAAAGACGTGGAGATTATACAACATGGTAAGTAGAAATCTTATACAGTTTCTGAAAGTTCATTGTCCCATGGGAAAACTATGAGACGCCCAAGGGATCATGGTCCAAATGGACTGTGGGCCTCGGCGGGGACCGGGTGAGCTCACGTGATTTGATGTCCGATGATGGTCGCAAGATGGCTGATGTAGGCGGAACTCGTGGAAGTGATGCACTGGGAAAAGAAGTCGAAAAGTTGGAAGGAGTGTGGTGCCACGGAGAAGGCTTGGATGGTTGTGCAGAATGTGTAACTTTCGCATGCGGCATCGCGGCTGGGGCTGGTCGGCTACGTGGCTCTGCTATTGAAGCAGGCGTGGGCGGAGACACAGAAGCCGTCACAGGTTTGTTCTTGTCCTGCGCAGCCTTTCTCCTCTTCCATAATTCCTCTTCCCCGAACAGTCTATCCTCCTCGAGCTCGGACAACCGCACAGAAGCAAGCACGTCCCGCACATATGAAACCGCTTCGAGGGCCTCTCGTTTCGATTTGCGCAGGCGATCTGCATCTGAAGATGCGGCTTCATCCTGTAGCAACACATCCAGAGCCCAGCCAAGTGACTCGGACATCCTTTTGTTATTCGCATGCACCTGCACCATTTCACGCTCAATCTCCAGTCGCGAGCGAGGCTCCCATGGTGGTCTATCTGGCTCATCGACCATCGGGAAGGATGGATTCGTCGGGGATCGCACGAACGACGCCGCCAACTCTGATAGGTTACGCTGAGGGCAGCGGTCAGATGAAAAGCCATCGAACTTGCTACAGCACTCACCCGAATCTCCGGCACTGCACTCATCAATGTCTTGTTGATTCCCAGGCTTTCTCCACGTTCCAGTAGGCTACGGGCCATCGTCTCGATCCCTGTCTGCCGAGGATCGATGCTGTTTCGTGGATTCACATGTGCTGATCCGACACTCGGAGAGGTTGCATGGGCGGAAGTCGGTGGTCTCCTGCGCTGAGGAGCTGGAGGCGGCGCAGGCACTTCGAGAGAGATACCCAACGTATTCCGGTTCTCGAGCAACAAGGAGTGGCCGGTGGCTTGTGTAGGTGACATCTGGAGGAGGATAGCTTGGCGAACCAAGATTGTACTGGGATGCGCTCCGTCTAGCGCATGCATCGTCGGATATCGGAGCAAAGTTGAAAGTTGCCCGCTGTAGTCGGTCGGAAGAACTGAAAAGGCTCAGTGTCTCTTCATCGGAGAGCATGGCAAACCTACGCTCATTACGAATTCGAATCAACATGGCCACACAGATCCAAGGAGCCAGATCAATGCTCGACGCAAAAAGGGCATCCCACAGTCGCATGGCAGACGGCAGGTCCAGTTCGCGAGTGAACAAAAGTCTGAGCCATCGTATACCATAGATCTGAGGCTCGATCCCAGCCGATTGCATAGACTTCCACAGAGCAGGGTCGACCGTACGAAGAAACGTGGATTGTATGCGATTGCAGTCCTCGACCACAGGTGTGATATACGGCTTGATCTCAGCCGGCTTCGCGGCGAGGTTGACATGGGTGGCGAAATGAGATTGGCTTTGTTTCAGTGCTGGATTGGGTTCTTGCCACTCGTACCATCGAGAGGCTACTCGCATCACAGCTTCGAATAGGGCCCAGGCATCCGCGGCCACCCATGTCTTGGAGCACATCTCTGACAATCCAGGACAATCGGGATAAGCATCCGGCTTGTCGATTGAATCATACTCCACCGCAAGGTACAGCGCGGCAAGAAGCTCGTGCATGCCTGAGGGTCGTTAGGATGGATCAGAACGGCGAAAGTGAAGGAGACAAGGTTACCTGGCGATACCCCACGGAAGGATTCGAGACGGCTGAGTACAAGAACAAGATGTTAGTTAGTTGAATCTGGACCTAAAAACAGTCACGAATTAGTAGAGAGAACCAGAAATGGAATCGCATACCTCAGGGTCCCGGAAGAACGCAATTTCAGGGAAAGTCCTCTCAACATCCTGCAGGATCGTTTTGCGTAATTCCACGGATGCAAACCACTCCTTCCACGGATTCTAGACCTGATTGAGCCTTGCGGTCGGAGTAGCTGTGATACGATCAGCGCACCTCTTGGTGTAGGCTGAGCGGATTGTTTGTCTCCAAGTTGCTCTCCGATGCTTGGCGTTGGGGAGATTTGGAAGACCCTGGAAGCACAAATCCCTCTTCGTAGCTCCCATCGGGAGCGCGCATCTTCTCTTCCAGCAACTGATTGAATCTCTTGCGGTGGGTGCGCAAGGATACTAGCGGTGGCGAGGCATGGCTGTCGGTTGCACGTTTCAGAGGCTCGTCGTCGGGAAGCAGAAACAGCTGTCGGCATTCCATCCAGTGAGCTACGCGTGTGTATGTGTGTGCAGGCTGATCCCACGGACCTTCCATGCCACACTCCGGCCAGGGACCTGTAAGGCGTCGTCGCTAATGTTGAACAGGCGATCTGCTAACGCGGCATCGCGGATCCGGGCCAGCGACCCCGACGCAAACAGTCGTGTGTACGCCTGTCTATGATTGTTTCGTTGAGGCCGACTCCGCTGCGGATGAGAAACACGAACTTGAGAGGCCTAGCCTCCATCGTCGTTGAATGAGAGAGTGAATGCTGTGCATGGGGCTGATGCGCAGATCTAATCTAATCTCCCGAATCAAGAATGCATTCGTGTATTATGCCAAAGATGTGGAGAAGTGGGTACGACTGAATTGGTCATATGCCGGAGTTTGGTCTCCGTTTTCCGCTCGAAAGAGCTCGCTGAATGACAAATCCATGTCCGGATACAGGTGTAAGTAGTTGTCCCATGAAGATGAATCTAATGTGTCAATGCCATACGCATCTAGCCCTAAAAGAATCGGTGCATCCACCCCAAGGTTGTCCTGGATGACGCGCATGTCAGGTTCCGACTCGCCCCGGTATTTTGAAAGAAGATCAGAGAGAAAGCGAGAGTACGCCGCTGGTGCGTGCTTGGAGTCGAGAACTACCCGCTCAGATGAGAGCGCGTCGATTAGTTTCCCCACCAGAGAAATGATGCCGTGTCTGGTATCCCGAGAGATGTGATATTCGAAACGCGGTCGAAGTAGCTACGCAAAAGGGTCAAGCCAAGCACAGCGGCAATAGACGCAACTGACATTGACCAGAAATGATGCAGCAAAGGAGATGTGAAGGAAGACGCAGTTCGTCGCATAACGCAGGAATTCGGTGGGATAGAGATCGTCAAGGACAATTCGAAGGACGTCAAAAGCTGCTTGCAAGGCAGATTCTAGAATCTGCGTCTCGTGCAGCAAATTGGCCTGTCCATCGTCCCTCAACTCCTGCTTGAACACGTGACACAGAACGACCAGTTGCAGATATGCCGCGATCCTAAAATGGGACGTCGAAGTGGATGATGTATAATAAAGCGATGCACTCACATCCGCAGTGCATTGACACGATACCGACAGATGGGGAAATCTGAGACGCTGAATGTCAGTGGGCTTTAGACTAGCAACCTGAGAACGAACCATATCCCGGAAGATTCTCGTACGAGCGAATGAGCCAAGCTCGTGCTTGACTCGCCAGCTCATTCCGGACTTCGAGAGCCAGCTTCACTCTTGCCTCGACAGACCTCTGCTCCTCCACATCCCTTTTCCATCGCGCCATGACAAGCCAGAGGCAGGTGTAGCCGCAGAGATGGATGTCATAGGGCTGATTGTAAGCTGCCGTTCTGTACCATTCCGTCGACGTTCGTCCAATATAGTCATCCACCCCGATCATAGCAATCTTCCCAGATTGCACCGAAAACGAGAGATCGGCGCAAAAACATTTCAGCCACGTCCGCGTGCGATTGAGGCCCTCTAGACTTGCGGGGGAGTCTCCCGGAACATTCAGGCCCAGCTGCAGTGCCATTTTGACGGCAAGCCCAATAAACACCCATGCTCGATCTTCGCTGTAGGTCTTGTGAGGCGTGGGATAAACAGCTACCGAGAACATGATCGGAAGCGGGTTGGATTTTCAAGCGATGGCGTACCGATAATCAGATAAGCCTGGCATATTTCCACACTCGCACAGTCTTCGATTAAAGCCTGAGACGCGGCATCACGGGCAAAGTCATTGGCCTTGGCGTGCAGATTCGGCCGTTCCGTCATATATCGTGCCGCCGTCGCACAGACTGGGAGAGCATGAGAGGTACGTTTGATCGCCGGTTAATGGCACGCACTGGCGGTAAAAAGAAATGGAGACTTCCAAAGCAAGAGATTGGGATCACCATGCAGTTGCGGGTCCAAGATAGAGAAATACGGCTGTGCGAGATGAGCAATCCAAATTCTACAACTTTGATTCTTACATGCACGTGCCGGAAATACCTGACAATAGAAAGGTCAGCAAGTTTCAAGCGGAGAACGGTCACGGTGCAAAACACACAGCTGGAATAGGTATATGATGTCCGGAGGATAGAGATAGCAGCCTGATATGACTGGGGGAATCGGCCTATTCCGGGGAGGAAAGCCTTCGAACGAACGATCAGCACCTGGGTCGTCTCCACTCGCCACAACCTCACCGGACCGAAAGTAGGCGATGGCTGCACGCTCGGGTGATATTTTATCACGTATCGAAGGGGCTGGAAGCGGTTGGTTTCATGATGGCGCGGGCTATCGCACATACTCTTCATAGGATCATCCCCCATCAGCCTCTGCAGGGTCTGTTTTCTTCTGGCCTCATCCATTTGCGCCAGGAGGGCCTGAATCGTTCTATCTTGGACGAGGGCCTTGGCTTGCAAGTCTTCCTGCGTCCTGAAAGCGTGTCACAGAGACGAAGGAGTAATACCTCTTGGCCACTCACGGAGCGTCTTTTCGCTTTTTGCGATCGCGAGGAATACACTCGTGTTTTGCGCTTTCACTAGGAGGCGGGGACGTCATCAGGTCTGGAGCTATTGAAATCCAGTCCAGACACCCACCAACGAATACACACTTGGGAATCCGCTAGAAACTGGCACCGAACCTAGAGTCTAATCAGCGCTGGGTCATCGCCGTGATGGATGGTCATGCCTTGAGCAACTTGCAGTGAGTGCACGCTCCGCGCCTATATGATGTTGAGCACGTCGCTGATATATCCCTTGCAAGCTGAAATCAACGCACTTCGTTTCCCGGCTGGTACACATTCCTGGCTCCCCTCGCAGGTTGCGACCCCTGTTTGACCAAGGCAGGAAGAAGATGAGGCTATTATAAGCGAATGGAGATCGACTATGGCCGAGTTACCAGACTCGCACGCGTCGACTCTAGACCGTCGAGGCATGACACGTGAGCGCGGGCCTTCCGAAGAACGACTTGATGAATTCCAGGTCCACGGGTGAACGGCATCGACAAATATCTGGCCAACCAGGATAGCGAGATCCGAACTGTCCTGGCCGGATAGCATCGTCGTCTCAAGAGAAGCAGCATTGCGAGTTTTCCGAGAGTTGACGACTGCCATACCAGAAGGATGGCCTCATCCACGTTGCAGACTCGTCCGTGTTTCACGGGGAAGCACACTGTTGCGAGATCAGAGCACTCGACACATTCATGATTTCGAATGGGCGAGATAAGGCATACAGCTCGGACAGCCGTAGAAAGACAGGTCGCACTCCAGCTGGCGTCTGTCACACTCGGATCCGTCTCCGCGTCTATATTGAGCATCCCGCAAGCAAGTAAGTGCAGGAGGGAGGGGTCCGCGTCTGTCACCTTACATTGCGGCGAACTCAGATGAATGGGGTTCTGGAATGCGAATATCGGACAAAGCTCCATGATGAACGATGCCGAGTTCGGGATGACTAACAGGATGCGATACACGGCCTGCTATGCACCTGTATTTGGAACTTGGACATGGTTTGGAAATCTCGAAGCAAGGACACTCGAAAGCACTCGGTTCGCGGGAGGATGAAAGGATACCGCGGTCAGGGCACAGCCTCCCATTGATGTGTCATCTAGTGTGACCAGTTCCGACTTCCAAAAGCTCGAACAAGGGTGGTAAATATCGATTGGAGGAGGATGCGGAGAAGAAATGGTGTGAAGAGTCCAAATGATAAACATCTATGTGAGAATACGTCTGTGAGTTTGGCTGGTGTCTGGAATGTTACCTGGAAAACATTCCGCCGCCCCCAATCGGGGAAAGGCAAAACGGAACAGCCCGAGAGCGTAGGCAGCCAATCCGAACGCAAAAGCAACCCGAGCAAGAAGAATCTGCAAGCCCGAGGCAGCCCGAGCGTAAGCGAGAGAGCGAATAGGATGCGGCGGTTGGGAGACCACAAGCAGCTGAGGAGCAAAGCAGACTTGAGGTAGACAGTGATTGAATGAAAAGGAATTCGAGCTACATAGTCAAAGCGTGATGAGATGCATCTTATCTAATCTAATCTAAATTGTCTGTCTTGCAAGTTCGCTACGACTGGACTCCGACTGACGGATGCCCACCTGTTGCTTTCATCCACCCGGACACTGAGCTCTCCCGAAGCATGATACCTCATGTCTAGAATGTCAGATCGTAAGAGGACATATTCCTTCAGTCTGTCCAATGACGAGCTGTCTATTACTTCATGTTGTACCGCGTGCGATTCATCCGAAAGACCCACCGGCAGTCATGTGATCGTGTCTCCTCTGCCTGTCAGTGTCAACAGTCACTCTCCAGTTCTTGTGCTGAGTGCTTACCGCTTGTTTACGTATGCCATCGTATGGTCCTCGTAAACATCAAGCTTCCAGATGTCCTGCATGCGAATCTCTTACCCTAACAAACGAACACCATGTGGGCCCCCTCTCGTTTTCACAAGAGCTTCTGGTCAGCAGACACGCGTTGTCGCGATTGGGCACGGACGGGCTTTCGCGGTGAGGCCCTCGGTGCGATGCACCGCGGACGAGAACTCGAGCCCAGTACCCTTTGGGACGACGCGGGCTTGCGGTGCAGTGTGTCCAGGCCCCCCCTTAGTTTGCGGTGGATGGACGCTTCCTTTGCGCGGACAGAACGCCGCTCTAACGCACTATGGCGTAGCATCACCTGCAGCAAACGTGCGCTCGTCAACTTCAGCCCCTTCTCACCTCTAGCACGTATAAAAGCTATGTGAAGAAGCACCGGGAAGCTGCATAGCAGCATGCGTCTCGTCTGGTGGTATTTGGTGGTGGCTTGGGGCACTGCGCTCGCCGGCGCGACCTTCCACCGCAACTTGGTGTACCACTCTCCGTTCGAAGATTATCCGGAGGTAACGGTGCTGGGCCCTGATTTGTCCCACCGGGCCTGATCAACCGCTCTAGCTTTCGCACGACTTTGACCAGCTTGCTGCGCGTCAAAGCCAACATGCGCGCCGGCAGATGACCGGCGCCGCGGCGTTCAAAGACAATGAATATCCTACCTTCTACGGCTCGGATTTCAGCAATGTGAGGTAGTTCCTATTTCATGATGTAGGATACTGATGTTGGCCTAGGCCCCCTTCATCTGGACCGGGGGAATCAATTTCACGCATTCAGGTACATGTTCTGAGCTGCTGTTGATTCGGTGTGACTGATCAGGCCGATGATCATATGCAGTCGCCAGCGTATGTTTCCGATCTGTTGTACCGCTAGCCCCCGAAATGACGTTATGTCTATGATAGGGAGATCCATTTGACACGTCCGTGCTCATCTGGACGCGCGCATTTCCTCTAGGCGCGGGGCCAGACCAGAGCGTCCCCGTCTGCGTTTCATACAAAGTCTTCACGTCGTCCGCTCTCTCCGGCAAACCCGTGTCTACCGGCGAGGGGTTCACCACGTGGGATGTCGAGTGCGTGCGGGTTGCAGCCTTTTCATCCGATGGCTGATTATGGACAGTTTCACTCTGAAGTTCGAAGTGACGGACCTGAAGCCCGACAGCGTCTACTTTTACGTCTTTGCCGACTGCACGAACGCAGAGACTGTCAGCCCGACAGGAAGGACACGGACGCTGCCGAGTCCCAACAGTACGTGAATAAGGATGATCGTCGAGTCAATCTCAGCTAAATATGTCTTTTTGTAGCTCCGGCATCGGCCGTGAATGGTGGCAAGCCCTTGACCCTGGCCGTTTTCTCCTGCTCGCAGTTCCAGGCGGGATGGTTTAATGCCTATGGCTACGCTGCACACAACACGAGCGCGGAGATATTCGTCCATCTAGGGGACTACGTGAGTTCTGTGCGCTGCACCGAGTCAATCATGCTTACATATCCACAGATCTACGAATCTCTGGGAAACGGCGCACACATCGGCCGTCAAGTGCAAGTCGCTCGCGCTTGGCAGTGGATCCTCCTTGTGCTCATCATCCGCTGACAGTCTCGGCCGCGAACTGGCTACGATCCACGACTACCGCCAGCGCCTGGGGCAGTACCGCACCGATGCCAGCCTCCTCGCCGCGCACCAGAACGCGCCGTGGATCACCGTGTGGGACGACCACGAGGTCGCGGACAACTCGTGGAAAGCCGGCACCACGGACTCGAACGACACCGCGGCGGGCTGTTCGTTCTCGCCGTCCGGCGCATGCTTCACGGACCGCAAACTGGCGGCAGTGCGCGCGTACCACGAGTGGCTGCCCGTGCGACAGGTGTCTACGTTTGACAAGCTCAGGATCTGGCGCAACTTCCAGATCGGCAAGCTCCTCGACCTGACGATGCTGGATACTCGCCAATACGATCGGGATGTGACTGATGTGTGTATCGCCCCTTCTGGGCGTCAGAAAGTCGAGGCTGATCTGCATTCCGACGCAGGTAAACTACAACCACGGTGAAGCGAGATCGGTGCTGTCTATCGCGTAAAGCTCATCCATCCATCCATCCAGATCTGGTCGTGGCTTTGTCGACAGTTCAGAACCGATCGTTGATGGGTCCTGCGCAGGAGAAATGTGCGTCTGGCCTAAACTCGGAACGCATCCTCTTACGAAACCAGGGTTCTTTGATACATTGAGTGAATCCCAAACCCGGGGCGCTGTCTGGCGCATTGTAGGGTACACCTCAACCCATCTCACCTGCTCGCTCGACTGGCTGATACTCGGAACAGTCAGCAGATAGTCTTCAGCCAGCTGGATTATCCCACGTTTGGTCGTGAGTGCGCTTGCTTTTCTGTGCTTGGCGGTCGACTGAATGCCATCCAGTCGATGTGGTAAGCACAGCACCGCAGTTGGCCTTCAGTGCACGACACAGACGAATCGAATTAGGACGCATGGGACGGATACAAAGCCAATCGCGAACGCGTGCTCCAGTACCTGGAGCGTCACAAAATCAGCAACACAGTCATCCTCTCAGGGGACAGCCATGCGAACTGGGTCTCGGAACTGGCTCGTAGGTAATCCTGCGATCAAATCTGGTGTAATCTCACTCGTTTGTTCGCGCGCGCAGATCCCAACGACACAGCCACGTACGACGCGAAGACGGGCAAAGGCGCGTTGGGCGTCGAATTCGCCGGGACAGCGGTCACCTCGGGGTCGCCGTTTGGCGCGAACGTGCAGCCGGCAGTCGCCAATGCGTTCAGCCAGCAGATCCTCGCGGACCCGCTCAACGGAGACTTGCAGTGGACGGAAGGCAGTTTCCGAGGATTCTTCACGCTGACGATCGATCCACGCGAGCTGAATGCGACTTATTACGCGATGAACAACATCTCCTTCGCGAATCTGGACGGCTTCGCGAGTGCCGTTTTTACGGTCAAGGCCGGGGAGAACAAGTTGACCCGGCCCATTGCAGGGGGAAAAGTGCTCGCTGGAGTATTGCGTACTTGATTACAGTACATTCACAAAACACCATTGCGTCAGCTGGACGGAATAGGAATCACACACGTTCAAAAGAGCTATGATACAAGATGCGATTGAAAATATCTAACAGTGAGTGCGTACAGAATTGCGTATTGTCAAGATGCGTCCAGAACCACCGTTTAGTCGACCTCCTCGACACTCGGGCCGTCTTCCGAGGCACCGCCGGGGAAGCCGCCCGGAGCTCCACCACCAGGGAAGCCGCCTCCGGGGAAGCCCTCGGCACCGCCCGGAGCACCGGCCGCGCCGTACAGCTTCTGCATGATGGGGTTGGCGATCGCCTCGAGCTCCTTCTGCTTCTCCTCGTACTCCTCCTTCGAGCCCTCCTGCGACGCATCCAGCCACTTGATCGTCTCGTTCACGGCGTTCTCCAGCTTGCTCTTGTCCGCAGCCTCGAACTTGTCCGCCAGCTTCTCGTCCGTGAGCGAGTTGCGCAGGTTGTACGCGTACGACTCCAGTCCGTTCTTTGCAGTGATGCGGGATGCAGCGGCCTCGTCCTCGGCTGAACATAGACATTAGTAATCGACTTCACCATCATAAAAAACCAATGCAACTCACCCTTGTATTTCTCGGCCTCGTTGACCATGCGATCAATCTCCTCCTTCGACAGACGTCCCTTGTCGTTCGTGATCGTGATGCGGCTCGACTTGCCGGTCGTCTTGTCGGCGGCAGACACATTCAGGATACCGTTGGCATCAATGTCGAACGTGACCTCGATCTGGGGAACACCACGCGGCGCAGGGGGAATGCCGGACAGCTCGAACTTGCCGAGCAGGTTGTTGTCCTTCGTGCGCGCACGCTCACCCTCGAACACCTGGATCAGCACACCAGGCTGGTTGTCCGCGTATGTCGAGAACGTCTCCGACTTCTTCGTCGGCACCGTCGTGTTACGCTTGATCAGCGCAGTCATGACACCACCGGCGGTCTCGATACCGAGGGAAAGCGGCGCAACATCGAGCAGGAGCAGGTCCTGAGTCTTCTCGGAAGTGTCTCCAGAAAGAATCGCGGCCTGGACGGCAGCACCGTACGCAACGGCCTCATCGGGGTTGATGCTCTTGTTGGGCTCCTTGCCGTTGAAGAAGTCCGACACGAGCTTCACGATACGGGGGATACGGGTAGAGCCACCAACAAGGACGATCTCGTGGACGTTCGCCTTGTCGATCTTGGAGTCGCGGAGGACCTTCTCGACCGGCTCCAGCGTGGAGCGGAAGAGATCCTGGCACAGCTCCTCGAAACGGGCACGGGTGAGCGAGGTGTAGAAGTCGATACCCTCGTATAGGGAGTCGATCTCGATGGAGGTCTGAGCAGCAGACGACAGAGTACGCTTGGCACGTTCGCAAGCAGTACGCAGACGACGCAGAGCACGCAGGTTGGAAGACAGATCTAGGCGCAAGTCGGCATCAAATAGGCGATCAGACAAACATATGACGTACCCTTCTTGTTCTTGCGCTTGAACTCCTGTGCGAAGTGGTTGACGAGACGGTTGTCAAAGTCCTCACCACCCAAGTGGGTGTCACCGGCGGTGGCCTTGACCTCGAAGATACCCTCTTCGATGGTCAGGAGGGACACATCGAAGGTTCCTCCTCCGAGATCGAAGATGAGGACGTTGCGCTCGCCGGTCACCTTCTTGTCGAGACCGTAGGCGATGGCAGCCGCGGTGGGCTCGTTGATGATACGGAGAACGTTCATTCCGGAGATAGTACCAGCGTCCTTGGTGGCTTGACGCTGCGAGTCGTTGAAGTAGGCGGGGACAGTGACGACGGCGTTGTTGATCGTGCCACCCAGGTACGACTCAGCGGTCTCCTTCATCTTCAGCAGGACCATGGAGGAGATTTCTTCGGGCGACTGCAGGCATCGTTAGCAATAGAAAAAACCCAAGTCGAACACAACATACGAATTCTTTTTGTTCACCGCGGTACTCCACTCGGATGTAAGGCTTGCCACCCTTGCTGAAGACGGTGAAGGGGAAGTGCTTCATATCGGCCTGGACCTCAGCATCCTCGAACTTGCGTCCGATGAGACGCTTTGCGTCGAAGACCCTATGCATGAAATCAGTACGGCGATCTCGATCGATCATAGCCAGGAGAGGACGAACGTGTTCAATGGGTTCATCGCGACCTGATTTTTCGCGGCATCACCGATGAGACGCTCGCTGTCGGAGAAGGAGACGTAAGAGGGGGTCGTGCGGTTACCCTGGTCGTTGGCGATGATCTCAACACGATCGTTTTGCCAGACACCGACGCAGCTGGTGAAGATCAGTCAAGGTTGCACGAAATAAATAGTCAGACATACGAGTAGGTCGTGCCCAGGTCGATTCCAATAGCTTTTGAGGAAGACATTATGATGAGGGGGGAAGTGGAGTGATGTAAAAACTGAAGTGGACGGCTTCCAGCGGCCCAGGTTATATACAGCTTCCATAGAAGGTGCGCGAAAGGTGTAGAACCTTGAAGAACGTCACGTGATATTTCCTGGCATGCACGAGAATTTTGTAGGGCTGAGTAGAATTTCTACGACAGCCTCTATCATCAGCCTCAGGGGCTTTTGACGACTGTGTGCATCACCAGGTGCTATTTTCTCCCTCCCTCTAGCAGCATTCACTTGATAGAGACTAAACCGACATGCATTGATCTGATGACGTAGTTATCGTCTATGTCTCAAGATGTGACATTTCACTTGTTCGTCATTGCGCATGTCGCCGCACGGATCTGTGCTTGCTCACTTGTTTCTCAAACGGTCTTTCTCGGTATCAAGTACACTGCTAGAAGTATAGAGCCTGCATTTTGCAGAATCACTAAGATCCATCTGCGATATTTCGGATCGTCACTGACAAAACCTGACTCCCGGGGCTCGTACTACATAGGTCTACGCAATAACTCGACGAATGATGCCTACTGTTAGCCGTCCTCGGTCACATTTTCTCTGGGTTGATATGATTTTGATCAGTCTTTTCAGGTAGTTTTCCCGAAATTGGAAAACCAAGCTTCTTCCAGGTATGAAGCAGCAGCCTTTTTCCGATTAGCCTCACGCAGAGTAAAGCCTTGGGATGAGCAACGTGAGGAGTAGTCCTCTCAGTGATGTCTTGTCGAGTTTGTTGATACGCGCCTCGCTCCCGGCATTTGACTGTTCGCATCATTCATCTACTTCGACCACCCACGGCTTGACCACCACTGATTGTTGAGCGGACCTATTATTTGTATTTAATACGGCCCCGACTGGCTCTTCGAGTGACTCAGATTGACTCCCGCTTGTTCGCGCACGACTCATATAAGGCCGGGACAAGATTGACAACAGTGCTTCATAATCCGTCATGCAGACTTTCAACGACATCTCGTACATCAGCGAAGAGTTCGATCGCCTGCGCGCATTCGATCTTGTTCTTCCTCCCAAAGTGGCCGATGGGTCCCCCATGGTCGTATTCGTTCATGGTGGTGCCTGGAAAGCGTAAGCAGTCTCGTTATCCTCGTCTTCCCCCCGGAACAATTGTGTCCAGGGATGATAAAGCGAGTCATCTCTCATTCGCGACGCTGGTCGCACAAATAACGTCCTGCGCCGTACTCGTTCCCAATTACCGTCTCACGCCGAATAAGATGACGCCTGAGAACGAGTTCCGCCATCCCGGGCACTCTGAAGACATTCTCCGATTCCTCGTCTTCATCGCATCCGGTAGTCCATGGCCGCATGTTCCCGGAGCGACATTCGATCCTGCGGGTCGCAAGCTATATCTTATGGGGCATAGTGCAGGAGCCCACATTCTGTCATCGATCTTTCTCGACTCCCAGCTGCCATCGCTGTTGCCCTCTCGATCTGTGCTCGAAGCCACAAAAGGCCTCCTGTTCTCAGAGGGAATATACGACATCGATATGCTACTCGCCAGCTTCCCGTCCTATCGCAGCTGGTTTATCGCCGACGCTTTCGGGGATCGCTCTTCATACGAGAACGTTTCTGCCCTCCGGTTTCCGATGCACAAAGAGAGCGGTTCTTGGAAGTGGCTGCTCGTCCACTCGAAAGGAGACACACTCGTAGATGCGCAGCAGGCGAATGCGATGCACGCCCATCTCTGTGCTTCAATCGGACCTGCTGCGATTGAGGATGTCAAGAAGAATGTCGATCAACTCGACATGGAGCACGACGATGTGCTCAAAAGTGCTTACTTCCTCGAATTGGTGCGAGACTTTGTGATAGGGAGCGAGTAAAATGCACATCCAATGTATTGTATAAAGAGCTGCGTCGACGAGAAGAATAATAAGGCATGGCTGATGGTGTACAGATAGCAAACAGACTTCAGACTAGAAACCGTTGTCCAGGCTGCGGTGGGCCTGCAAATCGTGCATGACTGTCGGATCCACTGCGAACGTTCGTTCAGACATAGATTCCTGATTTGGGAAAGGACCTACCAGGCAGGACAGACTTTCTTCTCACATGGGGCCCATGAGACGGTGCCTCCATCTCCAGCGAGCGCTGCACCAGGGCATTAGTAGACGCAGAAAGTGTCACGGGGCTATACGCACATCCACACCAGGATCAGCCATCGGAACTCGTTCGATGCTGTGTTCATCTAAATTTGCCGACATGTCCTCGATGGACACGGCGTTCAGCTCCATTGAGAGGTCGAGAATGTCGATGTCCTCGGCGGTCGGAGGCGGCGGGCGCTGTATTTCAACATATCCAGCGGGTAATTTGCCTTCCGGGGCATTCTGGATGGCGATTTCCCGCATCTTCTGCCATGCGTTGTACCGCTGGACAGCATGCTCTTGCTCCCTGATGGCTTCTCGTTCAGCAACAACAAGAGCGGTACAGCGGGAAGACGCACTCCATCTTATTCTGTTTGTATTGATGCATTGAATCATCGAACAAGTCCGGATTGATTTCCATGAAGAGTTTGAGAGCGTTGTAAACCATGCCGTGGATGGTTCTGCAGCTGTGTGAGTAAATGCACCTCACATACTGCACGAAGGGACTGACCGATTCCAGTGAGACTTGGAGTTGGTGTACAGAGCAGGGAAAACAATCGGCAGGATGACAGGCAGATTGTCGCTCATGAGATTGACGACATACTCGTTGTTCCAGTACAGCAAAGCACGCTCTGCCACCTGGAAGTGCTGGCTGTTGATGCAGCGAGCAAGCTGCTGGAAGAGCGCCACCTGGATCTTCTGGAATTCGACAGGATCCGTCACATCGAGAACCTCCTCCACCTCATTCAAGAACATGACTTCCTTCGGGGAGTTGACTTTGGGCCAGAACTTGAGCAAGCCCAGCATAACGTCTTCCGCTAGGCCCGGATCTTTCTCCAGGAATTGCACCACACAGTACGCCAGCTGTGGATGATACAGAGAAAGGCTTTTGACCTTGTGTAGCGGAATGAGAACGCGAGTGAGAAAGGTTTTGTGCTCTTCCTTCAAGGGAAGCGCAAAACCATTGATAATGGAACCAAGAATTTCCAGGAGTTCCGCGATGCCGTTGTGTCGTTCCGTTTCGTACACGAAATGGAAGAACACATTGTTTATCGATCGCCGAATGAAAGCGCGCAAGTTCAAGAACTTGCCATATATGCGATGGAGCGTAGTCTTCAGGAAGTCGCGTTCGCGGGGATCTTCCGAGTCGAACAGCTCAAGCAGGCTGAGCACGAAGCCTTGGTCAATGTGACGTTTGGCCAAGTTGGTGTTGAAATCTGGGCTCTCAACGAAGCGCAGGAAGAATTCGTACACGATCTGGAGGTGTGGCCAAGCCAGTTCTAAAACCGGCTCATCTTCTTCCGGATCAAAAGCGTCGCCGGTAGGATTGACCGGTGGGGGTATTGAACGGAAAAGGTTGGCCGAAAACTGGCAAGACAAGTCAGATTAAGGAGACAGTTACATCGATGGAACCGACCATTCCAACGACCTCTGAGTATAAGTTCTCTGTGATGACCCCGCGCTGCGTAGAGACATAGTCAAGCAGTTCATGTAAAGCCTGCGCTTTGACCTGCTTCCCTTGGAGATCTGCGCTAGCATCATTGAAGTCAAAAAGAACGCGGCATTGATGAAGCTTCTTGACGAAAAGTTGCGGTCTCTCGCTCGGGGGAGTCTCTGTGAAATAGTCTAAGTTGAATGCTGCCGGACGTGATGTGAAGTATGTACATACCCATAAACGGCGGGAGTCGCTGAATCTCGACCTTTTCTGTCACGACGAATCGGCTGCTACGTTGTTTGCGGGGTGGCTTGCCCACAATGGGGATCGTATCCTTGGCATTGGCGCGTAAACGTGACATGTTCGAGAGGCTGGCGCGAGGCGGCCCTGCGAGATCGTGCGCGCCGCCCGGTCGCTCCGGTGTACTGGGCTGACTGCTGCGGTACGACTGGTCATGAGACGGATCGGCGCTGACGACAACAATGGGTGGCGGGGTTGCTCCATTGGCATCGCTTACATGCCGACGATCTGGTGTCGAGGGGGCGGTCGACTGAGATATTGACGACGAAGAGTTACTGGAGATCTGGCCTGGGACAGGCAGCGGCTTCTGAGTGTTGGGAGGAGGAGGCGGCGGTACTGAAGATGAGGATGTCTTTGATTCCTTTTTGGAGGAACTCGAGTCCCCCGAACTCTTCCTGTTGAGCTGATGAAGGGGATCAGCCACGAGTGTACGAGTAGCCCAGGGACACAAACCAGATTCAGATTTTTTTTCAACCCCTTCATTCCAGTCGCGTCGACGAGCTCAGAAGAGGGTCGGTGGTGATGCGTGACTGTCACAGGTCATGAGGTCAGCCCTGTATCTACTGTTATTCCAGTACTCTCTCAAGCGCTCCAGAGACTTGGACTAGCATTAGATCAGCAATAGCGAAGGTCTACACTATTCGAGGGCTCCCAACTGTGGTCGTTGAGAGGCCGAATTGACTACGAGCAAGCCTTAGCAACCGGTAACCGGAGGTTGTGAAGAGCAGGGTTGACATTTCCCACGCGCTAAACGCTACTCTTCCCTCCTCACCATGGCGGGTAAGTTTTGCTGTGCCCATGGCGAGCCTTCAGCGCTGAATTTTCTGGAATCCAGCCATTTACTCAGTATATACATCTCCAACGCATCCTCCAATACCCAATCACCTCCCCACCCTCATTGTCACCCCTCACGGTGCGATTTATATCTGGTCGTAGATTCCGCGACTCACAACAGAACAGGTCAACCATCCAATATCCTGTATTCATATCTCCATACGAACTTTGTCAGTATCCCCAATCGCCGATTCATTATCACTCATCGTCCTTCAGAACGCAGAGAACTATCTCTTGACCCCCTCCCCTCAAGGCGATCTATGCGTCGCCAAACTATTCCCTCCTCGTCCCAAGGATCCAGTCAAAGGCTCTGCGTCCGATCCTGGTCATTCAGGGACTTCCTCTCGTGTCGTGCGCTGCGAAGCTTCCCGGAACCTGAAATGGTCCATCGCCAACACAGGTGTTATATCTCCCATTTACAAGCTCTCTCTGCCTTCGCCAGACTCGCCGGATCTTCCCTTGTTCCAGGTCTCAAAACCGAATCCCAATGCAGCATTTTGGAGCATGTTCTATTTCGCTTACGCCGGTCACAACATCCCACCCAAGCGGATCGAATTTGGCAAGATCCAGAAGAACCCTCCCGGCCCGAACGGAGGTGGCACACGCATCAGCATCACAGGGAAATCACCGGAGGAAAAGGCCGTATGGCAGACTCTCGGAGAAGGTAACGAGGATTGCGTGGAATGGGTAGTGCTCTGTGCCGCTTTGAACCTCCTCGAGTGCGTTTGTAACACTTCCCGTTGAACCACGCCAGACTCAGTCATTCCCGAATCAGTGACGAAATCATGAAAGCTGCTGACAAGAACCCCGGTGGACCGCCTCCCAGCGCGCCAGTTCCAGTTTCCCTCCGAGACCCTGGCCCATCCTCTGCACCTGGCCCTGGAGCTGCACTTCCGCGTTCGAATAACTCTTTGCGACAGGGTGGACCGCCCAATCAAGGACAGCAGCGACCTCCACCTGGTCCAGGAGGCCCTCCTCCACCTGGATCCATGCAAGGTCCACCGATGCCGGGTCCACCGATGATGGGTGGTGGCCCACCCCCTCAAGGTCCTATGCTCCAAGGTGGGCCCCGCCCTCCTCCCGGGCAATTCCCGCCGCCAGGACAGCGCCCTGGACCTGGACCTGGGGGACCGCCTGGTGGATTCCCTCCTCAGCAGCAACGAGGCCCCCCTGGACCCGGTGGACCACCTATGCCAATGCCAATGCAACGGCCTCAGGGAATGCCTCAAGGAATGCCGCCTCAAGGAATGCCGCAGCAAGGAATGCCGCCGCAGGGTATGCCTCCCCAGGGAATGGCCATGCCCGGCCCAGGACCACGTGGACCGCCTCCCTCGCAAGGTCGGCCGGGGCCGGGGCCGGGGCCGGGACCAGGACAAGGGCCTTATGGACCGCCGCAGCAAGGATATGGGCCGGGACCTGGAGGGCCGCCGCGCCAGGGGACGCCTCAAGGTGGGCCGATGATGAGGCCGCCACCGCAAGGAGGACCACCGCCTCCCAACGGATATCGAGGACCGCCTCCTGGGATGGTGGGTCCACCGCCCGGGCAGATGCAACAAGGCAGAAGATTTTAAAGATAATAGCAGCACCCTTTCCATTGACATTTCTCGTTTCTTTCACGTAACTGGGGACGATTCTGATTCGCATGTTTATTATTTAACGCTATACCCAGCGGTTTTGCTACACCAATTTTTCCAATGCATCCAGGGACAGAGCTGTTCAGGTTTATCAGCGACTGGAAACAGACCTTCGTCGACTTGACTCACATTTCGGCCGCTCAAGGGGAAGCCCCAAAGCTGATGCGGTCGTTAGTTACGACTGAATGCGACGCGGAGGACACTCACCCCGTGCCCAAACGAGTTGAGTCAACGCTCCCAACGCACGCGACACTCCGAAGATGACGGTGTAGTACTGTCGGACGCTCAGCCATCTGCGTCGCCAATCTCGCCATTCAGCTCACCTTGAATTCGGTCAAACCGTAATGGTGGAGCACACATCCCGAAGTTGCGTCTACGTTAGGGTACGGATTCTTGGTCTGCGGGCGAGGTCAATTGGGTTTGGAGACGAAAGGAGGTATTGCCAGACCTTGCCGTGCTCCTTCAACACATTCGGCGCCACTTCATAAGTCTGCAGAAAGCTCAATCGGAAAACAGGCTCTTTCTTGCCATCAGCCGAACCTTCTTCACGAGCTGGATGATCGGGCTGTCCTGCAGATCAGAACGCGATTCACAGAATTCTTGCAGCGCGATGAAGCGTGGGTCGGGGTTCCGCAAAACGCCGTGGCCATAGCTGACAGCCGTCAGCTCGAGCAAAGAAAGAAAGACATGGAAGCGGACCCGGGGACGACCTGTCCGCTGTTGAGCGTCTTCCAGAGGTACTCCTTTATTTGCTCGTGGGACACATCGTTGCCGATCTCGGCCTGCATCAGGAGCTGCCAGCGCAGAACCTCTTGGTTAGCCAAACTACCGAGGAGTTTGAGTACAGCACAGAGCAGCGAAATCGGACATTACCCGTGGAGCGGTCCGGCCAGAGCAAAGAGAGCGGCCGAATACGACAGATAGGGGTCGGATAACGTCGATCCGACCAGATCTAGCAGTCGCCATCAGTCCGTGGGACAGGCGCAGGGCAAAAGAACACACGGGCGGTGTGAGCGGAAGCATTTCCTCCTTCGTGATCGCCGTGCAGCGCAATGTACAGTCGCAGGTACTCAGTCAAATCATGGTTGTCGCCATAGCCCAGGAGCGCGGTGTAGTTGCCGATCAAATCCAAATCTCGGTTTAGTGCGGGCAACGGCGTTCCAGGCTTGTATACGTTGCGATAAATCCGGGCAGCAAGGGCGGGAAGACGAGCAATGAGGTTGATCGAATCTTCGAGAGTGGGCTCCCAGTACTCGGACTTCTTCATCCCCTTTTCGTACGCACTCTGGAAGACGCTGTCGTGGTTCAGAGCCGCCACGCCCATCCCGAGTTGGGTCATGGGGTGCAGAGTCGCTGGGAATCTGCCTGCGGTTGAAACCAAATTTGGAACTTCTGTGCAGCCACTTACGAGTCCACTAGCTTCTCCACAAACTCTGGCAAGTCTCCCTTTGACGCCAATTCAGCAGACAAGGCCCGTGTTTGCTCTTCAGTCGGAACCTCGCCGGTGAGCAGGAGCCAGAGCATACTCTCTGCAATGATTTCCTTGCCACCGGGAGCTGCCGGCAGAACCTTCTGGCAATCAGGGATGCTGAGTCCGTGGAAGCGGATTCCCTTCCGGAAACATGAACGTATGGTCCGGTAAATCTTACGACTGGCGCACCTCGTTGGGATCGAGGACCGACGCGTCCCACAGCATGGCCTTGAGCCCGCGCATACCCCCAATGATATTTTCAACCTTGACTTCGCCAACCACAGTTTGCGAATGTTGCATTTTCTGAAGAGGTTGGCCGTCCCCTCCCTACCATAGCGGCACCCGGCATACCAGTTTCTTGAGCTGTTCTTGCTTCTTGGGTATCACCTCCCGCAACGTGTCCTTGAGGGACTTGGTAGACGCGAATCTTTTGGATCCATTCAAGGTCCACTGGCGAGACGAAATGCGGGCTCGGAGCATGGCGGCTGGGAAGAAGCAGGGTGGAAGGCAAGAAACACAGACGGGCGTGTCTGTTCGATGATAATCACGAGCCTACTGTCCAACAAGAAGCCGACCTCCGAGGAAGTAGACCGAAAATGTCATGGGGCATGTAATCATTTATGATCATGGTAGTAGAGTGTGGGGAATGACAGCCGTAGCGATCCGACCCGGCCCGAATGTTTGTCTCTGTTGCTCAGCGCCTTCACCTCCGGTCAGTGCGCTGGCCACATCATATAATCAATACAGTGTAGCCTTTCACCTCGACCTTCGGCCATGGCGTCCTCCGTTCTTGCCCCCGTTCTTTACATGATCATAGTCTTTGGAGCCTTGGCGTCTTCGCATATCGGAGAAACGCGACCGGTTCGTAGTCTGAACTGGGAGTCAATCATCTGTTCTTGACGCGTCTGCAGTCAAGGCCTTACCACCCTACTTTCCTACGCACGCAGAACGGAACACATATGTCACTCTACTCCAGAAAACAGATCCACCTGCCTCCGACCCGTTGCTCAAATCCGCGCTCCTGCGTCGCGCCATGGCCGATGTGCAACGTGTCCTCCGGCTTCGTGAAGACAAGCCTGCGCTGCAGAATCTGCTGCAGAAGGGCTCAATAGGAGATGATCTATGGAACAGTCTCCTTGCTGCAGAGAAGGAACTCGAGGCAGAGATTATGGAGGTCGTGGCGGAGGCGAACACGTTTGCGCAGGGATGGGGCCAGGTCATCTTCCCTACAGCGAACGAGATGATCGCGAACGAGAAAATGCGCGCACTCTATGAGACTTCTGAGGAGGCGAGGCAGGCCCTCGGTATGTCGCCTAATATGGGATAGATAATCGTAGCAGTCATTCACTCGGTGATAGCATTGAAGAATACCTCGCAGCCAACTCCCTTGTCGCTTCCTGTCCCGAGTGGTGCCACCAGTGACACCGAAAGTGTAACTTCACCATCGACACCTTCTGTACGCCTCGCTGCTTGAAATCCGTGCCTGTCTGACTTGTAGCAGAAAAAAAATAAGAAGCGTCGGTGATTTTGCACTTCGTTGTACAGCTTGAATGTTTGTATTTTCCTCGAGAATATTTGATGATACATCTAATCGCAATGAGGAATTGGCTATAAGGGGGAGAAAAGTACAATGTTGACAACAAGTGAAATGAAAGTGAGATGAGCACAAGCTCTGGGCACGACAGATCCAGACACTGGATCTATCGAATCGTCAATCCTGCCCCTCCAGCACCAATTCGAGTTTTTCCAGACTTGTCAGCATGATCCAAGCCGAGAACGTCTTCAGGAGCAAATTGGTGATCATAAATCATGTCCTCTTGGGGGGTGTCAGTGGAGTCTGAGCAGTTAGAGCACGTCCGTGCTTACCGTCCTCAATGTAAGACGGTTGCTTGAATGTCGAGACCTGGATGATAGCAAAGCGATACTTGGCAAATTCCCTGTCTGGAACTCCCAGTCGAGCTTGTAATCTCTTCTTGGTATCCACGAATTTCTCGCCCTTCAGCATCTCATGAGGGGTGGGCTCGGCAAAGATATCGCAAACTTACTCGTTTCACCACAAACTTGAACGGGACACCGTGTGTTCGAGACAACTCTTTCGAGAAATGGAACACGCCTATGACCTTGTCCAAGTCGTCGGCTTCGAGTTCTTCTCGGGGTACCTCCTGCAAAGAAGAGTCGCGTTAGTTGAAAGCAATCCAATGGAGAACCAACTGTCACATACCTCGGCGTACAGCTCCACAGGCTCGGGGATGTTTCCGATCATTTCTGTCCCTGTGAACTCCTTCTGAGTTTTGCCATCCTTGGATATTTCAAACACTCGGATCTTCTGAGTGCCCCCCGCCGTTAGCGTGACGTGCTTGGCAATGTTTTCGGCGAGATCGTTGACCATGCTCGTCTTTGGTAACAGGAATGGATGTGTAGCTTCCTCCTTGTTGTGAATGCCAGTCCAGATGACCTTGAGGCTCCTCTTGGTTTCGAGCTCAACGATGCTGACGTCCAATTTCTCGTACAGAATAACGGTCGTCGTCGGATTGATGTAGTTTGGCGCCATTATCTCGGCGATGCTCTGGTTCAGCGACCGTTTCAAAATGGATTTGGGTACTCCATTCGATGCATGGGTTGTTGTGAATCGCAATTTGATGGGATCATGGCGCAGATACTCGCCCGTCTTGGTCGACATCTGGGACAGATTAGTTGGTCACCTGCTCAGTCACAGGACGTATAACTTACCGTCTCATAATTCTGTTTCTTGCTGAGCACCAGACTGAATTCTGGATGGTCATGATCCACTTCCTCAAACTTGGGTCTGAACACGACCATGACCCTGTTCTGCAGAAAGTCGTAGAATTGGATCGGATTCGAGTATAGGCCTTGGCTTTCGACCCTGTTATGTCGTATGAATCAAGGCTGCAAATGATCATTATGCTCACTCTTTCTCGGACATGTCGACCTGGAAGCAGATGACATCGCCGTCCTGGATCTCGCTCTGAGCAAAGGACAACTTGGGCTTCATCAACTCGATCATGCCCGGCTTGATTTCCTGCACACAAACCAGATGAGCTGGGCAAGCAGCGGATCACGGGGAGCACTCACCTCGTAAAGCTTGAGTGGCGTCCCAGGAGTCCATCGCATCCGTTCGTTGATCACATGTGTCACTTCGGAGACCTTTGCTGATCGGAGCATGTAAACTTTGCCGGCGCCCAACAAGCTCTGCTTCGAGGTATCAAAGTGCTTCAAGAACACCATGATGGATTGCGCAGGTGGGTCCGGCTACAGAAATCAAGACGAGAGCGGGACAGCCGATCGCTCACACGCACCTTCGAAGGGTCGGGGATGATGTCCAGATATAGCCTTAGATCATTCTGCCGGGCCGCCATGTTGTTTCGGATCACTTCGACCGCTAGAGATGTCGGTCAACATCCGAACCACAATCACAGATAACGGGGCACACTCAGTGTCGGCTCGTTCTCAGGGATGGGGGTGTCTGGCCGCACAGTTTTGTTCTGTCGGTTAACTAAAACCCACAACCGGACTTGGTTTTCGGGGTAGCCAAAATGTTGGGCGACTCGGGTTTTGAATGTGCTGTACGTTTCCTGCTTGAGAACACGGAAACTGGGCAATTCTGACGGAGGCCAATTCTTCTCGTCGAACGTGGCCAAATCGAAGCCTTCGTGTCGAGAGAATGTGTCATCAGTGATGACCTGATGGCTCAGAGATGAGAAAGCGTATTGGGTCGTGAAATAGACCATGCACCTTGGCCGTCAGGAACAAATGCTGCTCCTCTCGCTCCCTTTTCTTGGCCTCCATCTGGAGCCTCTCTTCATCCAACCTTCGCTCTACGGATCTCGGTCAACAAGGCGAATGGACGAAACTGCATTCGACATACTGAGATGAGCAGGCGTGTCCTCTTCAGTGAACGGCGCAAGAATGTCGTCCATGGCAGACTCGCGAATGTAAACCAGCATGTAGGCATTCGTGAATCGCTTCAAGGCCCGAACTTGATTGCGCTGAACGGCAGCCAAGCCCTGCGCTTCACCGCCGTAGTTATCTTCTAACACCTCTTTATCAGTCACAGGCGTCACTCGGTCGTCGTCGAATTTGAGCCAGCGCGTTTCACGATCAGGCTTGATCAGCGCGAAGTAATGACCGCCGTGCAAGTCCCCAGAGTGAACGAGAACCCCATGGAGTTTATAGACCCATGGCTGCGATCGGTCGGCACTGGCATCCAAGAATTCTCCCAGGTCGATTTCGAACGGGAACTCGTGGCGGTCGTTCACTTTGACCATTGCGTCTCGTTGCATGTCGTACTCGAAGCGCTTGAGCTGCAGATGCAACACAGGTGGAAATGACTCGAAAATGATTCCTTTCTTCGCATCCTGCAGGCCGAAACCCTCCGCCGCATACTTGTTCTCGCCGTCCAGCATTTCAACAGCAACGTAGTCCTTGAACGACTCGTGGAGGTTCTTCATACCCTTTACGTTGAGCTGAATGTCTGTCATGTTATTGAGTTTGGTATGCAGGTGGCATTGACGCGTGAGATGCACCGTTGAATTCCTCAATCCTCGACGACTCATAGTCCACGTTGACGCACTTGATATAACTTTTCATCTTTCCGACGAAGAGCTTCGCGATGGCGCCTTCAGCTTGAGTCCCCTACAACAGCGCTGAGTTGATAAGGCCATTAGCTGCTTTTGACCAACTCGCCTTCATTTTCGACTCCAATTTGTCTTGCAAAACTCGGTTGAATTCTTGCACATCATGTTGAAGGAAAGAGTCCAGAGATTTCCATCCAAATGATTTGGTCAACTCGGTTGTGCCCACGGGCTGGTCCGAGTTCTGGAGATGATAGAAGACTCGTTGGAGTGCCAGTGCAACACTCTCGGTGGGTGAATCATCTTCGGTGGGTATCTGATATACAGCCTGTATAAAGATGGATAAGAAAAATGAGTCGTGGGTAGTAAGAAACATACCCTTCGAAGTATCGCGTGCAGTACAGAGATTGCAACAGAGAATTCATATAGCACGTGGCTCCCTGATTCTTCAGCCCAACATGCCCCGTCTCTTTCTTCGAGTCGTAACTGACAAAAATGAGCAAGATGTTGGAACGATTGGTCCGGACTTCACTTCACAAAGTTGTGCCATAGCACGCCTGTAGGATCTTCTAGAACCCGAACATAAACAGTAACGTCCGCGGAGTCATCTTCGATCGTCGCTCGGGAATGGCCCTCCTGCTTGTTGAAAAGTTTGCGCAGTTCGCTGAACCGAGTGAAGCCCCAATCTGATTCTTCGGCGATGAACCGATGCTGCGCATCTGACAAAGGTTCAGTATTGACAGGATCGAAAAGAATGGAAGGAACTGCTGACGGCTAACGGTGTACACAGTGGGGTCGTGGATGTTGGAGATCACAAGAGCGAACTGGGCACAAGCATGCCATCCCTCGGGTGATCTCTTGGGCTCGGCGTAGTCAAGATACACGGAGACCGTATCGTTTGGAGGAGCGTTGGAGTTACCGAAGGGGAACAACAATATGCGCCTTCATATATCGGTGTTCAGAGGGCAAAGATGGGAGGATAACCGGACACACCAATTGTGACCGCCGCATTCGAATTCAGGACTCGTCAGTTTCTTTTCCAGCCTATTCCAATTCTTCAAATTCCACGTGAAGACCTGAAAATCTTTGACGTCGAGTCCTAGGTCGGGTATGTGCTTGGCCGCGAACGCTTCATCTGGGAAGCGATGACGACACCAAATTAGGCGTGCACGATAACGGCGAAGGAGTCCGGCTCACGATCTCGGACAGAAACGACCTCTTCAATCTCCATCGAAGGACCACCGTTCGCCTTCTCGTCTAGAACCTCCACCGTAGACTGAGAGGCGCGCAGAATTTCGTCAAGCGGACGCGCACAAATAGGAAAATACACGGACCATTCCCAGAAGTTGAATAGTTGGTGCAATGTAATCGAAGAAGAGCTCGAGTCAGCCTTCCGGGATGATATCTTGGGTGGAGTGCTCGAGTGTTGTGGTCAAATCTCTTGAGTCGTCGGCGTTGTTCTGACTAAGTGGGGATCGTGCTACACAAGCGTCAACAAAACTGCTAGGTACTCAGTTTGTTCTTGTCATCACCTCTCTGCTCTGAAACCGGTGGGGTTTTCGAGATGGACGGACCTTTGAATGAACTGGCGAAACTTGAGCAACTGAGTACTGAAGGATCCGGTGGAAAAGGAAAGACTGTATCGGTGATCGAATCCCTGGACTCACTCCTGGAAACGCTGCGGGCAACAAAGGCAGAACTGGAGCGCGGTTCCGCCTCCCAAACGCTCCCTCTCCAAGTGCTTCAAGCTGTGGAAGCAGGGAAGAAACAGGTCGAAGCTCGCCAGAAGGAAGTGAACGCGTCGATCTCGCGACTGGGGAAGGCTTTGGACAAGGTCTCGGGCCTACCATCAATTCGATATAGCGACGGTGAATGACGACTTCCCAGAAATTCCCCTCCAGCCTTCCGTCATACCCGAATCTCTTCGATTCTGCGACATCAAAGGCTGCCTTGGAACGTACTATTGCTCTGCATCTCCTGAGGACTGGTCAATTCGACACTGCAGCAACTTTTATGGTGGTTCGCTCTCTCTCATTAATTCCCTTCTCGCTGTGATCTGGGAATAGGAATCTAGTGTTGACATTTCAGCGGAGCTGAAAGCCCAATTTATCGACTTGCATGGCATTCTCCAAGCCCTACGAAATCTAGATATTGGACCTGCGCTCAGGTCTGTCATCTACCGGTGAATTTGCATGTCTGATTCTGATGCTGTCAAGCTGGGCGACTAAAAATCAAGCATTTCTTCAGGATCGCGCGTCTCCACTCGAATTCCACCTACACCGGTCTCAATACATCCGACTGATGCTAAGCACGCATCCTCCCAATCCTATACAAGCCATCAACTATGCAAGAGAAGTCATGGGGCCATTCTTTGAAGATAACAAGGAAGAGTTCCAGCGCCTTCTTACTTGTGTTGCCTATCTACCGTTGGCGAAACTCCAAACGTCACCCTACTCAGATCTGGCCTCACCCTCATTACATTTTGATCTGGAGCCCCTTTTTGCCAAGGAGTACTGTGCCAGTCTCGGGATGAGTCGCCAAGTTCCTCTGCGTGTTGTAGGGGACATTGGTGGAGGCGGTGCTCTAGCGAGGATCGAGAAAGGGCGGAAGATTATGCGGGAAAGCAAGAGCGAATGGAGCCAGGTGGATGAGCTCCCGGTCAGTCGCACACACAAGCCCGATATCGATTGGCTCATTCTCTGGCAGATTGAAATCCCTCTATCAGCAGAAAATCGCTATCATTCGATATTTACGTGTCCGGTCTCGAAAGAGCAGTCGTCGGACTCGAATCCTCCGATGATGATGCCTTGCGGCCATGTTGTTTCTCGAGACAGTCTCCAGAAGCTCAGCAAGCCAGTTGGAGGGTGACGTCTGTCAACCCACGTGTTTGCACCTTCACTTACTTGTTGACCAGGTTCGACCCAATTGAGCGACGAGTGAAGTGCCCATATTGTCCTGCCGAGTCAACACAAGGCTCAGCCTTGCGTGTGTATTTTTAATCGGAAGATCGGTGTGATTTGTACTACATACAATCAGTGGCGTGTTAGGGATACAGTTGGAGAGGTTTCGCGTGAAATAGGTGTCGCAAAGAGCAGGGGCATCGCAACGGGTCAGTAAGTCGTAAGTAAGGTAATAAGTAAACGGCGGTGTCTAGGCGGGCCGCCAGTCAGAGTCCAGACCACCCACCCATGGCACCAGCAGTGAGCTGCCCGGACTTCGAGACCGGGGAAGAGAGTCCTGGGGATCGCGTGAGCGGGATCGTGAGCCAAATGCGCTCAGCGGAGGACTGAGTGAGCCCTGCACAGAATCAGAGCGTTGCAGCGCACGTGATCTGGCTGGGAGAGTGTCTGAGAGACCCACAACGGATGAGCCAGACGACAGCGAAAGATTGAGACGGGAGTGGAATGACCCATGCTCAGACGGAGGGCCCTGGGTGTCGTGATACTTGGCTACACGTGACTCTCCAAAGGTGAATCTGTGCCCAGGTCCTGCATTCGACTGGACACCTCCCAGTTGTCTCCACGAGCCATTAGCACCGGGAGGTGCATCATCTAGAGTAGGGTGCACCAGTCGCACACCACCACCGAAAGCGGAAGCGGGAAGAGGGACCACAGTTAAATTGGAACTGCCGAAAGTGCCGAGTTGGTCATGTGATGGGGGTCTGCTGAATCCATGCTCAAACTTGTCCCAGCTGCTGATGCTGCCATGATCTTCCAAACCGGGTGGCCCGTGCGCATAGGCACGCTGCCTCATAGGCGAGTTTCCCGTTGCAGGCGTTGTAGCCATGGTCGTGTGCGACTGCCGTTCTGTCAAAGACGAGGCCGGATCAGATGTGGGATCAGAACTCGAGGACAATGAATGCTGAGACGAGGACGTGAATTCCGCCAATGCAGGGGGCGCTGGTACGTCCAATGGATCCAAGTTCTCAGCGGCAGGCGTCGATGGACTCCGAATGGAACGATCTCGAGAGCTCAGAGTTTCTAGAGCATCGGTGTAGACAGTTCCTCCGCTCTTCGCACTGCCCGTGGTGCCATCAGAGCTCATACCGCTGAGGCCACTTACAGGCCGAGAGGCAGCAGCGGATCCAGCCAACGGCCGGGGAATGACAGCACCACCCAAGAGCGGCAAGACGGACCGACTGCCAAATTCACGCATCTCGTTCTTGGGCACAGTCACCAGTTTAGGTGGTGCGCCAATTGGGGAAGGTGACGACAGCGGCGACAACGAATTGGAGGGGGAGTGACGACCAGCATCGAACAGGAGCAGGCCACCCTCTTCCGCGTCCCTTGTTCGTTCATCTCGATTCCACGAAAAGCGGGGGATCCACGATCGACGGCGTTCCTTGCCTTTGACCCCTGAGTCCGCTTTCGAAATCAGTTAGCCCATTGTCGATAACGACAAGAAGAGACTGACTCAATTCCGCCGTTGCAGCTCTGGGAGAAACAGCCACACGACGGGCAATAACGACTTGCCCAACTTCATCCCCCAGCTCAGGCTCACTGTCCTCCGAGCCCCGGGGCAGAACCTCTTCCTCAGTAAGCACAGCAAGCTGAGAGGGAGACAATATCCGCCGACTAGTAATTGCGTTTGTCTCGGCTGGTACGATCGGTTGAAGCTGACCCGGCGGGGCATCGAACGGGTTCGCGCCATCTTCCTGAGGAGTGAAAGACAACGAAGGATGCGCGAGCACGTCACCGTATCCGGAAATGTTGGTTCCTGAGCTAGTAGAGCTAAAGCCCGTGCCTCGGGAGGAAGCCGAGTTACGGTTCACATCGGTAGGTGGGCTAGGATGAGGGTTGGGTAGAGACGTCAAGAAGGGATCCGCTTCAGTGGCTCCTTGTCCTGGTTCTGTGCGCTGTCTCGGCGAAGTCGGAGACGGAACCATCAGCCAGTCCACATCATACTCGTCCGTGGACCCCGTAGCGGGAGTGACCATTGTAAACCGAGTACGAGGTCGAGGTTTGCGCCGGCGCCGTTGCACAAGCGAGGTGAACTTGTGTTCGTCTTTGTCCTGTCAAAAACATCAACATCAAATGAAGCTATGATGGCTGGAGAACGAGCCTCTTCGCGCCGGAAACGCGCGCATAACCAGATGGCCAACAGAACGATCACCATCAGGCTCAGTATACCGCCAATGATGATTCCGGCCAGTTGTCCATGATTGAGGGAAAGATGCGAGGTAGAGTGTCCATTAGACGGAGAGGCGGAGGTGGAGGATAGTGGTATGATAGTTGAAGTGGAGGATGCGGAGAGTGGGATGCTTGTGGACGGAGCAATTGGAGAAGTCGAAGAAGGTAGCGCTGGGGAAGAAAAGAGAGATGGACTTGAAGGGATAGATGAGGTAATCGTAGATGTAGGCGTCACAGATGTTGATGAAATAGAGGACGTGGTCGGAGTGGTTGCAGGGCGTGTAGTCGCCGTGGTCGTGGGTGCGGGACTGGTCAATCCTCCATACGTCCAATCAGTTCCAAGTGGTATGCTGGGACCGTAATAGGTCAGTGGCAAGTACACCAGAGTCGTCTCTGTGGTTCGTGGCAACGTGATTGTCGTGTAGGAAAGCCATGCGGGGAGTTCCTGAGTTGGTGCGGTCATATTTCAATGCGTGCCTTGGATAGGCGTAGGTTTTTAGTTTCGAAAAATAGCAGCGTAGAGCGAAAAGACAGAGAGTGGCGGAGGAATAGAAGAAAAGGTGTGCGGATAGGTAGATGGGGGATCAGAAAGGGTGGGGCACAGTCTTTACCTGAGCGCGAACCGGCGCGCCTCAAGGCACCACGTGATGTTGATTTGCAGGTGTTTTGCGATTTGCCATCACGGTGAACTGAACTTCACGCCTGTTCGCGTCCCCCTTTTGGAAGGCTAATACGCGAACACTCATGCCCTACTCTTGGTCTTCACCTTTTAATGACCTTTAGACCAACGAGGACCTCACCCGTTTCCAAAATCTCAAGTCTTGCCCATTCATTGCTTGAATCCGGGGATTTGACGCGATCGTCTGCGGTTTCGATTCAGGAGCTCGTTGGTTTAAGCACCTACGATGTCGAACTCATAGACGCCATTGTCGACCGTGCTGGACCAGAATCGAGTACTTTCCCCGCCATATTCGCTGCATACAACGCTATACTGAAGGAATGGGACGTGGATCCGTCGGAGGTCATTTATTATGGGAAACTGCTCAAGCTGGGGACGTTGAAGGGATCCAGTTGGAGTCAGAAATGGCAGGCAGTGAAGGAGCAGCAAGGATATGGGATCAGAGCTGCACGCACGAAGCGGCGAGTTGCCCCAACGCTTCCTCTCCACTCTCCGGTCTCTCCCTTTCCTCGCTCGCTGCAATTGGACGATGATACCACGGCGAGCGAAAGAAGTGAAGCACGCTCTCCAGCTCCGCAATATCATCAGACCAGACGACGGGGCTTCTCACCTACGCCATCCGAACAAACCTCGGTAATCTCAAGCCCGAGTGAGTATCTATCGCGGAGGCACCAACCTGCGCCACTCATGCGGATTCCGGCCGGCAGCGACCAATCCGACACAACGGAAGGCCCCGCTGTTCCATCAACGACTCCGCCCTCATATAGAGCGATCATGCGTGATCCACCTCCTGTTTCGTTGCCGTCCAAACGACCGAGTGCATCTTCTCTTGCTGTGGCACGAGAAAAGCTTGCCCAGGTCAGACAGCGCGGTGGAAGTGTTACGAACGAGGACGATGCCTGGAAGAAAATCAAGATGATCGAGGACGAAAAGCTTGCAGACAGAGTGCGAAACGAGAAGCTGGTCGAAAGGTGTTGGGATGTATGGAAACAAGGTTTTGATTGGATTGCAGTGAGTACTGCGACAGCGTCATTTGTGTCAACGCTAACCAACCCTTAGACCACCAGTGATCAGGTTGCCGATGCTCGGGACAATGTCACATTGCGGCTTTGTATGCATCGATGGAAACTAAGGGCGGCCGAATCCCAGCAACTGCAAGACCGTATTGTCCGTCTTGCAAACCAGCGCGTTTTACAGTCCATCTTCAAAGCATGGAAGGCCAAGGCCAGAGAACGCGCCCAAGCACGTTGGAGGGCCTCTATGCGAGCGAAAATGAAGACCGTCCGAGATAAAAGGGAACACAAGCTTTTGATGAACGCCTTCGGGATCTGGAGTGAACGCTATCGAGCAAGATTGGCTGATCAGCACTACGTTATGACCTTGCTCGTCCGTTTCTATTCTCGCTGGAGGCACCGTTTGGGGCATTTAGAACATCTCGACGACTATGCCCAATCATTTCTCAGGACATTGGATAACGGTGTGCTAGAGCGACGATGGTTCTACTGGAAGCATGCCGTCCAGCTTCAAATGGCAGAACACATGGTCGTCCGCAACGTCGCTCTGAGACTCAAAAGTCAAGTCTTGGACATTTGGCGAAGGAGATTGTAGGTGGACGAAAGCTTCGCCCTCGAAGAGTTAATCGGCTCATTTCGGGACAGGGAAAACAACCATGTTGCAGACCTTCAGCACCAGTCCTTTTTAAAGAGGCGATCCATTCTTGGATGGAAAAAAGCTCGGCACAGGTTGGAAGTCAGTAATTTTCACCTCGGTCTACCACCCGCGCTAATTTCAGTACCAGTTCATGAACGAGAAGGCCATCATGCATGTATCACTGAAGGACGAGCGGCTATTGAAGGCCAAATATTCACTAATGCGAATTCGATATTTCGGCCGGCGCTTGGAGGTGATTGCTGGACAACGAGGACTGGTCGATGCGTGGAACCTATGGAAAGACCAGTTACAGGCAGCCAAAGCTCGCGAAGGTGAGTAAGCGACCAGGAAAGATAAGGATATCTCTGACATCATCCAGCCATTGCAGTCGCCCATTCTCTCCAAACCAACTCTGTGTTGGCTGTATCTGCGTTGGAAAAATGGAGGAATGTCTACTTGAGCCATCAGAATGCTCAATCCTTCGCTGACCAACGGTACGACTCGGTGGTGCAAGCCAAGCTTCTCTTCGCATGGCGAATCAAACTACGGGAAAAGTACAAGTTGATGCGTCGGGCTCGTGCTTTGTTCAACCACCTGGTGCTCCGATCAGCCTGGGGTCGGATGCGTGAAAGCTTGGCAGAGAAAAGACGTGTCAACAAACTGAAGCTCGTCGAGGCTCGCAAAGTCCAACGTGTCTTCGTAGGTCAGGAATCCTATACTACTGCCAGTTTTCGTGGGGTCTTACTTCTATCTCAGTCTGGCGAGAAATGGCTTGCAGGATGCAGAACATGAGACGGGTGCAGGCGGTGGTTCGACTGGCCATATTGGAGGTAGGATTGCTCTTTCAGACTTGGCAGACGCTGAAACCGAGCAGCGAGCCCTGCGCAAGTGGACCGATCGGACCATAGAAGTGAAAAATCGCGAGTTACAGATCGTCCTCGATCGCAAAAGCACATTACTACAGAGGACCTACAACAAATGGAAGTGGGCGCGCGGTCGACACATTGAGGAGGTCAGCCTTTTAGAAAGTTACAATCTTGTCAAGAGAGAAGGTGGGTTCCTCAGATGGTCGTTGCTCATCTGATTTGACAACATGCATCAGAGGACATTCGTAAAATCTTCCATCGCTGGCTAGCAGCTGCTCGTACAACGCGGCATCGCCGAATCACTCTGGAACGCAGGGAAGCTGAGATGCAGCTGAGCATAGTGGCTGTGGCTTGGGGAAGGTGGCGAGAGCAATTCAAGAATCGACAGCTCCAGCCCATTGTAAGTGTCTCCCACGTTAGGCAATACTGGCCTCACCACAGAACAGGAATATGATGTGATCTTGCAACGCCAGCATAATACACTTTATCATGTGTTCATGCTGTGGCAGTCGAAGGCTCAGGTTTGCTACCTCCATTTTTCCATACCGGCGACGGCATTGACAATCTCAGACTCTGCCTGCTATCCGGTTCAACGCTAGGCGTGTCAAGACAGCACATTGGAAGATATGGCTCCAAGCTTTACCTCGTGCTCTCCAACACAAGGAGGCCAAAGAAATCGACAGGAGAAGAATGCTCAGTACGTGTCCAAGTCATGAAGCTCTATTTCGGTAATAACATCCTTTGCAGCAAAGTCTCTCAGACACTGGAGTGAGGCTTACCGGACCAAAATTGCCCTCAAAGCAGTGGCGTACGTCTGTTTTGAATGCTGATTATCGAAACTAACAAAGCCCCAGGAGAGCAAGATATATGCGGCTTCCTACAGCCATAAAACACGTCCCAGCGCGATCAACTGTCGCTTCTCGACCAACGATCCCTGCGCCCGCCACACGCAGTGTCTTTCCGCGTCGCAGGACCAACACTGAAGATCAAAGTAGTGTGGGGAGCGAGGATGAAGAAAGATTCACCGAGCCCAGTCGCTGGCGTCAGCATTCGCGACCAAGAAGTGTACGTTCAGAGATTAGTTCTCCGAGACGTCCCCAGCCCATACCGGTCACTCGCGCCTCGAGTCCGGCGCGATCCACCTTTGCACCCAGGTCGGTCATCTTCCCCCCGCGACCGTCAAGCTCTACTGCAGGTGATGACGGTCGGGCGCCAACCAGTCTGCTGCACGAACTTCGTCAGCTCCAAATGCGCGGTAAAAGTCCTTCCGAGCGATCACGAACCAGAGAGCCACCATAAGTCTCCACACCACCTCTGCCCCCGCTATTTATCTCTCTATTTATGGCACGTTTGTAATTCTACACCCTTGTACATTATGCTGTCGCATTGCTTTTCATCGAGCTGTCATCTGTGTTCACGAATTTTGATAGTATTGCCACCCAACCCAGTTTGCAATCACGAAATATGCTGTTGTGGGTATCAAGAAGAGAGCGAAGTACTTGTAATGGTCGTCTCTTGCGAGCGAATCAAGTATCTAGAAGTGATGAGCCATGAGTATTGCTTCAGAATGACGTTGGCTACAGGAACACCAGTCAGCGGGAGTAGTCTGCTCAAAAGAATGGCATAGAGGTTGAAGCAGAAGAACACAGTGGATGACAGTAGGATGAGGTGACCCGATTTCATGAGACTTGGTAGGAAACAGAGTTCGTCAAGGATTTGCCCTTGTTTACAAAAGGATCTGGTTACAACTTACCTCAGCCCTCACCATTCAAGCGGCGCCATGTCTACCCATTCTCAGTATCCCGCTGAGCACTCTGAGAAACGCGTCGATGATCTGGATCGCAGTACCGTCACAGATGTGGAGGGGAACGATTCTCAGGCTCCCATTCGTCCCGCGGACTCCTCATCTCTCTACGCGGGTGAGGATTCAGAACCATTTGAGTTGGTTTGCTCCTTCTCGCATGAGGCCACTGCCTGATACAGCTCAGAAGGTCTACAGCCCCTACCCTGTCGCCCAAACTACCCGAAATCTCTGGCGGATTAGAGCTAGACCTGGACTCGATACTGATGCCCTCTAATCCGGAGCCAACTCCAGCGCAAGTCTTCAACCCCAGTGGAGAACTCGCACCACTAACTCTATCTAGGACCGATAAAGTGAAGAAAAGGGCTAGCAACGTTCTAAAGCTATCTCAAGAGAACGAGAAGCTGAAAGCAGAGCTCAAAGTACGTCCTCTACGCTTCTGCATCAGAAGCCATCGGACTTACCCTCCGAAGGCCATGTCCGATCGACTCGAGGCCGCCGAGCGACGTCGGCAGCAACTAGCGAGGAAAGAACAACACGTAGTTGAGCCACCTACGAGCTAGACCATGGCGCGAGAAACAGAACCGGAACCGAATGGATAATGACGACAATTGTATTTCTCCTACCCCTGCGGAATTGTGTACTATATATTGGTATACCCAGAGTGCTCAAGCTGCTTAATTTTGAATGTGCGTATGCATCTGGTCATTATTTTAAGCCCGGACCAAGTATTTGAGATGGCTGATCGGCTATGATCATGACGTATGGTAGATAGTATCTCTCCACGGACTCCGAAACCGACCGGAATCACTTCTTATAAGTACAGTCGTTTCGGCATTCACCACCACCACGACCTCAAACTCGATCATCGATGGCGACCTCGCGTAGACCCTCAGACCGCAGACTTTCGGACAGACGCAACTCCGGGATGTCATCTCGACGTCCCTCCATCGACCCATGGAGACTGGTACCCATGGACAAGTAGCTCGATCCCTCACTCTCTCTCTCATCGTTCTTTCTGATTTCGTCCACAAGAGCAATCCACATCGGTGGATCGGACGATTTCAATGTCCTCTTCGTTGGGGCTGGAAACATCATGTTCGGTCCGCGTGGCTGCCCCGCAAAATTTTCATTTGCTAAGCTCGTCGTGCAGGATCCGATGAGGGCCCTTGGAACCACTCTTTCCGTTTCGAACAGTGTGTACTCTGGGCGAGTCGCCGTATCGTTCCATTCACTAAGCGTCCACAGCAAGCTGGGACGGCGTCTCAAGGTAGTCGCGTTGATCGATCCCGCCATCGAGCGGGCGACTGCCGTCTTGCAGAAGAAATGCGACTCTTTCGTCGTCTCTGCCTACCAAGACACCCGAGTCTTCAAAACCCTCGAGGATTTTGTGAAGGCCATGTCTCCTAAGGATCGGCCTCGTGCGGTTATCGTCGGCAGTCCCCCCATGTTCCGTGGCTCTCTTGTTCCAGGGCGCGACATTGAGATGCAGATTTTGAAACACTTCCCCGGCGTTGCTATGTTCATCGAGAAACCTGTCGCCACCGGTCCACACCACGAGATCGCCGACGCGTACACGATTGCCAAGACCATTCAAGACTCGCAGACCATCTGCTCTGTCGGGTACGAGACCGCGGATTGGCTTGTCGTCGTTCTCATCTTTGAGTAGATATATGCTTCGGTATCTGAAGGCCACCCAGATGATGAAGCAGATCATCGAAGAAAACAATCTGACAGTCATGGCCACGATCGCGCGTTACGCTTGCGCGTACGAAGCGATCGCAAAGCCCGATTGGTGGGACAAGTCAAAGAGGTTGGTCTTGGGCGGTTCTTAATCTTGTTCTCAACGTCTTCTCACAGTGCGGGCCCGATCGTGGAGCAGGGGACTCATTTCTGTGATCTGTCGCGCTACTTTGGAGGAGAAGTGGACATCTCGACCGTTTCTGCGCATTCACTCGAATGGGACGAGAACGCTGGCCACCTGAGCAAGATGACCGTGGATGAGACTAAGATTCCGCCCGAGAATCGGATCCCCCGTGTGACTGCTGCGACTTGGTACGTTCAAGCCTCTTGAGAGATTCGTATGATCCAATCGCAGAGCAGGAAGTACGAAAGCGGGGCCGTGGGAAGCTTCACGCATGTCGTGGCGCTCCAAGGAACGGACTACAGCTGCGAGTTGGAGGTGTACGCCGACGGGTACCAACTGAAGCTGGTGAACCCTTACGTGCAGCCCCTGCTGTATATCCGCAAGCCTGGCGACGACCACGAGCAGATCGTGCGGTTCCCTGATGACGATCCCTTTTTCTCGGAGGTTTCGCACCTCATTGACGTCATCGAAGACATTGAAGAAGATCCTGAAGCAGCCACGATCCTCAGTTCCTACGAAGGTGCTCATGCCAACCGATAAGTCGGTCACAGTCCGTAACTCTTTGCAGATGCAGTCAAGACGTACGAACTCACGTGGACAATCCGTGAGGCCAGCGAGCGCTCGCGCGCCGAACAGCTCGCCAAGCAGAAGGCTGCAGCCAAAGCGGCGTGAAAGAGTCGTGAGACCAGAAACTAACCACTGTATTCAGTCATGTACTAGATGTTGTGTGTGATCATCAAGATCAAAGTTGTACGTTGCAGGCATGTGCTGTGATAATGATTCTGCGTCTTTGTTTCCACCCGATAATCATGATTGCCCCTCCTTGTGCTTTCCCTTATTGCTCGATCTCCGGGGTCTGCAGGCCCACGTTTGCCTAGAGCTCTTTTTCAGCTCGATAATTATGCATGTTTCGGATCCCCCGCTCCTTACGCCAATCATTCTGCCGTACTCCTCTCCTTCTGTGGGTCCCACTCCTCGTTCTGCCTGGGTTTCTCCTCAGATGTACCTCAGCACGTCCTCCCTCCTTTCAAAACACTCGAGGATGTTGCCAATCACACCTCGGAAGGGAGCTCCGTGGTTCCTACTCGTCGTTCTTCTGGGTCTGCATGGCCTGGCTTTGTGCGTGTCCCAACTGTTGACCCGATGCAGATGCTTAATCAGTTCTAAAATCTCTAGCCTGGCCCCGAGAAAGACATATTGACAAGGTCTCTATCATCGCCGAGCGTTCCTCCATTACGGACGAGGCCAGGATCGAAATTTTGGGTGTGTTCAAGCTCTTGGGAAGTCCACCCTTCGTTTGACTCAAAGACTCGATAGGCTGGGCACAGCGTGAAGCCACTCCCAGTGCTCGCGGAACCCACTTGGTATACTAACGTACGTGTTTTAGCAGCGCAGTGAGACATACGCGCACGGTCGATGCAGTGTCGGTGATCAAATCGCGACGGTTCTGCATCTTATCGACTGAGAGCTCATTGTCCCTAGATTCAATCGCACGGGGAGGGCTCGAGTCTCCAGCCGACAGCAGTCTGCCATCATATGAACCTGTTTGCTGGTCGACCTCATTCTAAGTTGTGCATAGATGACCCACGGCAGCCGCAAGGTCAAGAATATTCGGTGAGTCTGCCTGCTCTCTGACAGTCTATCAAGAAAGTTACTAGTTTCAAACAGCGTCTCCCTCCGATCGTAAGCTTGTGTCTGATCGCTGGCCCACAACGCTCATCTTCAGTAGTCATCATTGGCCGCCGAACCATCCCATTGTTTCAATCGAGACGTTCTTCCGCCTATAAGCGTTACGCGTCAAGATCGTGCCTGCGCTCACTGCACGATGGAGGAAAAGATCGAAAACGGTCGCAGAATGGTGCTCTCGCAGAGATATTCTCCATCTTGTCACGCTGGGCGACGACAGATCCCCACCCCTCTTCCTCCATCTCACGGACACACTATGATATCATTTCAACCTGTGGGATCAGATACGCCCTCTGAAGAGCATGCTTTCGGCGTCTCAATGGCGGATGTTCTCAATTTCCAGCCTTGTCTCGTGGATCCTGATGCCGAGGTTCTCGACGAGCAAGTGGCTCAGATCTTTCTGACTCTTGAGGCCAAGGGCTACTCGACCTACATGCAGGAAATACCCGTCAAGTGCACTCACCGAAGAATCTCCCGCTTTAGTCTCGCGTATGCCGTCGCTTCCAAGTTCGATGCGTATTTGAAGGCGAGCAAAATTTTAAGCTATTCGAGATTCGATTTCTCATCGACGCAGGACTTTCCCTTCAATCCTGCGGGCGTCAAACCAGCATCGATCGTCGTCCGTTCGGTGGATGAGCTACGAATGGTCAACTTGTACACACGCGACGGAAGAGTGTGGCGTGTCCATGTAGCTTACCATGACTGAAGATCGTCATATTAGCACCTGTACCAGTATGCCTTTCAAGTTTCCCGCTTTGCTTCAGAGTCCTCTATCGCTCGTTTCCGTTTCCGTTCCATCCTTGCTTGCTCCCTGGCGCGAAGGTCTTCGAACTCCTTCTGCAGGTGGGCCTTCAGTGTAGGCATATTTTTCATCACCGAATCGCATCGCCAGCATACGAGATCTTCTTTGAGCACGGGCTCATAGTGCCGTTTCGGCTCAAGTTGACTCATCTAATACACAATCCTTATCAGTCGCAGTCAGAAACGACGCGCGCGGCCACCCACAGAGTTAAAGTAGGAAGGTTCTGCGTCAAACCAAGAGAGAACCTCGTCTAAGGACAGGAAGAACCCAAGCTTCGGGTGGAAAGAGTTGTAATGTTTCTTGTGCTTCATGCGATCAGAGCACAAGTCATCCGACAGAACGTGCAGGTGCAGATGACTGGGCGAAATCAGAACACGGCCCGAGAGAAGGGCTAATTCACGGACTCCATGGACGGTGCTCCGTGAAACCCGGTCCAGATGCCCCACTTGAAGCCATACCGCTCAATCATCTCCTTCTCGATCTCGTCCCGCAAACTTTCGGCCTCGGTGCGAAGTGAAGTAAGTAGTTCCAGGGCTCGCGTCTTGTTTCCCAAAAGAAGACGAGGAAGGTGAGAAAGTTCCGATGGATTTGTAAACGGCGCGACTACGCGAGGAAAAACGAGAAAGTGGAATATAGCTAGTAAATTGTTCTCAGTCTCAGAATTTTACAGTAGAGTCTGTGTACATTTTGGGAATCCATCAAATATCGTGATTGAGGAGGCAGAGCTGGAGAAAAGAACTGTGGGGGGAAGCTTCGAGGGATTTGTAAGTGCGTAAGTGCGAAGAATGGTCAGTTGGGACATGGAGACTCGAGGGACTGTCGTGGAGAATGCGTTAATTACATAACGTGACCGTTTCATCAGCACGTGTCCGATGTTGCTTATCGATAATCAGTCCGAGCGATCTCCTTGAGTTTAGACTTCGGAGCATGAACTGCGTTTGACCGATGGATCGGACTACGACTGCCTCAATACCAGCTTCCATATCTCGATCCCTTCCCATTCCTCTTTGTCCCAATGGCATTGGCTTTTTTTGAGGGCCATCGAGACCTTGCGTGGAGGAACCTGGGACACGGAGAAATTCCAGACACCTGCAGCTTCAGATAAAAAGCGATCGCAAACGGCCGGATCGCGGCGTTCGAGACAAATGAATGCGACAGATGGATGGGAAGGGAACATTTTCACCAGCGCGTGAATACTTCGAAGAAGCGGATCTATGAGAGCCATGGAATACACTGTGTCCGCCGATATCACATAGTCAAAAGGCCGAGGCGACTTTTGCTCTCCGCCGTTAGGGGAGCAGTCTGGAGAGGCAATGATCGTGGAGTTATCCCATATCCAGCGGTCTGGGACAACGGTCCAGTCCAGCTCACGTACAGAGATCGTTCCGCTATTGAAAGGAAGAAGTCTCGTGTTGCTTTCGATATTTCGGGCCAGATTGGACGAGATGACCCAGGGGAGATCCGTCGCAATGACGTGGCAGCCAAGATGTGCCAATGACAGTGCGGTGAAGCCTATCCCGCTACCCAGCTCGATGACACTCGTGTCCTTCGACTTGACTACTCCAGAATGGATCAGGTAGGCCGACAAACATTGGGCGCCGAGCCAAAGGGCGGTGCCGTTGGAAACCCCGTCGTCTGATTGCCCAAGCTGGAAAACTGTGGAGGTCGAAGGTAGCGGATGTGGGCAAGCAAGGACTTTTGAGTGTTTAGTGTGGCTGGCAGGAAGCATCTGAAAGTGATTGCAGCCGGCGGCGCATGATGATCAAGGTGAACCCTAACCCAGTGACCAAGATGTGGTTGTAGCCTGTTGCCTCGTTCTCGGGCATTCAGTTGGCACTTGCACGGCGGTTCTCTTATCCGTGTGCATCTTCTCTGCCGTCGCTTCCGCCACCCCTTCTCGCGCGCTCTACGACGGCTATGAAGGCCTTTCTTTCCCGACTTCACATTGGCTCCACCAAGGAGAAAGAGCGAGACGTCTCCCCGGCACTACAGAAGGAAAAGTTCCCCCCGCTGCGTACATGGCCGCCAGCACCGATGGCACGTTCCAACTCGACACCATCTTCGACCGCCGCTTCGATCACGAAACCACTCCCTGAGCCCGTAGTCCAGGACGATCCCTCTTCATCTTCTGATACCACGACGCCCACACCGGTCTACTCTTCTCCGACTCCGACGCCACGAGATGAAGACACCATCTCTCCACTCCCGGAACGCTCTGAATCCCCACGTGCTGAACCAGACTCGGCTGGACGCAGCTCCCGAAAGACAAATGGAAGTGTTGTTACGGCCACGGGAAGCGACATTCAGAAAAAGGTCGCATTCAAGTCGCCACCTCCAACGCCATCTAATCTCGATCGCACCTTGCCTGAAGCCCCACCTGGTGCTCCTTCATCCTCCGTGCCACTCAAAAATTCTGTGTCACGTTTCCAGGCGACTCACGGGAAGGAACCTCGTGGCTCTACTTCATCCGGCGCGTCTTCATCCAAGGTTGACCTTGTATCCTCAGCAGGCAAGACTACTGCCAAGTCGAACTCGACGCGTGCTACCTCGCCGTACCTACAGAAAAGCCTGGAGATCGGTTCCAGTCAATCGTTGCGCTCGGGAACGCCTTACTCTTCCATGTCCAACACCACCAGCGGCAGTCGTATTCTCTCGGCTACATCATGGAGCGAGGTCACAGAGGATGACCTGGTATCGAACATTGGGTCTCGGGAACGGACCAGACAAGAAGTTCTATTCGAAATCATATCCAGTGAGGAGAGGTAAGTCCATTGGCATCATATCCAGCCTTTCTGTTACGACCGTTGTCCTTAGATACGTCCAAGAACTGGCGAAAATGAAGGACACATTCATTGATCCTCTGCTCCATCCTTTCTCCGCACCGACCGCACAGCTTTCTTCCACGCCCAACCTTGACTACGATTTCTATCGAGCAGAATCGCCGGCAGAATCCAATGATCACCTTCCCCCCATCGCTGCACGGTTTATGTCTCCCAGTCCGCATCCAGGGAGCACCCATTCGCACAAGGACACTCCCAACATCGACGGCGAGTCGCAGGACACGGACGACGAAGATGAAGGCACGGACCATGTTGGCAAGGGGTACTCTTCTAGTCGCCAGGGGCAGCTTGCGAAGCAGAACCACCCACGGTCGCCATACCGCTCAAATGGAGTCAAGACGGGTGGCAAGTCGGTTCCCTTTCCGTCACGGTCACACCATTCGTTGCCGCCGCCACCGAGGGCAACTGGGACTGGGTCCACCCATTCTCTGGGCCGTCATGCGTCGGTTGCTGAGCGCGAACGCAACTACAGCCAAGGCCAGGCCTCGATGGCAAAGAGCACAGCAACTAGTGCCCGACCGGGCATGCTTCGCAAGCTCAAGAAAAGCCAGACGAACAACGACAGTCCGCTCGGTGATGCCGTTGCGCCTAATCAGCTGCCCGAAGACCTAAGAATATGTCTTGAGGTCGTGGATAGCGGTGTGTTTGAGGGGCATCGCAGGCTCTCCGAAGCACTCAAGAAACGCTACGACGATCAGTTCCCGCTTGTTCGGTCTCTCGCCGATGTGTTTGTATCAAATGTGAGTGTTTGCAGCTGCCCTGCTCCCTATCTTCCTAACAGATATCCAGTCCGATATATTCCAAGGCTATGCCACATATGTGCTCCACCTTGAGCGTGCACTCGAGCAAGTCGACAACGCACTGTCCAACGTCTCCACGAAGAAGCCCAAGAAACAGGATGCAGGCGAATGGCAGAAAGTGTGCAAATTTCTGCAAAAGCTGGAGGAGAACGCGAGCGAGAAGGGCGAGACTGGCCTCGCGATAACCATTTCGAAACCATTCCAGCGTCTACTCAAATACCCGCTTTTATTCCAGAACCTGCTCTTTCACACGGATCCGAGCACTTTCGAATACGAAAGCACCTTGCAGATGGTAGCCGAGGTCGAGGCCATCGTTCGCAGTATCGAGGACGAGAAGATCCAAAGGAAGAGCGAGACAAGACGAGAGATGTGTTTGCTCGCATCGAGGGCTTGGACAAAGTGAAGCAGTTGATGGTGCCCAAACCATCCCGTGTTCTGGTGGAGGAACGGCCGTGTCCAGCCCCAGGCAGCTCGACGAGTCCCCCCAAATCAGTGTCGCCGCCGCCAATTGTTTCGAATAAAGGCGTGCGGGGCAAGTCCTCCTTCAAACGGTTGAGCGACGTCCTTCACACTGGCTCCGGCATCGGCGGCAAGAAGGACATGTGGTTCGTTGTGTTCAACGATGTTGTTCTACAGTGCCAGCGCACGGGCACAACCTCGTTACCTCTGGTCTCGGCCACGTACTCGAGAACCAACTCGATGCCTGAGCTTCAGGGCAGATCCAAGTACGCCACCACTGGCCGAAGGAACTCGCACACCAAGCCGAGGAACCTGTACAAATTCGTGAAGGTGAGTATATGGGTGCTTTCTTGTGTACTCTAACCACATTCTTCAGATCGAAACTTGGGCAATCGGCGATGTCGTACAACCAAGAGAGGGCGTGGTTTCGATGGAAGAGTGCGTTTGTGTGCGGTTCAGCCAAGCATGGAAATTTAACATATTTGCAGTGTCGCGCGAAGCAGAGCTCAAATGCAGCAACCCCGAATCGTTCCAATGCCTGATGAGGAGGAGGAGGAGAACACTGATTCGGACGATTCGGACCGGAAGAGCAAGATGAGCTTCTCCTACTGGGGCGCAGACAAAATCACGGTCCAGAAGCCTGTGATGAAAGGCAAAGTGGCTATCCCATCTGTCAGGCGTGGCGCAGCAGCTGGTAGTGCGTACAGTCGGGAATCGTCTGCGAATGCCAAGTTCGGGACCCGTCTTGTGTCTGCTGATTCGTCCCCCACCCCTCGCCCCGCCAGCCGGAGAACGGCGACAACACCCACCTCGCGTCGACCGGCAGTGGACGACAGCAACGTGAATTATGCCAAAGCCCGACCCGAATGGAATCGATCGCCGGTGCCTGTGGCTGTCAAGCGGTCGCGCAACACCTCTCAGACCAGTGCGGCGGCAAGCTCGACACGATTGGCGACGAGCAAGGGTGTGGCATCCCCGGCTCCGTCTGAGGACTCTGGTGTCGGTCTCTACCGACAAATGCTGGCTCAGGACCCGACCCTGAGCCGATCGTAGTATCATATCCCATATCGTACCACAAAACGCACACACATTCACTCACTTACCATGCTTTCCCGCTGCTCGATACGAAACACTCCTTGATAATACCACCTTGATTTATTCCACGACCCAGCATGATAACCACATTAATATTCGTCGGCCACCTATTTACTTTGCTAGATTTATCCCATGTAGCGATTTTGGAATTCTCTTCAGGACTCGTATGCTGCGTTGTGGATGCTGACACTTCTCCCTGAAGGATCCGAGGCGCAGCCCCAGTCGCCTCTCGGAATCCAGCGGACGGCAGTGCTGGCGGCGGCCTTGGTCGGGTAGAATTCTATCCAGATGTCAGGTCAGACCCTATCGGGATTGTAGCTGCAGTCGGTCATACCATCGAAGATTTGGCGGATAAAGTAAGCCTCCTTGGTGGTAGGAACGTCTGAGGGCCATCGTTCAGCGCCTTTGGCAAGGTCTTCGTCCGACACCGCGGATTCCGCGTAATCTTTGATACTAGAGAGCGGTCTCAGACATGGTCTTGTCATCCCAGATAGGCGGCTTACCCATCGATCCAAGAGTAGCCCACTCCATCAGAAAACTGTTCCTTCTGTCTCCAGAGGATCGATGCAGGGAGGTAGGGCTGCTCGCGACGTGTCAAATCAGATGATTCAAGCTAAGCGAAGAAGCTCACCTTCCCATCTACGGATACGTCGAACGCTTTCCGTATGATGTATTTTTCCATGCGAGGTCTGCCATCCTCGTCAACCTGTTGCTCAGAACCTTTCTGGAACATCTTTTCCCGGGGGTCGACATTCATCGCCGCCTCAAGGAAAGACTTGTCCAGGAATGGGACACGGGCCTCCAGACCCCAGGCCATGGTCGACCTGATGAGCGTACGTCAGCAGAATGGCGATAGACATGATCGCTGCACCGACGCACTTGTTGGCACGAAGACAATCGGAGGTGTGCAGGTTCTTGACACGTTTGACACACTCCTGGTGGAACGATACGGGATCCGGAGCGGCATGGAAGTACAGATATCCTGCAAAAGATAGAACCCGAGTTCGGAAAAATCGGTCACGAATCACCCACCGCCGAAGATTTCGTCGCTGCCCTCGCCGCTGAGAACCATCTTCACACCCATCGCCTTGATCTTCCGGCTGAGAAGGTACATCGGGGTACTGGCGCGGACAGTCGTTACATCGTAAGTCTCGAGATGGTAGATGACCTCGGGGATCGCATCCAGTCCTTCCTGCACAGTGAACGTGTATTCGTGATGGGTCGTGCCCAGATAGTGGGCTGCCTTCCGTGCCGCAAGCAGATCAGGCGAGTTTTCTAATCCGATCGAGAACGAATGCAGCTGTGGCCAAGCAGCAAGCGTCGCTTAGAGACATTAGACATGCGAAGATTGGGCCGATCAGGGGAAACATACCTTGCTCATCGATCATCCCTGTCGGAGTCGTGTTGCCGCTCATCGCAGTCTGCAGCTTGCGTTTCCGTATCTCGTACTGCGCTTGTGCGGCCTTTTCCGTTTCCCTGGACGCTATTGCCGCGATCAAACTGCTATCCAACCCGCCGCTGAGCAGTACACCGTAAGGGACCTCAGACATCAATCGCTTGCGGACAGCAGCCTCGAGTGTTTCCCGAAGGAGCGTCAGGTCCGCCGATGTAGTTGGGATGGTCGCTGCCGGTCCCTCTGCATCTCCTTGCCACCACGACGGCGTGTAATATCTCGTTGTAGAATCATCCTTGCTGTCATAGACGTGTCCTGGAGGAAACGAAACGATTTTGTCGCATTCATCGACCAGTGCCTTCAGCTCGGACGCGAAGAAGACAGCCCCAGGACGCTTCGAATCCCAACCTTGGTACAGCGTCGTGATTCCGATGGGATCTCTTGCGGCGATGACCCGGGAGGGAGTAACAGATTCGTCCAACAACACGAAGGAGAACATCCCATCTAATAGGCCACACAGTTGCTTGTCGTACTTCTTGTACTGATAGAGGGATTGAGCACCGTCCAAGATAGAGGCAGATGTGAATTACTAATGGGAGGATGACTTCACAGTCAGAGTGGGTCCTGAACTTCATGTTGGGCCCCAGGGACTCGCGCAGAGCGATGTGGTTGTATATCTCCCCGTTGACAGTCAACACCATCTTCCCGTCTTCACTTAGTAGAGGCTGCGCTCCGGTATCTGACAATATTTCAAATTTCGGTAAAAGGGCCGATCGAGAAACTCACCAACACCGACTATAGCCAGACGCTCGTGCACCAGGATGGCTTGCTTGCCGACATGACATCCTGACCAGTCGGGCCCGCGGTGTCTCAACCGCTTGGAGCATGCAATGAATCGCGCGCGATCATTCGCCGCTTTGTCGATTCCGTGAACAGCGAAGATTCCACACATACTGGTTGGAGACAAGAGTTGAAGACGAAAGGGTGAGTCAATTTAAAACATGTCAACTGTCAAAGATAAGATTTGCGCAACGTCTTTTGATCGCCCGATAATCAACAGGTGGGCAGATGTGCATCATGATGACAGGTGTATTTTACGTTTTCACAGCCGCGCTGCGCTCGTCGCACTGTTTCTCATCATCCCTCCACCATGCCGCGCCGAAGATCAGCACCTGTCGACGTAGATGCTGAGGAAGCGCTTGGTCTAGCAACCGCGCAGTCTGAGAACGTGTTCCTTTTTGTCCCTAATCTCATCGGCAAGTTTCCAGCGCTGCCATATTGGTTGGCCTTACTCATGGTCGAGCCACTCTCGTATAGGCTATGCCCGTATTATTCTCGCCGGGTTCTCTTTGCATTTTATGAGCTATCATCCCATCTATTGCACGATTCTATACTGTGTCTCGTGTCTTCTTGACGCCGTTGACGGGCAAGCTGCGCGCGCACTTGGGCAATCGTCAAAGTTTGGGGCTGTTCTTGATATGGTCACAGACAGGTCCGTTTACCCACACCACCAGAAACTCTTGTTGAACCGAATGATTTCAGGTGCACCACATCTTGTTTGCTGTGCTATCTGTCTGCCGCGTACCCCGATTTCGCGCTCGGTTTCCAGCTCCTCATCTCGCTCGACTTCGCAAGCCATTATATGCACATGTATAGGTGCGCTGCTGCATTAAGAGTCGCGATGCTTATGTTTAAACAAACGCAGCTCCTTGGTGACCGGGTCGAGCAGCCATAAAGATATCAACGACGACGTCAGTAAAATTCTGGGATGGTATTATACCAACAAGGTCGGACCAGAAGCTCTTCTGAATCCTTAACAAGTCTGATACATGATTCAAGGTCAACCTCTTCCTGGTTTGTGGAGGGAACGAGGTGTTCTACGTCGCTTTGTACCTCATGAAGTGGACCTCCAAACCCGCCGGCTTCCCCGTATGGCCAGAACTCACGTATGCCGAGCTCCTCGCTCTTTTGACACTCCCGGTCTGCGTTGTCAAGAACATCATCAATGTTGTACAATTGTGGAAGGCATCCAAAATCCTCGTTGGGGTGGATATTGCAGAACGAAAGAAGAAGAGGAAGGCATGAGGGGTTATACATTATTTCACATAGATATCCAATAAGTTCTCGACAACGAATCCTGATTGAGCACGAAACGGAAGTCACAAGCAACTTGGATATCTGAAGCCCAAATTTGAAGTCCAACGTGAGCTCAGAGCTAAACGCAAAATGCAAGGCAACTCATTCTATCACGTGCCGACACTTTTTTGGCTGACGCCAAACTGACGCGCCGGTCGACTCAACCACCGCTGGATGCGCTCTCAAACCTTCATACAGCGCTCTAGGTCAATATTGAAGACAGCCAGGGCCGCAGTCTCAATCCGTGACGCTGGGGCCAGTAGCGCAAGACCAACGAGACGAACTCCGCTCTCGAAGCCTTCGCCCTACAGTAAACGCCTATCCTCTACAACCCCCGTCGTCTCCAGCGAAGCCAGTCCGGAGGATGCACCGGATGCCTCAGAACCGCCATTAGCATCCGAGCCTCCCTTGGAGCCACCAGAAGCTCCTGAGGAGCCCGAGAAGGCGAAACGTCGGACACGCACAGCGTCAGCTAGAGAGGCGGAGGCGCAGATCGATTTACCGGAAGGATTGGGTTCTCAAATCTTGTGGCAACCCGATTCCGACCCAGGACAGTCGCATCAGTCAGCACTCCCGCCACCTGAACTACTCGACGAGGCGCTGCATAATTTGCACATAACTCTGCATCCCCAGACCCAGCATCGGGCAGCATGTGAGTTATGATCGTTTTTCACGTTGTCTGTCTCCTGACCGGATTCGGCAACAGATGCGTCGCCTCTCGGACCGCTTGTCGACCCGACGCTTGCGCTGTATTGCCCCGTCGGTCGGTGTCTCCTCAGTTGTTTCGTCGTTCTTTTGCGGACTCAGTCTTGACAGAGGGCGGAGAGTACGTTGTTGACGCAACGGTGCGTGAACTGGCGCGGAGGACGGGTGCCGAGGTTCTAGTTCTGGATGCGGTACAATTGGCTGCAGGGGAATGGGGAGTGTTCGGCAAAGGTGCATGACCTTCTAGGCTCCTCAATGATGAAGCTCACATGTTCAGCTGCCAATTCTTTGCAACTGACCCGGAACCCGTTGCACTTTCGATCACCTACAATAACATCGAAGACATTAGCGTCGGAAGAGGATGAAGAAGACTCTGACTCCGGACCTTCTTTCAATCCGACTCAAATGCTGCTGACAGTGCTCAATCCTCAATCCGGGCGCAGTGTAGTCACGCCTTCACGTCGCAGTGGTCCGCCCAGCAAGATACAAGTGTTTTTCGACACAATTGTTAACTTGTCCTCATCTGAGGATGGGCCACCAAAACCGCGGCTGATTTACATCCGAGGCAGGTATATCTCCGGTTTGGATCATGGCACAACTCATCTGTTCCCAGATTTTACCACTTTGGCTCCGTCAACCTCGGCATGGTATCCATACTTGCTCTCGGCCGTCCGGGAACGGCGGAGGAGGACATTGGCGCGCACAACCTCTCCGGTAACGCATCCTGTGACTATTGTCTTTGGAATGACTCCTCCCCTGGTCCCACGAGCGTCTTCGGCGACCACCGTGCCCTCTCCGCAGCCCCCTCACCGCTCTGCGGGGTCGCGAGTGGCCGACTCGCACTGGAGCGAAGACGATGCCAGCGACAAGGCACGGGAAAAACGCCTGCGCGAGCGTCTACGTCGGTGGGACAAAGATGACGGGCTGCGGGAGGATCTGTCGAAGTTTTCGGCCGTCTTGGATAGCCGATCAGGGCGTGAGCCTGCTGCTGGAATCCTGATCGTACGAGGCTCTCAAGGATCGGTCATCGCCCAACCCGGCGCAAATGACGACAGAAGTGAATCTGGTGCCGACACAGACTCACTTTTCTTCCGGACAACCATCATTGTACCGGGTACGCGTTCGCCAGCAGATGAACGCGTATGCCGAGTGACAAGGCGGCGGGAGATCAACGAGCTGACGATGCGTATGTCGATTGGCGGGATCGGAGGCCTGTTGGAAAGCGGGGGTGTGATTGCTTCGCAGGATGAAATGGCCGACGATCTGCATGGAATGTGGGAAGACTGGGGCAATCGCATCGAATTGTGGTCAACCGTGCGATTGGTAGCCGACAACGCTCTCGGACACGTGGTTGCCACCACCTCACCAACGCCGTCTCTCGATCCTACTCTCGTCAACTGGTCACATGTTGGCAGCGCTTGGGCTGCCCATCAACAGCGACAGTCGCTTCGCAAAGCATGGATGAAGGATGTGTCCAAGTCTGCCCAGCCTCTTGAAGAAGAAGCAGCAGAGAATGAGACGGCAGAAGAGCAAGTTGTCGATGAGCTGGTGGAGGCCTTGAAGAACGACGAGGACCTGGAGCCTCATGAACAGCGGCTCGTTGCGTGTATTGTGAAACCAAGTTTGTTCTTTTCCTTTTCTAGCTGCAATTATAAAGACTGATTCCTTCAGACACAATGCCCACTGGTTTCGGTCAGGTGCACCTGCCTGCAGCTACAGTCGACGCCATCCGGACGATTGTCTCGTTGCCGTTGCTGCATCCTGAAGCATTCCAACAGGGCATTCTCAAAGAGCATGCTATGACCGGCTGCCTGCTCTTCGGTCCCCCGGGTACCGGAAAGACACTGCTGGTCCGTGCTCTTGCGAAAGAGGCTGGATGTCGCATGATGGCCATCTCTCCTTCCGATATCATGGATATGGTATTACCTCTCTTCCTCTCCCGAATCACTTTTTCTCACCGATCGCTCTAGTATGTCGGAGAGGGGGAGAAACTGGTCAAGGCGCTCTTCTCTATCGCACGTAGAATCGCTCCCTGTGTCATCTTCCTGGATGAGATGGATGCTCTGTTCTCCGCCCGAGTCTCTGCCAGAGATCGGGGAGGAGGTGCCCTCGCCCACCGAGGGATCTGACTGAGTTCATGCAGGAAATGGATGGACTGCGTTCGTCGAAGGATGACAGCGTCATCGTCATCGGTGCGACAAATCGGCCTTTTGATCTAGACGACGCTGTTCTGAGGCGGCTGCCTCGCCGCTTGCTCATCGATCTCCCGGGTGAAGCCGAGCGAGCAAGTTTGTGTCCTGCTTTGAGCCATCTTTATTCTTGTTCATTTCATTTCTCTAGGCATCCTTAAGATTCTGTTGCGGGACGAGCAGTTGGACGCCGATGTTGATATTCAAAGCATTGCTAAGAAAACTGAGGCGTTCTCCGGTTCAGATCTCAAACGTCGGTCATCTACCAGCCCCCGCAGACCTGGATTCTGACACGCTTTGTGATAGATCTTTGTGTTGCGGCCGCTGTTGATGCAGTGAAGGAGAATCTGGTCTTGCCATGGAAGGCGGCTACGACGGATGACATCAAGCAGCCTGCGTCTGACCAATCTGGATCCGAAGCGAGCTCGGCGGAGCACTCCGAATCGGCCACTCCAGAATCTGAAGGAGCACAGACCTCCGCTGAAGAGACGGTGCCCCCTCCAGACCAGGCCCCGCGAATATTGTATCTCCGTCATTTCACCAAAGCACTCGCCGAGATCACCCCGTCGTCTTCGGAACATCTGGGCAGTCTCGCTGAGCTGCGCAAGTGGAACGAGGAATTTGGGCAGGGCCGGGACACCAAAAAGCGACAACAGCCGTTGTGGGGTAAGGGCCGATTCGGCTTCGGGGACCCGAAAGCGAGTCCTCCTGCACCAGAAGAAGGGCGCGTTCTCCCATTAGACACGGGTCGTTCATAGCATCATTAATAGACGGCATACTAGACTATTGACCAATCTATCTACTGATTCGCTCGCGATCGTCGTTTGCCTTTAGGTGTCTCTTGTTCGTCCTCCTCGACATCCATAGAATCATCAACTCGCCCCCTGCCCTGACGTTTCGGCTGACTAGATTCTGCTGCATCTTCCTCTGAGTCGTCCTCTTCGTCCTCGTCATCTTCATCGCTGTCCTCGACCGACTTTCTCACTCGTCTCTTCCCGTCGTCGCCGTCTCTGACAGCACCCTCTCCAACGGGAACCATACTTTCAACATCGAGGGCCAGTCTTTGCCACACTTGGGACAGGTCCTCCGGGAAGACCTCTTGCCCATACAGTGCCCATGGAAGTGAGCATCACAGTCTGCAGCAGGGCAGCCGACACCTTTGGTCACCAGCTAAGCCCGACGGTTCGTCAGTTCCCGTCTACGGTGTATTGAAGGACTGTCTTACTTCTCCACAGCTGGGTCTCGAACAGGTCAAGACCTCATCCGCATACGCCGCTCGTAAGTACAAATCCAGTTCTACAAGTGCGCGCGTAGCCAGAGAGTATCGACCCCGCCTAAAAGCAAGTACGTGAGATCGATCTGACGGACGCATGCAGGATAGACGCACCTGCTTCTCAGCAGCCAACCTTTGCCAACGAAGCTGGACAGAACAATCTCCGCCTGTGTCTTGGTCATATTCGACTTGGGTTTGAGTGTGCTGACTTCGCGAAGAGCTGCCATGGATGATATGGAGAAGGAATGCCGTGGCGCAAGTATGATTTGCTCAATCTGTTCATCCTCAGACACATGTTGTGAAGAGACTACTTTTGGAACTGACGAGCGCTTTGAAAAACGCGATCTCGCCCGGCGTGTAGTCTGTAGCGAGCTGGGCGATCGCATCGTCTTTGCGGTTCACCTGGGCCGGATTACATCAATTTGACGCGTCGAGACGTATGGAAGAGGAAGCGCACCATGGCGAACATCTTCCGGCCGTTGCTCTCATCCAAGACACCGCGGAACTCTAGATCGAGAGGATTGAGGGAGTCGGACACTCCGACAAGAAAATCCTCCCAAGTGTCATCCGAGAGCTCAACGCCGTCCTCTTCGGATGTTCAGGCGGGATCACGACGCGTCGAGAAACTCGAGTACGCACCCTGAACTGCTTCGCGACATTTGCTCCATAGAGTTTGAGCCAGCTTGTCGGAAAGAATTCCGCGCGATAGCACGGCCTGAAGAAACAGCCGTTGCACGTCCTTTGGACGTGAAGTCATTTGGCTGTCTGTTGTGTCAACAAGATGAGAGATTCGTCGCGTGGATCTGCTAGGGCGACGAGGGGGTGGGTCAAGTCGAGTCGCGTAAACAACGCGGTCCAAACAAAGAATGTACTTCCGAAAGGGGAAAGGACGCGCTGCTTCTCACCCCACAGGGAAGAGCAAGGAAGTAGGATTCATATATGTAGGAGGATGTACGCTTATACTTCGGTATGATAGGATTGTCTCTCATATTTTCGGGACACGTAGAGTCTTGCTGACCATAGCGGCGGCCCAGCATCCAAACACAGCGCTCACAATATGCAGTTCTCCTCGTCCTCCAGCCTGTCCCCACAACACCATTTTCCCCAGGGGTATGCCCTGCTGGCCCTCGATCCAGCCTTGCTTCGTCCAGTATGCCAACACGGCGACAAGAGCGAGAGAGGAAGGAATGGGGAGCCCTTCAAAGTACTTGGCTTTGCCTGCACCATCCTTGGGAATGAGTGCAACCGTGGCATTGAAGCGTGCGAGACGAGCAAGACCGCAGCAGATAAATCCAGCGAGGATAACGGTATCGAGGTACGTGCGCAGCCCAACGACAAAGGCTAATAGAGCGGGAGCGACGCCAAACGAGATCTGACAGGAACGTTCAGCGAGTGGATTTCGCGGAGTTCATGTAGAACAGGACGAACGAGGTCAGCCAGACTGTCCAACTCCTGACCGAGCATGCTACTTGATTTTCTCCATCGTGCAACCTTGCCATCGAAAAAGTCGAACATGAGACCAGCAAGAGGGAAGGCCAATGCAGACCACAGATAATCGATGTCGTTGTTCACTAGGTAGTGCGCCGATGAGAATATGGAGAAGGAGCCGCAGACACCATTCATGATGGTCACAAGGTCCGCAAGACGAAAGTTCCTGAGTGAGGATGAGCAAAGCCCATGCGGAGGTTGAGCTGGGTGTACCTGACGAGGGAAAAATGTCCCTCCGAGTCCTTGTACTGCTGCAGAGCATCGGCACGCGACTCCTTCTGAGATTTCTGGCGGACGCTCATGGTGGTCGTGGAGGTCGTGAATGGGCGGTGGATCACATGATGTCATGACGCAGGATGGATGACGCGCTATCCATATCCGTCCAACCACTGCACTGGATACAATCATACAATGACGACTGTACAGCGAGATCTCATCCTACCACCATCTTGATCTCTTCCTTCTCCTTCGAGAGCTCCATGCTCTTTGCTGTATACTGATTTGGATGGGTCACACTCTCCCCGCCTCCGATTCCGTCACCCTTCTTCACGCCATGTCCCGCATGCGTGATCTCGAACACCCTGGTGCAAGCTACATGGAAATGGCTCTGTCGGACCTGATACATGACCTCATTCAAGTCAGCGGAAGTCAGCCCCATCGACCCATATGAAGACATGAGCGCAGACTGGAGATTGTCTTCTGCAAAGTGCCTGAACGGGCAGCCTGGATCGCCGCCAGACGTCAGAATTTGTTGGCAACTAAAATACGTGCTTTAGCAGAAAGCACTGGACAGCCAAGGAAGCGGAGCATACTTCTTTGCCGGATAGTTTGCCCTTTTCCCTTCGAGGCCGTAAGTGTGCCGTATGTTGTAACGATACATTTTGTTGAACGTGTCGTCGGTGATCCTGTCAAATGACTTGCGCCAGAAGACAATCGCCTCTTCCACGGAAAGCCCCAATACCTGTGATTCACATGAGCCACATGAAGGATTAATTATGAATGCAAGCAAACTTTGAGGAAGAGACCGTATTCCAATCTCCCAAAGTGCTTCAAGTGGTGATCACGTCGCAGTTTCTGATGTGTATTGCGCATGCACATTGGGAAATGGTCGACTGCCAATTGATCAACCATGTCAGCTGTGATAGCCTCGCCGTTGGCATTAGCCGGGCCAGAGCTCCATTGAGCAGAAATTCCGGCTTCGAAGCCACGGGACAGGTTGTCCAGAATGTTTTTCAGTCGGGTATCGTCGTCAATGCGCGGCAAGGTTCGGGCAGTCGCCTGCCAAAAGTCAGTGTTCATCCACAGCGAGAACGGAAAGCCAGCACCTTGAGGTCTCGATCGAGATGTTCTTCGTATTCTTGATAGACAATGCTCGATTGCTCGCGACTTGGCACGTACGCCCAGCCGCCTTTCAGGAATACTTTGCGCTTCTCTACGAGATCCGGAACGCTCGTCCATCGCACCTGTGGGAGATTCAGAGGACTCGATGTCATGAGACGCAGCCGTGGTACCTTGTAATACTTTTCCGCGTCGAACGTTTCGAAACGACCAGAGTATGATAAGAGCTGCTCCTTGTATGTTTCCTTCTCTTTCGGGCTCACCTGTGCTTTCCTGAGACACAGTGGACAAGAAAGATTCAATGTCAGCGCACCGATTGAGATTTCAGGTCTCTCGAGCTGAGAAATCTCTCCCGTTCGGAACTGTCGTCCGTTTCGTAGCGAATCTTGAATAGTGTGCATTCTGCCTTGACAAACCGCCGCCGAAGCTCGTCTCTATATGATATCAGTCCAGATAGCTCAGGTCACAAGAGAGCAGACGCACGATCGGCAGAAGGCCAGTCTCAGCACAAAGTGACCCAAGTGATCCGCTCTGCGCTGTGCCTCTTTGTCCGCACCCAATGCACTCGAATGCTTGAGGGGCAGGTATTTCTCGCACTGGGCAAGTGTCACCGTCTTCGTTTCCTCCCAGGTCCTGTTCCGCGCAGCAGACGACTCAATCTCCGCCAAGACGCGTAGTCTGTTGAGTGCCGATGTCTCGAACTCTTCTACTGTCACGTCGAACAGTGGTGGTTTGTCGTAGCTGCGAGAAGAATCACCGTCCAGATCAGAAACGGCAAGCGCAGGACGCACAAGTTGAGCCTGAAAGGATAGTTCTCGTGCTTGTGGAGTTCGACAAGATTGCTTTTGCTGTCTGACAGGGTGCGCTCCTCGATCTTGAACATGATATCTGGGAGCAGCGGGGGGCGGTCACAAACGCGTAGTGTCACATTTGTCGCATGTCTATCACGTGGAGAGGGTCCTGGCCTTGCCGTTGGCATGAGTGTACATGGATTCCTGTATTTACACTTGAAGCAAGTCCGTAGATGAAGGCGCATGCCCGTGCGCATGAAATCAAATAATCAATATCCTCGACGAAGACGCTCGTTTTCCTCCCTCAACCTCTTGTTCTCTTCCCTCAGATCTCGCAGATCACCCACATACTCATCCATAAGCTCTCGCAATTCCTTTTCCATCCGCGACCCATTCTCAGCATATCTAGGTGCATTCCGACCATCTCCGCCTTCTGTTCTTGGTGCAAATCGAACATGACGTCACGAACGATGTTTCGCAAGAATTCTTGCGCTCCTTGTGCAGATGGGTTTCCTGGAGATGCAGGCATAGCGTTCCTCAAGGGAGAGGGCGCCCAGTTATTAGAAGCCATTGCTGGTATTGATGGTCTTCGAGGAGAAATCTGTATCGAGAGACTTTTTTCTCGCTCCGCTTGCTCGTTCTCTTCATCTGCGTCAGGCTCATCTGCCTCTCTGAAGAGCACGGTTTTCCCCTTGTTTCGCTCCTTTCCCTCTTGGGGGGTCTGTAGATGGGCAAAGACTTTGCCATTGCCTGCAGGCGTTATCGGTTGCGCGGTGAAACTGGGAAGATCGGGTGACGGCGTTCGGCTCATAGGCGCTGCAGCGGCGGGGGTTTTCTGAGATATAGACGAACTTCTTCGCGAGGTCGCTACTCCAGGGCGCAGAGTCGTTGAAGCCGTCATCCGGCGCGCTTCTGACCGCGCTGAAAGGGACTCGGTTGCAGAGATCTTTCGTGGTCTAGTCGAGACGCTCTCCTCTTTCTTATGACCTGGGACATCGCATGAGCATCGGTTCACTTTCTGGAATATGTGAGGCTTACTGCGGACTCGCTCCCTGACTCCGTTTGACGGGGACAAGACCTTGGAATGTGCGTTTGCTGGTGGAGACAGCAGTTTGCGGGAAGACACGCCGGCCAGCTTTTCCTTTTCGGTCCGGCGCTTTGCTGGAGAAGGATCCTGCTGTCCTTTGACCTCGAGAGTCTTAGGCTTCGTCGTGACCGCAGGCTCTTTCGCAGTAGAAAGTGGTTTCGCTGTCGATTCCGGAGTTTTTAGTTTTCTCTGAAATGTTGCGTTCATTATCATATCTCGTGTCATTTCTCTGAACACTCACCTGGACAGATATCGTCTCTACCGGGGATCCATCCTCGCTTATGATCACTACCTTGGGTGGTTTGTCCAGTGCACGCAGATCCAAAAGCAAGAGTTTGCCCGATGCCGTTCCAAGGTAGATCAATGAACCATCTTGAGAGAACGTGAGGCAAGTCAGTTCAACTTTCAAGTTCAATGTGCGGAAAAGCCTGTTTTCAATGATTCAAAAGATGGCAAAACATCGTGATGAAACGTACCCTTTCTCCTTCTCCAGATCGACAAGCGAAACGCATCCGTTGGAGCTAGCAGTGGCCACCAAGGTTTTCGAGAAGGGACTGCAAGAAATAGAGACCAGAGGATCTACGCTGGCGTCGTTGAGACTAATAGTCTTCAAAGGACTTGAAGGACGTGTCGTTTCGTAAACGAACAGCTGCTTTCCGGCACCCACAAGAAGTCGTGTCCGAGTGTGAGGATGAAAAGCGCACGCCGTTACGCATTGCCCAGCAGGTAGCTGAAGACCCCGGAGGACGGTATGCGAGTTGAGCGAGAGATTGTGAATGTGCACACCGGACGACGAGGCCGATGCTAGCAAATCATTCGAGCTGGAAATGGATATTGTCGTGATGGGAGATTTGTGGACTTCGATTGTCTGCGTGATCTTGGTTGATTCGAGGACATGGATTCTCTCCGCGACCGCGAAAACGAGGGAATCTTTCCCTCGCGACAAGAAATGCGATATGTTGTTTCCAGAGGATACCGTGTATATCTCAGCAAGAGAGTTCAGGAACGGGTTGTATCGGTGTACAGTGGCACCCGTCGCCAGATTGAGACTCGAATTGTCTGGTGCCCATGCAGCCGCCTGACACGACGCCAAGAGGGGTAGGCAAGGCGAAAGAGACGATGGAGGTTGTTTCAGACTGGCTGAGTCGGCCAGGAATAGTTGTCGGGATGCGGTAATTGCCTGCATAATCGAGCGCAGCACTTGAAAGCAGGAAGGAGCAACAGTCACGGTCGTTACTAGGTCACTTGAACATTCAAGCCTGCTCGTCAGGTGACCGCATCTCCTTCACGTGATCTCATTTTTCCTTTTCCGAAACCGACACCCACTGGAAGTTCCGTCCAATATGCCTTTCTTCCTCGCTGGCGACGAGCTCGGGACGATCAGGTCGATCAAATATCAAGCAGGATCGCCGTTGGAGTCTGAAGTGCTGAATACCTCGACGTCGGGCTCCGCTGTTTCTTCGATCTCCGTGGCCTCATCTTCAAAAATTGTTACGGCAGCCTACGCGGACGGCTCCCTTGGGTCGTTTGTACTCGAAGATGAGAAATTGGAACCCACCAGCCAGTGGAAAGAAACGCGTATCAAATCAGGACAGACGTTTGTCGGCTTGAAGACGACCGACAAGTGTGTGTGCTTTGTATCCGCTAGAATCATCTCTGATCCCAGGCAGAGGGACATACTCCTGCACATCAAACGGTGCATTGCGCCTGGCTTCACTGGAAACACCCGGGACGGAGGCTAGGCTGGCGTCATTGCCCTCACGGTTATGCGACTGGAAACTTTCGACCGATCAGTCCACATTCTCTTACGGTGGAGACGAGGTGGAGCTATCCGTCTGGGATACCGAGAAGGCTTTCTCTCCCACAGAAAAGCTGGATGCCAGCAAGCGGAAACGGGACTCATTATTCCCTGGGGAGATCTGGAGAGCGAAAAATGTCTCGAACGACGGGTTGGGGCTCCGACAGCCCGTCAAAATCACCTCTCTGGCGTATCTTTCGACCACCTCACCTAGGCAAAACATCGTCACCGGGACCCAGCTCGGAGATGTCCGAATGTACGACACTCGAGCGAGGAAACCAGTCACGAACTGGAAAGGAATCGCTAAAGTGGGCGGCGTCAAGCTCGTTGAGAAAGGTTCAGTTGAAAAGTGGGTGGTTTCAGCTTGTTCACTCAAAATGTCACCAATGCGCCTCATCAGCGAGATCTTTGTTGGCGATCACGGCTGTAATCTTGCATCGGTAGATCTAAGAAATGGGCGGATACTGTACTCATACAAAGGTGACCCCGCCTGTCCGTTTTCCTACTCAGCTTTCTGAACTTCCTGCCAGGAATGTCGGGTGCGGTGACATCCGTGGCAGTGGCTCCCTCCCTGCTCGTTTCGTCTGCTCTCGATCGTTACTGTCGCATCCACACAACAGCTCCTCCGCCGACTCAGCCGGGTCAGAATCAGGAGACAAAAGGCTCAGTCGTCGACAAAGTGTTCCTGCCGAGTATCCCGACGGTCGTCGCTTGGAATGGCATCAGTGATGGGCCGCTGTCCCCAGGGTCTGAGACGGAACATGCAGAAGAGGACGATGTTTGGGACGGAATGCAGGATGTCGAGGACAGCGCAGACGAGGCTGAAGCTGGGGGGCGGAAGAGACGTAGGACAGCTATCTGAGATACATTCTGATCACTCGGTGCTTTGTCGCTCAGCAACAACTGAGTCCAGAGCACAACATATTAGAGTGATAAGAACATATAAATAAGTATCTGTAAGTAGGAGAAAGCGAGGATGGTATCAATTCCCTGACCAGCTTCGTTCATAGTTTGTGCTTGATCCTGCAGTGGGATGAATCAGACCGAACCACTCAGGAGTAATTCATCTGAGCTTACTCTTTCTTGGCGATGCGAAGAAACTGGGAAGTGGGAGTACCGCTGCGAGTTTGAAATCAGGGAACGTGGGTAGATTGTAAATGGGATCATCCGGACCTGGCAAACCGCTCTGCTTGCGCTTGTCCTCTATGAGCACACAGACTTGGATTCACAAAAGGGACGCTGCGCTCACCATAACTTTCTCGGAGATTGACCGCGTCTGGGTTGTTCTTCTCGGACAGACCGGCACGGATGAGCTTCTTGACGGCCAGGACCGCGGTTGGGTCGAGCTCTCGCATGTCCTCAAGGATGATGTCCCGGACTTCCGCGTGAAAGTTGGGAACGGCCTGCAGAGGAAGTACCTTGCTGTGAAACGGTGAGTGAACAAATCTACAGAGGCATCGTAGAGAGGTAATACTTGACGAAACCACACTCGTACAGGTCCTGCGCCTCCTGCTTTCTGCCCCATATCAGCACCTCGTTTGCCTTTGCTAGACCCACTAGGGACGAGTGAACGTTGAGTCAAAGATGGGACGACGTTGCGGCATATACTCACTCCGGTTCACGAAGGAGACGCTCGCTCCGCCCTCAGCCACTATGCCGAGAAATGTGAATGGGACGGAGAGCCAGGCATTGGGCATGCAGTAGATGAAGTCGAAGTATCCAAGAAAGGCTGGGGTGCGAGATCAGTAAGAACCGTGCGCAGTGAGCGCCAACGAGAGACCTGCTGTGATGCCTAGTAATGCATAAGAGATGGTAAGTTCTTGCGCTGCAGTTCGTCAAGTCGTACCCCTGCACACGGGATCGTCAGATTGGACAGCAAAATCGCGCAGCGAGGGGACACTGTTTACATCACGGGACCGTTTAGCGCAGCAACGAGAACTTTGGAATGATTGTATAGCTGCGATCCTCGTTCAAGCCGTCCATTTCGAGACTAAACCGGTGCTAGCAGACATACCGCATGCCCGCAGTCGAGAGTGGTCCTCACGACGGCGTTCAAGAAGGCATTTCGGATCTCTCCATTCAGCTGTCTATTTCCGCTCCGTCGAACGTCCGTGCCGCTGTGGGATTGGAATCGCCATCCGTTGCCAGAGAGAGAATAGGCGTACGCGCAAAACCATTTCCCGGTCGCTTGCCAGACCGTCACGAGGACGTCGTCGCGTTTGTCGATCTCCCTGCAGTTTCCACGTCAAATCGGGGTTCCATGCCGGCCGTGTCAGCCGCTTCACCTGAGCGCGTCCGCAAATGCGGTGTAGTCTTCGGCAGTCAGTGCGTTGAGGCTGGCTGGGCGCTCAAGCTGGAGGGTTGCGATTCCGTCTGCGACGCTGACTGTGAGCGTAGACTCCATAGAGAAAACCGTACGGGACGGCACCATGATAGCCGTCACTTAGTACCTGTGATTTCCAGCCCAGGCACAAAGTGTGCGCGGTAACTGGCCGACAGAGCAAATGAAGAGATTGATACAGTACAGTATTACAGGTACAGAAACACCTCAAGCCCATAAATCAGACAACCTTTTCATCGACTTGGTTAAAATACCGTCCCTCGGGAGAGTCTCCGAGACTTGTTCGATCACCGGTCTGACAAGCGTCTTGACCCGATCAAGTTCAGGACCCGCCGCGTTCTTAGTGATCTGCGCAAACAGCGAGCACACATTCACTCTGACCTCGGCGGGGAAATTGACGGGATTGTCCACATTCCTCAATACAGCAATCAGCATGTCCAGCGCATTCCGAGGGCTGGGAATCCGGCCACGGCCTGTCGGAGTGGCAACCACAGGCGAGCTGAGATCGCTTCCGGAGGTCAACTCGCTACTCGAAGCAGACGGAATCTCAGGCGGCGGCTGAATGTCCAGCGTGAAGATGGCCGTGAGAGCGAGCGGAGCTATCGAAGATGAGCAAACATCGACTGGTCGTCCGGGGCGCTCACCTCCCGAGGCGACTGTGCTCATGAGACTGAGGGCAACAATCCCTTCATTGACCAGCAATGGGTATTTGGCACTGCGCGTGATCAAAGAGGCTAATGCGTAGGCGTTGTCGGACGACAGAACTGCCTGCATCGACTCGTGTCGCTTGCGCTGATTTGCCTGGATCGCCGCCGGAGTGTCAATCCCTTGGAGTGCCGCAGTCGCAGCTGCCTCAACGGGTGTTGCTGATGGATCGTTCGACCACAACGACTTGATTACATTCACCAGCACGCGCGTGCCTTCTGATTTGACAGGTATAGATCTGGTCCGCTTGACAAGAGCCATGATGAGTGATAGTCCCGTGGGTTGCGACACATCTTCTCCCGGCAGAGCCAATGCGAACGTGTTTTCGACTTGCAAGAACCGATCAGGCAAGCCATGGACGTAGATGAACGCGCGACCCACCGTTTGCATTGCACATGTGCTTGACGATACCAATCGCACTGACTTGAACGACGTCAGACATCTCGTCGATCTTCTCGTCCCAGACACCGCTCCTGGAAACATGCTCGATCACGTGTGCATTTGCGAGCGCGTCCTGGATCGCAGGAGATTGCGCACAAGACACCGCCAGGTGCCTCAGGAGCCCAATGACACCATGCTTGACCTTGATGTCCGTCGAAGAGGACAGAAGATGCCGGGAAGTGAGTACATGTGCCAGGGAATGCGGTGGCGATAGCAGAATGAGTGAATTTTTCTCTGTGCTGGATGAATGACATCCAGGACACTGAAAGGCAATGCAACACACCTCTTCTAGCCAAGTTTCCCAGCGACAAGCTCGCACAGATAGCGATATCGTCCCGATGTCCAAAAGGAGTCGCAGGGTCGGGAGTTCTACCGGTTCTCTGGTCCATGTCGGCCACATACCGCTTCAGCCAGCTCACCATCCTGCACACGAACTCTCCACCCGGTTGCTCAGCCGATTCTCCCCAAAGCACATCCTCGTTGCGTTCCTCTCCAGTAACTTCGACCACAACCTTGATCAGCGCCGCTTTGCAATTGTCGAAGACGCGCTCGCGCTTCTTTCGATCTGCCTCGGGAAATGCTTGCTGCCAAATGGGAGGATAGTCTCCGAACTCTATAAAATCCAGTATCGTCGACAGGCAGGGAACGCCGCCGTGCTCTGAATGAAAGACAAATCCCCGCCCGAGAGACAATCGCACGTCTTCTATGTCCAACGAGAGCGATTCAATGAGTACACATGACTCCTCGAGGACGTCAAAGTCTGTCTCGAGTAAGGTTTCAAACATCTCCGAGTGCGGATCAAACACAGAGGACGCTTGGGTGTGAGGTGCGCAGAACGAAGCCAGAACCGGAGTCAGGAGGGACAGAACGTCGTGATTCAGGATTTGGAGGCCTTATGAAGCTCAGCGGAGGAAATGATGACCACTGATGAAAACACACTTTCATCTTTGGTCTCCTTGAGATCAATCACAGTCTTCCAGGCCCAACTTGACACTCCACTCCGCAAAGACCACGATACTTCTTGGTCTCCGAGCGAGATCTCTTCGTCGTTTACAGGCTTTGCTGATAACCAGGCCGCAGGAGGATAGATCGCGTGCGCTAATTTGAGGATAGTCATACCAGCCTCCAGTGACCGTAATCGCGACTTGACAGGATCTGGAGAGAATTCTCAGCCGGGCTGTTCCGTCTGACGAGCAGGGATCCAAACCATAATTCAAACTGACATTCAAGAGGACGCCGATGGCGGTGCGCACCACCTTGAGATGTGGGATGGTGAGGGGTAGTGGTTGGGAGGTCTTCTCTTCCGGAATGGTCTCTGCGTATCCTTCTAGTAGCGAGACGACCGCCTGAGGGATCCCTGCCTCGAGAAGTAGACCCCGGTTCTCATCTACGGCCTGCTATCAGGCACTGTACCCCTGCGTTTGCGAGAGCTAACTGACCGTGGTCTATACAGAGATTGGCCGAGACCCTGAGGAGTTCGAAGAGGGGAGGAATGCGTAGCAGGGTAGGTATAGAGGAACCCTCGAGAGCAGCAGCAATCAGCGCGGCTAATATTTGAGGAAGTGATGTTCGCCCCAGTGGTGTATGATAATCGACTTTGCAGCAGTAAAATGCATTGTCCTTCAGTCTCATAAAATAAAGAGAATCGTACCTGGACCATCCCGAACCCGTAACCCATTCGCCAATGCTTGAGCAGTGTTCTCTACTTCATGCCAAGCAATGGAGCGGGGATGTTCTTGTCCGAGCGTTACAAGGTGTTTCCCAACGGAGAGAAGATCGACTGCCGAATCGCTCATGGATTGCCGGACGCTGGGTTCTTGAAGATCGAATCCTCGAGCCAAAGTAGTTGTACGCAAGCTGTGGGTACAAGATTGTGTTGATGATCTGATACACTTGATGGCTGTGCTGACACCGTCTTTGCTAGAAATAGATTCACTGAAGGATTATCGATTTTCAGCCGCCGCCGCGACCCAATTCCAAAGCTCACATCATCGATTATCTCTTTCTCTTCATACCGTATCTTAGCGAAAGAGGCGCACTTCTCAGAAGATGTGAGAAAGAAACGCGTTGGTTCGAGCACGGGCACGTGCTGTCGTGCTTCGTTGTTGCCTGGTCACGTGAAGCGTGTGTGAGTATAAACATAAGGCGCGTCGCGTCGGATCGGCCTTTGCACCTCTTTCTCTCTCCAACCTCCACCACCCCTTTCTACTCCGCTTGTATATACGCTCATGGCCCCCAAGGTTATCTTGATAAAGCTACATCCTCAGCTCAAAGTGTTCACACGTCCTGCAGCCTGCCTCCACTGCCGGCAAAGCACCCGCCTCCACTGCCGGCAAGGCACCCGCCAAGGTTCTTACCCGCTGACTTCATCACAACGACCTATCTGATCATCTTTCAGTCTGAGGGCTCGAAGGCCGCTAAGAAAACGGCGACTAAAAAGTCTTCCGCAGCCCCCGCTGACGGCGAGAAGAAGAAACGCAAGAAGGTTCGCAAGGAGACATACTCGTCCTACATCTACAAAGGTCCGTGTGCCACCGTCGTATTTCTTCTGTTCTTATCGCACTGCAGTCCTGCGCCAAGTCCATCCGGACACGGGTATCTCCAACAAGGCCATGTCTATCTTGAACTCGTTCGTCAACGACATCTTTGAGCGGATTGCGTCGGAGGCCTCGAGTACGTTCCGCGCTGCGCTGTCATCTCCCTTGGTTGACTGTCTGCAGAGCTCGCTCAGTACTCGAAGAAGTCTACCATCTCGTCGCGGGAGATTCAGACTAGCGTGCGCCTTATCCTGCCTGGAGAGCTGGCGAAACACGCCATCAGCGAGGGTGTGTCTCCTTCTGAATCACCATTCAAAGCTGGCTCATCGTTGGTTAGGGACGAAGTCTGTCACCAAGTTCTCTTCAGCCAGTACTACAAAGTAGTCACGCGACGCATGGAATGTCTGTATCCTTATTATTGTTTCTATCTACATCAGCTTGTGCATGTAACCACCAACCAATGCAATATGTGCCTTGGAGAGTTTGACTGGCTGACTTGTGCCTCGAAGGTCTCCGTTCGAGTCGATTAGGTGTACTTCGGCCTGAAAGTTGCTTGGTTGCCATACCACTGACCCTTGACCTGTTCGAGAGGTCGATATATGAAGGTGACGGAAGAGAAGAGAGAGAATACCATGTATTTCCAATACACCCATGGGAATAGGTCCTGCAAGAAGCCTCAGCGAGAGAAACAACAGCACCCAGTGCAAGGGCAAACCTTTTTGAAGTGGTAGAATAACCGGTTGCTCTTGGACTGGTCGAATTGACTGCCGAAGCTTTCCTTGGGCTCGAGACCGTACTTAAATTCCGCCAGCATCAACTCGTTGTACCCAGTAAGCAGCTGGGAAAACTCTCAGTGACATTCGACCGGGACCAGAGCGGTAAACGAACCGGGCAGCTCGTGTATCCATCGTAGGCAGCAGAGCTCAGCTTTCCAGAATCAAGAACCGAGAAGAGATTCTCGCTGAGAACGGGTGCTTGCGCAGTGATGGCTGCGGCGGTCTTCGAGGTGGGGAGCGACGAGCAGTCTCCGATGGCCCAGATGTTGCCGAATTCGGGATTGGTGTGACGCAGGGTTTGTTGGTCCACGCTGACCCATCCGGTGCTGTCTGCAATGGGGGAGTTCTTGATGAAATCCAGAGGACCCATAGGCGGAGTGACGTGTAGAAGCGTGTAATCGACGCTGACGGTGGATCCGTCCCCTTTCTTGAAGGTTGCCTGGTGCTTGGCATCGTCGATGGACACAAGATTGTGCCCAAAGAACCCTCCCACCCCACGGGAAATACGCAGTTCGTTCAGTTTGTCAGAGTACTTCTTGACGCTGAACATAGAGGGCATGCCTGAGGCCTAACTTCAGACAATACCGCGTCGCTGCAGGACAAGATCGCTGACCGGTGTAAAAATCGACGTTTACTTTGCTTCCGCGATTGCTGCGCCTGTAGCGATCCCAGGCCATCCACATAATTTTCTGGGGGGCTAAAAACGGTGAGACATGGATCGAAGCACAACTGGCACGATTTCTGTACCTCCTGCGCATTTGACCACGCCGGCAGGCTGTGTGAAAATCGCTGTGCCAGAGCGCAGAGCGTCGATGTCGTTCCAGACCTTGTCACATGTCTCGTAGGAGTAGATGGACGAGACTCCGGACGTCGCGTTCATCAACGCTTGCGGCAGACCAGGAATCGCATCCCAGTTGATCTTGATGCCCGCTGCCACAACCAGCGACTCGTAAGAGATGCTGCGGCCCGAGGCGGTGGTCACCGAGGAAGAGGTCGGGGAGAATGTTTGAACGCGGTCAGAAATGAGAGTGAGGTGGTTGGGGATAAGAGATGGCAGAGGCTTGACAGTTTCCGACTTGTTCTTCAGTCCGGCACCAACTAGAGTCCTGTTCCCGGTCAGTTGGATGAGGTATGTTCGGAAGCATGGAATTACCATCCAGGCTGATGAAACTGAATAAAACAATTCCATCTTCAGGGTACCATCACACACCTGGTAGTAATGGCTGTCTGCAGGATCTATAATGGCGACATCTCCAGCATTCAACGGTTTTCCGGCAGACTTGAATCGGTCGAATATTTGGTTCGCAACAGAAAGGCCTCCACTGCCTGAGGAGCGAGCGACATGGTCAGCTGCGGCCGGCTTGCATCGTTGCTGTCACTGACCAGCACCAACAACAAGGATCTTGTACTTTCCGGCTTCAGAAGCGGAACTCGCGAATCGCCTGCCGAAAGAAGATACAGGGAGTCTAGCAGCACCGAGAGGGAGCATTGTAGCCGTGTCTGATTGCTTCGATGACCCACTAGGTCACTCAATACCAAGAGAACAGGCTGCGTCTGTTTCGTGAGTTACTTTCCGAGTGGATTTAAGTACTCCGAAGGGAAACTGGAAAAGGATGAAAAAGCAGCGAAAGAGATCACGCCTCTTCGGGCTCTTCGGCCGACAAGGTGGGTCGTGACCGTTCTGGGCTGCGCATCATACCTATATTCGCCGCTTTTGTCCTTCTACAGTGTGCACCTCCCAGTTGATCTGGGCTGGTCGGTTTCACAGTTTAATTCTTTCCAACTTTTCCAATGGCTTCTCGTTCTCGCGCAGGATTGCCTGCTGGTCCCGGTCCTCGCTCTCGCTCCGTTGCTAGGACCAGAGACAATGATAGCGCACGCCGCTACGACGAAGACAATCGCTCAACCCGCTCTCGAAACGATCATCGCACGGATTACGACTCTCGTTCCCAGCACGATTCACACGAGCGCGAAGCTCGCACACCCCGCCCGTCAGCCCGACAAATACGACCTCAGAAATCCATGAGCTCAGTCAACCAAGGGCGGTCTGGGTCTCAGCCGCCTCCAGCCTCCATGCGCACCCGTCACACAGAGCGACCCTCCGAACGCGAGAGACCGGACTTTGGCGCGCACCGCGGTAGCGACACGTCCACTTCCTCCGCGGCCTCTTCGTTCTTAGATCGGATGCGCGGTTATGCATCTTCGAGGACCAGCCTCGAAGAGGACGAGTCTGAGAAGCCAACGACATCCACGAGAGGTCAACCTGCGCGTGGCGCTTCTCCTGCGCCGGAAGGTACGCCGATGCATCGCGGTGATGGTGACCTTGACACACGTCTGGATAGAACCTGACACCAATGGTGATGGGTATTCGCTTTGGAATCGGGTTGCTTCGGCGGCTGGCTCCCTTACGGTGAATGTCAGCAAGGCATGGGCCACCAATGTCATGACGATCTCTGGTGAAGGTGAGCTCCCCTGTCTCGACGCCTGACCCTCTTCTGAGTAACCGATGCAGAGACTCCACCCGGGCAGGAGTCACGGCTGACCCGCGCTATGAAGTCATATCACATTGAAAAAGCGCGCGATCCGACCGAGCTTCCAGGATGGTTGTTCAGCGAGCAGGAACGCCGGAATCCTGAAGCCGAGCAACGCCGTCAGACAAGCGACCGTTCACATCTGAGCAATTCAGATTCGAGGCAACAGCCTTCTGCAAAGGTTGATCCCCCTTCTCGTGGATTCAGAGACATCTATGATGCGGCGGCAGCATCAAGCTCTTCTCCGCGTAGCCATGCTGATGAGACGTCGACACAGCCTTCGAAGGCGACAGATCGACTGAAGGCACTGCGCGATGCGAAACGTAACGGCGGACGTAGCACAGCCAGAGAGCCGCCAGTCAGCGAGGCGAAGCCCGTCGAAAGGACGTCCGACATTTCCCAGGGACGCCGGCGGGTTGGACTGCCATCGGGACCTGTTTCACGGCGGCTGTGATTTGTCTATCTACTTTTAGCTTGCGTTTGGCCAATGAGAAGGCGTGTACAGAATGTGTGGTATCTAACAATCTGATGGAATAGGGAGGGTCTAGACCGCCCTCCTACAACGCGTCGAGCAATATGAGTGGCCCGCAGCCTCACGCCCTGTTGGCAACTCACCAATCGAGTCCGATCTTTGACCCTCCTCGATTGTTTCAGCCGGCACGGTGACCGGCAGATACTTACTTGCAGTCAGCCTATGGTAAGTACTACCGTGGACAGTTACAACTTACAAGCATGTGTTCTCATCAGCGGCCCGTTAACTTGGTTCACACATTGATGGAGATCGGGTTGTCATGACCGCCGGATATAAGAACGGTCGCACTTCATTGGTAGCCCAGTTCCCTCCCCCCTTCTTCTTTTCATCTCTTTTTTTCGGTCTCCCAGTCGAGACTCGCCTCACTTTCGTTCATTCGAGGCATGTCCGCCCATTCTGCAACTTGATACTCGCTTCTGACCTTGCCCTCCCTTCAGATCGCGCCTCTTTGACAGACGCATCCAATCGCGCAGCTCCTCGGGAAGGCCTATTAGTCGCTTGTTTTCACAGTCTTCACACGCACTCCTCTACGGTTTTCACTTCAAGTTAATCTTCCACGATGGTCCTTATCACTCCTCTTGTCGGCGCCGCCGTCTTTTTCTCCGGCTTCGCTGCCGCTCTGCCGACCAGCTACGGCTCCAACTACGGTAGCTCTTCCGACTCCAGCAGCTACGGTGGATCCAGCAACTCGAACTCCAACTACGGCAGCTCGAACTCGAACAGCTACAGCGGCGGATCCAGCTCCAACTACGGAGGATCCAGCTCTGGCTCCAACTACGGGGGCTCTAGCAACTCCAACTACGGCGGAAGTTCCAACTCGAACAGCTACGGTGGAGGATCCAACAGCGGCTCCAACTACGGCTCGTCGAACCAAGGCACGACCTCCGTTGACAGCACCTCCACCATGATGATGGATTCTACGTCGACCGCCATGATGATGCAGACCACGTCGACCATGATGATGGACAGCTCCTCGACCACGATGATGATGGACACCAGCTCGACGATGATGATGGACAGCTCCTCCACTAGCATGATGATGGACACCACCTCCGTCGATGCTACTTCCACCACGGCTGCTGCGATGACCTCCGCGACCTACGGCAGCGGAAGCTCGTACTGGGGAGGCAGCGGATACCAGGACTGTGTCAACCGTGCGTCAGCCTGACCACAACTGGTGGCATCCACTAATCGTTCCGCAGAGTGTGTCGCCCAATTCGGAGGCATGAGCGCTGGTGGCTCTTACCAGGCGACCGCGACCGCCGGCACTGGTGGCAGCACTGGAGGTGGAAACGGCGCTACCCACACTGTCATCGTCGCTCCGACGAAGGGTGTTCTGCGATTCGTTCCCTTCGCGACCAACGCCAACCCCGGAGACACGATCGAGTTCCGCTGGGGTGCTAGCAACCACACCGTCACCAAGAGCTCTGCGCTGCTCCCTTGCAACAAGAGCTCCGCTGCGCCTGTCTTCGCGTCCGGCGAGCAGAACCAGGGCTTCGTTTGTGAGTGTCCTTGATTGGTTCCATTGGCAAGATCTAATCTCTCTGTAGTCACCCAGGTCGTGAATGACACCAACCCGACCTTCTTCTACTGTGGAACTCCCGG